GGGGGGGGCTGCAGGGCTCAGACGAGATGGAGCGAAGCGAGAGGGTGCCGCGCTAAGCCGATGACGCTGGAGAAATGGAGGCACTGTAGAGAGGGAGGCAGCAAGGGAGGGAGGGAGGGAGGAAGGGAGTCGCACCCAGAATTGGAAGATGGTGGGAGGGAAGGAGGGGGAGGGCAACGGAATGAAGAGGCCCTTCGGGGTCGTACGGTCGAGGGGAGCGGGTGCGGGTGCGGAACACGGAGGCGTCGGTGAAAAGCGAGTTTGACAAGGCCTAGAGTCGGACCGCCTTAAAGTCGTCCGAGGGACAGACAAAGGCAGACAAGGGCTGGCAAAGGCTGGCCAAAAGGGCAGGGCGAGAGCCAGGGCTGGGCAGAGGGCACGAGACCGAGACCGCGACCGAGACCGAGACGGAAGCGAGGCGAGGCGAGGCGAGGCGAGGCGAGGCGGCACTGTAAATCTGGGCCAAAATGGCGAGATTGCGGAGGCAACAAAGGCTGCGAGCGCGCGAGCCAGGAGCCGAAGCCGCAGCGGTGCTCGAATCCAGGGTGTCAAAGCCTTTCGGCGCTCCAATCTGCCCTGCCAACTTGCGGCACGGCTTTGGGCACGGACGGGCCCAGGACCGCTCAACGCGGCACGGCGGGGCGGGGCGGGGCGGGGGCGACGTTACATCACAGCACAGCTACGCAGCCGCGGGGGGATTGCGGCGAAACGGCCTCGCGGATGGCCCGAAAAAATAGAAGCCGACTCGAACGAGATTCGCGCTGTACTTTTTTTCTTTTTGGGATCACCGCCCAAAGCACAAGTGCAGCCCCAGCTCTCAGAACGGATCGAAGCGCCAGCTCATCCGACACGCAGCGAGCTCAGGCACCGCTCAACTCGCAATCCCGCTCGAGCAGCGGACAGCGGTCACGGATTTGTGCCGACCGCCAGGCATACGACCGGCGCTCAAGTAGAGTGTGGATCCGCGTGCGTCAGAGCATGTCGGCTGCCAGGAGCGGGTGCAGGCGATCGGATCGCACGGAACCACGCTTCGGCCCTAGGATGCTTTGTTTCACTGATTTTCAAAAAAAGATTACTTTTTCGTCAAAAAAACAAAAAAGGGCGCAAGGCTTCATCTCGTGCATGGAGGTGCATGCGAGCGCTGTCGCACAGGCTGTCGGTTCCTACGTGAGGGTGGAGTCAACGTGCAGCTCGCCAGCCGCCGATGACCGAGCTCTACGTCCTCGCCTCTGCGCGCCTAGATACGAAAACAATAGAAGAAGAAAAAGAATAAGGTGAAATCGCAGCGGGTAATAAATTTCATTACGGCGGTTGGCGCCCGACTGCAAGAACGCACGAATGCCAGACGGCCGAGGCGGGGCAGCAATCATGCGAGCACCCTATCAGACGGCGGTACTGTCTGGGAGACGCAAGACCTCCGTATCGACGCAATCGCGCCCTCATATCGTCGAGATCAAGCAGGGCGGGTGTCGAGCGTCCTTGACGCCCTGCAGCCCGTCCAACTCTAACGCTAAACTGGCCAGCAGGTGCCTTGTCGAGAGGCCGCCTCTGCACGCGTCACGCCCAGGCACTGCAGCCTAGCATTATTAATAACTTATGCTTTCAACACAAGACACAATGCAGCTACCCTGCTTCGGCTTTGGGCGACGGCCACTCTGCGCGCTTTCGAGCAAGTTTCATCTCGTCGGTGGGTGCATGACTGCAGCCAAGGCGCAACGTCGGCCGTCGCTATTGTCCCTGCCCCGTCAAGCTCGAAAGCTTGTTCCAAAGGCGCGCCTCGTGGCGGTGAGTATGACTGGTGGAGGATGTTGGGTTCATGCATGCAAAAGTGATCCGTGCTACAAACAGCCATCTGCAGCCCAGCTGCCCCTGATCACAGACATGCTCGCACTCGCCTCGAATCACACGCGGTGCCAGCAGCACGGCGCAATGGTCCGATGGCAATGCACACAGACGCAGCTGCGAGCCACACGCCAAACAATTCCAACCCAGCCGGCAGGTGTGCATTGTCAACGAGGCCATCATCTTGCCAAGCGAGCCTCGTCGCAGCCTGGCCAGGCCCTCGGCTGCAGCCCGCTTCCTTCCACGCAATACAGCTCGATTCCGCGGCTCGACTTGCGTGTGATCGGCACTCGGCCCGGATGCTTTACTCCGACGCCAGCAAGAGTGCGCCCTGCACCGATCGCTTTGCTTTCCTGCCACCTCGCTTATCCGACATTAGCGCTAACGCAGCTATGCGGAGGCCGCCTTCAGCGAAGATCTGTCCAGCTCGTGCGGAGCTGCTGTTGACCGATCGCACGGACAAACAACTGCGACGGTGTTTCTTCCGGCTGGTCAGGATGAGCATGCCCGGCCAAATGGCCGCTGTCGGTGCGTGCCTAGCAAAGCTCGGCTGAGGTATCTCGGTAGAGCTGACTTGAAACCGATGCAAGGGTGTATCCACTCGTGCCGAAAGTCTGGCCCGTCTTTCCGATTCGCTCACGAAATCCAACACCGCTCTCACTTGAGACGCTCAGAGAGGTGCATGGAATGCGGGCGCGGACGTGGGCCGAAATGCCGAATTCCGTTGTTTCTTCAACAGCTGTTTCGAACCGATTGCTGCTCCTATCCGTCGTGTCGGTACCGAATCGGAAACCCCTACAAGCAAATTGAACCGCAGACCGCACCCCCAGACGTCTGAAGATGTACATTTGCAACTCAGCCGCGAGCGGAGAGCAAGCACGTTTTTCGCTGGGAGCATTGAGCACCCTTTGCCAGGGCTGCAGCTGCAACCGATCGTTTTTTTTTTCAATCACCAGCTGTTTCGGCAGACGCTGCGCCGATGCTTGCATCACCAACGTGCAGCGACTTGATCTATCGTCGACAGTTGGTGCCTGGCTTCTGGTCATCGTGCAAAATCTCGACGCTCTTGCTGTGCTTGCTGTACCAGCCGGACGTCGAATCTTGGGGCTTCCTGCGGTGGGATTTTCGAACCAAGAAAAGGGTCCTCCCTCGAAGCCTCAGTCAGCCAATGGCGCTGGCTTGGCAGCCGAGAGAGGCGCAACCACTCACACAATGGCACCACTCTAAAGACCACTTTTCATGCAAAGCTCAAAATTTACGACTTGGCGAGCCATGCCGACTTGCATTGTTTTCTATTTTCGCCCCGTTTTTGCTCCGTCTTGGTCGCCGGCGCCGGTTTTTTTCTTTCTTTTTCTCCGGCCAGGAAACCGCTAGGCAAAAAAGTCGGTTCTTGCAGCACTGCAATGGACCTAATCTCTCCTGCATGGGATTCGGTGTCGACGGAACTGCATGGGATTCGGTGTCGACGGAAGCAATTGCGACAAGCACAGTGACATGGCGATCAAGGTGCTATCAGGCTTTTGGGTGAAGTTCCGGTGGAACAAGCGCGCGCGCGTGTTGTACTGCACAAGCATCGGCTTTCCATCGGCGCTCGGCTAGAGGTAGGCACAGCTGGCTGGCAACGTCAAACGCTTCGGCTGTTGCCAAGCATCTTCGAAAAGGCGCATGCGCTACCGCTCCAACGGGGCTGGCAGTCGTGCATTGACAGGCTGCCGTCCCCTGCCTGCTCACTCAACCTCCCGCTTGCGGCCATTTCGCCGTTTCTGCCTGGCGAGGGTGGAGACGGGACGCATCTGAATTCCATCGGGCTTTGCTCTGCTACCAAAGCCGGCGTCTGCGATCCCCGACTCACTCTTCCGGATGCCTCCGTCTTGTCCGTCTCTCAACCTGCTCGCGGAAGGTCGAGTCATTGACGAGACAGGCAGGCCCTAGTCTCTACGGATCGATGGCAGACGGCATGCTGCCTAGCTATCTATGCCATCGCTTCAATCTTTTGGCCCGTCGCTAGAGCAGGCACGATTTCGACGTCCGCTGGGTCGCTTTACCGCCCCGTGTCTCCTCCTGTGTATCAGCGCCCGAGCTCTCCCGCTCCATGCTCAGACGTTCCGGTACAAGGTACCCTCATGTCACACTCATTAGCCCACCAAGGCGTCGCATTCGGGCACTGGCACGACAGGAGGCTTGTGCCTGGCGTACAGCATGCAGCGCGGCAACTGGCCGCTGTGCAGCTGGACCTGCATGGAACGAGAGCAGCGAGCTTTCGACTCGCGCGCGCCTGTTCAACCGACTAGTGTACCCCGATGCCGCGCCCAGAGGCAAGGCTGGGAGTGCAACGAGTGCAACGCGATTGGCCGGGTCCGGTGACACGGCGGAGTTTCGGATCATGCGTCGCCCACCTAAGCGCCTCATCGCCGTTACGCCGCCCTTGGCCTCATAAGCACATCCAGGTTTCTCCGGACCCGGTCCCAACGGTCTGTGTGAAGCTCGCTCGTCAAAGCGTCGAGGCGGCAGGTTTGAGCCGTCGTGTGGCGCATTGCAACAGCGCCGGACACACCCGGTCGCGGGCCCCGCCATGTTTTGGCGAGCGCCCCGGCTCGGCTCCAAGGCTGCAACAACGGCCCCGGGGTCTAGGCCGTCAGCCCGTCCAATCCAAAGTGTGGCTTGAGTCAGGGTTAGCCTTCCCCCGCTTGGCGCACGGCATCCTCGGCCTAGCAGTCCTATTGTCTTCGCTCCGCTCGTCATAGCCAAGTACCCAAAGCACCGAGCCGTAGATCGTAGCACCCGGTCGCTCCGTGTGTCATCAGTGCACAGCATGCGGGGCGGCTCGAATGTGAACCTCAAAGGGGGTGAGCAATTTTTCACGCTGTTAGACCTATTCTCGTGCGATCTTTCGGCCGGTATAGCATTTGGCAGGGTGGAGCCGGCGCGTCGCGTCTCCACATGCGGCTTCAGGGTTCTGCCTAGGAAGTGGTGACGAGGAGACCCCACCAGTCACACCGTTCCTTTTTTTGGTGATTTGCGAAAGGCCTTGTCCATCCACAATCGGCAACTCCGGCCGAACAGTCGGCCGACGTTGGTTGGTAGTCGTCTTCCATATTTGCGCAGCACCAGCATTCAAAGCCGAGATTCGCGATCGCGCAGCGCTGCATATACAGCACAGCTCGCCAAGTCAACCACTTCGGCCTGCTTCCCGACCACAGTGCGCGCGAGGTGGCGGCAGTCGCTGCACGCACTGTGCGTCTCGAGGCGCGACGCTCACATTGGCAATATAGCATACACTCGAGTGAGGGATCAACGACGCCATGTCGGGCCTATATCATCCACATCCATCCGAGGATGATCTGCCGGCCAACAAGAGGCGCAAGGTCAACACGTGTCTGCAGTGCAAGGCGCGCAAGGTCAAGTGCGACAAGGTGCGGCCGCTGTGTGGGCCGTGTCAGCGACGCAGGATCCCAGCCGACCGCTGCGTGTTTGCCGACGAGGCAGACCCAGAAACGCTCCAGCACTATCTTGGGCCCGACTACCTCGCGCAGCAGGGGTACGATGTCGCCGATGTCGCAGCGCAGCCCACTGCGGAAGCGGGGCTGCTGGGATTGCAAGATCCACAGGCACGCGCCGTGCTCGACCGCATCACGCGCGAGATGAGGCACGCCGACCCGACTCCCGCCCACCTCGCCGACCAGTACCACGCAGCGGGGCTTCTCGATCCTACCGCGATCAACGGCAGTGGCGCCGTGCAGGATGCTGCTGCAGCAGGAGCCGAGCGCGTCGCCCTCGATCCGAGCCTCACAGAAACGCTGCTCGGCCCAGCTGCGGCCGCGACCAACGGCAACGCCGCCGCCAAGGACGCTGCGGGCGCCATCGGCTCGCTCGAGGCGGGCAACCTGTTTCCCTTTGCTGCCGAGCCGACGCACGAGCGCACCAAGCTCATCCTCGGCTTGCTGCCTAACGACCACGTGGTGAATGTGCTGCTCGACAGCCTGCGCACCTTCGAGAGCAAGTCGCCGCTCGGCATCAGCTGGCGCCTCATCCGCATCCAGCTCATCAATCTGCGTGGCGACATCGCCGACTGGCGCTCGGGCCAGGTCGACGAGCCCGATGTGGACCTGACGTTCCTCGCGCTGCTCTTCGAACTCATGGTCGCAGCCATCGACTGCAAGCCGGGCGAGCAAGTCATCAGCGAGGGCATCGCGCTTACGCTCGAGCAGGTGCCCGAGATGACCGACCGCTGGCACGCCACCTGCCAGGCGCTGCTCGCCATGAGCACCTTTATGCACGAGCCCAACCTCAACACGGTGTGCACGCAGTTTCTCTTCTACCTCTACGAGCTGCGCCGCGGCCGCTTCCGTGTGGCGGTGCAGCATCTCAAGAGCTCGTTCGACGGCGCCAAGGCGATATGTATGCACCAGCTCGGATCGGCGCACGACGATGTCCAGCGCTGGCAGTCGACGCCCGAAGAGGACGATGCGACCATCCGCACGGGCGCAGTCATCGCCATGCGCAAGGCACAGTTTGAGGGCGGCGAGGTGTTTGCGCTCAGCGAGGAACAGCGGGTGTTGGCGGCGATCCGCGCACACGCCGAGACGGGCGCGGCGATTCGCAGCCGCGAGCTGGTGCAGACCAACCTACCGGACCGCACGCATCTGGTGCGCGAGGCGGCGCGCATGCTGTGGACGTCGCTCACCTGGCACCTCGAGCTCGTCACGCCCGCGCCTCCGCTGGGCGAAGCTCTGGACGATACGGCGTGGACCACGGCGCTGGGCGCGATTGACGAGGCGCATCTTTCGGACGGCGAGACCGCCGAGCTGCCAACGGGCGCAACGCTCGGCTCTCTCTCGACGCACTTTTTCCAGTTCCTTGCAGCGTCGACGGCGTTTATGCTGCGGCAACGACGCCGCACGGAGCACTTGCACGAGTCGGAGCTGTTGCCGCTCGTCGGCGAGTGGAATGCGGTGGCGGACGCACACCTGGCACGAATCCGCGACCAGGTCGCTGCGGGCCGCGCCATGCTCAGCCACTTTTCGCTGCTCATCCACCACTGGACACGCATCCGACTGCTGCGGCCGCACCTCGGCGTGCTCGAGGCCAACTCGTCGCTCGCCGCCTCGCGCGCCACGCTCGTCGACTCGTGCACCGAGGCGCTGGCGCAGCTGCACAAGATCGCCGCCACGCCCGATGTCGAGCTGTCCATCTTCCAGCCTGTGGTCGCAGCAGCCAAGGTAGACGCGACGCTCGTGCTTGCCATCCACCTCGTGCGCAGGGCGGAGCACAATGATGCCAATGCGGGCGAGGAGTGGACCGCGGTGCGCGAGGCGGTCAAGACCGCACGTCTGCTGCTGTGGACACCCGCGGCCGAGGCGGCGCACCATAGGCTTGCGCCGTTCAAGCCGTGGGCCCGACAAGCACGCCAGCTGGTGGAGCAGCTTTTGCAAGAAGCATTCGAACGGAAACGAGCCGCGCGCATCCACCAACCACGCATCAAGCAGGAAGACGATCAGGACGATGCAGGCGAGGATGGAGACGAGGTCGAGTCGCTCGGCCCGCTCGCGCCCGATTCGCCCCTCGGTCTGTACCGCGACCAAATCCTCGCGGTGACGCCGATCTACGAGTCGAGGCTGTTCTTTGATGTCTTCGACGGCTTTCTTCGCTCGTTATAGGAATAGGAGGAATGGTATCAAATTTTGCACAAATGGGAACAGCAAAAGACATGCACAAAGGGGGGTGACTAAAAAGCTGAGGAGGAGCGTGTTTAGAGGATGCGATCGTTGGAGGCAAAGGGGTTTTCCTCGGCGCGCCAGTTGATCAGTCGGAAGAGGTGAGCTTCGCTCGACGAGGCGTCTGCATTGGGCAGGTCGGCCTGGCGGCTTCTGCTGCGCGAAGGTGCCAGGGCGTGATCATCGCCCTCGAACCGAATCGACGGGCGCGTGGAGCGCGAAATGGGCGTCTTGACTTCGTCCACATTGAGTTCCGAGCCCACCATCGAGAGAGCGTGGATCTGGACATCGTCGACCACGATACCGCTAGACCTATCTCCCACGAGAGCGTTTGAGGGGAATCTGCCACGGAGGTGGATGATATCGTGGCCGGGCTTGGTCCTCTTTCCGCCTCCACCCAGGGGTCCTGGACCACGACGGGTGGGGATGCAGGCATCATCGGGCACACCCACAGCCTTGGCACTTCCCCACCCGCCACTCTTCTGCACCTTTGCAGCCACGACTTCGCGCAAGAGCATCAGCAGCTGCGTGATGAGCAGCGACACGACTGCAAACACGGCGAGCAGGAGGCAGAAGAACACCACCAACGGCACACCAAACTGCTGCACGTTGAAGAAGCCGTACACCCACACGCCATACCTCTTGAAGGTGATATCGACGATGCCCAGGTAGAGGCCGAGGAAGGCGAGGATGGGCACGAGATGCCACCAGGGCCGCAGGGGCGTGCGCGAGAGCACGACCAGATCGAGCATCGTCAGTGCCCAGTTGAGCGTATGCTTGCCGATATTCGCAAAAGCCGAGTACGAGTCTCCGAGCGGAGCAGGACCCTTGAGTACGGTCCAGAAGATGACCATGACAACGAGCGGGTACGACGAGACCGTCGACACGAGCAGCGTATGACAAACCTGAAGCGGCCTCGAGAACGACTTGCTGAGCCACGACCTTGGGTACCTGCTACCGATCTCGAACTCGGTGCGTCGCGAGTAGGCGAGTTCCGACTCGATGCTGTGGTGCAGCTGGGTGCCAAAGGCGTCGATGGCCGCCTTGCTGCGCGCTACATCGATGCGCCCCACGCCGTTGCGCGGATACGCCTTTTCGAGCATCTCGATCCGCCCCGCCCCCTGTCCACGGCTGGCGAGCCTTGCCTTGTTCCATCGCGATAGCGAGTACCAGAACGTACACGTGTGGATCGCCGACACGAAAAAGTACGCGCAGTCACCCCAGTAGCTCAGACTGGTGAAGTACGTGATGGTCCCGATCCCCTCCTGCACCGCAGTGACAAACGCGGTAAAGAGCATGTAGATCGTCACCACAATGCGGAAGATCGACAGCGCAGGGATGGGGAGGATGTACGAGGTGACCAGACGGTGCTGCGGGTCGAAGGGCGTGTCGACGCCAAGATGGTGGTAGATCTTGGTCGAGATGCCCGAAACGTCGGGGAATTCTTGCACGTCCTCGGGCTCGCCCGGCCGCGCAACGAATGCGGGGCGATCGTCCATGCGCGGCGTCATATGCGACGCCAGGTTGGCCATCGTGCTCGGCTGTCCTTGGACGGAACCTGCCGTGCCAAGGAACTGCGTTCGATTCAGACTGGTGTTGGCCGCAAGCTAAGACGGCGTGGACGAGCGACGGGTATCGAGCTACGGTGAGCTGTCCTGCGTCTGAGTGTCGTCGGTAGCCGGATGGTAGAGTGAGGAGGGATGAAAGGCAGGAGCCTGAAGGACGTCGGAGCTTTTGCGAGGCTCGACCAATTATATACGAGGGGCCGGCGACAGCTGTCCGGTGAAAGTCATGGCGTGTACCAAAGTCGGACAAGGCGAAGTGCATCTTGGCATCGCAATTGACAGAGCAGACGCAGCGGACATTGGCTGAAACACAGTGCGCCGTCTGCAGCTAGCCGCCATACATACAGCCCGAGACTGACTCCAAGCCAGGCTGATGTCGCGATAGATAAAGCCCCCCCGCCATCCAGCAAAGGGGGAAGACTACATGCAGCAGGCGGCTAGCTCATGGCGGAGGAAGGCGGCGCCCTGTCTCGCCTGGCGATGCACGAGATGCAGTCGGGGTCTGGACCAGGGCAGCAACGTGCATCCATCTTGCTCATCTGCCCAAGGGCGAGGGAGCTTGACACGCTGTCGAGTAGAGCCACTGCAGCTCGCGTCTGGTTAGATTCCGCATGCATTTCGCCCTCTCGTCTGGCAGTGCTGAGCTGAAGCCGCGTTTTTTTTTCTCGTCTTGGGCTCGTGGCGGCGTTCGAGATGAGACAGAAGTCCAGTCTCCGACGTGTCTTAGCCGCCTCTCCGCAACCCAGCCACCACGCGCTAACGCTTTTTCTTTTGTAATACCGCTCCACTGCCTGTCTGCTGCCTTTCGGATTTTCGCAAGTGGATGGCGTCGGCGGAAGGCGAATCGCTGAAACATGCCCAACGCCTCGTCCCGCCCTCCCTCGCCCCTTGAAGCCGCTAGCTCGTCGAGCTAAGCGCACGCTCAGGTTTGCATCGTCGGTTCAGACAGGCAGTCGCCGCATTGGATTCCATACTCCACCACATACACATGCAAGTATTCCCCCGAGCAAGCCGCTTTCACCCGTGGATTCGTGCTTTTGCGGAGACAAAGCGCGGGCTCCGCTTGGCGCTCCGAAGCAAAGCGAGAGGTCGTGAAAGTAGAGTAAAAGAGGAGAGATGGTGAGGTCGTGGTCGGAAAGCAATATTGTTACATCGTCTGCGACAACAAAGGAAGAGACCAGTGGGAACGGCCTAACAAATTCGAGAATTTCGACGGGGCCCGAATCCCGAGCCCATTCCAAAGCCTGTTGCTTCGCGAAGCTGAGCCCTTCCTCCACCCACGGCCCCGTTCTTGCCGCACATCCACCCGATACCACGCCGCTCCATGGCGCCTGCTACACAGCCGAAGGCGGCGGCCAGAGTGGCCCGACCTGCCGCCAGGTATCGTCCAGGCAAAGCTCCCGTTGGCGCCGCAGGCTCGCTCGATGACTTCTCGGACTCGGACAACGACGAGCACGCCGACGATCACGACTCGCGTCACACCGCAGCGCCGACGAGCGTCAGCATCTCGGACCTTTCTTCGGGCACAGCTGCGCTGCAGTCCTCTGCCCAGCGAAGAACGGCCGGCATTGTGATTGCTGATCCGTCTTCGAGCGCAAAGAAGATCAGCGTGCGCCTCAATGCTGCTGCCGAACCGACGAGGGCGCAAGAACAGGACGACTCGTCCGAGTACGAGACCGACACCAGCGAGGAGGACGCCAAACCAGCCCAGGCCAGACCGGTGTTTCGCAAGCCTGGTGCGCCGTCTCAGCCAGCACAGAAGGACGAATCGTCCGAGTACGAGACCGACACGGACGACGAGAGCAGCGAGGAAGACGCGACTCCACCACCTCTTGCCAAACCGATCTTTGTTCCCAAACGAGCGCGCACGACCATCGCCGCGGGACCTGCCGACACAGAAGCAGCACAGGAGGATGTCGAGGCCAAGGCGGAGGAGGAGGCTGCCAAACGTCGGCAAGAGGCGCACGATCTCGCGGCTGCCACGATCAAGCGCCAGCTGGCGGAGAAAGAGTACCAAGAAACGCACGCGACCGATGTGGACGACACGGATGGCCTTGATCCGGAAGCCGAATTCGAAGCGTGGCGCCAACGCGAGCTCGCACGACTGCAGCGCGATCGCGAAGCCCTCGACGAGAAGCGCAAAGCGCAAGCGGAGCTCGACGCATTCCGTGCATTGCCCGAATCAGAGAAGGATCGTCTGGGCCGCGAACGCGCCAAGCAACAAGCGGCAGAGAAGCGGGAACAGCGAGGCAATCCTGCGTTCCTGCAAAAGTACTACCATAAGGGCAGCTTCTTCCAGGACATGGACATTCTGCAGCGCGACTATACCGAGGCGACGAGCAGTCAGGTCGACGTGAGCAAGCTGCCCAAGATGATGCAGGTGCGCAACTTTGGCGCCAAGGGCCGCAGCAAGTGGACCCACCTCGCCAACGAGGACACCTCCAAGAGCGCCATGAAGCTCGATGCCGCGAGTGCGTGCTTTGTTTGCGGCGGTCCACACATGAAGAAGGACTGTCCCCAGCGAGGTGGTGCAGAGGGTAGCGGTGCGAATCGTGCCGACCTTGGCGATGGGGTGGAGGCGTCAAGGACGTGGGGGGAGAGTGCGCGCGAGGCGCAGTCGGAACGTCGAAGAAGTCAAAGTCCAAGGCCGGAGCGGAGACATAGGGAGGAGGGTGGAGAGGAGCGATCGCGTAGTCGAAGGGATCAAGACCATAAATCCTCCTCATCCCACCGCGACCGAGAGCATCGCGAACACCGAGAACATCGCAGCCACCGCCGCGATCGGAGCCGAGAGCGTCAGGACGAGCGTGACCGCGACCGAGGCTCACGGCATCGCGATGATGACCGACGGCGTGGCGACCAAGTGGATCGTGAACGACGGCATCGATTCGACCACGAGCATCGGGAGCACCGCCACCGTCGGGAGCGCCGAGACGAGTCCAACTCGCACCGTCGACACAAGCGCCACGACGACGAACACGCCGACGAGCTGCACCGCAAACGCTCCCGGCATACCTCACCGCCACCAGCTGCTTGAATTCCAACCTGTATACCTCGGCGCAATGAGCTCAGCACGCATGTTGGTCCGGAAAAAGATTACGATAGGACGACAGGCGAGCAAAGGGAGGCGGCAGTGAGCGCGCCGAGTGCATGAAACGAAAGAAAGAGGTATCGGGCATGGTAGGTTGAGAAGAGGGGGACTAGCAGTTGCATCCGCTTTGTTGGTTGTCCTGGTCGATTCGGATCGGGTCTGGGTAGTCGGCGTACAGCTCGGCCTCTGCCTCCTGCTGGAGGGCGGCGCGCGCGATGGTCTGGAAGGCCTGTTCGACGTTGATGGCCTCCTTTGCGCTCGTCTCAAAGTAGGGGATGTTGCCCTTGGACTGGCACCACGTCATGGCGCGCTTCTGCGAGACCATGCGCTTGCTCTCCTCGACGTCGATCTTGTTGCCGAGCACGACAAAGGGGAAGTTTTCGGGATCGTGCGGTGCGGCCTGGATGAGGAACTCGTCGCGCCACGAGTCGAGCGTCTCGAACGACTTTGCGTTGTTCACGTCGTAGCAGAGGCAGCAGCAGTCGGCGCCGCGGTAGAAGGCGACGCCGAGCGACTGGAATCGCTCCTGGCCCGCCGTGTCCCACAGCTGCATGGTGACGAGGCGGTCGTCGACCATCACCTCGCGCGTGAGGAAGTCGGCTCCGATCGTCGCCTTGTATGCAGACGAGAAGCGCTTGTTGACGTCTAAAGCGCGAGAAGGAGCAAGAATGCGCCGTGTCAGCACGTGCCGGCTGGTCCAGCAGGGGGGGACGCTACGGAGGCGTATGCTTACACTGGTTCATCAACGATGTCTTTCCGACACTGCAGAGGAGAATCGGGCAAGAATGGTTTGAAGTGTGGTGTCAGTGCCCAGTGTCGTGGAAGCATGGGCGTCAGGAGTAGGCCGGCTCCACTTACCCAGAGTCACCCAGGATCTGAGACACAGCAAGGATGAGCAGGCAGATACAGATGAAGCAAGGATCAGCACAAGGCGCCTTTTCGGCATAGGTCGGATTTCAAGCGTCTATACGTACGATGACCTTGAGCAGGACCTTCTTGCGGGAGGCCATGGCGAAAGAGGATGGTGCGACTGGGACGAGCCACCAGACGACAAAGATAGGGCGTAGGTCCGAGTACAGCTAGGCTGCTGTCGGTGTGTGCGTGCAGTCGATATCACCAGCGTACACTGCGACTGAAAATAGCGCTGTGAGGATGCTGTAGGTGAAGCAAGGGAGCAATGGCTGGTGTGGATCGAGAGGAGTCGGGTGATGATAGCGAGTGTCGGATGTGTTGCGTGAGCGACGCCGACCCTCTCTCTCTCTCTCCTCTCTGGCTCTCTCTCTCCCTCTCTCTGCCTCTGCAACACATGTGGAGTGCGGGTTGCGCGGGCGGGGCGGCGGCGCGAGCTCCGGAATTTGGCACGCACCCAACACCTCCAGAGGCGCCGCACCCCTGAGGCAGCACACCGCGTCAAGGCAACCCAAGGCTCAGTCTAAACACACCCACACCCAAACGCAATCACATCCCGGTCCCTCTGCTGCTTTGCCGAGACTCGTGTCGCACCGGCTTTGGGCTCATTTTGCATTTCGTCATGCCTCTCAGGCCAGCTCCCTAGACAACGCCCTAACATGCACAAATTATTGGACCCTGGCTGCGTTGCTCACTGCTGCAGAGATGCTGCCAACGTGCACGCGCCGGCTCTCGTCCGAGCTCCTCGTCAGCCTACGATCACATCGGCTTCCTCCGCAGCCGCCATGACGACGCATGGTTCGACAGGCATGCAGTGGCACCAGGCCATCTTCCTGCGGCTGCAAGAGCGAGATGTGGTGGAGAAGCAGCACGATGCCATGTTTCAACAGTGTAAGTGTGCTCATCGCTCATCCATCGCCCCAGTCGTTGACGATGCTCATCCTCTTTTTGACGTGACAAGACCGCAAGCTCGCAGAGCAAACACGCATGCTGAAGCAGCGCAACCGCGCCCTCCTCAATGCAGCCGCCGTAGCACCATCACCATCGTCCGCATCAGCCTCGAGCCCAGCAGGTGCCACGTCCGGTGCCGCCTCGCCTTCGCCCTCGGTGACTCCTGCGGCCACTTCGGTCCAGCTGGCCTACATCACCTCGCTCGAGCAGCAGCTCGCGTCGCTGCGAGACGAGGTCGCGACGCTGTACAAGACGCAGGGACAGAATGCGCAACGGCTGCTGCTCATGAACGAATCGCATCGCGAAAAGGAAGACGAGGCGCGCCGCCAGTCGGAACTGCTCGCCAAACTCCAGATCGATCACGAAAAGCTTCGGCGCCAGGCCGACGACCTCACGCACGCCGTGGGAGAAAAGGATCGAGGCATTCAGATCTTGCAGGACGAGCTGGCCACACTCAGCCTCGAACTCAGCCAGATCGAGGCGCGCAACCAGGACCTCAAGAAGGACAACGCCAGCCTCCTCCAGCGCTGGCTCGACCGCATGAACGAAGAGGCCGACAAGATGAACGAAGGAACCATATGGCTCGAAGAGGTCCGCAAGCGCAGAGAGTCCTCGACCAACCCAGACGGCAGCCTAAAACCCTCGGATCCCGAGCCGCCACAACCTAAACCAAAGTAGTCGTGCCATGATACCCGCTGTCCACTCTTCATATGATGCGACTGCATCACTGCTGCGTGTATGAGCGTGACAGAGTGAGAGCTCGCCGTTTCAAGGTGGATGACGGCGCTTCGAGGGAGCAGATGGACCCGCTCTAGAAATGTGGCTGCAGTGACGCGCTCAGCACGGCCTCATGCAGGGTTTGGGCCGAGGCGAAATACGCTTCTTCTCTGGCGTTGGGCACATGTGGATCCGCGAAGCTCGGAATTTCCATTCCAACCGTCTCGACTCGTCGTCGTCGTCGTCACAGCGATTGCTTCCCGCTCTACCACCACCACCACTTCCACAGCGGCAGCGGCCACTCCAAAAGCAACCATGGCGCCCGTCGCGGTCTACGACGATCGCATGCCGCACTCCTCGCACGCCGCATCCTCCTCCTCCAACCCATATCAGCCGCTCGACCACGTCCCCGTCCACACCGCCGCCGACTTCCCCAGGCCGAAATCCGTGCCCAAGCTCGCCTACCGCTCCTCCACCTACTGGAACTCGGACTGCCCCATCGTCATCGACAATGGCTCCAGCGAGCTGCGTGCCGGCTTCGGCCTCGCCGATGCTGCCGATCCAGCCTCGGTCGCTCACCAGCCCTTTGTGGCCTACGACAACCTCGTCTCCAAGGTGCGCGACCGCAAGAAGAACCTCACCATGCTCCTCGTCGGAAGCGACGTCTATGCCGATGGCCTGTCGCGCAGCTCCATCCGCAGCCCCTTTGACGCCGACGTCGTCACCGGCTGGGACGCCATGGAAATCGTCCTCGACTACACCTTCTCCAACCTCGGCATCGACACCGACCGCGTGCAGCACCCCATCTGCATGACAGAGACCCTCTGCAATCCAGCCTACAGCAGAGGCCTCATGAACGAGCTCATGTTCGAAGCCTACCAGGTGCCCTCGGTCAACTACGGCGTCGACTGCCTCTTTTCCGCATACCAGAACGACGTCGCCGACGATGCGCTCATCGTCTCCTCGGGCCGAGCCAGCACCGTCGTCATCCCCACCGTCGCAGGCAAGGGCATCCTCACCAACGCCAAGCGTCTCGCGTGGGGCGGCGCACAGGCGTCCGACCTCCTGCTGCGCCTCGTGCAGCTCAAGTACCCCGGCTTCCCCGCACGCGTCACGCCCTGGCAGGCGCAGAACATGCTCGAGGAACTCTGCTACGTCTCGCAAGACTACGCCGCCGACATCAAGGGCATGGCCATGATGCCCGCCTCGCACAAGTCCTACGTGCCTTCCTCCTGGACGCCCATGGAGCGCGCCGACGTCATCGTCCAATTCCCCTTCCAGGACGCGCTGCCGGAGCAAAAGTCCGACGAGGAACTGCGCGCGCAGGCGGAGCGTCGCAAGGCCGCCGGCGACCGGCTGCGCGAGCAGACGCGCAAGATGCGCCTCGAGAAGATGATGCAGAAGGAGAACGACCTCAAGTACTACCAGCAGCTGCGCGAACACAAGGGCAAGGAGCGCAAGGCCGAGTACCTCAAGCGGCTCGAAAACGACGGCTTCGACTCGGAGCCCGCGCTGGACAAGATGATCGCCAAGATCGAGGGCGCGCTCAAGCGCTTCCGCGCCAAGGAGCTCGGCGAGGAGTATGTCGAGGACGACAAGCAGGACGAGCCGACATTCCCGCTGGTCGACGTCCCCGATGCCGATCTCGACGAGGAGGGCGTCAAGGAGAAGCGCAAGCAGCGGCTCATGAAGGCGGGCTACGATGCCAGGCTGCGCGCCAAGGCCGAAAAGGCCGAAGAGAAGCGGCTGGAAGAAGAGGCGCTGCGGCGCGACGAGGATGAGCGACTCAACAATCCGCGCGGCTGGTCGGCCAAGATGCGCAAGCAGTACGACGATGCGATCAACCGCATCAAGGAGCGCAAGCGCATGAAGGAGATGCTTTCGGACCGCAAGTCGCTCGCGGCGCAGCAGCGCATGAAGAACATCACTGCGCTCGCGTCGGATGCTCCAGGCAGTGGCAGTGCCACACCCACCGGCTCGCGCAAGCGCAAGAAGGGTGGCGACGAAGACACGTTCGGAGCCAACGACGACGACTGGGCGATCTATCGCGAGATCCAGAATGCCGACGATTCGGAGGAAGAGGAAGATGCATTTACGCAGCTGTCGACGATCGAGTCGCGGCTGCTGACGCTCGATCCGACGTTTGGGCCCGACGACACCTACGCCGCACGCCTCGCGCGCAAGAACCGGCTCACGCTCACCTTCTTCAACGGGCCGGGGGGAGGCGAGGAGGCGTCCATCGCACCCACTGATACGCTCAAGGACGAAGGCGAGTCCAAGACCGATACGGATCCGGAATCGATCAAGCGGCAGCATCAGCTGCATCTCAACGTCGAGCGCATTCGTGTTCCCGAGGTGCTCTGGCAGCCATCGATCGCTGGACTCGACCAGGCGGGGCTGGACGAGATCTGTGCACATGTGGTGCACTCGTTCGATGCCGATGTGCGCTCGCGCATGCTGCGCAACATCTTCTGCACGGGCCGGCACACCGGCTACCGCGGCTTTGAGCAGCGACTCTACACGAGCATTCGGGCGATTCAGCCGTCGAGTGTCGAGGTGAATGTGCGTGCTGCACGCGATCGCCGCTTCGACGCCTGGGCAGGTGCGGCCAAATGGACCACAGCGCAAGCAGAGACCTTCCGCAACACGGCGATTTCCAAGCAGGACTACGAGGAAAAGGGCAAGGAGTGGTTCAAGGAGCATGCCTTTTCAGCCAACTGGAGGTGAAAACAACGCACGCGCGCACGCGCCCAAATGTCATTACAATGTGCACAAGTTTGCAGAGGCGAAAGGCTAGGAATCATTGAGACGGTCTTGTTCATCGCGCCACAGCTGGTAGAGAAGACGACGACGCGCTTCCGTGGCGTCCTTGCGCGAGGCGGCGGTGAAGAGCGCCTGGAAGATGGCCTTGCGCAGGACGAGTGCCACGTCAAGCTGCTCATCGTCTTCGTCGGCGTCGGTGGGGATAGGCACAGATGAAAGAGCCAGTAGAAGAGGATAGCGAACGTCGTTCTCCGAGTCTTCTTCGTCCTCGTCGTCTGAGTCGGAAGCGAGCGAAGGTTCTGATTCGTCGTCGTCGATTGGGTGCGTGAGCGTGGATTCGTCGGCAAACGAGTGGAATTCCGTCCCCGTCGTCGTCTCATCACCCGCCTCCACCTCTTCATCGTCATCGTCGTCATCGTCGTCATCGTCGTCTTGTTCGTCGTCTTGTTCCGACCCATCTTGAGAGCCGTATTGCGAGTCGTCGTCGCGAGCCGATGCACGCAGCGTATCGTCGAGCAGCGGCTCAAACACGTTGGACCAGATGCGGTCGTACATGGCCTTGCTCTTTGCCGTTGCGAGTGCGTCGACAAACGGCATCAACAGCTGCAGCGTCGGCACCAACGGCAAATCCTCCTCTTCCTCCTCCTCCTCTTGCCCGTTCTCCTCGTCGTGCACGGTTTCAATCACCTTCTCCAGCTCGTCGAGGTAGATATCTGACAAATGGTACGTCAAGGAATCAGGTACCTTTGGGTCGTTTGTACTCAGCGCTCCACCTGGCCATTTGCCCAACATTCCCGCCAGTCTCTCCACTGCTTTAGGCTGCCACTTTTCCTCTGCAAGCAGTCTGAATCCTGCCGCCACAAACCTCCTAACCAGCAGGTAGTACTTGTCGATCCTATGCTTATCCAGCCCTGCCCACTCTGCCACCAACGTATCCCAGAAACCTTCCAGGAACGTCAAACCCGCCATTGCGCGCTGGCTCATCTCCCCTCCCCCTTCGGTCGAGGTGGGGTGGACAAGCACAAGGTTGGCCAGATCGTTGGCGAGTCGTTGCTGCACCAGCGGCTTGTCCGACATCCAAAAGCAGTAGAACAGTCCCTTCCAGAGCTTACCCAGCTCGAGCGGTTCGATCGTATGTGCACCGTTGGCCGACAGGTAGGCTGTGAGCGAACGCACTGCTGCATCGCGCGTGCGCTTCTCCGTCGACGCCAACGCCCGACCAAGCGGTATGGACGCATCTTCCCCCGAGCTGGTCGATTTCGCCTTCTTCCCGGCGGAAGAACGGCTCGAACTAGCCCCAACGGCTTTGCGCTTCGATCCAGACGCTGCTCCCGACATCGTGATCCAAAAGTGTGCGGCTGGAGTCGTAGATGATGTTGGCGTAAAGATGGAGCGCCTACGGTCAGAAGATTCCAGCCCAACCGAATTTTGCCTCTGCAAGGCCCGGTCAAATTTTCTGGCGAGACCCTTCTTGCCCGCACTGCAATTTTTGGCTTACATAAGCCGCTTCATTCGCTGTCCTCCACACATCTGGAGCCCGCTTCCACTGTCGCTCAGCTGACCAACAAACGTCACACTCGCTCGAATGCTCGATTGCTCGCAAAGGCAAGAGGACATCGTATTGACGGGTACAGCCCAGCCTAAAACATGCTGCTATTGACCTACTTGACACCGAGCGCTGGTGCAGGGTTGGCTGGCGGCGGCACATTCGCCTGTGCTGCCGTGGGTATTGGCGCACCGCCCAGTGGCCCCGTCTGCCCCACCGCACGCACCACGCCGATCAGCTTGGTCTTTCCCTCGCGCGTGATGAGCTTCATGCCCGGCTTGACGTATTCGGGATAGCGGATGAACTGGAGGCGCAGCTTGGCACGGTCTCCCGTGCGCACCACCGGCTTGCCGGCCGGGTCGCTTGCCGCGCCGGCGCCGACGCCCAGCGTGGGCTTGCCGTCGAGCTTGGCGATGCCCACGATGCGCACGGTCTGGCGAATCGAAGCTGCGTGCAGCACCATGCACGAGCCGACCGAGAGCGTGGTCGAGTGGTAGAGGCACAGGATCTCGGCGTCGAACTCCATGTAGCTCTTGGGCGCCACGTCGGTGCGCGCCACCATGACCATGCCCTTGCGCACCTGGTTGCGCCGGATCTTCTTGAGCGCAAACGACACGCTCTGACCTGCCGTCGCGCCGTCGACGTTGACGCGCTTGCGCTGGATACTGCGGATCGACGTCGTGACAAACTGGCCCAAGCTGTCCGGACCCAACAACGCCGAGTCGCCCACCTTGCAGCTGCCGGCCAGCACGACGCCAGACACCACCGTGCCTACAAAGGGCACCGAGAAGATGTCGCTGATCTGGAACTCGAACGGCTGGTTCACCTGGAACTTGGCGGCGCTCGCCTGCGGCAGAATGTTGAGGAAGCTGCGCAGCAGGTCGAGATTGAGTCCGGTGACGTTGGAAATCTGAAAGATGGGGCAGATGCGCTCCGACTCGAGCCGCAGCGCCGAGTCGACCACTTGGCCAATGTCGTTGACAAACACGGGCGTCTTGCGGCAGCCGGGCGACTTGAGGATCTTGGTGAGCTGCTTGAGCGTCGTCTCGAGCACATGGGCGGGAGTCATGTCGATCTTGGTGATGCACACCACCACGGGCACCGAGAGTGCGAGCGCGATACCCAGGTGCTCCTTGGACATGCCGATGAGACCCGCGTTCGCACCCACCATGAGCATGACAAAGTCGGGCAAGCAGCCCGTCATGCCGAACACGGTGGTCTTCAGGTAGCGCTCATGGCCGGCCAGATCGATGAACGAGATGACTTTGCTCGACTTGGCGCACACCTCCTCCCACGACATCTTGCGGCCGGCTTCCTGACCAGGCCCGGCTGCGTTGTGCACTGGCTTGCCCTTGGAGTCGAAGCCCATGATCTCCATGCCGACGGATGAGGTTCTGCCGGACTCGACCTCGTGCTTGTGGCGGAAGAGGTTGACTCGCGCCTTGCCACGGCCGTCGTCGAGGCCGCCCTTGGTGAGCACGCCGAGCATGGTGGACTTGCCTGCGTCCACGTTGCCGATGACGGCGATGCGCAGCTCTACGAGCTCTTCGGCGCTTGCAGGTATCCTGCGGATGAGGACGTGGGCCGACCTGCTGCCATCGTCCAGGGAGCGCTGGTCGAGGACGGAAGCATCTGCGTCCGAGAGATTGGAGGCCTTGACGACGTTGGCGATCGCTATCGCCAGTTCCTCGTCGTTGAAACGGGGATGCTCGGCACTGTCTGGGTCAGAGGCATCGCCACCGATCAAGAGCACGAATTCGCCGCCTTCATAGGCAACACGGTCGGCAATGTACTTTGGGAGACCTTGAGCCGGAGCGGCAGGTGCAGCAGCGTCGGCATCGACGACAACATCACCGATAGACTCAGCTGGTATGGCGTCATCGGGAAGCGAGGATATCGCTGCAGGTATTGCATTGGCCTTCTCGTCGATGGTGTCCAGGAGCAGCTTCTTGAAAGCCTGGGGCGATAGCGAGAGATGGTCGTTGAGAGGGGCGGAGTTGAGCGACGAGGCCTGCAGATTGGCTGTGAGGGCGTCTATTGTGGGGCCCTTCTTCTGTGGAGAAGGCGCATTGGCAGACATGTCGACCGGTGTGGTAATGTCAGCAGTGGACGCGGCCTTTGCGATGGCGATGGGCGAAGCGAATTTTATCGAGCGACAGCACAGTGGTTGGACGTGCTTGCTGCGCGTGATGGAGCGAGGTTACAACGCAGGAGATTGGGCTGCCGGTTCCTTGCAGAGAAGCACCTGCTGAGTCCTTGGCAGCGATGACTCGAAAGCTGAAAGTGGCGGATGAACCGAGAGTCGATGAAGTGGAGTCACGTCGGACGTGGACCGTCGAAGCTTGGCTCGGAATCCTGTGACGGCTGAGCCTTGGGAGGGCCTAGACCGAACGGAAAGCAGATGCGCAAAACTGTAGTCGAGAGGTTGGGTTTCTGCGACAGCTCCGAGATCAACATGAATGGAGAGAAGAAGAGGAGTGCATTCAATCGTGACCATGTCGGCTGTCCCGGCGACTTGACGCGCAAGGGTGCCGGCAGCTGCGGAGCTGCAGACTTGCAGGCCGGGGTTGCGTTGCGGCACGCGTGCGGGTTCGCCACAATTTGGCGCAGTGGCTCAAGCTGAGCTCTGCGAGGCCAGGTTTAGCTGAGCCTCATCTCATCTCAGGGTGCGAGTCCAGCGCCAGTTGGCCTGCAGATTGGACCCGGCCCCGCTGACGCGACTGTCTCTGCGCCTCATGCACAGTCACCTTGGTCTGCAGCAGCGCAGCAGCCGTCACCAGAGCCCAAAGCCTGGAGCTCAGCAGCGCGAAATTCGCGTTGTCCGATCGGGCCCATCCCGACGAGACCGTCCCGACCGGTCTTGAAGCATTTTTGTAGCTTCACTCTCTCTCTCTCACCGAAGCAGGACGGGCCAAACGATCATGGAGTCAAGCTCGAGTCAGGTCGTACTCAGAGCCTCCTTCGTTTGCAATGCCCGTCTGAGCGTCAGGAAGGTCCTTCGAGCCAGGAGGGAGCCAGGAGGGAGCCAGGAGAAAGCCACGATGCATCGGGTGCCACTTCCAGCTTTCGACCTGCCTGGAGACACTGGCATCGTGTTTCAGGGCCTCCCTTACCGCGACAGGCCCTCTTCGAATGACATGCTCTCGAGGCTTCGCCTGAGTGAGAGTGCAGCCTGCTATCTTCAGCCATGCCAGACTAGCAGCGCTACAGAGAGATTCATACAGAAAACTGGTAAGGAGTGGGTTGCATCGTTCCTACAAGTACAGGTGCAGCATTGATGCTGTTCGAGGATGCTACTGCAATCCATACGGCTGCCCTCGGTTGACCGAGTCTAAGGGTCAAGGAGGCCCTCGACGTTCTGCCAGTAGCTCGCGTTCTTGCCCCCCTCCATCAGCTGCTTGATCTCCTCCTTGGTGAGCCACTGGAACTCCTCGACGTCGCCCTTGCCCTTGGAGAGCTCGGCATTGCCGGCAAGCACATGTCCGCGCAGGAAGTAGGTCTTCTCGGCCGCAGCATCTGCAGCACGGTAAAGGCCCACAGGCAGGTTCGAAACGAGCCAGATGTCCATCTTGTTGCCAAGCATCTCGGTGACCGAGGCAGGCGCAACCTGTGAGGTGAAAGCGAACATCGGTCAGTACACGTCTTGCGATCTCGAGCCGGTTTGAACGTTGGCGTCGGCGTAGAGGGGACTTACGTCGTGTAGGTTCTGGTGTTTGGTGTCGTTGAGCGCCTTGGCAGGGAAGCGCCATGTCCCCGACTTTTGCTTGACCACGAGGTAGAGTGTTCGATCCAGCTTGCGCTCGAGGCTGCGCACGTCGTTCTTGGCGTCGGCCTCGGTCGTTCTTGGCAACGGACGGCTTTCCGCTTCGCCATCGGCAGTGGCCGCCGACGCCGACGAAGCAGCGGACGCCGACGAAGAAGCCGAGGCGTCCTTCGACTTGGCACCCTTGGCCGACTTGGACGATGCTTTGGATGCCTCTGCGGCGATGGCGGAGAAGCCTTGCGGCGAGCTCGCCTGATCCTCTTCGAAGCGCTTCTCGGCGGCGGATCCCTTTTTGAAGTAAAAGTCCTTCGGGAAAGGCTGCTGCAACGCTTCCGAAAGCTGGCGGTTGTACTCATGATACGCCTGCTCGAACTTGGTCGGCTCTCGGAGCAGCACGGGAGGCCTCGACAGGATGAGCGAGCTGATGATCTTGGTCGACGACGATCCGCTGCTCACTGCTGCGTCCGAGGCCGGCGATGACGACGCAGCCGATGCGGCCGGTGCTGCGGCAGCATAGCTCGTCGACGCATGAAGCAGACGCTTGGAAGGAGCGCCGGACTGCAGGAGCCGCAAGCGCGGTGCCGCAGATCGAGCTGCGGACATGATGAATCGGTGCTCCGTTGGTTGGATGCCGAAAGGTGAGTGACGCGCTATAGACGGTGTTGGTCGACGAGATAGAGTGGCGCGAGCGAAGGCTGGAAGGGATGCACCGGAACGATCAGGAAGAACAGAGGTTCGGGTTCAGGATGACGGTTGCCTGCACCCGAAAAAATTGCAAGATGGCCCAGTTCGTCCTGCCGCGAGGAGCGTGACCTTGGTCGCTCGACGACGAAAAAGTTGCAACCCGATCGGGACCCAAATCTTGATCGTCGGCCTAACATCCCATTCTGGCTGCCATAATTCGAGCGTATCAGCCGATCACGAACGTGCCTGCAGAGCCTCTCTCTCCAAATCCAAAAGGCTTTGTCTGGTGGAGGGCGAAATCGGCTTTGGTCAGTGGAGAGCGTGTGCGTGCCAAAATCCCACACAGCAGCGTACGGGCCACCCTCGCAGCTCCAACTTGCAGCTGGGCGAGAGCGGACAGGGGCTGAGGCTCGCAGCTCGAGCCCAACACAGCGCAGCCAAGCGCCTCGCACGTCGCCGCCGCAAGTTGGCTACCGGACTCGAGAAGCTTGCCATTCCCTCGCAGGTCTCCTCCTGCCTCGATCCGACCATTCCATCCCGCTTCGTCCAACTCTTGATCTCCGTCGCTGCCAGAATCTCTGCGCTGACGGACTCGCAGCACTCGCATCGGAGACCAGCGCTCGCCTGGTTAGCTTGCGTCCAATCGTCATCCAGCACGAGCCAACACACCTCTTCCTGATAACCGACACACCAGCTCCGCGTTCTCATCGTCGCATCTGCCATTAGATAGCCGCGATCAGCAGCCATGTCGACCTCTTCGGCATCGCAGCAGCCCGACGGCCAGGCCAAGTCCGCCAAGGCCAACAACGAAACCGTCGAGGCTCCTCCTCTCGTCTACCTCACCAACAAGTGGATCCAGGACCTCACACAGCGCATCCGCGCTCGCCCTATCCCTTGGGAAGGCTACCACAGGGCGGATCTGCTGAGCGCCGACGAGCTCAAGATGATCAAGAGCGTCGATGCGATCGTCATCGGTCAGAACCGCTCCAAGCTCGATCCGCTGCTGGATGAGCACGGACAGGAGTACGTGTCGCTCTACCTCCGCCTGCTCTCCAAGCTCAGTCGCACCGACACGCTCCAGCAGATCCTGGTGCTCGTCGATGACATGCTCTCCGATCGCGACGACCGAATCGAACTCTTCCTCTCGCTCGACGGCCAGGAGGAGCAGGACGGCGTCGGATTCCCCTGGAAGCCGTTTGTCAAGCTGCTCGATGTGCCGGACGACTTTGTGCAGATGAAATCGGCCCAGTTCCTTACGCTCCTCCTCGTCTTCTCCGCCACCCACTCGTCGCAACCCGAGCCACCTTCGTCCGTACTGCCGCGACTGCTCACCTTCCTCTCGTCGCTCTTGAGAGGCGCAAGCACCAAGGGCGCATCCACCACGTCCGCACGCACTCCCGCCTCGACCAATGCGTCGCCCGCCACCCGCCGCATGTCGCCCGACTACGCCGAGGGCAACGGGCCCGAGATCGCGCTAGTGCTGCTCGAAGCGCTGCTGCGCACGCAGAAGTACCGCATCGATGCGTGGGAGTACGACGTGTCCAAGATGGGCCAGGTGCCCTCGTCGTCGGGCAAGGCCAAAGCCACCAGCGACGACGACGAGGAGGAGCAGCAGCAGCAGCAGCCGTCGGAAGACGTGGACCGCGGCTTCCTGTCGGAGCTCGCACAGATCTTGCGGCTGAGCAACGTGCCTTCGGGCGGCTCCTCGTTCAACTCGAACGCCGCCTCGCCCACGGGCTCTGGATCCGCCACGCCTTCGCGCACCACCACGCCTTCGGTGGCAAGCACGCTGGTGGCCGGAGCCAACAATGGCAGCAATGCGACGCGCGCGGGTACGCAGCTCGTGTACCAGGTGGTGCTGTGCTTCTGGCTGCTCAGCTTCCACAAGCAGATAGCGGCCGAGCTCAACGTCAAGCTCGGGCTGGTTCCGCTGCTGGTGGACGTGGCACGCCTTGCGGTCAAGGAGAAGGTGACGCGCGTGACGGTGGCGACGCTGCGCAATCTACTTGCCAAGGCGGCCGATGTGAATGCGCCCGTGATGCTGGGCAGCAAGGCTCTGCCGCTGTGCGAGAATCTGCTGGCGCGCAAGTGGTCGGACGAGGAGATTGAGGAGGATCTGCAGTACATCCGCACCGAGCTGGCCGAGAGGCTCAAGACCATGACCACCTGGGACGAGTATCTGTCCGAGCTGCAGTCGGGACAGCTGACGTTCGAAAGCCCTGTGCACGAGCTCGACGAGTTTTGGAAGGAGAATGCGCCGCGCTTCGTCGACGAGGATGCCAAGGTGCTCAAGCAGCTCGTGGGTGTGCTCGACCAGTCGGAGGATGCGACGACGCTTGCGGTGGCCTGCTCGGACATCGGCAAGTTTGTCCACTTTTTCGAACAGGGCAAGCGCCGCGTCGGCGATCTGGGCGCAAAGGCGAGGATCATGTCGCTCATGACCCACCCAGACCCCAACGTCAAGTACTGCGCGCTCCACACCGTCGCCAAGCTCGTCTCGGCCAGCTGGCGTTGATGCGCGGTCCCACACGCCTCCCCTCATGCGCTCTCACAGTACATTCTGCCGTCCATTTTCTCCATGCTGTCGTTCTCTCTCTTTCGTCGTGCAATGAACATACACACACTTTCCTGACGCCGGTGTGAGGTTGACGACGTTTACAATCGGGTGCGCGCGATCTAGATAAGGAAAGGCGAGTCGATGACGGAGAATCCGACGGCGACGCCGCCCTCGTCGCTATCCCTTCCCTTGGTCCTGAGCAGGTATCCACCGGCCTGGTGGTGATGAACCTGCACCTTGTGGTCGTCCGCACGCGTCTCGAAGAGGATGGCGCCATACACGCCCAGTTCGGACACGGTATCTTTGGCGAGCACGGCGCCCGTGGCGGGATTAGCCGGCGTGGCGGCCTTGACCAGATAGTTGCCCAGCCCAGCGGGGGGTTTGATGAGGCTCATCAGGATATACGCCTGACGCCTCGCCACGCTTCCTGCTCCGTCCTCGAGCTGTGTAAGGAAGCCAGGAATGTCGTGCCTGTACACGTTGTTGCCTCCACCCTCGCGCTGCGGCTTGAGCACATGGTGCTCCGGTGCGTTCAGTGCGAGCTCGTAGCCCTTGCGTCCAAGGTCGGAGTCGTCGAGCGGATACAGGTCCGTGAAAGTCTCGCGCAGCTGGTCTGCCGATGCCACCTCGGACCCAAGCGAGGGCAGCAGCGCTTCGAGCTCGCCCGGCTCCGCCAGGACCTGCTGCACCTTCTTGGCGCCTGCGAGCTGCACCGCGATCGAGGGACACTTGATGGCGCGGCTGAGCTCGAGGCGCTTGCGCGTCTCCCACTCGGCAGCACCCGGGTAGTCGCCCGGTCCATAGCCGGCGCGGAAGTAGACCACGCTGATCTCGATGCGTCCCAGCACAGGGTGGGCGAGGTAGAGCGTACGGCTCGAATCGCCTTCGGTTGTACTGATGCGGTCGGCGATCTCGGCGAAGCTCTGTCGCACGACGCGAATGCCCTGGTGTTGGAGGGCGTGTTCGAGCGGACGCTGGTCGAACGCATTGCGCTCGCCTTCCTGCACGACAAAGAGCACAAACGCTCTCTTTGCATCGGACGCTCCCTGCTTTTGCGCCACATACGCCGCGTGCGCAGCGGCCAATCCCCCCGCCAAGACGTCCTGCGCCTTGTTCTCCGGCAGATTATCCAGATCCGCCAGCCCCTTATGAGCGTCCAAATAGTCGATGGTCTGGGCTAGATGCCTATGCAGGCGGTTGACCTTTGTGCAGAGCGCGCCGAAGGAGGCGCTGATGGTGTTGAACTCGACCTGCTTGAGGCCGAGCTCGCCATGTCGGCTGCCCATGCTCTCCTCTGCCGCGCCGGCACTCTGCTGGTCGTGCAGCAGGTAGTCGCTACGGAACAGGCCGAGCGAGAGTGGCTGGACCAGCTCGTCCTTGACCGCGATGTAGATGTCCCATAACTGCTTCTGAAACTCGTCGACGTGCACCACCGACTCGCCGATCACACGCTCCAGGAAGCGGTGGTCCGCCGAGACGTGCGCGTAGAGTCGATCGTACGTCGGCTGAATCGCCTGTGCCTTTTCGAAGAGCGCGCGCGGGAACGGCGAGGGCAGCAGCGAGAACGGTGCGTGAATTGCACTATCGCTCGGCGGCAGCTCCGAAGGGTTGGCGGCAACGGGGCGGTAGACGATGCCGTGCGCGAGGGCATAGTCCGTAGCTTGGGCGGAGAGGTAGTCGCGACTGGCGTCGGACAGCGCCGGAGGCCACGCTGGCAGTGCTGGCGAAGGCATCTCGACGGTCTAAAGTGTGATGGACGACGAGAAGGACGGAGGAGCCGAAGGTTTGACGGATCAAGATGCGGTTTCCCTGTCCGTGCACGGAAAAACAGGCAGCACACCAGTATCGCGCCATCCGAAGAGCGTCTGAGTCGAGCCGTGCTTTTTCTCGTCGGCTTAATTCCGAAGGACCCTGAAGGTGGATCCGCTCGCAGCTGCACCCCAGCGACTGCTCATCTCCACCATCCCATTCTGGCGGTCCGTTCTGATCCGCAAACCACGGCCGACTCGGAGCTGAGCGCACAATGACCACCGAAGTCGACCACACTGTTGCTGCGGCTGGCCCCTCCGAGACGGATGCCAAGCTGCGCCAGGAAAACCAGGCGGCGTTCTCGCGCGACCTCGAATTCGTCTCATCGCTCGCCAATCCGTTCTACCTCAACCACCTTGCGCTGTCGGGCGTGCTGGCATCGGCCGCGTTTCTGCGCTATCTCAAGCATCTCGACTACTTCCGTCATCCGCGCTACGTCAAGTACCTCCAGTACCCGCATGCGCTCCACATGCTCGACCTGCTGCAGAGCGAGCCCGACTTCCGCCTCGCCTGCCGGGATCCGGCGTTCGTCGGCGAGGTCATGGCAAAGCAGGTGGCGCACTGGGCAACGTGGCGCGATCCAGACGCCAATGCTGCCGATGAACCACCAGAATCCAACCCGCCCACAACAGAGTCCGCCTAGCTTTGACGTAGTGTCTCTCAATTATACCCCCTTGCTCCCCCATGAAGGCGTCATCGTTTCAAGTCAGAAAAGGTTCAGGTAACGGTGTGCGATGTATTAGTAGGTGTGAAGCGTAGGCTACAGGGTGCGCACGTGGTCATGTTCCACCAGCCCTTGGCCTGTGATTCGCTCGCCCGAAGTGTTCCATCCGTCCATGTCGGCCTCTTCCTCGATCTTGCGCAGCCGCTCGCGTTCGCGCTCTCTCTCCTCGTCGGTCATGGCGCGCTCCGAGTACGGTTTGGAGATGACCTCCTGGCTCACACGCTGCGTGTCGAGCTCGAGCGCATCCGACTCGCCCGTATTCTTGCGCCTGGCCCCCTTGCGTCGCTCGTGGTCCTCGTCAAAGAGCAGATCGTTCTCCTCGTCTGCGTCCGCACCCAGATGCTCGTATCCGCCCCCACGCCCACCGCCACGACTCGTCCCCACCCTTTGCCTCGCACCATTGCTGGTGGAAACGCCGCTAAAGATCGAGCTGGCGCGCGAGCGGATGCTCTCACCCAGCTCGTTGAGCCCGGCGATTTCCTGTCCGACCGAATCGGCTCCGCGCGTGATGAGCCGGTACTTGAGCAAATTGTACATGCCAATGCCCAGCAGCGTGATGCACAGCCCGGTCACGTTGATCGGCGTGAGTTCGTCGCCAAACACGCTGCTGGCGAGCGCGATGGTCAAGACCTCCTTGAAGATGCCCGCCACACTGAGCGTCACCACGCTCGTCCGCTTGATGAGCGCAAACTCGGCCAGATTCATGCCGAACGCCAGGATGCCCGGTGCACCGATGAGGCCGATGGTCTTGAACGCGTGTGCGGCCGTATCAAAGTAGCCCGATTGCGCGGCAAAGATGGCGTGCCAGCTCTCAAAGATGGCCGAAAGCGAGATGAGGGCCACGCCCATCACGGGCGCGAGCCAAAAGATGGTGGCGATGGGATTGTTCATGCCCATCTCGTCGCGGTCCAGCAGCATCTGGGTCAAGGCCCACCTCAGACCCCCAAGCGCCGACGCCGAAAGCACCTGCACCGCACCGACCAGCACGAACTTGGTTTCGGCTGCCACCATCATGACCACGCCGAGGGTGATGAGCGCAATGATACCGATCAGACTCCACCTGATCACCTCCAACCCAAACAGAAAGGCGAAGAAGAGCACAAAGGCGAGGTTGGAGCTCTTGCACATGGTGTAGAACGTGAGCGTGATCGTCTTGAGGCTCGTATTCGACAACCCAATATCCAACGCCGTAGCCAGCGCACATGGAACAACTTTGGTCGCCCAGTGCTTGCCCGACGGTCGCGAAGTCGTGCCGTTGGGTCGACGCGGTACGAGCTGCGGAAAGATCTTGAGTGCGGTGCTGCTGAGCACGAACTGCATGGCCATGTGAAAGCTCGTGACAAACAGCGGATACGAAAAGTTCTTCTTGTCCTGCGCGAACATCCACTTGTTGTACACCGAGATGAGCGTCGAAAACGTGTACCAGCTCAGGATGAGCAGCACGTTGACCACCGATGCTTTCCAGTAGGCATCTCTGCGTTCCTTGAGCGTTCCACCCTGCCGACGCTCGAGCGAGCGCGTCGAGGGGATCGCAGACGCCTGCTCTGCCAGCCTCCAGTAGGCTCCAGGATCGAGCGTGTGGCCAAAAGTGCTCGAAGGCGTACGGTGACCTGTCGACGCAGCAGCATCGTCGTGGTACGGTGCGGTGTCGGTGCGGTTCAGGGGCTGCGATTCCGCATCGTCATCCACTTCGGCACGGTCACGAAGCGGCGAAGCTATGGGTGGCGACTTGGAGCCGCGTATTGTGTCGGAAGAATGCTTGGGTGCAACGTCGGTCGAGTTGCGTGCTGATCCGGCGGTGGGGAAGAAGAGGATGTCCGACTCGGACGACTCCATGGAACGGTCCGTGGCGATGGATCGCGCATCGTCGTGCGGAGCGCTCATTGCGCCAGCCACTGTTCAACGTCAAAGGTGGCAAGCCACTACCTGGACATGGTGGGTGAGCGTGCCAGAACCGAGCTGCGTGCGTGCAGAGGTGTCGCGATAAGTAGCGACGATGCCGTTGGATGATGGAGGCGCGGTTGATCTCAAAGCTCAAAACCTCAACCCTGCATTTCCCACACCCGGCTCGTGCGAAGCGAAGCGTGTCACTTTTGTCCCCCCCAACTGCGAACAGCGCGCCACACCCGGCTCCCACCTCGCACCCCATCATGCCAGCTCGCCTGCACAAGCCAAAGCAAGACCCTCTTGCCGCAATTTTTACACGCCCAGCAACCTTGAATCTCACACTTTTTCGATGCAGGCACACGCACACAAAGCCTGGCGCCTGTCAAACGGGCCGTTTTGTGCCGCTCCTACAATCGATACCAAAGTTGCACTTCTCAAACATGGCATGGATACCGCTGCGGCTAGGATCCGAACCAAGAGCCGTGCGAAAGGTGCAGCACCTGGCCCGTCATGATGTTCGACGCGCCCGCATCGGCGAGGTAGACGTACGTGGCGCCCATCTCGGCGGGCTGGCCGGGTCGACCGTGCAGAGGCACACCTCCAATGCCCCAGCCCTCCATGTTGTCCTCGCTGCGGCTGGCGGGCTGCAGCGGCGTATACACAGGCCCAGGGGCGACCGCATTGACGCGAATCCCCCGCGGAGCCAGGTGGAAGGCCATGCTGCGTGTAAACGAGACGAGCGCGCCCTTGGTGGAGCTGTAGTCGATCATGGCCGCACTGCCCTTGTACGCCGTGACCGAGCTCGACTGGATGATGGTCGAGCCGCGCTTCATGTGCGGCAGCGCAAACTTGGTGAGCGCAAACGCGCCGAGCACGTTGCTGCGGAACGTGCTCTCCGTCACGCCCAGGTCGATCTCCTCGAACCGCTCGCACGGCACCTGCTTGGACGCATTGTTGACCACAATATCGATGCTGCCCCACCTGTCCAGATGCTGCTGCACCACCTTCTCGCAGTCGTCGACGTTTTCCAGGTTGCTCGGCACACGCAGGATCTCGTTGGTGCCCATGGGGGCCTCGCGCACCAGCTTCTCCACCACGTCCGCGTCCTTCTCCTCTTCCGGAAGATAGGCAATCGTCACGTTGGCGCCCTCGCGCGCATAGAAGAGCGCCACACTGCGTCCAATGCCGCTGTCGCCTCCCGTGATGATCGCCGACTTGCCTTGCAGCTTACCGGTGCCCCGGTACTCTTCCAGGTACGGCTTGCCATCGCCGTCCCACTTTTCCACCTTGAGATGCTCGGCCAGCGGCTCCATCGACTGGTCCTCGCCCGGCAGCTCCTGCATCTGACCCTTGGGATAGTAGTTGGGGTAGGCGGTGATCACCCCGTCGTCCTTGTTCTGCGAGCTCGACATGGTCAACTTGGCTTGCCGTATTCAACGGAATGGGATCGGGGAAGGTGCGAGGTGTGTCGAGGTCGATACTCTGCGATGCTGCGGACCAGAGGATTCAGAGGGGCTCGTATCCAGCTCAACAATCGCCGCGTGGGGCCTTATATGATCATCAGAAGCACGGCTTGACCCTCGACATTCGCGGGGGCCCGGCCTTCACCCATTGCATCCAAAGGCCCACTGTGTACTGACGCGGGTGCTGATGAATCACAGAGCCTGCGGACAGTGTCATGGCGACGCACGAGGCTTGGCGGCTGCTGAGTGAGGCAGTTACGAGGCGTAGCGCGCATCGTGCATCGCGCAGCCATTCAATCCGTCAGGCCATCCGGCTCGACGAGAAGAAGTGTATGACTGAGGCCGTCTGAGTTCGAAGAACGCGAGCGGCGGATGATTCAGCTCGAGGCGTCATCCCGAGACGCTGCCAAAAAAAGCCAGGCTTTGTTACACCCTGGATATGGTCACATTGTCTTTGCCGAAAAAAACACCACGTGGTCACGGCGGGCACCAATGCGCCGGGAAAAGGTCGTGCGCAAGTTGAATTGTCTTGCCGTTCGCCGTCAGCCTCACCGCACGCACCGAGGACACTCTACTTGGCCGGTCGCCAAGCCTGCTACGATGCTCGATCGAGCTTGAGCTTGGCGTGTCAGACGACGAAAGAGCGGTTCGAGCTTACAAAGTGTGATCGTGACGTTCAAAAAGCAAGTGGGCGCGTCGCGGCTGGGCCGATGATCGCCGCGTCTCCGACCCCTTCATCTCGCTCGCGCGACGGCAGAGGCAGAGGCAGACACGCCAAAAATGCAGAGTCGCCGTGACCGGTGCCACCTCATCTGTGGGTGGTGCAGGCGGCGGGCGGCGGGCTGCCGTGAAGCAAAAGAGGCAGAGAAAAAAAAATTGGATTGTGTGGAATCTTGAGCTTGTCAGGCGGGCAGCGGAGCTTTGTTCCCTCCGATTCTTCATACGGGAGCGACGAGGCTGCCGAGCTGACCGGTCCAAGCTCGTCAGGCCTTTGCAACAAGCTACTCCGATCCAATGAAAAATCAGTTTTACCTTTCTATTTTTTATCCTTCCTGCGGAAGCTCGATGGAGACAGCGAGAAGCGAGCACATAAGAAGAAAAAAGGCAAGGCTACAGTAAAATCTGTTTGGTGGGATTTTCTCCGCTTGGTTGGGTGCAAGGGCAAAGCGGAGTGTCGTGTCGCTCGCATGCTGCACCGCCCCAACGCAGCGAGAAGAGCGGCAGGAGAGCGGAGTGGAGTTGAAGCCTTTTGTGTGGCGGAAACGTCGTGCAGCTAAGCGAGCAGCAGATGGGCAGCTTGGTCCGGGCGGGGCGGCGCCTCGGTGCGTGGAAGTCGAAAGTCGCTTCAGTGCGTCTCATCTGGCCCCCCGTCATTCAAGCCCAGCCCTTGCAGAGAGCGGGAGACTGGTCGTGGTGAAAGCACCACACGTCTCGCTTCCAGGCCATCGCCTTGACTCGTGCTTTTGTTTTTTTTCTTCTTTATTTTTTTTAGGATCTGCTGCGCTTCCCTGGACAAAGTGCCCTGTGCTCGTCTGAGTTGGCAGCCGCTGCCTTGTCAACCGACGTGATCCACAGCGTGATCCCGCCTGCACACTTCTGCCTGCGGGCACGGCAAGGCTCGACTCGGCTCGACTCGACTCGCTTGCGCCGTTTTCTCTCCGCGTCGCATTTTGGGTGCAATTTCGGCACCACGCCGAGCATCTGGCGTCGGCCGTGTGCCATCTGTCATCTGGCGCTCGGGACACCACCCAGCCTAAACTGGACTGCAAAAAAGCTCAGCCCGCGCTCAGCATCCACTGGGTGGTGGTGGCTCACTCTGCGTCTGTGTGCATTTTCGCATCGTTGCGAGTGTCTGAGTCGAGCTTCTGCATCTGCTGTCTGCATCCGCCGCTTGCGCCTGGGTCTGCTTCTGCTTCTGCTTCTGCAGCCTGCCTCTGCATCTGCAGTCCGCGTGTAGACGAGAGCGACCGCCGCCCAATTTTTCGCTCCATTCCAGCCATCCCTCTTGTCGCCCGCTTGGCGTGCGCTCTCGGCCCTTTTGCCTTCTGCTCGCTCACCTTTGCATCGCGTCACACTCTTGGCCCGCTCGACTCGACGCCTGGACCCGCGCCTTCTTGCAACCGCTCCACCATCCTCCGCCTCGCCTCCTTCCATCCACCTCGGCATCGCCGGTTCCATATCGTGACTTGAGCCATCCAACCTTCCCCCCTCGCTCTGCTTCACGATACCGATCCGCGTGCCTCTCTTTTCCTCCTTCTTTTTCGGTTTCTTCTTCTTCTTCTTCTTCCAAGTTTGCTCTGCGGCTTTCATCCGGCTGCTTCTCGATCGATCGACTTTGTTCTGCCGACTGGTCACAGGTGTGCATCCCGGTCAGGCTGCATCCCACTTGCTTTCTCTTGCCCGCCTACGCGCTTGCTTCGGTCCATCCGACTGTGCTGGCTCGTGCGCTCGGAAGCCTTCCGACTGGTGTGCTAGGCTAACCCCTTGACCTGCCAAGGCATCTCGTTCGCACATTCTGCTCGGCCAAGCTCGCTCGTCGCTCCTTAGAGCCATGCCGCCCTCGTCGAGACACGCCGCGCATCCTTCGCACCATCCGCGAGACATGCATCTCTCGGGTCCAGCAGGTGGTCCACCGCCTCACGGTGGGCCCGGGGGTCACGGTGGTCCTGGAATGCCTCCGTCGGGCGGCCCGGGAGGCCAACCTCTGCATCATCCGCACTCGTCTTACGCCCAGTCCATGCCGCCGCCGCCAGGTTTGCCTCCACACGCCATGAACGGCGTCAACGGCCCTCCCTCCGGCCACGGCGGCCCTCCTCCTCGCATGGTCATGGCTGACGGCCCGCCCGGTGGTGCTGGCGGCCCTCCGCAACCGCCGCCGCCCCATATCCCCAGGTCCTCGTCAGCGCAGAGCCGCATCATGGACGCTGGCGCTGGTGCTTCCGGCGCCGCTCCTCCCGCTCCCGGCGCCTCGTCGTCTCCCGCCGTGCAGAAACTCTCGCTCGCCAACGAGGCCGCTTGGGTCTCGGTCGGTGCCGCGGCCGAGACCATGGAGGACTACGACCGCGCGCTTTCGGCTTACGAGACCGCGCTCCGCCACAATCCATACTCGGTGCCCGCCCTCAGCGCCATCGCAGGCGTACACCGCACGCTCGACAACTTTGAAAAGGCCGTCGACTACTTTCAGCGCGTGCTCAACATTGTCCCCGAGAACGGCGACACCTGGGGCTCCATGGGCCACTGCTATCTCATGATGGACGACCTTCAGCGCGCCTACACCGCCTACCAGCAGGCTCTCTACCACCTGCCCAACCCCAAGGAGCCCAAGCTCTGGTACGGCATCGGCATCCTCTACGATCGCTACGGCAGCCTCGAACACGCAGAAGAGGCATTCGCAAGCGTCGTCCGCATGGACCCCAACTACGAAAAGGCAAACGAGATCTACTTCCGCCTCGGCATCATCTACAAGCAGCAGAACAAGTTCCCCGCCAGCCTCGAATGCTTCCGCTACATCCTCGACAATCCGCCTCGCCCGCTCACCGAGATCGACATCTGGTTCCAGATCGGTCACGTCTACGAGCAGCAGAAGGAGTTCAACGCCGCCAAGGACGCCTACGAGCGCGTCCTCGCCGAGAATCCCAACCACGCAAAGGTGCTCCAGCAGCTCGGCTGGCTCTACCATCTCTCCAACGCCGGCTTCAACAACCAGGAGCGCGCCATCCAGTTCCTCACCAAGTCGCTCGAGTCGGATCCCAACGACGCACAGAGCTGGTACCTCCTCGGCCGCGCCTACATGGCCGAGCAGAACTACAACAAGGCCTACGAGGCGTACCAGCAGGCCGTCTACCGCGATGGCAAGAATCCAACCTTTTGGTGCTCCATCGGCGTCCTCTACTACCAGATCAACCAGTACCGCGACGCCCTCGACGCCTACTCGCGTGCCATCCGCCTCAACCCCTACATCTCGGAGGTGTGGTTCGACCTCGGCAGCCTGTACGAGGCTTGCAACAACCAGATCAGCGACGCCATCCACGCCTACGAGCGCGCCGCCGACCTCGATCCCGACAACCCGCAGATCCAGCAGCGTCTCCAGCTCCTGCGCAACGCAGAAGCCAAGGGCGGTGAGCTTCCAGAGGCTCCCGTTCCTCAAGACGTCCATCCCACCGCCTACGCCAACAACGGCGGCATGGCTCCCGGTCCCCCTACTCAAATCAGTGGCGGCCCGGGCCCTTCGTATCCACCATCGCTCGGTGGACCTCAGCTGGCTGGAAATGCAGGCGGCCGTGGCGATGCTGGTGAGCGCGAACTGCCCGGTCCAGGACATCTGCCGCAGTCGCACTCGCCGCCACCGTTCCGCGGCCCCGACGACCGTGGTTCGCGCGGCGGTCCGCCGCCAGGTGCGCTGGCTCCCATGGCAGCTGGCGGCCCTGGTGGAGTCGAATCGCTCGGCCGCGGTGGCTACCCGCATTCGCGCGGCCCTTCGCCTGGCCCACCCCAGATGTACGCCAGGAGGATGGGCTCGCCACCTCGTCGCTCGCCACCGCCGCCGCCGCTCCGTTCGGACATGCACGGCGGTCACGGTCACGCCGACTTCCGCGGCCAGCCCGGCGTGGGACCCGGTGGTCCCGGTGGTCCCGGCGGTCCTCCTCCCCCACTGGACCACTATGGCCGACCCCTGGGTGGGCCGATGAGCGAACGCGAACGAGAGCTCGAGTGGGAACGCGAGCGCGAGCGTGAGAGGGAGCAGGCCGCTCGAGGCTACGCTGCCAGCGGCCGCATCACGCCCAAGAACGAGCCCGGCTACGCACGTTCGCAGCACGGCAGCAATGCGCCATCGCCCGCCTTTGGTCGTCCTCCGGTATACGGCCGCGATGAAGGCCGCGACCACTACAGCAACGGTCATCCGGGCGCCGCACCGGGTGGGCCGCGTAGTGGCTACGAACGCGGGCCTCCGTCCGGCATGCGCTACGACGACCGAGGCCCTCCTCCGCCCCACTACGACCAAGAGCGAGGTCACGGCCCACACGGCCACCCGAGCGACGGCCGTTACGATGCGTACGGCGACAACATGGACGGTCCCGTCGGCCCCAGAGGGCCGCCGCCTCCTGGCCTGCGAGGCCCCACGCCCGAGTGGGAGCGCGCTCGTGCTGCCGAGGCTGGCGCGCCGCCTGCGTACGACGGCGCTGACGGCAGGAATGCCGCTGGAGCTGCGGGTGCAGCCAAGCCGCGTCGAGCTGCCAAGGGCAAGGACGAGATGGACTCGGCCGGAGCACCGCCCTCGCCTGCACCATCGGCAGCAGGTAAGAAGGGCAAGCTTACGGGTTCGCGCGCCAGCTCTCCGTGGTCCGCCAAAGGCGGTGCAGCGGGCAAGAACAGCAAGGCGGGCAGCGTTGCAGGCGTCAAGAAGGGCGCGTCGACGCCACTGCGCTCGCGCGACGATCAGGCTGGCTCCCGGCCTGGCTCGCCCGCCGAGGGTGCACGCGCGCAACGCGAAGCATCGCCTGCCAGCTCCGACGGCAGCAACGAGCCCTTGGCGGCACGCGGACCTGCGTCTCGCGTCGTGGACGAGGACTACGACGAGGGCGCTGCGGACGCGCTCATGGGTCTCGCTGGTGCTGCGTCGGTATCTGCCTCGGCTCCTGCGCCCGCCGCCGCCAGCGCTGCGAACCGCGCCAATAGCCCCGAGAAGCGACCCGAGAGCTCGTTGGGCAAGCGGCCGTACGCCGACGACGACAAGGGCAGCGCCAGTGCGCCGGATGATGCGTCGTACAAGCGTGCCAAGAGCGGCAGCGGCAGCGGCGCTGCACTCGGCGAGGGCAGCAGTGGCGCAGCGGCGTCGAATGGATCCGCCAAGCCAGAGGAAGCGACGGCGCGAGACGAGCGCCAAGGTGCCAACGCCGACGCTCGCAAGGAGGCCGCCAGCGAGGCGGTCACTCCGCCACCCAAGGCAGCCACGCCACCGCAAGCCGGCAGTGGCTCGGAAGCGCAGGCGATGGACGAGGACGTGCCGGAGCCCGCCAAGGCTGCGGAGACCGCGCTTGCCAAGGATGCGGCAACCAAGCCAGCGGCAGAGAGTGCATCCGTCGACACGCCGGTCGACGCTGGTGCGGGTGGAGAGTCGGACAAGGCTGCCGAGAAGAGCACGAGCAACAGCAGCAGCAGCAGCGTTAGCGTCGGTGACACCAAGAAGCCGGCCGAAGCAGCGGCTGCGGTGGCGGTTGCGGCGGCGGCTGACGACGACGACGATCGCGAGGACGAGGAGGGCCAGATCCACGAGGAGCCTGCTGAAGCCAAGCGCGCCGAGTAGAGTGTGTGCCCGACCACCATCAAAATAATAGTGTATTTGTTCTGAGAGATGGCGAGGTGCGATGGTGTGACGAGATGTATTGTTACTGGCCATCGTTGAGTGATTGCAGTCTATGATGAGAGATGGTTCTTTTTTTGGAAATGGTGCGAAAAAGCGATAAAAAGCGGGCTCAAAAAAAATGGACGTGTTGAGGTTGGGATGAAAACAGCAGGATGCTTCAAGTTGGGAGGCGTTTGCTCGATATCGGCGTTGTTCTGAACGACAAGGCTGTGAGTTTTCGTCTTCAACAGCAGCAAGGAGCGGGAAAGAGGGGGCTGTGAGCAGGCGACAATTCCATCACAGTGCATGACAATGGCCAACGTATGAGAAGGCAATGTTGCGACTGGTTGTGGGCCACCGATATATGCTCAGCACCTGCGACGACGGAGCGAGACACGGACCCAAACGAGCAACACGCCTCTTGACCGCTCACGCAACTGCAACCACAAACCAATGCAGGACCAGTACGATCTCCTGCTTCAAAAAAAAAAACAGCCACCCCGCCCACGTCATGAATACTGCCCTCGCCAAACCGTTCAGCAGACCAAGCGCAAGAAGCGTCAGCCACCAAGAATCCACCTTACCAATCGCTCTACCTTCCATCCCACCCATCTCCACTGCTACAACCACACACCATCCCCATCACGCCTACCTCCATCACATCCACAACCATCACATCCTAGCCTCGTCCCACCAACACCCAACCTCCAACACGTACACATATGCCCACCATCACCCACCACCAACTGCCTCACAAAAAACCCCAATCATCCCCACCCCGCAATACCCACCCAAGCACAACCCCCGTCCAGACCAAACCCCGCACTTTCCACCACACAGCAGACGAACAGCCAGCAAGACTACGAAAACGCCATGCGATTGCACAGCCGGCCAAAAAAGATGGATGAGAGAGCGAGCGAAGCAACCAAACATGTGAGAGCGAGCGAACCAGTGTGAGTATGTGTATGAGAACAAATGTGCATGGTGAGGGAGCGAGACGACGAAGCTAAAAGCGGTGCGCGGACCGGCCACACGCCGCGCGCGCGCGCGGCTCACACGAAAAAGTGCGTGTAGATGCGGCTCGAGGGCGCGACGGCCATCTCCTCCATCTTGTACGTGTTGAGCTCCTCCTTGATGCGCTGCGCCAGCAGCGGCGTGAGACGGTTGCACGTCGCCTGCTCGCCGCGCCGGTCGTACACCGTGGCGGGCCACGTCGAGTGGAAGATGAGGTCGTCGGCAAACGACAGCTTCTTCTTGGGCTGCGTCGGCGCCGTCACCGAGCGCTGCGGCATAAAGTCGGCGCTAGCCGCACCGTCCATCATGAGCGACAGCGTAGGCATCGACGAGTTCGAGTGGTGGCCCAGCACGCCGCCGCCGCCCGCATGCTGCATCGCGCCCGGCGATGCCGACCGCGGCGGCACATCGCCCGACCGCGAGCCCGGCCGCGACGACACGGGCGAGTCCGTCTTGGCGCCAATGCCGTCCAGACGCTCGACGCCCGCCGTGCTGCCCGAGAGGTGCGTCATGGGGCTCGCGCCGTGCGTCGCCGACGAGGCCGCCGCCGACTGCGGCGCGTCGTACGAGTTGGCGCGGACGCGGCCGGCAAACGGCTTGTCAAAGCCGCCGCTCAGCGAGAGGTCGGGCGTGCTGGCCGTCTTCTTGAGGATGCCCTTGGGGTTCTTGAACTGCGCCGCACTCGCGCGCGAACGCTCGATGCCCTCGGCCCAGTGACGCAGGCTGTCGGTCTCAAACTCGTCGCCCGAGTCGTCGCCACCCAGGCCGCCAGCGGCCGGCATGTGCGGTGGCTCCAGCAGCTCGCTGTCGAACGAGGCATCGAATCCGCCCTCCTCGCCGTAGGCGATCGAGATCTGGGGCGGCGCCTCCGAGACGATCGGTTCGGCGCCAGCCTGGCCATTGATCCCGTCGGCGTGGTGTGCGTCCGGCTCGGCGTACGTGGTTTCGAGGCCGGTGGGAGCGTCCGAGGTGATGGAGCTGATGCTGCCGCCACCGCTGCTGCCAAACTTCTTGCGCCAGCCACGCTTGGACTTGAGGCGCTCCTTCTCCTTTTCGATCATCTTTTGGCGGTTTTCGCCCGCCTCGCGCGCCCTCGCTTCGGACTCCTGGCGCTCGCGCGCGGCTCGCGCCTCGGCCTCGGCCTGGGCCTGCATCTGGAGCTGATGCTGGCGCACATAGGACGCGGCAGGCGTCATGCCAGCGTCGGTGACGCGAGCGCTCTCGAGCTCGACGGTGGCGTGTGTGATGGAGGCCGAGGCGGGGATACCCTTTTTGCTCTTGGGTGCCTTTTTGGACTTGGTGTTGAGCGCCGAGTCGTCCGAGGCGACGGGCACGGTGCCAAAGGCGTCGCCGTGGAGGCCGTCGCGACCTTCCTTGTCCTTGTTGAACATGTTGGTGAGGCCCATGAGCGAGTGTCGGCGAGCGAGCTTGCCGAGGTTGCCCACCTTGCGCAGCATGACGGAAGCGCTCGAGACGGTGGAGGAGATGGAGATGTTGTCGGTGGACGAGTTGAACTTGCGGTTGAAGATGCTGCGCTTGCCGTCGTTGTTGTTGGAGAGCGGCGGCCTTGTGCCCCTGCGCGAGGTGATGGAGGCGGCGGAGGAGCCGGGCAGAGCGGCGCCGTTGTCGGGCGTGCGCGGGGGCGAGGTGGAGCGCGTTGATCCGGTGGAGGCATTGGTGTCGCCGGACGAGTTGGGCAGTCCGCCGAGCTCTCGGCCAGGGATGCCGTTGGGACGACGCATAGCGTTGGGTTGGGAAGCGCCGTAGGGGCTGTTGTCGTGAATGTCGTTCATGTTGGAAAAGGAGAGTGCCTTTCGGAGCTTGCTCGAGAGTCCAGTCTTTTTGGAGGCCTTGGGGGCATAGCCGGGCATGGGTGTGGAGCGGCCGCCGTCGACGCGGTCGTCGTCGCTGCCGCCGTACACGGCCTCTTCGTCATCGTCTTTGGCTGCCTGTCGCGAGAGGGGCGAGGGCTTTTTGGACGAGGCCGAGCTTGGCTGCGCAGCACGCTGCGACGTGTTGATGGAGTGGAGCGAGGCCGACGAGTCGGTTCGCTGGTGAACAGGTGCGGCGGCACCGGCGGTTGCGGTGGCGGTGCGCGAGGATGCTTCGGAGGCCAGCGAGGATTGGCTGTTGCTCCGTGGCGGAGCGCCGCGGAGGTGTGCAAGCCCGACTTGGGAGGAAGGTGCGCCGGGCACGTTCTTGTTGGCTAGCGAAGGTCCGAGGCTGGGGGAGGAGGCCGAGGAAGGGATGGCGGCAAATCCGCGTTTGCGCTCGGCGGCGAGCATGGGCGAAGTCTCGCGCGACGACGATTGCGAGGCGGCGCTGGAGGTGCGCACTCTCGGAGCCGCTGCGCCCGAGGCGACGGCGGAGGGAGGTTGGGCGGGAGCGGATGGGAAGTTGTGCACGTTGGTCGCGCCAATGTCCGAGTTGCCACGCTGAGTCCTGCGGTAGGGATGGAAGCCGCCAGCGGAGGAGACGGAGGAGGAGGCCGAGTGACCCGATGGCGGCGCGACCTGGCCGAACTGGCCTGCGGGCATGGGCTGACCGGAGAAGCTCCTCATCTGGTTGAGCTGGGGGACGCCTGCGCCATACGAGGCGCCGGGGAAGGGAGGCGGCATCTGGTTGGCCTGCTGCTGCTCACGGCGGAAGGTGTCGTTGTAGGTGATGTGCTGGGGCCGCTGAGGGGTGGAGGAGGTGCGACGCCGGCTGTCGGGCCCGGGGCCAATATCGCTTGCGGCGGCGTGCTGCATGTGTTGTTGTTGTTGTTGTTGTTGTTGCTGCTGCTGCTGCTGCGAGTAGAATTGTTGCGCCTGCAACATCTGCTGGTACTGCATCCAGGCAAATTGATTTTGCTGGGACTGCTGGTGGTGGTGCTGTTGGGCGGTCATGTGGGGATAGTAGCCTGGCGTTGACTGGCCGAAGGGCTGAGTTTGGAACTGACTGCCGAACATGGGTAGCGAGATGGAGAGAGGAGAGTGCGCGGACTAGGATCCGGAAGCGGGCCCGCTGGGTTTCGAGAGCAGGCAGGCACGTGGAGTGTTTTTGTGGCGCGAGGGCGCCAGGACGAAAGCAGGCAGGCGACAAGGTGAGGCCAAAGGCAGATCAGACGAATCTTCTAGCAAGCTCGCCCAGGGCTGTTGGTCCTGTTGGTCCTGTTGGTCCTAGAGGATGGCCTCGAGCGGTCGGGGAGGCTCTGAGGTGTGGTGGGTGGTACGAGGCAGATTCAGTGTAGGAATATGCAGGTGAATGCCAAGGTGGAGTGCGATGCTGGTACGCCGTGCCAACTTGCTGGAGGATGCGACGAGTTGAAGAGGGGGACGGCGATCAGACGCAAGGGCGAGGTGACATGCAGGGGAACGGAAGGTGCAAGACGAAATGCAGGCGACAGAGAAGAGGCTTGATGAGCGAGTGGGAGCGGGGAGGCGATGCTGGGGGATCCGAAGAAGCAAGAAGCAGGAGAGGGATGCGATGCTAAGCGTACGACGCGAGACCAAGGTCGGATTTGTTGGAGATCAAGGACCGATGATGGCGCCGGCAACCGCAAGTGAGGTCAGGTGGGCGAGCGGGCGTGGGTGTATGGGATGGAAGGATGAAAGCAGCAGCCAAGCGAGCTGCGCTGATGGATGGGAAGGCGAAGAGAGGGAGGAGAGGTTGAAACGCGAAACGGAGCGATCAGAGGAAGCCGACGATGGAGATGGTGGAAGAGCGAGGGAGGAGGAGGAGGGCTAGACACAAGGTAGGAAGCATGGACGAGCTTCGAGCGGGAACACGAGGTCGAGGGGGAGGGGCGTACGAGTGAAATTGAACTGAGTGATTTGTGTGAGTGACTGAATGAGAGGGTGACAGTGTGTGATTCGGACTCGCATCGGCAGCCCAGGCGCGGGAGCCAGAGAGAGACGTGAATCACAAATGGCAGAGTGGCACACGCCCTGCCCTTCCTCTCTAAGCTCACAGCGGCGGGTTTCGCGCAAATTCACGGCAAGCCCGACGGAGCTGCGAGGCGAGCCTCTGTCTGCGAGCCTGTCGCTTCGATTGGCTTGGACTCTGACAGGCGTCGGAGCACGGCCGAACGCAGCCAGGGCGGGTCAGGGGAACGGTGCCCCTGCCAGGCGGCAAAGCGGTGCGTCGTTTTTGCAGTGCACCGCACCGCACCGCACCGCACGGCACTCGTCAGCCGGCGCCCTCTCACTCACAGCACCGCACAGCACGGCACAGCACAGCAAGCAAATGCACGCCCTCCAGCCACTCTTGTAGCCCTCTACCCACTCTCTCGACTCACGGCGACTTGGTCTCAACTGTCTGCACTCTTTGTGTTGCCCTGCTGCCAAAAGAGGCCAGCCGGCAGCAAGACACGAGGGCTAGGCGGAAAAGGGGGCCGGGTCATGCAGTGCCCGCCTCGCTCCTGCTTTTGTAGTACCCTCTTTCCATGCGCAACACCGACAGCCCAGCGGCAACTGCCTCTCTCTCTCTCTCTCTCTATGCTTTCCCCCACCCAACGTACGCCCGCCAAGCAGGCCAATCGGTGGGGGCTTGGAGTGGATTCGAGGATTCGAAATTAACCTGGTCGCTTGCTCTCGCCTCGCCTGCCCAACATGCAGTGTGAGCGTGGGCTTTCGGGACGCGCGTTTGCCAAAAAAAAAAAAAAAGAGAAAATCAGAAAAAGTGAAAGTGTTGGTCTTGAAAGGCAAAAGCAAAGGCGAGCTGAGGCTGTTCTTTTTCTGGGAATCGGTTGGGGGTGTGGGTGCCCGCTTGGGATTGGCCAACGCGCGGCGCGGCTGACAGGCCACAAAGGGTTTCGTGCGCTCGGCAGCCGAGCTAAGCGAGCAAGCGCGGCCCCAAGCCAAGCCCTTCGCAGCCCTTCGCCGTCGCTCGCAGCCTTAGCTCACCCTGCACACCCGCCAGCACCCGCCAGCAAGCGCCAGCAAGCACCAGCAAGCACCACTTGACCGCACAATCAACTCGCGGTACACCGAGTCCGCATCGCCTGCACACACGCGCCTGCACGCCTGCACGCCAGCACGCCAGCACGCACGCCCACAGTGCCTCGCCGCACACATGCACGGTCCCCACCCCCACCAACCCATCTTGGTCTCCGCACACGCATTCGCAAGCCCACTCTCAAATTACCGACATCCAACAACGGTGGCAAGTGGCAGTCGCTGATCGTCAATCTTTGAGTTGTGGTGCAAGGGAGATGGGTTCGGGCAAACGGACCAGCCTTGCTCAGGCTCTGCTGCTTAGGCTCTGCTGCTGCTGCGGGATTTCCGATCGACGTGCCAAGCCCGCCGCCTCGTCCGAGCGGGCCGATCGCATCGATCGCACTCGTGTCCATCATCAAGCCCATCGCCAGACCCTGTCCGTCCACTCCGCAATCGCCGCCCTGGCGCCGTCGTCGTGCCTGGCTTTGTCCTGAAATAGTAGCCCTTGGCAAGTCGCTCCAAGCCAGCCAATGGCAATAGACTAGCTTCCCGATGCACAGTCTCGGACCCAAAATGCCGAAGCAGCGTGCGTCAAATTCTGAGCCCGGCGTTGCGCTGCCGATCCCGATCGACTTCCATCCACGTCGGCGTCTGTCGGCAGCCTATGATATTGCCGGTTCGGGCGTATCTGGCTGCCAGCTCTAATAGGCCTGTCCAACGACCCTTTTTCTTTGCGCCCGATTTCGTCATCGCTCCCCCCGGAGCCTTCCACGCGCTGCACCTCTCCCTCGCTCTCACATCTTTGGGGCCGCTCCACCTTTCAGAAAATTCAAAAAATAGAAAAATCAAAATCCGTGACCCCTTCCAGTCAGTCAAGTCAGCCTTGACCTCGTCGTCATCCAGCGATGCACGCCCCGCCCCCTTTTTTCTCCCTTTTCCCTTTCAGATCAGGCGGCTCGTGGCCGAACAGCACACAGCCCTGGGCACTCGACCAGTCAGGCAGCCCACTCACGAGCCAAGTGCATCTGCGGATGGTCCGCTCACGCTCGCATACCGACCTCGCTCGCTCGCTCGACCTCTCTCTCTCTCCACTCTTTTTGGCCCGGATCGCCTTTTCCAGCTGCGGCTCGAAATCGCTGCTTTTCCGCTGCTGCCTCTGCTGCCACTTTGGACCCATGTCATTTTACCGCCCCTATGGGCTCCACTTTTTCGTTGATTTTTGGTCGCGGCGGGCGGCTGAGCTGCGTTCGAGTGCGGCTGGACGGGCGCGGGTGTGTGGATGGGAATGGGTGTGCAATTGCGTCGGTGCTGCCGTCTGCAGCTATCTGACCGCACTTGCCCCGTGCCATCGCTCTGCTCTGACGAGAGTTGAATGCCCACGGCCTGCATCGCCTCCATCCTCCACCACTACCATCCAGTTGGCCCCTCCTCGGCGATATCGCTCTCCTGCATTTCCGTCCATCCAGCTCCGCTTCTGCCCTTTCAGCTCTTCTTCCGCGTGCTGCTACGATTTGGAAAGACTCCTCCTCCATCGGCCGCTAAACCCCACCTTCCACTTTATTGGGTTTTGCAATACGCCAACTTACTTTGGACTTTCATCGCCCGGATCTTGAACCATCCCACGTTCTTCTTGCACGACGCAAGCTCGCATCTCGCTCATATCGTCGAAGAAGCAAACTCGCCTCTGAACCAAGACGGAACCGCCGATCGCCTCACCCATAAGCTTGTCTCGAGGAAACCGTCATCTGCTGTGGGACTCTCCGTCTGCATTCCAGCTCGCTACGCTTCTGCCACCGTTCCTTTACATCGACGATCTGTAATTCTTCCGACAGCGCGGCGATCACGTTCACTCGGCGCATCCATCCACACGCTCCCCGTCGCATATACATCCTTCGTCTTCCATCATGGGTCTGCTCGATCACGTCGGCAGCGCCGTCTCGGGTGCCAAGTCGCACATCAAGCCTAGCAAGGAAGACCGCCCACCCGAGGGCGCCTCCGCCGACGACACCGAGGAGCTCGACGAGGAGTCCGGCAACATCCTCATGTCGCTCATCGGCCAGCTCCGCATAGGCATGGACCTCTCCAAAGTGACGCTCCCCACGTTTGTGCTCGAGCCCCGCTCCATGCTCGAGCGCATCACCGACTTCATGTCGCATCCCGACCTCATCTTTGGCGCCGGAAAGCTCGACTCGCCCGAAGAGCGCTTCCTCCAGGTGACGCGCTACTACCTCTCCGGCTGGCACATCAAGCCCAAGGGCGTCAAGAAGCCGTACAACCCCATCCTCGGCGAGTTCTTCCGCTGCACCTACAACTACACCGACGGCACCAAGGGCTACTACATTGCCGAGCAGGTCTCGCACCATCCGCCCATCAGCGCCTACTACTACGTGTCGCCCGAGAACAACCTGCTCTTCTACGGCGAGCTCAAGCCCAAGTCCAAGTTCCTCGGCAACTCGGCCGCCACCATCATGGGCGGCGAGAATCGCGTGGTGCTGCTCGACCGCCAGGAGGACGGCGAGTACGCCATCTCGATGCCCAACATGTATGCGCGCGGCATCCTCTTTGGCCGCATGGTGCTCGAGCTCGGCGACACGAGCAAGATCCGCAACGACGCCAACGACCTCAGCTGCGACGTCGAGTTCAAGACCAAGGGCTACTTCACCGGCACCTACAACGCCATCGGCGGCAAGGTCACCAAGGGCCACAAGGCGGTCGGCGAGATCACGGGCAAGTGGAGCGACTCGATGGACTACAAGGACTCGAGCTCGGGCAAGGTGGAGGAGCTGTTTGATGCGCACAAGGCGACCATCGTGCAGAAGGAGGTGATCCCCGAGGACCAGCAGGAGGCCAACGAGTCGCGCAGGTTGTGGAGCAAGGTCACCGAGGGCATCAAGGAGAAGAACCTCGACAAGGCCACCGAGAGCAAGAGCGCCATCGAGGAGAAGCAGCGTGCGCTCGCCAAGGAGCGCGAGGAGTCGGGCGCCACCTGGTCGCCGCGCTTCTTTGTGCAGAAGGGCGAAAAGTACTACCCCAAGATGGACGCACTTCCCTCGGACGACTACCGCCCTCCCGTCGTGGTCGACTACTTTGCCAAGTCGGCGTAGACTGGATCTCCTCTTTCTGTTCTAGATTGTCTTTCGGGTCTAGCTCTGCTTTCCGCTGGGCCTTGTTAGGCATCGTCGAAGGTCCATACACGGCCCACTTTTTTCACTTTCGTTTCTCGTGCTAGTCTTGTCACTGTGCTTCGTTGCGTAATCCGAACCCAAATGCATTTTTGGCTTCCGCTGGACATGTCGGTGGGTGGCCGTGGTCAGCTGGTGCGACGGTGAAGGGGGATGTATGAGGGGCGGATTTCTGGGCCGAGAAAAGCCCCCCGGGGGAAGACTGTGGTGGGCCACGCGTAAATGAGGGAGACGCGTCTTGGGCGACGCGGTGCGTAGAATTTCAACCCGGGCTGCGCGGTTGGATTGCATGCAGTCCGCTCTCCTTTCACTATCACAGTTGAGCCTCTGAAAGATCACCTTGACCCCACCATTCGACCCCTCAACCCCTGAGCATTAGCTCACGCATCACTTTCCTCTCTGCTTCTGACGATATCACACGGCAACGATGGCGGGGATTCCGATTACGGCTGGTGGCTCGGGGACGCACTACGAGCGCACGTTCAAGAAGCACTTTGGAGATCGACCTACGGCGTTTGCACTATCGGATCACCCGCGAGCCTCGACTTCGGCACAACCGCTTCAAGGCGACACACTTGCTGCATCTACGAGTACGAGCGGGGCAAAGGCACGAGTGGATGACGAGACGCATAGCAAGTTGCAGAATCTGGGCTACCGTATTCGGGCGCGGGTGAATCAGGGCTACAATCGCACCACCACCTCGCTCGATCCGTTTGGCTCGTCCGAACGACAGATCCTGTCGAATGTAACCAATACAAGACGCGCATGGAGCAGGGTTCAAAGCGCTCCTGCCTCGAAAGACTTTGACACGCTCAGACTCCACTCGGATACGGACACACTTAGTGTCACACAAGGAGCTAAACGAAGTCGAGACGATTCAGACGAGGAACCAGAACATACCGAAGGCAGTTTGGATCGTAGGATTGCTGGCATGCCAGCTCTGTCTTTCGCTTCAACCGCCTCCAGTTCGTCCCTCGCAGATCCACCACAAACATCATGGACTAGATCGCACAGCTCAACACAGCCGTTTGCGATCCAGGACACAGACATGCCCGACTCCAAACTCGAATACGACTTCTCGACCCACTTCAACAGCACCGACTTTTAACCTCCCAATCCCATATACCCCCCTTGTCTTTTCGCACTCTGTTTCCCCTCTTGCATTCAAACTCTCGTCTTGCCACACACACTCTCTGCGTGTCTGTCGGGATGCGTGCATTTGTGTTTGGATTGGAGCGCGGGGCTACCCGACGAAGCGAAAGCTATCCGCCTGGACAAAGTACTTTGCGCTCAGCGTGGTCTGTGCATCCTTGCCCGTCGTCATCGAAACCGCCACGCCTCCTTCGCCCGTCTGGACGACCTGCGCGATGTTCGTCGCATCGACGAGCACAAAGTTGTGTGAAAACGCACGCGGATGTGACGCCACGGGAGCGTCCGGATCAAAGTTGCCGCGGTTGCGATTCGCACCGTGCGTCGAAGCCGTCGCCGACTTGGGTGCGCTCGTCGCCAGCGCAGATGCAGACTCGGGCGTGTGGTGCGACACCGTCCCCGATACCGTGAGCATCACCGACGGAGCCGTAAAGTTGCCTGTGCAAAGTATCGTGCGTCAGAGAATGTTTGCTTCATATACTACTCGATACCACAGTGGTCCTTGTGCAAAGGTATCGAACCCTTATGAAAAGCGTCCGCGCGCATGCAAGCTGCAACCAAGAGTGCAATTTTTGCGGGGGACTGTGCTTGCTCTTGCCTCTGGAACGAGCTCAAAACGAGCACGCGCAGTGTCTCGGTGCATACCGACCAAAGTGGGGTTCGGACAGGCAGACCCACTTGCGGCGCCTGTCCAGCTCTGGCGGTATCATCCCTGAGAAAGAGGCACCTGTGGCTGGTCGAGAAAGAAAAGGGGTCGGAGAAGACTTACCTCCATCCACGGCGCCTCCGAGCGCATGGCAGTCGAACGTATGCACTTCGTGCTTGCTGCCCGGCATGCTGTTGAGCATGGCCTGCAGCTCCTGCTGCCCGCTGACGGGTGTGCCGTTCCAGACGATCGATGAGTTGGGCAGGTAGAGCGTGGGTACGAGGTTGGTGCGCTGCGGCGAATCCGACGCTGCGTAGTAGGCCGATACGAACGTCTCGGCTGCCTTGGCGGCAAAGTCGGCGAGACGTCGGCTGTCGGCGCGCCGATCCGCGGCAGGTCCGGTGGGTATGGATGCCATTGTGAAGTGTGAGGAGTGTGTGACCCGGACCGCTAGCGAGTCGGACGATCCGCTTGTCAGTGGAAGGGTGGAAGGCTCGAGCAAGTGAGCTGAGAGGAAGAGGCCCAAATTTGTGCAAGGAGGGCAAGGCTGGGGTTCCGACTTCCGAAGACGCAGCCTTGTGGAGCGGAGCGGTTGCGAAGCGGCAGGCCACACTGTGGCGCCGTGTGTGCGCTGCTGCTGGTGGGCGAAAAGACAGCAGCAGCCCACGGAAGTCGAAATGGAGAGAAATCTTCCTTTCGAGGCGGGCGGGCGAGCACGCAATGCCGTGTGTGCCCTGCACTCGCCGAGAAGGGCAATTTCACTCAGCCAGGGTGCCACTTGCAGTGCTAGCTCGCTCTCGCTCTTTCGCCTGGGCAAAAGTGACTCGTCCGCTAGGCACCCGCACCCACCGCTCACACGCGGCACTGCCGACACACACTCAACACTCACACTCTCGCACAGCACCATCACACTTCTTCTCCATTCACACTTCCCTCCTCGCCACTGCGACACCTCACTTCACTCCGACCGCATCCAAAGCAGCAGCCTCCTTGCTGTGACGAGCAGCTACCTATCGTCATCCCTCCCTGTGCCTCACGGCGTGCACGTCGCATTCCACCAGCACCACCATCTCCCATCGGCAATTCCCCGATCACTCGCCGCCTCGCCGGGTCTGATCCTCAGCATGTCGGCCCATCGTGACGCTTACAGCGTCGCCTCCTCCCAGGCCTCCACCGTCACCCCCTTCAATGCCGACGTCGCCTCATCCGTCGCCTCGCTCGACTCGTCCATCCCCACCTCCCCCGAGCCCTCGGACCTCGGCGACGATGACATCAAGCTCCCCTTCGTCTCGCACAAGGATCGCCGCGGTCCCAACGGCTACCGCTTCGCCACCCAGTGCGCGACCGTAGACGACCCCAACCACAAGGACCAGTACGGCTCCTCCTCCACGCCCATCTACATGTCCGCCACCTTCAAGGGCCTCCCCGGCGCAGAGTTCGACTACTCGCGCTCCGGCAACCCTACGCGCTCCATGCTCCAGCACCACCTCTGCCAGCTCCAGAACTGCAAGTACAGCTACGCTGTCTCCAGCGGCATGGCCTGCCTCGACGTCATCACCCGTATCGTCAAGGCTGGTGAGCGCATCATCGCCGGCGACGATCTCTACGGCGGCACCAACCGTCTGCTCGGATACCTCGCCTCGCACCAGAACATCCACACCGACCACGTAGACACCACCGACGCCTCCAAGGTCGAGGAGATGCTCCAGAAGCGCGCTGCCGACGCCGCCGCCGGCCGCTGTGGCAAGGTCAGCATGGTCCTCCTCGAGACCCCCACCAACCCGTGCCTCAAGATCTGCGACCTCCAGCGCTGCGCTGCCGCCGCGAAGAAGTGGGCGCCCGACGCTGTCGTCGTCGTAGACAACACCATGATGTCGCCTTACCTCATGAGGCCCCTCGAGCTCGGCGTCGACGTCGTCTACGATTCGGGCACCAAGTACCTCTCGGGCCACCACGACCTCATGGCCGGAGTCATTGCCTGCGACCGCGACGACCTCGGCAAGCAGATCGCCTTCACCATCAACTCGATCGGAAACGCACTCACGCCCATGGACTCGTTCCTGCTCCTCCGCGGTATCAAGACGCTCGCCGTGCGCATGGACCGCCAGCAGGCCTCCGCCATCACCGTCGCCCACTACCTCGACTCGCTCGGCTTCAAGGTCAACTATCCCGGCCTCGCGTCGCACCCGTCCAAGGCGGTGCACGACAAGCAGGCTGCTGGCCCCGGCTCGGTGCTCAGCTTTACCACGGGCGACAAGGCGCTCTCGGAACGCATCGTGGGCGCCACGCGACTCTGGGGCATCTCGGTCTCGTTTGGCTGCGTCAACAGTCTCATCTCCATGCCGTGCCTCATGTCGCACGCTTCCATCGACCCCAAGGTGCGCGCCGCGCGCGGCATGCCCGAAGACCTCATCCGCCTCTGCGTCGGTATCGAGGATGAGCGCGATCTGCTCGAGGACCTCGAGAACGCGCTGCTCCAGGCGGGCGCCATCCGTCGCAAGCCGTCCAACCGCGCCGCTGCCCAGCTCGGCTCGGCCACCACCGACAGCTCGCGCGCAGCCTCGCCAGATCTCATCGCGTACGAGCGCACGCCTTTGCATACCGACGCCGCTGCGCAGCACGACAAGGTGGGCAGCCTGGTCGACGACATGAACCGCGCCAAGCTCGAGACGCGCGGCGGTGAGGGGGAACCTCGCCTCGCCCGGGACCATCCGCCGCCGCCTACCTCGCTCGTCGTGAGCGCGCCGGGCAAGGTGATCCTGTTCGGTGAGCACGCCGTGGTGCATGGCGTCACCGCCATCGCAGGCTCGGTGGCGCTGCGATGCTACGCCAGCGTCTCGCCGCGCGAGGACAGTAAGATCTCGCTGGATCTGCCGGACCTCGGCGTGGTGCACACGTGGAGCCTCGATGAGCTGCCGTGGGCGGCAGTGCCCGAGTCGATCCAGGCAGGCGGTGCGGTGCCCGACGCGCTCGACGCCGGTCTGGTCAGCGCCATCGAAAAGGTGGTGGGCGACACGGTCAACGAGAGCGAGAGGAGCCACGCTGCTTCGATTGCGTTCCTGGTGCTGTACCTGTGCATCGTGGCTCGTCGCGCCGATGCTCGTGCGCAGGCGTTCGTTCTGCGCTCCGCGCTGCCCATCGGCGCGGGTCTCGGCTCGAGCGCCGCCCTGAGCTCGTGCCTGGCTGCTGCGCTCAACATGCTTTACGGCCGCATCCCCGCTCCCGCTCCGGGCGCCAGCGAGGTGGCCGCGGACCACTCGGCGTACGTCAACCAGTGGGCGTTCCTGTCCGAAAAGGTGATCCACGGCACGCCCTCGGGCGTCGACAACTCGGTTGCCGTGCACGGCGGCGCGATTGCCTTTACGCGCGCCCATCCGAGCAACACGCTGCGCGCCAACAAGATGGAGAAGCTCAAGGGCTTTTCGTCGTTCCGCTTCCTGCTCGTCGACAGCTGCGTTGGCCGCGAGGGCAAGAAGCTCATCGCGCACGTTGCGGCGCAGAAGGAGGCGGAGCCCCAGCGCGTCGAGGCGGCGCTGGCGCGCATCCAGACGATCGCCGACTCGGCGCAGCAGCTGCTGAGCGGCACTTCGGGCGCGAGCCGCGCGGACCAAGTCGCGCAGCTGCGCAAGCTCATCACGCTCAACCACGCCGAGCTGGTGGCGCTCGAGGTGTCGCATCCGGCGCTCGAGCTGATCAAGAACAAGACCGAAGCGTTTGGTGCCGGTGAGCTTGCCACCAAGCTCACGGGCGCCGGGGGCGGCGGTTGCGCCGTGACGCTGCTGCCGGATGCGTTTGAGCAAGACAAGGTTCGCGAGCTTGTAGGCGAGCTTAGCGATGCTGGGTTCAAGTGCTACGAGACGCGCGTTGGCGGCGACGGCTTCGGCGTGCGTCTGCCAACCAGTGCCGAGGACGCCGCCGAGGCCAGGATCCGCTTCCAGCAGGTTAACCTCAGCGCCGAGCTGGCCGACTGGGCCGAGGCGCAGCACGGCTGGGTGTTTGCCTGATCCACTAGAGTAGACAATTGTGTATAGCAATCCATTCATGCGGTTCCCGAGTGTCGTTGAGCTGTGCTGTGCTGTGCTGTGCGTGGAGGTGGGGGGTTTGGAGAGAACAAAGGTCGGGGGGGAAGGATTTTCCCACGGATGCGGGTTAAGCTCGGTGCAGATTTGGTGGGGCCAGATGAAGGTTTCGGCACGATGCATGGTGATTTCGCATTTGTTCCGACGGCTGTTGTCCGATCCCTTTGTCTGGCCGGCTTGGCACGGACACTGCTGCGGACTGCTGGTTGAGAGGTATAAAAGGTTTGGGGGTGTAGACCCTCGAACCTTGTTCTCCAACTCTGGTTGATCCAAGCTTTTGTGTTGCTGGCTGGATTCAGCATCCATTAAGGTAAGCTACCGTTCGAAGTCGGCGAGTACCTTTGTTCCGCTGCGACGCCGGAGGTTGTGACAACCCCGTTTCGACGCTGACAGCGTTCGTCGTTCGCCACAGTCCTTTTCGAGTGAGCTTTCCGCACATCCCGCAATCTCTCTTCTTTGCTATATAAGGACCCTTCTCTCATCCTCGTTCCCCCGTTCTTAGATCATCTTTCTTTTAGACTCTTCAAGATGACTTTTACTTCACTCAAGCGCGCTGTGGTGCTGGGCGCCGTTGCAGCTGGCCTGCTCGTGCTCTCGTCGGGCGTCACGGTGCAGGTCGCCGCGCTGCCCACGTACAAGATGCACCGCGCCCATGTGGTGCATGCGCGCAACCTCGCCAGGTCCCAGCATGACCAGCTCGAGGATCAGGTCCATGCCCTCGAAGCGGCTCTCCAGCACTATGTCCAGTACGGTGACCAGCAGAGCCTCGAGATTTACCTCCACGGGCTGGATGGTAACAAGAACCAAGGCGAGCAGTGGAAGCCTCAGCAGCAGAACGAAAAGCCCCAGCAGCAGAACGAAAAGCCCAAGGAGCAGCCTCAACAGCCCAAGGAGCAGCCCAAGGATCAGTCGCAGTGGCCCAAGCCCCAGCAGCAGGCCCAGCAGCAACAGCAACAGCAGCAGGCGGTCCAGCAGCCTCAGCAGCCCGCCCAGCCCCAAGACCAGCAGCAAGACGACTGCGACGAGGGTGCTCCCGCCCCCGAACAGCCCTCGGTGACGCACCACGAAGAGCACCACTCCTCGGACGACTCGTCGGACCACTCCCAGACGCACTCGGAGCACTCGGAGCACTCGGAGCACCACTCTGAGCACCACTCGTCGAGCGACGACGCTAGCACTGGCGCCATTGACGGTTACACTCCTCCCTCCTTCTCCACCTCTTCCTCGCCCTCGGTCAAGTCTCTGTACACTTCGGCACCCTTTACGGGCCACGCGACGTTCTACGACACGGGCATGGGCGCATGCGGGATTGTCAACGCCGACAATGACCCCATCGTCGCCGTGTCGCGCGATGTGTTCGAGCAGTACAACCCGGCATCTGGCAATCCGAACCACAACTCGCTGTGCGGTCGACGCATCGAAATCACCTGGAACGGCAAAACCACGCACGCCTTCGCTATGGACGAATGCCCCGGTTGCGAACCGACCAGTCTCGACCTCAGCCCGGCGCTCTTCGCAAAGCTAGACGACAAGGATAAGGGCGTCCTACCCAACATCCAGTGGCGATTCATCTAATCACACAGCCGACTCAGAGTCAACGCGGTTGATCGTAATGATGATTGCATTTGTCCAAGTGCGGGGCTTACCGACGAAAGGCAGGAGAGTTGAGGACGCGGATGAGAGAATCTTTGTCGCGGAGACGTTTGGCAGCAAGGTCGGCTTCGGTGGGGAGGCGAGAGTGGGTGCGGTACATGCGGTCGAGCAGGTTGAGCAACTTGCGCGGATCAACCGCCGCATACGCCCATGCGCCACCGGGCTGTTTTCCGCTCTGAAGCATGGTCACGTACTCGCCTACTTTATCGTTGCGCACCACCGCGAGTGTCTGTACGATGGGGTGGAAACACGATTCGTCCGTCTGCACTTCGGCCGCATTGCGGACCAGAAAGTCGACGTCGGTTTGAAGCACTTCCAACCCAGCTGCATTTACCGCCGCCGCCGAATCGGGTCCCAGCAACTGCTTGTCCAGCAAACTACTCGCAAGATGCGCATACGCTGCCGCATACACTTTGGCCTTGACCGTACCGGGCAGCAGAACGAGTACCGACTCCATCATTGTCCGCAGCCACTCCACCGTATCCTCCAACCACGCCGAAACCACCCTCGGCCCCGCCTTTGCAGGTGCAAAGTCGTACTCTGCAATCCCCAGAAACTGGTCCAACTTGGCCGCAAAAGCGGCGTTGATCTTGGACTCGGCAATGCGCAGCGTGGCGACAAAGTGACTGCTCGCATCGAGCTGCAACTTTCCGCCCCTTCCATGCGGCGCCCGCAGCGCAGCAAGAAGATTCTCGAGCTCCAGACAGGCCAGGTTAAAGTGCTCGGCGTTGACGACGATCTGTGCGATCTGCGACAGGTTGATCGCGGCGGTATTGTCGAGCGAGCGCCGAATGCCCGTCGAGACCTGCTGGATGAGCAGCTCGTCCAGGCTCTTTTTGAGGATCTCGTCGATCTCGCGGTGGTTCTGGCTAAAGCTAAAGCCGTCGGAAAAGACGTAGTACTGATCCACGAGATTGCGCATATCCATGCAGCACAGCGGATACGTCTGCGAAAAGGGTAGCGAGAGCGGGAAGGTGGATGCGCGCAGCAGGGTTTCGTCGCCCGGTTTGAGCCAGCAGACGGAGAGCACCTTGTTGAGCTCGTCGGTGTTGTGGACTACCATGGGCTGGTGCTGCGTCTCGCGCATGGCCTGCTGAAAATCGCGGCTGAAGCGGTCGCGCAGCAGCTGGGCATAGCGCTCGAACAGTGTGAGCAGCAGCGCGTTGAGCTTGGCAACGGGGAACGAGTAGCCCTCGAGCGTCTGGATGAACGTCTGGATGGCCGCCTTGGCGGCGACGTACACCTTGGTCTCGCTGCAGTCGCGCAGGGCGAGCGAGACGATGTCGACAACGCGGCTGCACATGCTGTCCCACAGATCATCCACCTCGGCCTCGGCGCGGAAGCCGGCGGGTGTGGTCTGAATAACGTGGTGCTCGACGAGGAAGAAGCCGACCATCTCCTCGAGCAGCGGCGGCACCGCCGGATTGGACGCATCGAACGAAAGCCCCTGGTTGAGCAGCAGATTCGCCTGCGCCCGTCGATCCTCCTGGTACGACGTCTGGAGCTCCTCGCGCAGGTCGAGCGCATCGTAGATGTGGATGCACTGGTAGAGCGGACGGAAATCGATCGAGACCGTGTCGTTGTCGACAAAGTTGTGCTCGGTGCGTTCGTTGGCGACGAGCTCGATGGCCGAGTTGAGCTTGGCCAGCCGCAGCAGCGGATCGCGCTGCGCCTTTACGCGCCATCGCTTCTGGCGCGTCTCGATGGCCTCGAGCGCGAGCTTGCCGACGGTGCGCGACTTTTCGCGCGCCTCAAAGAGCCATTCCTTCATCTCGCGCGTGACGGCGGCCTTGACCTGGTTGCGCATCTGCGGGATCGAGTCCATCATATGCTTGGCAAACTCGTGATGCAGCACCGCGCGCAGATGCACCGACTCGAGCTCCTGCAGACTGCGCAGCGCCGCAAAGTATTTCTTCTCCCCAATCAGACCGTCGACGCGATTCGCCAGGTCGAGCACGCGCAGGCACGTATGCAGCGATCCAATGGCCTCGTTGACGTTGGCCGCGGTGCGTTGCGTCTCGAGCAGCTGCCGTTTCTTGTTGCCCAGAGACGTGCCTCCGGCTTGGACGTCTTCGTTGAGCTCGCCGATGCGGTGCTTGAGCGTCACGGTGCCCGAGCGCACCTTGAGCAGTTTATCTACGGCTGCGACGAATTCGGAATGGTTGGCGTCGCAGACGGCTTCGATCTCCGAGTCCTTCTCGCGCACAAAGTTCTTGAGGTGGCGCAGGAAGGCATCCTGCTGGCGCGCCTCGTCGAGCGACTTGATGATGGGGCCGAGCTGCTCCAGGTTTTCTTGATCCGCATCGAGGTCGGAGAAGAGCGTGAGCTGCTGCAGCTGCGCTTCGAGCGAGACGAGCGGACGGCGTTGACGCGCGACCATGGCGGGCGATCGTAAGGCGGGTCAGCGGCAGCAGGCAAGGTTCAGCGTGCAGACGGGGGAATGACGTTGTTCATTACCGCATGTCTGAGTGTTGTTTTCCAAGCGCGAGCGAGTCGGATGCGCTCTATGGCCGATCCTCGGGATGGGCAGAGAGAAGTTCAAGGCCGTCGATGCTGAGTCGAGTGGAGCCGGGTGATGTGCGGGAAGCACAGTTGGAAGTGGTGGAAGTCAAGTGGTCCTTGCGCAGTCACATTCCGCTGGAATTAATTTATCATTGTTAGGCCTCAATATTGATAACACGCTCGTTTTTTTGCCATCGTCGCTGATGACGGAAAGTGTTAGCCGAAGGCGTCGAGGCAGCAGGAGCAGCAGCATATTTGGGCGTTGGATGCGCGCGTGGCCGGGCTAAGCGAGCAGGATGGGCGTCGAGGTGCGGCGACCCATAGAACGAGCCATGTCACTCTGCAAGCACCGTCGCAACGCAGTGTACCGCCGTAACAGCCAAGCTCGAGATGCGCGCCGTCGATCCCACCAGTGTCGGTGCCACCAGTGCCACCAGAAACTGTGTCGCCCGCTGCTCGACGTGGGAAAGCATGAGAGCACCACGCAAGGGGCCGCCCTTGCCGAAGGCGTGGGATTGAATGCCGTTGGACCCTGCCTGGTCGATCCCACTCCAAGTTACCGTTGCATCTTCGCCCTGCACCTCCCCATCGCCCGCTCCCGATGCAATGGCGATCCAGCGCATCGGCTGCATGCACCTCCCATGGCTCTATATGCACGTCGGCGTAAAGAGCCGCAGAGACTCTCCCCCTCCTTCCATCGCGAGTCGAACGAGTGACAGGTCGACCGACAACAACGACCACCAGGCTCGCGTGGCTTTCGAGAGCAACAGTGAGACCAGCACTTTTTTTTTCTCCTTTCCTTCCGCCGCCTTTTTTTTGGCGGCATGCATGAGAGAGCCTGCTCAACGGATGACAACCCATCCCGCTGCATGGCTGTCAAGCTGCCGTGCAACCGGTACAACTCTGTGCAGCCCTCTTGGGCGTGTCCCTGCATCCTTTCAGCTCACGTCCTCTGCGCCCTCTCGTTGAGACTGTCCGTAACGCTAGCCTTGGCTCCGCCACTCCGCGCTGGCTTCGAGTGCACTTCGCTTGCTTGGCCTCGGCGCCATGCAGACGTGCAAAGCCCACCAATCACGCGGCCGGCCACAGTCGCTGCTGGGTCCGTGGGTCCATGATGCGAAGGCTTTTGCTTTCTCGGCGTGCAAGACGGCTGAATGCAGATGGTGCATCGTCCCTCGAGCAAAGGCGACGGAGATCTTTCTTTATGCCCCAAGACGCCACTTGCTCGGTCCTGTCCAAGCGCATTGCTTCTAGCACGCGCTGCCACCGACGTCCCAAAAGGCAGGCCATCTTGGACACTCTCAATGCATAGCCGACCCCTTGCCCATCCAGTCCAATGGTCCGGGCTATATCATCTTGGCCCTCGCCGTACCCGGCATCCCCATCCTCTCCCTCCCCCCTTACCCCCTTATCCCCTTCAGCTCTGTTCCGGTGCGAGCCCGCTTGCTGCATCTCTTTGCCTCCTCGTCGATCCTTTGACGCCTGCTGCTCGGCTAGCCCTCGGCTATCGCATGCCACGTTCTGCGCCCGAGAAAGAATACGACGCCGCCCGCCCCCGATCGTCCCGAAGGCGTGCACGCCTCTACGCCCGACTTCGCTTCCGTGCGCCTGCCACACATCCGAGCCACGCCCAAGCTGCACAGTCGACATCACGTCAACGCCCTCGCTTCCGTCTGGAGTTGCTCTCGATCTCGACTGCGACAAAAAGCTCTCTTTGACTGGTTGATCGTCGCAATGCATATCGCTCTTAGCTACTAGCCTCGCAGCTGGCACACACGATCCACAACACCTCCGACATCGCCAGCATATATCTACCACATCTTGTCTCAGAATCAGATGCGTCGCCCTCTCAATCGTCGTGCTTTCTCCTCTTGTAGCCGAAGCCAAGCATACTTTCAGCCTGCACAGGACACCACCTATCCAGACCACGCTCGGAATGATGCGACCCTACCGTGTATCCCCCAAAAGCTCACCAGCTTCCAGCGCCGGCTTCTCGTCGCCTGCACTTCCCGAGCTCAGCCTCGATGCCTCGCTACAGCGACTGCACCAAGACGAAGAACTCTCTTCGGCGTCGAAATCGTCCCTCGCCCGCTCCCAAGCGTGGCTCCACGCCCACAGCTTTGAACAAGATTCGGAGCGCTCATCTTCTCCAGAAACGTTCCATCGTTCACATCCGTCCCTAGACTCGCTGGGCTCGAGCTCAGTCTACCGTTTCCCCAAAGTCACATCGGATGCCCGACCACCATCGCAGTCGCACGATGCTCAGCCACAAGAACCGGCGCTCCCGGCTCGTCCAAGGACAAGCAGAGGCCTTTCGGAACCAAAGCCGTTTCTCTCCTCGTCGTCCCGCACCACCTCCATCGCTTCCATCGCCGAAATCGTTTCCGAACCAGCACAGCAGGTGCCGCACCCGACGATCTCGTTCGGCACGCCCTTTGCAGATCATGCCTTTGAGCATCGATTCCACGATCCGGACAACGAGCTCGCAGGTCAGCCAGGAGCGTCACGGTCCAGCAGCTCTTCTCCGGAACGTGTTAACGCATCCTTTCGGGCAACCCACACCACCAGACTGGAGATCGCGGGCGAGATACACGATCTCGAAGCGTCGACAGACGTGCCTGCCTCAGCCGCTTCCTCGCAATGGACGATTCTTTTCGCACCAACCTCAAAGGACGGCTCTTCCTCAACGCCAATGAGCGAAGCAACATTTCTCTTACCTCTGCTCGAGTCCATGGAAGACCAAGCCAAGCTGCTCAAACACCATCTCAGCAAACAGCCTGCGTCAGGCACGCACGGCAACCCAAACAGCGGATACGCGAGAGACAGCTCGGTGAACTGTTTCCTCGACCTCAGCGCGGTCTCGACCCTCGATCCCATCCTCGCTCAGCTGACCCCACAGAGCTGGCCCATCGTCTTTAGGCAATATCTCTTCGTCGATTCCGTGGCTGGTCAACGCGAGTCAGTACCAAACGGGGGGAATAAGGCTGCGCCGCTTCCTTTACTTGCGCGCGAGACGGGGCTACCCATCGTCGCCTTGGTTCGGTACACTCTTCTTCCCGCAACCACGCCTTCACCTCTGACCAAGCAAAACCTTCGCGACGCTCAGACTGTGCCACCGGCTGCCTCGAAGCGCACACTTCTGGATAAGCCCGGTGCCGAGGCGTCCGACAGTCGAAGCTGGACTCGGCGCGAGTCGGAGATGACCGTGTCGCTTGCGAACGCTGGCACTGCTGCAAGATCCACCGGGATGGCTGCTAGCCGAAGCTACCCAGGACACCCAAGAACACCTGTTCGCAAGAGTCCACTACCCTACTCACCGCGCGCGATGCTCTTTCCCACCGACAGACCTTCGCTTGGCGCAGCGATGATGCCACGAGACTTTGCCTCCAACAACATCACCCATCGCGGGTATGCCCGACTCGGATCGGCGGAGAACAAGCTGCGCTCACTATCGCTTGCTGCTGCTCATCCCCTTGTCACTGAGGGTGAGGCAATGCAGATGCAGTATGCGGATCCTCAAAGTCCCAAGAGCAAGGGCAAACCAAGCGGTCTTACAGGCGCCCAAGACCAGCAAGAAAGTGTAGCTCTAGACTCGCAGCAGCACACGCGGTGTTTGGGCCGGGGTGATCCGCAGTCATCTCGCGGGTCGAGTCACAAGAGCTACCCTTCGCACGGCACGTCGTTGTCCACGCACTCGACGCGGTCCACGAGCCTCTACAGCATCCCCAGCCACAACCACCCCGCAGATGCTGACGATTCGGATACGGACTCGGACGATCTCGAAGTGGGGCGACACTTCTGGACTCAGCTTTCGAATCTTGGCGAGCAGATTACGCGCGAAAAGGACCCAGATCGACCACAAACCGGGTTCAGCAGTGGACGCAACGTTTCGATCTCGTCGGAAGCATCGTCGGTGTTCGATTTCAGTCCTCTGGGAATCCTTGTGCCCGAGCCTCGTACAGAAGTCTCAAGACCTGCTATTTCGGCTGTTGTTGCATCGCAACCTTCGGTGCTGAGTCGACGTAGGGCGTATAGCTCCATGGTGCCATTGACCGGATGGAGGGCGGGTGATACGGATCTCAGCACGGCGCATGATGTCGACACCATTCGACAGCTCCCGCACGTCTTGCTGCTCGAACCTAGAGATAGTGCGGAGCATTGCGAGATCACGCCCACCGTGACGACGTTTCAAGGCCGGGCGAGGGCACACTCTTTCCAGCCCGCATCGTGGCAAACCGAACGTCGGACTGGGGTGGATGCGGGACAGAGGCAGGATGTTTGGCAGGAAGCCATGCACCAGCTCCAGCAGCGTGTTTCCCAAGACTCGCGGCTCATCACCCATCTCCAGAGGAACGATGAACCTGGGATTGGCGATCACCCGGAAGCAGTGGACACGGAGCCTCCAAGGAGCGAGGAGGCATTCTCACCTCCCGTCGACAGCTCTCCCCTCCCAGGGCTGTTTTACGAGCACTGGGTTGAGCGTACCGATCTCGGTGTGGATGGTGAACTTGGTCGACGCGGCTCTGCGCTGCATCTTGCTCCCGAGGCTCCTGTAGGCGGTACCTCACCAGCATCATCCGGCCTGACCATGCTTGGATCGGCATCGAACAGCGATTCGCCCCTGCAGGCACTTGACAACTGGCCTGTACCTCACTCCCGACCGCCCCCAGTTACCGCGTCGCAAAGCTTTCTATCCGTAGCATCGCCGGTGTCAAGACAAGAAGACGCAGCCTCAGTGTGCGATATGGTACGCAGTGGATCGAGCCCTCTCCCCACCGCTTTTGCTCCAATGGGGGACGTGGAGGGATGGGGGATGGCGGGGTGGGCTCAGCTGGCGCAGCGGCTCGAGTCGCCCGGATCTATGCGACTGCTATGTCTCGCGGCGTCAAGCCTCCCTTCTAACCGCCCACCAGTAGAATCAAGCTTCAGCCCAAAGGCAGGAGGGGAGCCACCTCGCAAGTTGGTCCGGAAGAAGGCAGCCCTGCTTGGCCCGATTCGGATCTCCCCAACGCGCAATGAGGAAGGAGAGGGGATACATAGCGATGGAGAGCATGCGTGCGAGCAGCCACGGGGCGTGACAAGGATGAGGAGGTCGCTCAGCAACATCTTTGACCTTCCCCAGCAGCCACGTAGAAGCGATACCTGATCGTCCTCGAATTGAAATCTAGATCTGAAGAATCGGAGCAAGAGCGGGTTGTGTACAAGCTTGGAGACCGGTATCTTGTCAAGACACTTCACTTCAAAGCTGCTCGTCAGTCCAAGAGGGCCAGAGAGATTCCTTAGAGCTTGAAATCTCTGAGTGCTCGTACATCATATCTGGGGACGTTCCTTGAGGGATGGGTTACAAAAGTCTGGGTCAGGACGTATCGCCTACATGCAGAGATCAAAATAGTGGTCAAGTTCTTGGACCCACTGCACTCGTGCTGGTAGCGATGAGCCAGGACAAGCTGTGATCACCAGATAGCGTCAGGCGAGGTGACCCGCTTGTTTCAGCAACGACTGACGGGCCATGGCAGCCGCAGCTTGGACGGCGTTACTTGAAGGGTTAGAGCGCAACACCTCGGAACTCGGATCTGCGGGTGGAAAATCGGATGTCGTGCGGACCCTCCTTCTTCTCATATTCCGCGCTCGGTCCAATTCTCCACCCATCCTTTCCACCTCTCATCCCGCATCTTTCCTCACACCATCCCGAAAAGATGCCTGTAAGTCTCGCTCCATTCACCCTGCGATTCGAAACCATGCCGATACTGATGCTTGACTGTCTTTGTTTCGGGACGATAGCGACTCGCACTGCAGCTCAAGGCGCAGTTCACCAACGTCACGGGTCTGGTGCCTGCTGATGAGGACCACACGCTCATGCTCAAGCTCAAGTGCACCTCGTGCCACGAAGAGCACTCCAAACTCGTCGGCATCACGCCCAGCGACGAGCACGAAATGACCAAGGGCGCACGCGGCTCCGCCAACCTCGTGATGAGTTGCAATGTAAGCTGCCCTCCCCTTCCCATCGATGCCTGACAGTATGCTGATCAAGTTGCCACTTACGCACCAACAGTTCTGCAAGAAGGAGAGCTCAGCCAGTAAGTCAACATTACAGCTGCAAGAGGAAGATGGAAAGCTATGACTGACATCTGGCGCTTATATGAGCAGAATTCGACGAGCCCACAGCAAAGAACCCACTCTGGCAGCCGGTCGAGGCGGATGCAGAGTCCGGCGCCAACTTCCACACGCTGTGCACGCTCGACTTTCGAGGCCTCGAACCAGTCGGCTTCGAGCCCACCGTAAGCATCCCACCCCTTTTTCCACCACCTACCCTCAGACATGCGCTGATCTTTGTGTTTCGCGCCGTACAGGGGACGTGGAAGTGCAAGGGCTCCGAGTCCAACACAGTGTTCGACAGCGTCGAGTTTGAAGACGGCGAGTGGATGGATTACGACGAAAAGGTACGTTTCTCCAATTCTTCTGCAAATCTAGTCATATTTGCTGATTGCTGTGACTTTGCATGGCGTAGGCCGGACAGGAAGTCAGCATCATGGAGCTCGAACACCGCTGGCAGCGCGTCTGAGCCAGGGCAGAAATGCGAACAATCACACTCATTATCTTGTTTCGACATGGTGTTTGCCGACAAAGTGAGACGTGTGAGCTCCTCCCTGCATTGTGCAGCGTGGGCGGCATCAACACGCCCACCGGCCCTCTTGCGTCTCAGCCGTAAGTTGCCGACGCGTGTTAGGGGGGAGGTATGTTTGGGCGGTACGAATGTTTGCAGGAAGTCACGCATGGAAGCTCATGCCGGTGTCAAGGGAGGGTTTCAAACACACAGGGCCTTCATGTGGCGCCCAGTGCGTATTGAACGCCAACACGCGCGTGTGTGGTGGGGACCGACAACCGCCGATCCCCTCCCCTGGACCCCCCACCTGCAACTTCATATGCATGCCACAGGGGGTCCCAGCTCCGTTACCCTCTCCTCGCTCCTCATCACCAGATTGTCCGTCCTCTTGGCTCTTTCATCTTTCCTTCCAACCACACTTACTCTCGTTTACTCCCCTTGACAAAACCACACTCTTTTTTCTTTCCCTTTGCGGCGGTCTTGGATACGATGATGTTGAGTACTGGGCTAGCCACCTTGGCTACGCTGCTTGTGCTTCTCTCTCCAGCTCTCGCAGACCGAAGCCACAAGCACCGTCATTCCAAGCGCCTGTCGCTCGACCAGCCCATCCAGCCCATCCACCCTGCACAGCCAGTGCCAGTACAGGCAGTCAAGTCGCTGCCGGTCAATGCTGCCGCCAAGACGACTGCGCTGCTGACGTGTCTTGGTTCGGGACCCGTTGCACGCGCTGATCGCACCAAGATCACTCCGCTCGTTCAGGCCGCTCCGCACCACAGCGACGGAGTGTGGCTGACACTCACCCCAGCCACGTGGGGCTTTAAGCTCGACGCCAACGTCGCCGACTCTTGGAACCCCACCACGGCTTCCGATGCCGCACTGGATAGCATCGCTTCCGACCGCGCCAAGCTCATGCACTGCGTCAGGCAGGAGAATCTGGGTGCTCCCGCTGCCGCCCCTGCTTCGGCTCCTGCGGCTAGCCCCCAACGCGCGGGTACGGGCCCAAGCCTGGGTGGAGCAGGCGCTCGCAAGCCCGTGTCGGGCACCTTTGACGGTACGGCAATCAAGGCCGGAGGTGTGAGCGCAGTCAAGCTCGGGGCCGTGGGCGCCGCCGCCGCGGTCGCTGCCCCTGCGGCCGACTTTGCCACCGACGTCGCTTTTGATGCGCAGATGGACACTCCCCCTGCAGGTGCCCCTGCCGCGCCTGTTGATCCGGCGGCACCTGCCAACCTTGCCAGCCCCGCCAACCCTATTGCTCCTGCTACCCCGGGTGCTCCCGCCGCCGATGGCTCTTCCCCCGCTGCACCCGCTGCACCCGCCGCCGCCGCCGCGGCGGATGGCTCCTCTCCCGCCCCTGCCGCCGGCGCCGCGCCTGTCAGCGAAATGTCTGCAGGTGAGGCCGCCGTCGCGGTTGCCCTGGAGCAGGCCAAAGGCTCGGCCGGCATGCCTCTGCTGGGCCAGAACGCTACCGAGACCGCTTCGACCAGCACGTGCACCAAGATCTGGACTCGCAAGGAGTATTCGACCATGACGGTGGAGGAAAAGACGCAGTTTGCCAACGCCTTCAAATGCGTCCGCTCCAAGCCGTCGCGCTTCAAGTCGGACCCGGGATGGAACGCTGCCGACGACTGGACGCTTCTACACATCCGTATGGTCAAGTACGTCCACTTTAGTGCATTTTTTCTCGTCTTCCATCGAGGGTTCTCGGCGATTGTTGAGCGGGACTTGCAGGAGTGCGGGTTCCAGCTTGGACTGCCATGGGTGGACTGGACCTTGACGGCGGAAGATCCTAGTACGAATGCGATTTTCGACGGCAACCCGGCGTACGGCCTGGGCACCAACGGCAAGGGCAACAGCACCAACTGTCCGTGGAAGACCGGTACGGAAGTGACGGACGGGGCGCTTGCAGATCATTGGTTCAACGCGCCGTTCAAGCACAAGCTGTGTCGTCAGTTCAACAATATGGATGTCAAGCTTCCCAATGCGCACTTTGGCTCCAACTGTACGACGTTTATCAGCGAAAGCTTCCTCAAGGGTCTTGCGATTACGCACAACGACGGAAGCTTCTTTGACTTTTCCTCTGCCGTCGAAATCTCGCTTCATCTGGCAATGCACACGAGCGCAGGAGGTAATCTGGCCTGGCTGTCTACGTCGGTCAACGATCCCGTGTTCCACTCGCACCACGGTCATGTGGACAACCTGTACAGTTCATGGCAGGACATGAATCCGAAGAACAAGAGGGCTTTCCATGGGCCCAAGAAGCAGCAGAAGGACGGCGCCCATCCGCCGTGGAATGCCAAGCGGACGGATATGATCAACTTTGCCCCGCTGGCGGATAGCGTTGCGGTCGAGGATCTGCTCGACCATACGAGTGGCAAGTGGGGCGGTAGAATGTGCTACAAGTACGACCGATCCATCGACCTCGGATCGAGCTCGTAACGGCCTTGAAGCGACACCTGTCAGACTTGGCAAAAGCAAGATCTCTCGGCTCCAGCCACACTCAATTCCGCTGCACGGCGCTGCATCCCCAAGGGGACTGTGCGGACCTCCAACCCCCTCACTCCGCTCTTCGTCATTCCTGCCTTTGTCTTCATCGCCAGCTTCTACTAGTTCTTTTCTTTCTATTGCATCAGATACTGTCATTACCAAATAGCCATGCGGTGCGAATGTGGTATCCCTCGGGCAGGGATGTGAGCAAGCTTGCAAGGGTGGCGCATGTCGACATGCCTCCGAAAATCCGGGCAATGTTAGACCGCGTTTTCATATCGGACGATATATTCGCACCGAGATCGATCCGTGACCTTTTCGGGCAGCGCGGTCGGGAGAAAGCTTGTTATCGGTGCGGGATCTTGGAGGGGCTCATCAGGATCGCAGGTGGCTTTTTGCCAAGGGGCCGTGCCGATTCGTATGGATCTCAACTCGCCGTGCGTGGCTTCAAGCCGACCGTGCGCATTGATCGCCGGCATTCGCTTCACTAGCAACAGCAGCTGGCTATCGGTGAGATTCGAGATCGCGAGCCGAGAACGTGCATCTAAAGGGGTGGCAGTATGAGCGAGCCTGTCAACGCTGAACGCTGCCGAGGAGAGAGATCCCGGCATGAAGACGGGCGCGCGTGTGATGGCCTGGGGACTCCGATGGAGGTGGAAATGGCAACGTGCAGTGTGACGTTGTGGACGCAACAACGTGGCGAGCATTTGTCGGACGTGCTTCCGACTTGTCAGACGATCGAGAAAGCGGCGCCAGCACGCGTCCAGGGCTTCGCTGCCAACAGGGGGTTGGTTCTGATCGGAGCGTCAAAATCGAGCTGCTGCGTCTCACCGTCGCGGCGACAAAAAAAAGGTCTGTCTCGCCTAAGAAGCTTAGCCGTGCGATTGTTGGCGGATTAAGGCTCGTGCTTGATTCCCAGACTGACGTTTCCGACCTGGACCCATCTGACGTGAAGCACGCCGACGCCCGATTGCCCTTTTTTTTCACAAGGCGGCTGCTAGGGGTGCAAAATTCATCTTGGCCCGGCTCTCTCGCGTGCTTACCTCGCGTAGTTGCACCCTCAGTCACCACCCAAGCTTGCCTGAGTTTTCTTATCTCCAACAGGTCCCGGATCACTTGGATCGACTCGTGCCACCTTGTCGACTCGTATGAAATGTTGATGCCGATCACGGTACGAGGAATGCACTCTCGATCAGGGCGACGTGGCATGAAGAGCGACGGTGTGTGAAATCTGAGCTGCAGGTTTGGTCGGAAACGTGCCCCCGCGAGGGGGGAGGCATCGGCGCATGAGTTTTTCCCTGTGATAACCACCCAACTGACAGGCGCCAACAGCTGGTCCAGTGGCGAAAGCGCGCGCGGGCGCAAAGGGTGGGAAGAAATCCAATTTCCTCCGACGGGCATCCACTCTGTCGCCTGGCGCTTGCTGCGTACCTTTTTTCTTCTTCTTCGCAAAGCAGAAAACGAGTGTAATCTTTTTGACGTCTCGGAACCCTATCTGCAGGCGAGCGGCAACGCGGTTGGAAGCTGCATGCACCCCGGCTGTCTTTCTGGTCCTGCTGCTGGGGCACCGCTGTGGCGGCGGTTTTTTCTCATGCACCACCTGCTTCTCACGCTCGGATTGTCCGCTGCCAAGCGAACTCGGACGCCGCACACTCGCCGTGAACACACACCGCCGCAGACCCCAAGCCAAACAACCCCCCTTGACCCTCGCTTTTTCACTCGCAAATCAACTCGGGGAGCGAACATTGGACGAACATTAGAGTAAAGCGAGATGATGCTTGATTAGCGAGGGGTGACCGTCGCAGTGCATTGGATAAGGCAGCACGGATGCAGTCGATAGCGTCGGCTTTGGATACGCTTAAGCAAGCGGAGCGCGGGCAAGGGTCCCGCTTCATTTGGCGGCGGTTGCGAAGCTTCGAGAGGGCCGCGCGAGTGCTTATCGTGCTTTGGGTGGCTTACCGTGAAATCAGAGCTGTTCGGCTGGTCCCGGCTCGGCCGCTCCTCCTGGTCCCGTTGTCAATTGACCGGCTGAGCCGAACGCATACGAGAAGAGGTATTGGCGTTGGCAGCTTCTTTTTCACACACACACACACACACCCTCACCCTCACCGCAAGGTTGCCGCCCGCATCGCATTGGGCATTCCAACGAGGCAACTCATCACGCCACCAACCAACTCCTCCCGGCTCATCACACGGCATCATCCGACCTGCCAAGTCGCCTTGCGTTCTGCCGTCGATTCAGACTCCTTAAGCTCTGTTGCTGCGCTTTATCTTGCAGACCCTGCTTGCCAGCCTCACAGCTTCGGTCAGGCCGAGCCGCATACAGTACTCCCAACTCGACTCGACTCGACTGCTCATGCACACGTTGGCGTCTCGCATCTTGCTCTCAATCCCTCACCGCTCAGCATCGGCCCTCACCACCATCGTCGCTTGTGATCTCCACCTCTGCTCGCCTTCGCCGCTGTAGAAAGGAGCCTGTTCGCTTTCCTCTCCACCACAATCACCTCTTAGCTGCAACGACAACCGCGACATCGCCAACCGTATCTGGGCCGCTGCATTGGTTGGCCGCTGTGTAGCAAACTCGCCAAGGCATCGCCGCCGTCATGGCCATCCCCGCCACAATGCTGTCCCGCTCGTCGAGCAGCTCCGGCTCCTCCACCCCGTGGTTGTCGCCCGATGCATCCTCTAGCACCTGGAGGACATCGTATTCGGCCTCGGCTGACCTCAGCCGCCGCACCAGCTCAGCCTCCACCACCACCAACCGATCCAGCATCCCCGGCTCAGAGCCATCCTACGCTCACGATCCAAACGCCCATGAGTGGTGGGAGCATGTGCTTCCGCCCGGCCAGCTCGCAGAACGTCTTCGCAAGGCGCAGCGCTCTTCGAGTGCCTCGCGTCGACGAAACAACCCGGCGCTCGCCAACGCCACGCCTTCCGAGCGCAGTGCCTGGAAGAGGCTATCCGGTCTGCCCCGGGAAGAGCCTCACCACGACAGGTCTGCATCTTCCACCGCCGCTTCCAGCCGCCGCTCCTCCTTCCAGGGCACGTCAGCCACCCTGCCCCGCTCGGCTCTGCGCTCCAGCCTCCGCCATGCCGATTCGACCGCGTACAGCCACGCCCACCACTCCAGTCAGCCCGGTTCCAGCGCAGAGGTCTCTAGCGACGAGTACACCGCAAGTCCCACCGGCCGGCACAGCCCGCCCAGCAATCTGCGCTACGTCTTTCCCAGCAGCACTTCGGCGTCGGCGCAGTCCGGATCCTCTCGATTGTCTGGCGTTCGCACCACCGGCAACAGCCCCGACTTGGCCTCGTCGCAATGGGCAGCAAGCTCATCCACATCGTCGCCACACGCACCTGCGGTCGATGCCAGTCACGCAGCCTCTCGCGGCTCGTACGGTCGGCGTATGCGCGTCATGAGCGAAGACGGCATGGCATCGTCGGTGTTTGCCCATTCGAACGCGGCTTCGTACCGACTGCCGAGCTCGCATTCCGCCATCCACCTCAGCCACTACGCTGCCACCCAAGACCGAGCCAGGCCTGCTTCGCTGCACCACTCGCTGCCGGACACGCCCGAGCTCAGCTCCGATGACGGCGCCGACCATGTGCACTTTGCCACCTCCTCGTCCTCTTCCTCCACGACTACCACAACACAGCGCACTCGTCGCATCAGCACCACGCGCACCACGATCCGATCCAGCCTCACGTCTCCCCCAACCATCTTGCGCTCCGACTTTGATCGACCGGACCAGCCGATCTTTGCTGTAGGCCAAGACGAAGCGGGCAGCGCACGTCACGAACGACACGTCAGCTTTGATACAGTGCCAGAGGTGCTGCGACGGGCCAGCGTTCACGAGACCCCCACCGCAAGCCACAGTCAGCCGGCGTTCAACTTTGGCAGCGTGCCCGGCCGCGAGCACTCCAGCCCGTTCGACACGCTGCCGCCACGATCCAACAGCACGCGCCGTACACGCCACGGTGTGCGCGCGAGCGGAGGCAGGTCGACGAGCTTCTCGCTACCGGGCAGCCGTCGCAACTCGATCCTCGGGGATCGTCCGTTTGAGTTTGGGCACGCGGGCGCGCATACCGCGGGCTCGAGCCATCGACGCACCACGTCGGTGCCGGACGCGGCGCTGCTCGACAGCCTCAATGTGGCACACAAGCAGCTGGCGTCGGCGGGCAATCTGGCCATCACGCTCACGCGCCAGCTGTCGGCGCCGCTGCGGCCCGTGCTGCAAATGACGCTGTTTCTCAGCATCTCGAGTCTCACGGTGCTGTCGCTCGCGTGCTTTCTGTGCGCGAGCTACATGCTCACTGCGTGGGACGACGTGAGCAAGCGCTCGCACCGCGTGGGGCAGGTGGCGGGCAAGACGCGCCATACGATGGGACGCACGCTCACGTGGGGCATGCGCATGCTCGGTCCTGGCTCGGGCGCGGAGGGCAAGGAGAGCAAGGCCGGCAATGGGGATGCTGCGGGTGCGGGTGGCGTGCAGGGCGAGACGCGGAAGAGGAGGGAGAGTGCGTCGCGCGGGGCGGTGTCGGCGGCGGGACATGCGATGCTGTGGCCGGCGCGCATCGCGTGGTCGGGTGCCAGTACCGTGGCGTTTCTCGTGACGCCGCCGGCGGTGTCGCACATGTTCACGCACGGCCGCGAGGGGCAAAAGACGAAGCCGCGATCGACGCTGCCACCGCGCCCGCCGCTGTCGACACTGCTCCCGTCGATCCTGTTTACGCTACTGCTCGCGCTCGGTGCGGGGCTGACGACTTTCATGGCGTCGCGCAAGGCTGCAGCTGCAGCGGCGACGGCGGGGGCGGGCGCGCGCACCGAACAGCCTGCGTCGTCGCAGCCGTACACGGTGCCGTCGCCAGGCGTGCAGTATGTGCATCTGCCCGCAGCGTCGCCGTTTGCGGGTGGGCATAGGGCCAGTGGGATGCGGCCGAGGAGCCAGCAAAGCGCCCAACGTGTGGTCTAGGCCCGCGCGCGTCGCGGAAACGGTGCCAGTTGATCGTATGCAATTGGACATCGTCACAGGAGTATGACAATGCGTGTGGCGCGTGATGTGGGTGGTGATGAGCGCGTGCATCTTGAGTTCGAACGCTCAACTGGAGTGAACGGAGCTGCGTGGTTCACAGTATGCCCGCGCGCCGTCGTGTGCAATTGGATTGCGTGGCTGGCATCACGATGCAGTGATGTGCAGTGTAGCGCATTGTAGGGCGAGGGCAGTGAAGCGGGCGCGTTCGGTTCGGTGCGGCTTGAGGAGGCTGCATTTCTACTTCTACTGGCCGGACGGGGGCGTGGGTAAGCAGATTTTGAGCGCCAGCAATACAGTATCCGATTGAGCTTGCTGGACCGATTGAGGTGCAGAGGGTGAAGGGTTGAGCAGGCGCGCGTCGCTCACATTTGTCCTTGCGGCGGTGGTTGGGCAGGTTGATTGCGCGCAGGGTGAGAGGGACGGCCCAACTTTGGCTGTCAAGAATGGATCAAGGACACGTCTCGGTTGGGCAAGTGTCAAGGCTATGGACTGGGAGCGTAAGGCGTGTGCATGCCGAGCTAGCGCGAGGATCGATGCTCGTCTGCGTAAAGCAGTGCGGCTGGTGCATCCACTTTGTAACTGTCACGGCTCGACTTGCAGTTGCAGTTGGAGCAAGGGCGGTGTTGCGCACGCATCAGCAAGGATTCGAGTGCGGGATCCGCTCACCCACGGCGCTGTGCAAAACTCACGCTTCCGTCGTGCATCGGCGTGTGCAATTGCGTTCACAGTCGGCCTGCAGCGTACTGGTGGTGATGTGATGGATAGCACCCGCGCGGAGCTTGATCTTGCAACGTGCAGTCAGACAGGGTTGCAAACCTCGAACCTTGTGCCAGCATCGTGCGGCAATGCGCAACTCGTTAGCGTACGCACCTCCACACTCGTCGGCACGAACCAACACCAAAGCGATGGGAGGAAAAGTAGAGTGTTGTGCGCGCTTTCCTGCAAAGTCGCCAAATTAGCACGACCTGTGCAAGCAAGGACTTTGGCTCATCGAGCCCAGTGTCGAATCACGCCAAATGGGCCAAGTCACGTCTGGCGATGCCAAACGAGGTGGCCAAACTCGGATGCATTGCTGCACAATCGCCACCTCTCAATGTGTCCCCACTTGGTCCGGCTGGTTTCTTGCGAGTTTCACCTCTTGTTTGAAGCTCAAAGGTTCGAGAGGTGGTGCAGATACAAACCACGCCACCGCGAGGGAGCTGTTCGCTTATCGACGTACCCAAAATCCAGCTGCCAGCATCACTCGTTCGCTGTGTATCATCGGCCCAAGGAGTGAATTGTGCACCTGTGTTCGTTGTACGCACCGCGTCGAGATACTGCCATGTCCCCCCGACCTGCGCTCAGCTTCTTCTTCACACAGTCCTACGCTGACGATCGAGATTCGGGCCCACGCTGTGAATTGTGCATCGAGCAGTTTTGGACTGGGAAGGAAGCGCCTCTCTGTGACGGAGCGGGTTTGGTCGGCTCAGTGTGTGCGGGGCTCGGTCCAGACCATGCCTTGTGCCTCTGCCCACGCTCGAGCAAAAGCGGGTCGGATGAGAATGCAAATCGCAACCTCGAGCGCTCACACACTGGATCCGCTTTGCACAGCAGTCGCAGCCCCACTGGCGGAGATCGCTCTTTGTGGCGCTCCGCCAGCGATCCGCGCGCGACCAAGAGTGGAATGCACTAGCGCCTCCTCTGAGCGGCCTGACTTTCTCACATACCCACCAAGCTGGGCGCGAAAGCAGCCTTCAAGTCGACATTGACGATGCAACGTGCCAAGATGCGCTGCTGAACTCGAGCTCGAAATCCTCAGCCCCCCACTCGTTCAATCGTTGTGACTTGTGCATCGAACATTGCACCCTGCACCGTCGGTGGAAGTGAGCGCCTTCGTCTGGCGGAACGATTGGTCCTGCCCATGTCGTGGACCTCTCCCCCCGCACACGACGATTGTAAAGCTTGTCCGCCGTATCTGCCCAGCCCCACCCTGAATCACTTTGTAGGATTGGTTTCATCGAGCATTGGAAATGGGCACCGAGCTCAAAATCCCAGCCTCGCTCCGAGACCCACTGGGGTACAGCTCTGCATCGAAGAGCAAAATTTGGCACGGGGGAAGAATCAGCTTAATCAGTCGTAGCGACCAGATCCTGCTCTGTGTGCGAAACACTTTGTCCAGCTGGATGCCAGTCTCATTCCTTCCACAATGCATGCTGGAAGCATGCACTGCGACCACCGACTTCCGCAACACATGCTCTCAGCCTCACTCGTGTGCTCGGTCCGATCTGTGCATTGAGCATTGCATTCTGCACAGAGGTGGAAGGATAGCACCGAGATGGAAAGTTAGCGCCTGCTCTGTCTCAGCGGACTTGACTTGCTCACTGTACGCGGCACCATGACCAGCTCGAACGCAGCATCTCATCGGTCTGCAACGCAGCTTGGCGATCGACACATGCTGCGATTCGCCGAGACACAAGCCCCAAACCCAGCCGCACTCGTACGATCCGCTGCATTCTGCCCCGAGGTGGAAAATCATCACCGGGGTGCAAGACTAGCGCCTCTTCTGTCGAGGTGTGATCGGCACGTGGACCAGCTCGTGCCTCGTACCTCTTCCCCCAGGCCAAATCAAAAGCGAATCACTCTCGAGTCCGATTCACCCCCCAATCGCGAGCTCACACTGTGCCTTTGCATCTTCCAGCATGAATTGACTCTGCAACATCAACGCCAGACTCACTCGTGTGCTCGTGTGCTCGACATGTGTGCATTGACCTCTGCATTGAGCATTGTCTCATGCTTTTTGCGTGGAGACACTAGCGCCTCCTCTGGCGGAGCGGCTTGATCTGGCGCGCACCCTGTGCCGCCGGACTCGCAGCAGGCGGGGCACCCATACTGAACAGTCCCGGCTGGGCAGTCTGTGGCATCTGGGGTAGCGCCGCCATCCCCCCTGCAGGACTTCCGAACGTAAACCCACCCGCTCCTCCACTGGGCGTGGACGGCGTACCGAATCCACCTCCGCCGAATCCCTGTGCTGTCGCGGGGGTCGGGGTGGAAGATCCAAATCCAAACTGTCCCGCAGGTGCAGGTGCAGGTGCAGCAGCGGCGGGGGATCCAAACTGAAACGGTGCACTCGATCCTGCTGGCGGTGCTGGGGCGCCGAATTGGAACGGTGATCCACCAGGCGTGGTGGGTGCAGCAGCCGGTGCGAGGAACGGCGATGCAGGTGCAGATCCCACCCCCGGCGTCGTCGACCCGCCAGCACCGAACGTGAACCCCTGCGGTGCGGGGGAAGGTGCAGGCGATCCAAATCGGAACGTCCCCCCACTACCCCCCGCACTCGCTGCAGGAGCACCGAATGTAAAGCTCGTCGTCGGAGCGGAACTCGTCGCTGGCGCAGCGGAGGCAGACGTCGACGTGCCACCTCCCACACTGCCCGCAGCAGCAGGCGCTCCAAAAGTAAAGCCCGTCGAGGCAGCGCTGGTTGCGGGTGCAGCACTCGCAGGCGCAGGCGCAGGAGATCCAAATGTAAACCCTCCTGCAGGCTTGGCTGGCGTCGAAGCGGGAGTGGCCGATCCAAACGAAAACGTCGGCGCGCCAGAAGTCTTTTGCGGCGAATCATCCATCATCTCCCCCGCTCCCTGCGTCGTCACTGATGCCGCAGCTGGTGTGGCAGGTGTGGCGGATTTGGCCGCTCCAAAACTGAACCCTCCACCAAATCCACCGGCCGCAGGCGTCGACGCACTGCCTACGCTACCCGCAGCTCCAAACGAAAAGCCTCCCGCTGGCTTGGCAGCATCGCCACTCGCAGCGCCACCAAACGAAAACGTGGGCGTGCTCGTTCCAGACCCAGGCGCCGAGTTGCTCGTCGACGCAGGTGCCGACTCGGCACCACCCGCAGGCTTTCCGAACGAAAACGATGTCGCTGCTGGAGTACTCTTTGCCGCCTCGCCACTGTCGCCCTTGCCAAAGAAGTTCGGCACACTGCTCTGTGGTGCCTCGTCCTTCTTTGCCGCCGGTGCAGCCGTGGGGGCAGGCGAGCCAAAGCTAAACCCGCTCGACGCAGGCAAGGCAGACGCAGCAGGCACGGCAGACGCAGCAGGCTCGGGCTTGGATGCAGCGGGCGCTCCAAACGTAAAGCTCGGCATGCTCTTTTTCGCCGGCGGCTCGTCATCCTCTGCACCGCGCTTGGAGCCCGTCGATGCCGAGGTCGAAGGCGTGCCGAAGCTGAATCCGCCCGAACCGGTACTCGTCGAGCCAAAGAACGACGGCTTGCTCGCTGGCGCAGCAGCCGTTTCCTTCTCCTCCGCAGCCTGCACGGGCTGGGCGGGCTGAGCGGGCTGGGCGGGTTTGGCGCCAAACCCGCCGAACGGCGACGGCGTCTCGGCCGGCTTGGCTGCGCCATCCTTGGCCGCTGCCGCTGGCGCGCCGAACGAGAACCCACCCGCGGCTGGCGCCGGCTTAGCTGCAGGCGCCGCATCCGCCTGGGGCTCGAACTTCTTCATGGTGCTGCCGAAGAAGTTGGGTACGGGACCGTCCTTCTTGCCGTCAGCCAGCGAAGCCGATGAAGCTTCGGCGGGTTTGCTGAAGAAGTCGGATGCGGGCGGTGCGGTGGTGGGCTTCTTTTGCGTGCTCTGCGTGCTGTCGTCTTTGGCACCACTGGCGACCGCGCCAAAGCTGAACTTGGGCGGCTCGGCCGGTGTCTGCTTGGCGGTGGGCGGGAAGGAAAATGAGAGGGCCGAGGCGGTCGGCTTGGGCGCATCCTTCTCGCTGGATGCCGAGTCAAAGCCTCCGAGTCGACCCAGCAGCGAACCGCCTGCCGCAGCAGGAGCAGCAGCAGGAGCAGGAGCAGTAGCCGAAGTGGTCTTGGGAGCCTCGTTGGCAGGCTTGGCAGCCTCGGTCGAGTCCGCGGGCTTGCCGCCAAACGAAAAGCCAGAGGGGAACATGTTGGTGGGCAGCTTGATCTTGGCGAGCTCGGTGGCGTCGGGCAGGCCGTCATCCTCCTCATCCTCGTCCCAGGCGCTGAACTTGCCGGAGCTCTGATGCGTCCTCGACGTCTTGGCAGCTCCTTGGCGCAGCGAGCTCTTTTCGCGCGGCGCCGAAGCGTCGTTGGTGGTCCTGACGGCAAAGTTGTCCTTCTTGACCGCGGTGGCGGGCGCCTTGTTGGCAGCCGAAAGCGCAATGCGGTGCGAAGCGGGCTTGGGCGTCTCGACGGGCGCAACGGGCTGGGCAGCACGCAGCGGCGTGGCTTTGAGTGCCGACTTGAGCTGCGTCGTGCGTGCAGCTCCTTTGTCGTCGACCTTGACGGGCGTCTGCACTGCAGCGTCAGCCATGGGCGTCTGCTTCTGAAGACGTCGCGATCGACGAATCGGCTCCGGTGGAGGCGACACCGGCTGCTCAGGCTCGTCTTCTGCATGCTCCGAGTGCATCTCCTCGTTGTCGGACACTACAGAGCCGTCGGTGTCAGTAGGGTCCGTGTCCATCTGGGCCTCGTCGGCGCGCGTCTTTTTGAGCCTGGCGCGCATGCCGCCCTGATCGTCGGCGCTGGACTGGATCGCCTTTGCCTTTCGCAGATATCGGGTGTAGGGGGCCACGCCGACGGTGGGCTTGGCCTCGTGCGACTTTGCATTTCTGGCCGCCGACGCAGGTGCATCCGAGATGGGCGCCGGCACGTTGATCGAGGTGGGCGGGCCTTTGGAGAAGCCGACGCCGACGCCTCGTGCGGTGGCGGTGGGCTTGCGCAGCGTCTCGAGCACATTGAGCAGGCGCTCGGCCTCGTTCTTGGGTGAGGGCGGCTTGGGCTCTCTTGCCTTGAGCTCCTCGTGGCTGATGAAGCCCAGCTCGGGATGCCACACCATCCTTCGCTTGGATGGCGTTCCCGTGGCAGCCGAGTCGCCATCGACGCTCATGTCGATGTCGCGCTTGCCGAGCCGACTCGGGGTGAGCGACTCGGTCTCGTCCATGACGCTGCCGCCTGCGACAGACGAGGTGGCCATGGGATCGTCGACGGGCAGACCCAAGCTGCGGCGCACGGTGGGATTGACACCAGGCAGCGTGCGAGTCGAAAGGTATTCGCGCATCAGCTCGTCGCCCAACGACGGGTTGGACGGCGCCGCGAGGTTGATGGCGTTCCAGTTGCGTCTGGTGGCGGGCGAGTTGGTAGCCGAGAGGGCGGGGGAGGCAGATCTGAGGCCGACGCTGCCGGCGCGCGAAGTGCGACCTGGGGTACCGGCGTCGGAGAAGAGGCCGGAGCGCAGGGTGGAGCGGCTGGGACGGTAGAGGCTGTTGCGCGACGAGAGCTGGAAGGGCGAGCTGGAGGGCGGGAGGCCAAAGCCGCTGTCGGCGTAGCGAACCTCGTTGCCGTAGCCAAAGGCGGTGCCAAAGGCGCTGAAGGAGTTGGAGTGGCTCAAGGAAGTGGATCCGGACTCGGACATGGCGTCGTCGGGACGGAGCGACGAGCCACGCAGGGCGAGCAGCTGAGAGCGAGGGCTGCGCAGCGTGGTGTAGCTCCTGGAGTGGAGCGCCGGACCGGGAGAGGCACGACCGGCGTCGCTGAGTACTTCGACTGAGCGGTTGGCGTCCCCGGAGCGGGGCGCGACGTCGAGCGTGCGCTTGGAGCTTCGGGTGTTCCACGAGGATGGTCTGTCGGCGTCGGTAGGAGCGTCCGAGGTGGGCAGCGAGGAGGGACCTGGTTGCGGGCTGAGGGGAGCGAGCGACGAGCGCTTGCGAGCGGGCGGCGGGGCGAGGTGGGACATGGAGGCGGAGGCCGGGAGGGTGGATGTCGGAGGATGAAGCTGGCTCTCTTCGTCGTCGTGCAAGTTGGAGCGGGAGCGGAGACCGGCGGCGAGGCGCTCACCCACGGCCCTTGCGGCTCGTGTGGGAGCGTCGCGCTCGTAGTTGGATTGGTCCGAGCGCGGAGGCAGCGAAGCCTGTGCGGCTGCGCGGCGACGGGCGATGGAGGAGAGCGAGTTGGTGCTGGACGAGGTGGGGATGCCGAGGTCTTGTTCGACGGTGCTGGCGGTGGCAGCAGCTGCGCCTGTAAGCCAGGAGAGCGGTTTTGTGACCATCTTGCGAACGCTGCCGAGGAGAGCGATGGGGGAAGCGGCGACGCGCAGAGGCGAGAAGGCGGAGCGCGCGGCCGTTGCTGGGTCGACGGGGGGTGCGAGCGTCTTGGCGGATGGGGTGGAGGGCTGTGCTGGCGAAAAGTCGGAGTCGGTGGCGGCGGCGGCGTGGAGAGAGGAGCTAGAGCCGGAAGCGACGATCATGGACGAAGGGCGAGAGTAGGGCTTCAAGGAGGATGTGCGATTCTGACGAGCCAGGACGCGTGCGCGCGCAGGGCCCGCCATGGGCTTGGCGGGCGAGTCCGGATACTGCGCTGGGAAGTCCATTTCGGAGAGACAGCGTGGACTGTAGGATCAGAGAGCAGGCGGCGAGGTGCGATGCATGAGGAGGTCGGCGCCCGTAATGAAGGATCCGCACGTGCAGATGTGACGGGAGTTGCCGTGTTGGTGCTGCAATCTATCCGCTTTCACCCTTGCTTGCACGCCGATGGATGGCGCCAGGTGAAGCTCTTGGAGGTGGTGAGGAGGAGGGTGAGGAGGAGGCGGAGGTAAGAAGCGAGGTGAATGTCGACCAGAAGAACGACCCCCCTTGTTGAGAGCGAGAGAGAGAGAGAGAGAGAGAGAGAGAGAGAAAGCCTTTCTGACTGCGCTGCCTCGGTCGCACTCGAAATCGCGCGTCGTCTGTTCCGCACCTCACCCGATGCAGAGGAAATTTGGAATCAAATTAGGAGCTCTCGTGTGCGTGTGCGCGGTGCGAGGTGTTTTTGTGTTTTTCTCGTCCTCCTTCTGGCGCCTCGAAAAATAATTGGCTGGGGATGACGACAGTTCCAGACTCCAGAGCAAACGCGCTGCACATCCCGATGGGTCCGATCTGGCATCGCTTCTCACCCGATGGCGCTTAAGTGAGTCTGAGGCTGCACCGGCCTCCACTCTATCCGCACCCGCACCCGCAACTCGCACTCTCGAAAGCTTCGTCCTCTTCATCCCTCCTCCTCCTCTTCCCACCTCGTTGTCTGAAACGTCGTACTATAGAACATAGAACGCAAGATGGTCTATCACATGCTCGGAGCATTCGCCGGTCTCTCGGGTGCCGTGGGTGTCGGACTCGGTGCTATCGGTGCCCATGCCATGAAGTCCAAGCTCAACGCCTATCGTACGTGATCCGCCTCTCCCTCAACCACTCTGCTTCTCGATGCTGACCTTTTGGAAGCCCTTTTTGGTCGATGCTTTGTAGAGATGGGCGCATGGAATACGGCTACGCAGTACCAGCTGCTCCACAGCTTGGCGCTGCTCTACACGCTCAGTCTGCCCCCGACCGGCCCCGTGGTGGCAGCGAGCTACGCCTTCGCTACGGGCATCACCTTCTTTAGCGGATCGATCTATGGACTGTGTCTGACCAAGCCCGACAATCCGGTGCGCAAGCTGCTCGGTCCCATCACGCCCATTGGCGGCCTGTCGATGATTGCTGGATGGTTGCTGCTCGCCTACGCCAAGCGACCGCGCTCGATCCGCTGATTGCTTCTACATTGGCTCGGTGCTTTGCTCATCGTCTGTATCGGTTATGAACAAATCACTCCTCACCATGCCATCTCAGAGAGTATGTGCAACAGCCAACGAGAGGAAGGAAGGCGGAGGAAGGAGGAGAGTCATATTTGTTAGATCGCGAGAATTTGGCAGGGGGATTTTGTCGTGCGAGAGAGGCACGCGTCCGAAGAAGCCCGGCTGGCAATTTCCAGCTGATCGCTTCCGAAGAGTCGAATCGACGGTTGGAAGTGCGCGCGCCCCCACTCTCTGGCGGTTTGGCTCGTCGGCAGGCCATTGGAACACCATCTCCACTCTGCTTCTTGATCTTGAACATCCAACACCTTTGCACCCCCACGTACAAACTCGTTTCAAAATGTCGGCCGCTTCCTGGAGAGCTCACTTCACGTACGTCTCCCACACCCTCACACCCACGCACACCAACCCACCGGAGCTGGAAAACATTCGATTCGATTGGACTGGATTGGTAGAATGCTGACTCGATTTTTGTTTTGGGATTGGGATCAACAGCTTCAACAAGTACACCTCAATCTGCGCGCGCGCTACCCGCCAGGCGCTCAAGGAGGAGCAGCGTGCGGCTGCCGAGCGCCGCGGCTACATGGCCCTGCGCTACCAGGAGTGGAAGGACGGCAAGGCCAGCGAGAACGTAAGTACACCACCACCACCTACACGAGCACCACGCTCAGTCGACCATGCAAAGCAAGCGCCAAAATGGATAGCATACGACGCATCGCATTCGATCATGCTTGCTCGAGATGCTGCATCATGTACGGCGGTGTAACTGACAATGACGTTGCTTCCTTCTTGCTTGCGATCGACAGGTCAACCTCGCCGAGGCCGAAAAGCAATAAGCAGTTCAATGCCAGCCGGTATCACTCACTCCCCTCCAAGGAGATGATCGGCACCGACGTGCATGTATGAAGACATCCCATTGGATGACTTGGTTCGCAGTTCTTCGACGACAAGTGCCAGCGATCTCATCACGCCGCAATCCCAGATATTAGAAGAGTCCGAATCTTGGCCCTGAATGTCGCAGCTCGGCACATGTGTTGGATCGTCATTGACCGACGATGCTCCAGCAGAGTGAATGGTCGGGAGAGCATGCTGACACTGCCACCGGAGCGAGGATACATGGCGTGTGGATCGGATCGATAGTCTGGGTCGTGTCACACGATCGGCCCGATCGGCACAGTCCCCAGGCCGCCCACCGTCCCTCGAAGGCGTGAAGGTCGACAGTTGGGAAGCACAACCGAACAGAGCTTTCGGCATGTCCGCGGGGCGTGCGGAAGAGAGGAAGGAGCGAGGTGTATTGCAATTTTAAAGTGGCGGCATGGCGCGGGCAAATGCGCAATTCAAAGCCAACTGTCCACGTTCGCAGCGCATTTCGCAAAAGGGTCCAACTGGAGCCCTTCAGAAGCTGCGAACGTGGACACGATCGTGCGACCTCTCCCCATCAACCGCCTTGACTTGGCCCCACTGTGCACTGCTGGCTGTCGGCTAGTGCCATGCGTCAACAGAGGCACACGACGTGGCGCGGCCTCCCCCTGTGCTCAGCGCTCAGTCAGCCGCTTCGGCACTCTCTCCGAAACCCAGCCAGGCTGAATGCATCTTTCCGTGTTTGGCAGTGTGACAAGACCGTAGGCACGGTCCTTCCGATGAGCTTCGTGAACAAGCTGAATGTAACTCCCTCGCTCGCTCTCCTTTCCAAACCTCATCTCTGACCGTGTGAAGATCGCGAAGCTACCTTGGCGATCACATCCAGCTCCCACGCCATACCTTTTCGGCTCGATCCCGCCCCACGGCTGTGACCCGACACCATGCTCTACTCTTCCTACGCGGCGCCGCTACCGCCCATCATGGCATCGTCCAGCTCGGCAACCGCCAGTCCGGATCGGTTCGAGTACAATGGTCATCACGTCGTCGCCTCGGATCTCGAGAGCCATCTATGCACGCATGCACTCGTGCGCGATTGCGCGGTCATTGGCGTAGCCCAGCCCAACGGCATAGTCACCACCACAGCCAGCCACGTCAGGATCGAGCACACGCTGCCCATGGCGTTTGTAGCGCTCAGCGCGTCCGGACGCGAACGCTCCGCCCTCGGAGGCGATAAGGAGTCGCGACGCATGAAGGCGCAGCTCACCAAACACCTCGTCGCCGCCGCACCGCTCTTCAAGACGATCAAGCCGCGGCTGCTGTTTGTCGAGTCCATCCCTCGATCCCCCATGGGCTCACTTCTTCGCCATCTGCTGGTGGACAAGGCCATCGCCCCTGCTGCTCCCGCTCCGGATAAGGGGTTCTTCAACACGGTGCTCGCCGAGCCCTCGACATCGCCCAAGAAGGGTGTGCGTGATTCGAAGCGACGCGCGACGCACAGTCAGATCGAACGCAGGCGGCGCGAAAAGATCAACGACCGACTCGTGACGCTGCGCTGTATCGTCCCCGCGTGTGCGCAGGAACTTGCCGACCGCCGACGCCAAAAGCAGGAGGACGAGGATGAGGCCGCCAGGATCGCGGCGGGTGGAGCTCCCAGGACGTACATCGATGCGGCAACGGGAAAGCCCAAGCGCAAACGAAACCGCAAGCGAGTGGATAGCAAGAAGGCGGCGGGGGAGGACGAGTTGGGTCTGCACAAGTTGGATGTGTTGACGCATGCGATCAACTACATCTTTGAGCTCAAGGCGCACATCCACGCGTTGGAGACGGGCGAGAGGCCGCAGCACGTGCCTACGGCCGACAATCCGTTTGGAGTGCGCAATGCGGATGGATCGTATCGGCAAGATGCAAAGATGGAAGACGCCGACGAAACCCAACCCCACGACGATGATGAAGAGGAGGAGGAGGAGGAGGACGAGGAGATTGAGGCGAGTGATGACGAGCCGCTTTCGAAGCGGATTCGCGACACGGAGCTGCGCTCGCACTCGACCCATCGCTCCTCCTCCTCGGGTGCAAGTACGGACATCTCGCCCTGCTTCTCGCTCATCCACACGAGCCCATCTGCCATCTCGCCGGCGACAACGACCATGTCGCCGATGATGAGTCTCGCCGCCGAGTCGCCGATTCTGCTTCCCGATGCGGCCATGCCCCTGCCCAAGCGTGCGGGACGCGAGTCGATCTCGCTGCTCAAGCACCTTTCGCTTGCATCGCCGAGGGGTGCCATGGGTCCGGCGTACGGAGAGCAGAGCGAGGTGCGCAGCAAGACGCCCGGACTGGCAGATGCCAGGGACGCAGCAGAGTTGTTGCTGAACTTTTCAACTTCGCCAGAGGTGTTGAGACCCCCAAGGGGTGGCTTGGCGAGTCCGCCGCTGCTCGCACTCGATGCGCCGCACGAAAAGTCGCCCGAGGCAAAGATGGACAAGGCGTAGAGGTAGAGATGGCGCTGGGAATTCGAGCTCGAATTTGACCATGTGTGGGCTTTGTTCGCGTCACGCAGGGAGTGGTGAGTTGATTGCGCTCTTGAGCAGAGAGGACGAGCTCGGTTGCACCAACGACGTCTAGGATTGGGTTTGGCATGCAATCCACAGTCTACACTCGTAACAAAGCTGAGGAAGTAAGGTGTGACGCACTATCATTGACCAGCTCGATGGAACGCTGGATGACTGTAACGGCCTTGGTAGGAACTTGCGGAGCCGTTTCCGGTGCAAAAGGAGCATGTGGCAAGAAAAGCGCTCGAGAAAGCAGCCACCGCTGCGGTTGGCATGGGACCCCCAACCCTCCTACTCAACAGCCGTAAACTGCCCAACTCCCCAGCCACGTACGTCCCTTTGCGAGTGAAACACTTTGTGGGTGTCAGCAAAGATTGCCCGATTGCCATGCGCACGCTCTGCCATCAAAGCCCGACTCAGATTGCGAGAGAGTGCGATACAAAGCTACACGACAACTCCCACTTGGATGCAACAAGTGCTCGGCCCCAAGGTCAATCTGCGCTTCTCACCAACCTCACGCTCTCCATCGCTCATCGCCACTTTCAGCGTGTGCTCGGTACGCAGTCACAACGCCGAATACCCTCCTTTCACGCAACACTGTGGCACAGCTTGATCAACGTCTGCCACATCGTTTCACCCAACGCACTGGATGAGCACAGAGTGAAAGCTCGATCGTGCATTCGCGTGCGATGCTGTTTCTTTTACAAGTGTGCACGGCAGGTCACGCGAAAAAGTCCCACTCGCGCTCGACAAAGCCGAGCATGTAGTCGTCGACCGTGCCACCCTCCTCCTCGTCCTCCTCTGGCTGCACGACCGGCTCGGCCTCTGCATCAGGCTGCACCTGCGCCTGCGGCTCGTCAAACTCGTCTTCGTCGACCATCTCCTGCCTTGCAGCCAATGCGGCCTGTCGGTCCTCTTCGTCCTCTGCGTCCAGAAACGCCCGCTCCACCTCGCGACCCGTCTCGCCGGCCTCGTCGATCTTGACCTCGACATCGCCGAGCCTGCCGCCGTCGTCGAGCATGTCGCGCCAGTCGATGCGCTTGGCCAGCGTCTCGGTGTTGAACTCGCCCTGCTGAATCACAACGCTGTCGAGCAGCCGCTTCTGATTCGCCTTGCGCAGCATGTTCTCCTCGATCGTATGCTCCGTCACAAACCGGTAGATGTGCACATCGCGCGTCTGGCCGATGCGGTGCGCTCGATCCATACACTGCGCCTCGATCGCCGCATTCCAATCCAGGTCGTAGAACAATACCGTATCGGCACCCGTCAGATTGATACCCAACCCGCCACTGCGCGTCGAAAGGATAAAGGCCGAGATGCGAAGATCGCGGTTGAACTTTTCCGTCAACGCCTGCCGCTGCTCCACCTTGGTCGCTCCATCCAGACGCAGGTAGCGGTAGCCGTGGTAGTTGAGAAACGACTCGAGAATGTCGAGCACGCGCGTCATCTGCGTAAAGATCAGGATGCGATGTCCTCCGTCCTTCAACCGACGCATGAGCAGGTCAAGCTGCTGAAGCTTACCGCAGTCGTACTGCAGCAGCGACGCATCCGGGAAGGCAATGTGCAGCTTCACCGCCACGGGATGCACCGTGTCGAACTCGGGCTTGACCATCTCGGGCTGCTGGTACGGTTCGAAGCCTGCCAACGCCCAACGAGGCATGTCGACCGCGACGGCGCGAGGCGTCACAAAGGCAAAGCGGTCGATCACTGGCTGCATGTTCTCGCGCCGCGTCGAACGCGACTGCACCATGCGCAGCAGGGTGTCGCACCTGTCCAGATAGCCTCGACGATCGCCCTCGTGCTGCTCGGCAGGCTCCAGGCGCGCCGGTCGGCCCGCTTCGCGAAGCATGCGGATCAGCGCAGCGCCATACACCTGCCGCTTGGTGCAGCGATACTGGTTGATGTACGCCACGTGCTTCCACCTCTCCATCTCGCCCACGAGCCGGCGCTGCTCGCGCGACTTGGCAAACCCGTCGATCGTCCACGTCTCGAGCTCCGGCATCTCGCCCACGGTGTCGCGGAAGTACGGCAGCTTCTTGGCCGCATTCAGCCGGCGCAGGTCGCGCGACTCGATCGCCGTCAGATGCTCCTCGCGGTCGGTAAACCGAAAATTGGTCGCATCCAGGTCGACCTTGTCCCATACATCCTCGCGCAGCAGCTCGCGCCGCACGAGCAGCTCCTTGATCTCGTAGTCGGCCACGACCGAGCGCGGCATGGCGAAGCTCGTCACGATCGGTCGCACCTCGAACAGGTCCGGGTGGTTGCATACCTTTCGGAGCTGCATGAGACAGTTGATGATGCTGAGGTAGTTGCCGCTCGCCAGGCTCTCGCGCGTCTTTGCGCGTGACATAAAGTCATTGTACAGAAATCGCTGGCGCTTCGACAGCCGGCACGTGATGACGTGTTCGTACTTGCTCGGCAGCTCCTTTTCCACCTCGCTCTTGAGTCGCCGCAGCAGGTACGGCCGCAGCACCGCATGCAGCTTCTGCACCATGGCGCGTGTCTCGTCGCTCATGCTGTTGCCGCCCTCGATCGCCTTGTCGAGCGGGTTGGAGAACCAATCTTGAAAGTCCTTCATGTTGGCAAAGGCTCCGCCGCCCGGCAGCTCGCTCACTCCGTGCGGCATGAGAAAGTACATGAGCGACCACAGATCCATGAGGTTGTTCTGCAGCGGTGTTCCCGTCAGCAGCAGGCGTCGCTGCGAGTTGAAGCCGAGCAGCGTCTGCCAGCGTTGCGACCGAAAGTTCTTGATGTGGTGCGCCTCGTCGAGTACCAGATACACCCACGGCTTGCGGCGGAAGATGTGCTGGTCGGCCAGGACGAGTTGGTAGCTGGTGATGCACACGTTGAAGCTGTTCTCGGTATTCCAGCCGATTCGCTTCTCCTTGCGCTCCTTCTGATTGCCGTAGTACGAGAGGATCTTGAACCCGGGCAGGAACTTTTTGAACTCGACCTCCCAGTTGAGCATCACACTGGTCGGAGCCACGACGAGGTGCGGACCCCAGACGCCCTTGTCACACGCGAGGTGAGCAAGCAGCGAGATGGTCTGGATGGTCTTGCCCAGGCCCATCTCGTCGGCGAGGATGCCATTGACGCCGTTGGCGTACAAGCTGGCGAGCCACTCGAAACCGATCTGCTGGTACGGACGCAGCTGGCCGCGGAGCAGGAAAGGCTGGCGCGAACGAGTCACGGCCCGGTCGGAAGAGACGATGGACGAGGCGCGTGTCATCGAACGACGGCTGCCTCGACGTTCGCCCGTGGCAACGGATTCCGCATCACTGAGCTCGTCGGCCGATTCGTCGGCCTGACGGAGCAGCGCCAGCGACGCCGAACGATCCACCTTCAAGGCTGTTTCTTCATCCGATGCTTCTGTGTCCTTGTCGTCCTCCGTGGCCTCTTCGCCCTTGACATGTTCAACATCCGGCATCTGTTCGTCGGGCTCTTGATCAGATTGGTTGGCTGTGCTGGCGCCGGCATCAGCTTGGCTGTCCTTGTCCTCGCTTTCCGCCTCTTCGGGGCTAGCTCCGTATCCGTATCTCTTGAGCAGCTCCTCGATGGGTATATTGGCGTCCGCTGCGAGGCCGGCATCTTCGCTGTCGTCTTCTTCGTCTTCCTCCCACATCTGGCGTTCGAGCTCAGCATCCTCTTCCTCCGCGTCGTCTGCACCGGCGACGGCAAACTCGACGTCATCGGCTTCCAGCTCGGCGGCCCGCGCTTGTTGTGCCGCGGTCGGCATCGCTGCACCTCTGGCGCGCCTTGATGATCTCTGCGGACGGCTCGATTTAGGAGCATGGATAGGACTAGGCTGCGTCTCGGTAGCAGCTGGAGTGCTCGCGCCCATTGCAGACACGGCGTCGTCGATGGCGTCAACCTCTGCGATTGCAGCTGACGGTGCCTCGACTGCAGCAGATTCCGAGCCATCACGAGCATCGACACCTTCGTCGACATCAGCGTCAGGATCTGCGTCGCTTGCTTCATCCTCAGACTCGGCCGGCTCGGCGGACTCGTCGCTGCCGTAGCTAGTGCGATCACTGTTGCCATCCATGTCGCTGTCCGAGAAGCCGTCTGGGTTGGTGGTCATGACTTGGTGTTGCTTCTTGAGCATGGCTGTGCTCTGTTCGAGGATGGCGTTGAGCTGCTCCTTGTCGAGCTTCTCCTTCTCGGCCTTTTCGGCTGCCGCCTTGCGCGCCCTGACCACGTTGACGGCCAAGCGCCACTGCTTGAGCACTTCACGCAGTGTCCACTTTGCCAGCGCGCGGATGCGCTTCTCCTCGGCCTTCTTCTCGCGCTCGGACGAGCCGAGCTGACGCTCCCAGTGCTGGGCCACCATGCGAGCCACTCTGCGCGCGTTCTGCTGCCTAGACTTGGCGTGCTGCCGCATGGGCTGGTAGCTAGCAGCCACAGCATCGAGCAGGTGGTCGTGATGCGACTTGGTCGTGCGTGCCGCCTTGGCGGGGACGTGACGTGCGATTCCGCCGGACTCGGGATGGATGGGTAGACCCGCACGCCACCTCTGATCCCTGTGGAGATATGTCTGAAGATCTTCGGCCTCAACCTCGGCCGGATCGCGGCCGCCCTCGCCATCGCGCAACAGATCGAAGGAAGTCCAAAGAGCATCGATGTCGCCGCCAAAGCGTTTGGGAGCTGGAACTTGATGTGGAGCCAGGATGTGCAATGGAGGAGCGTGTTCGGGAAGCGGTCGAGGCTGATGTCGGAGGATGAAGGCATCGAGCTCGTCGAGCGCTTTGCTCTTGCGAGCACCGCTGCTGCGCTTCGCAGGCGTGTCGAAAGAGTCGTCTGCAAAAGAAGATTGCCTTTTGCGTGAGGATGCCGTCGTCCGCGATTGCTTTTGCTTTCCTTTGGACCGACCTCTGGTGCCCCTTTGCTTCCCTGCCCTCCTGGCTGCTGCTTGGCTGTCGCTCACGTCCGAGACGTGATCTTCATTCTGGCTCTCATCGTCGCTGGTTGCGCCGTCGGATGCATCTGCCGTGCTGCCGCGGGCCTCGGGCTCAGCGGTGCTGGACGAAGCGCGACCGGGGAACCTGTCGCTGGAGCGGCGCTTGCTGCCGTTCTTTGCAGGAGTCGTGCGCGTGGCTGGACTGGTGGGAGGAGGCGGGCGTTTCAGCGAGAGGCTCTCGAGCCTGGCATTGACGCGGCGACGAGTGACACGGCCTGAACCGGAAGCTTCGGCGCCCGAGCCGGCATCGTCGAGGCTGAAGCGAAGATCGTGGGCATGCTTGAAAGTGGTGAAGACGTCGCTCTGGTCGTTGCGCGCTTCGTCTGGGTCGTAGCCGACCATGGTGACAAACTTGGTCAGGTGGAAGAGCTCGCGTACGAGCATGTCATGGCGATCGTGCACCTCTTCGAGATCCGACTGGGCGACGGCGACCTTCTCGTGTCTACGGCGCTCTAGGATCTGCGGCAGCGGTGTTGCAGCATCGTGTGCACCAATTGGGGTGATCTGTGGCCTTGTACGAAGTGGAAGAGAAGGCTTGGCAGGCGACTCGGCTTGGCCCTGATCGGAGAACGAGTGCGTCTCCGATTCGTCTTGCTGGAAGGCCGATCTGCTCCTCGATCTGGATCGATCCGACCGATTCGAGCTGGTCGAGGCGATGGGGCCTGCGTCCGTGCCGACCCGAGTCGTCTCATTTGGCGCGTCAAGGTCGGCTTCGTTGGCGTAAGGTTTGGGTGAGACTGTCGGCGTTAGTCTAGGTTTCGCATCAAAGAGTTCCTCGTCCCGCAACGATGCGGAGACTTGCTGGGGACGCGATTGAGACGCCCTTCGATTGCTCGTGAGACTGCTCGTCGTGCCTGCGCCGTTGAGCGTAGTGCTGCGACGGGGTCGGCGTGCCCGACCGGGAGTGTCGCTGCTGGTCTGCTGCTCGTCGGCGTCGGCATCCTTTTGCAGCTGAAACGCGGGTCCCGGACTGGAGAAGGCTAATTCTGCAGCGAGGCGCTTCCTCTTGACTGGTGCGGCTGGCGTTGCCTCATTTCGAGGAGAAACGGATCTTTCGCCCGAGGTGGATCCTTGCTGTGAAGTCTCGGCCTGCGACGCGTCGCCGTTGGTGGCTGCAGCTGGAGCGTCGTGGCCATTCTCTGCGCCGCTCTGGTGGGAGCCGCTCACATTGCTGGCGGATGTTTCTGCATGATGAGAGTGAGTGCCGCCAGTTGACATGAAGGTGGGGCCGTTTTGCCGGGATGCCGATGCAGCTGCGCCGGATGCACGCAGGAGCAGCTCCTCTGCCTCTGCGAAATGGTCTGCGCCAACGAACGTGTGCTGCGCCACACCGCGCACTCTGCGAGACGAAGCCGAGTCGGCGAGCGACGGTGGGAATCCAACCTTGTTGTGGTGGGCTCGGACTGAGGCTCGGTGTGTGCTGGGTCGGGCTACGGTTGGATCATGGATTTGTGCCCGAAGCTGATCTGCTGATCCGACGGAACCTTGCGCTTGCAGCTGAGCCGCGTCAAGCTGAAGAGCAGATGACGGTGGGAGCGATGCGAAACTCTAAGTTGGTGGGAGCGCGGAAGCACGGACCGATGGTGAATGAGAGAGCCGATCCGCTGCCGTGCCGTGCAAATGTGATGGTCCGCAGAGAGAAAAGTGAAGGCGCTCGGAAGTGTGATCTCGTGAAAGGGTCGAGAAGGTTGTCGGAGGAAAAGGATCGGATGCAGATGGGAAGAGCGGATGTTGCTTGGGGAACATCCGAAGGGCTGGCTGAAGCGGCAGGAAGGGTGTGCTTTGCATCTGGCGTCTAACTTTCGGCCACTCTGCTGCTGCAGAGTGATCCGTCGACGGCGGGCTGCGTCGGCTGAGCCGCCGCGTTGTGTCTCGCGACAGAGTTGTGCTGCTCCTGAACCGCACTTTTTCCACTTTTGCAAGAAGCTGCGTCAGATTCTTCGCGCATCCAAGCATGAAGCCGGCATTTTCGAAAAAAGGGTCGCGCGACCGCGAAATCCCTGCTCGAAAATCGGGTCGCAAAAATCACGAAATACGCTCGTCGGTGGGAAAAATGTGGAGTCTGCGGGGCAGCGAAGCATGAAGAGGCTGCTTCGAGTGCCCGGGCCATGCTTGCTAGAGAGCCATCTTCCCACACCCTCTGCAAGTCACCTTGGATCTCGTCCGAAGCCTTCTTCCACTGCAAACATGCCCGTCATTCACATCGTCCTCGTCAAGGTCAAGTCGGCCGTGCTCTCCAACGGCTTCGACGAGCTCAAGCAGAAGTGCGAGACGCTCAAGGATCTTCCCATCGCCGCTTCCAAGGCCACCGAGATCAAGTGGGGGCCGCCTGCCTATCCCGGCCGCAACGAGGGATACAACTGGGGTGAGTGTGGACTTGCTTGGATGTGGCCCAAAGTAGCAAACGAGCAAAGTACTGACCGGTCCGCCGTGGCCTCTTGTTTCTGTTCCTGATTCCCTTTCTGTTCCTGCTTCTCGGCCCGACGGAACCTCCATTCCGCAGGTCTCTACAGCGTCTTTGCAACGCGCGAGGACTACGAGGCGTACCGCGACGACGACGAGCACCGAAAGTACGTATTCAGGCACCAGCCTCCCGTCGGCCCCGTTCCGACTCGCTTCGCCCCCTCGTGTGCATGCATGCTGACATCGCTCTCGCTCGGCTGTGTTCCATTTCGGATCGCAACGCAATCTACAGCTTCTCCAAGACGGTCCTGCTGCCCAACGTCGACGGCATCCTGGCCTACGACTTTGACATCTGAGCGCGCCATCGCTCAGGCAGACATAGACGTGCGATCACTTAGACGCAAGCATCGCTCTTCCCAGGTGCACCTCAAATCCAAGTCGTCGATTCAAGTATGCGTGCGGCCTGTGGCAGCAATAGACTCGCGGCACACAACAGAGCGGCAAAACATTTGGGGCCAGGAACGAGAGACCCTGGCGTCCCTGGGAAGCTCCGATATCGATGTGCCTGAAAAGAGGCAGCACACGAGATGCACAGGATCGCGTGGGAGCGACTGTGACACTAGGGGTGCCGACAAAGATGGCATGCTTGCATTCCCACGCTCGGGAATTGTGACTTCTCAAAGATCGACAGCCAGCGCTGCCAGAAACGCTGTCCTGAGTGGCCCCTTCTGCGCGTTTTCTCCTTCAGCTCGTTTGTTGAATGCTCTCAACAACCTGTCATCGCAAGTATAGCTGCGGGAACTGCAGGAGCAGACAGTGTCGTTTGCCAAGACAAGGGCACCGGCGGTGTGTTTGGGAAGTGGCAGGGGAGCGATTACGAGCCGGACCTGACGGCCAAAGAATGCACCATGAGACATATAAGGTGAGGATGGTCATTGCCCGCGCTCAAGTCTCCATCGGCAGCTCATAGGGGTCCATAGACAGGTCGAGACTGTCTCACACCATTGCTCGCACACAACGGCAAGTGTGCATTAGAAAGCTACGAGTATGGTCAAGGTAAAGCGTGAGGGTCGAAAAGCCAAACGGACTACCGTACCGCCTCGTGTGCCCGAGGCCGACGCTGCCAAACGAGAACGATCGCTGCGCGCCTGCACCCGGTGTCGTGCTCGAAAGCAAAGGTGCGACAATGCCCTGCCTCACTGTAGCAACTGCATCAAGGGCGGCGTAGCATGCGAAGCGTTCCCTATCAACGTCGTCTCGCGAGAGAATCTGCTACAGTGAGTTCGTCCTTCGCCTTCGTAGTCGAGCGCCTTTAACGGAGCCAGCTAATCTGACAGGATTGCCGAATTGCAGACTGTACGATCAACTGCAGGACAGCACACGCCGCAACAACGTGCTGCAGGAAGAGCTCGACGTGGTTCGGCTGGTGAACCACGACCCGCTCAGTCAGTTCAGCGCCTTGGTCGCTCATCAGGTGAGCCCAGCACGTCGTGGCTCGGAACGAGGTGAGTTACGTCGCTGACAATTTGCAAGGCGGGATCACAGGCCTCAAACAGTCGAGCTGGCGAACACGCGATCTGGACGGCGCAAGAGCTCAAGTTAGTCCAGTCCCACAAGCCATACTTCAAGTAACGCCGTTTGGGACGCATGTTGACGCGGCGCCGTACCGCCTCTGCCGGTCATTGTCTCTCTTTGTCTTGATGCAACGGTTCCTCTTGGGAAACACAAACACAGGCACGAAGGGAGCCTCGCATGTTCGCACGATCAGCGACAGGAAAGGTCGACCACCCCTGCTCTCACCACGAAGGACAAAAGGAAGAACGCAGCCTTGCTTCCTCGATCGAGCGACAAGCAAGCGCCTGCAATGCCAGCTCTCGAGGGCTTTGCGGAGATCCTCGGAAGCTGTTTCCCTGCCGTCGCCCCTGCCGTGTGCTTGGCGGTGAGCAGCGTCACCACGCCTCGAATGCACGAACGCGCGAACAATGTCGCTGCCCTGGCCTCCCTGTAAGTGCCTTTCCGCTTTTTGCGAACAAATGGTCTGAAGGGCAACATCGAGCTGATGTTTACTCTGCCGCAACAGCCCCATGCAGGAGCTGTACTCGATTCTCGCCATGAGATCGGGGCTTTCTGGTCAAGCTGCCATCAAAGCCTCGACCGGCCGTATGGAAGCGTCGGTCAAAGAGACAGCAAACACGCTCTTTGCTGCCGCCGACATGACGCGAGTCGCCGCAATCATGCTCTGGACGCTTCTGGCGCTCGTCAAGCGTCGCGTCGAGGACCTCTTGCGACTCGACAAGGTGCTGACCGGCTTTATGAAAGTCTGGCAGAACAGAGCGGCAGCCGAGGCCTCCGCTCTGCTATGCGATGTCATGGTAAGATGCGCCGCCGCCATTCCGGTGTTCAGCCACGCGGGCAAAAGGAGCAAGCCTCTGATGCGCGGTCTTTCTGATGCTCCTGGTGCAGACCATCTTCTACCGAGCCTATAGCTGGATCCATCTGCGTGAGTATTTCCCGTTTCGAACGGCATCGAGAACAATTGCGAGACTGACTTTGATGAGTTGCTCGCGTGGGCATGCAGAGACCGCGATCACGGGAGGCAGTCTGCAGATCGAGGTCTCGAGCGTGCTCAGTCTGGACGCCATGGACGCTTCGCGATGCAAGCTTGACATGCGTTCGTTCGCGTCGGCGTTCCAGGTCGAGGTGGCTCGGCTCGAGTACCAGACGCTGTGCCTCTTCTCCTTGCCCACCGGCTGCCTCACGGACATGCAGCACGCCGAAGCGGTGTGGACGCTGCTCACCACGCTCAAGCAGCTGTCGGACGTGTTGGAGCAGCGCACCCTCTTGCTGGGTGCGGGCTTCGACTCGGCGACGCCCGAACAGGATGGCCTGCTGCGGTCGAAGCTGGCTGTGCAGCTATACGGCGTGTTTCCGCGTCTGCTCGCGCGCCACAATGCAGACAGGCGACTGTGGCGATGGCTCGCCAATGCCGGCCCGCTCGCGGCGACCGCGCTGTCGCTGTATCACTTTGCATGGGCGCAATTCGGATGGCTCGGCGACCACGCACTCGACGCAGCAACGCTGGCGGATCTCTTGGCGGCGTAAGTTGGAGCACCGAGCATTTGTACTGTACAGTACTAGTGCGGTTAAGCTGACTTTGGCATTGCGGCAAAAGATTTGCGTGGATCCATCAGCAGCAAACGCTGCACAACGACTCGCGCCCGGACCAAGCCAAGACGGTCGAGGCTGCGATCGAGCTCGGCGAGCACAGTGTAAGCACCGACCCTCCCACTCCTCCTATTGCTTGTACTGACACGCCATCGCTCCCGCCACTCGAAACAGCTGACTCGATGGCCGCAGCTGGGCGGCACGCTCACTTCTACCTTGCACGAGCTGCGCGCCGTTCGCGAGTACGCCGCGTTCGGTGCGCCGCTGTGGCCGTGCGTGCCGGCGTACAGTGCGTCGAGCCCGGCGCAGACGTCGTCGATCCGCACGCCCACGGGCAGCGAGGTGGCGCTGCATCCGGCGGGATGGCCCCACTGGGCGTCCGACGATGCCAGCGCCTCGCTCGCCGCCCAGATGGCCGCCGACAATCCGTGGTGCGAGTCAGAGCTCCACCCGGCACCCCTGCGCGACGAACATCGCATCGCCCCCGTCCTCGTCTACATGGACGAGGCCAACCGCACCTCGTAAAAGCCCGGCACAACCAGCTTTTCCAGTAGGTTAGTGATCTCGCCAATCTCAACGACTTTGCACTCAAAACGTACGAGCAGCGACACAAGCAGCGACACGCGCAGCGACACAAGCAGCGACACGCGCAGAAGGGGACGAGAAAAGGTTGCCATTGCCGGTAAGAACAGCAAGGGACAGAGCGCCTAGGGCATGAGAGGGTTCTACGGTCAGATCCACGCCTCGGTGGACGTGGAGGGACGCGCTAGGACTTAGGCGATCTCACCAAAGCGAGACCGGGTTGGGGGTGAGCACGGGGAGGAGAGAAGAAACACCGACTCGAGGGCGCCAGGTGCGGGGCGCCTCTGCATTCGAAAGTCGGTGGAGTGTCCAAGTCGACGCACCAGGAAGCGGGGCGACGCGACGACGTGAGGACTTTTGCGGCGTCGCGCATGCAAGCGATGGCACGACGCTTAGATGAGGTCGGCGACGTTGAGGGGCATCTCGTCGATCTGGGTCGAGTAGAACTGCTCAATGTCGCGGAGCATGCGGACGTCGTCGGCGGTGACAAAGTTGATCGCAACACCCTTACGGCCGAAACGACCGCCACGGCCGATGCGGTGGATGTAGTTCTCGCGGTTGGAGGGGAGGTCGTAGTTGATGACGAGCGACACCTGCTGGACGTCGATACCACGGGCGAGGAGGTCGGTGGTGATGAGGACACGCGAGGAGCCGGAGCGGAACTCGCGCATGATGACCTCACGCTGGCCCTGCTCCATGTCGCCGTGCATGGCCGAGACGGTGAACTCGCGCGAGGTGAGCTTGTCGGTGAGCCAGTCGACCTTTCTGCGCGTGTTGCAGAAGATGACGGCCTGGGTGATGGTGACGGTCTCGTAGAGGTCGCAGAGCGTGTCGAGCTTCCACTCCTCCTTGTCGACGGCGACGTAGAACTGGCGGATACCCTCGAGGGTGAGCTCGTCGCGCTTGACGAGGATGCGGACGGGGTCGCGCATGAACTTTTTGGTGACCTCGAGCACCTCCTGGGGCATGGTGGCGGAGAGGAGGACGCACTGGGTGTCCTGGGGCAGCAGCTGGAAGACCTCGTACATCTGGTCCTTGAAGCCGCGCGAGAGCATCTCGTCGGCCTCGTCGAGGCAGAACATCTTGAGCTGGTCGGTCTTGAAGGCGCGACGGTTGATCATGTCGTACACACGGCCGGGGGTGCCGACGACGACCTGTGCGCCCTCGTTGAGCTTCGCCATGTCCTCGCGGACGTTGGTGCCGCCGATGCAGGCGTGGCAGTCGATCTTCATGTAGTCGCCGAGGGCGATGACGACCTTCTGGATCTGCTGGGCGAGCTCGCGAGTGGGGGCGAGGATGAGCGCCTGGACGGCCTTGATGCTGGGGTCGATGCGCTGGAGAATGGCGATGGAGAAGGTGGCGGTCTTGCCGGTACCGGACTGGGCCTGGGCGATGACGTCGTGGCCCTTGATGACGGGGACGATGGCGCGCGCCTGGATGGCCGAGGGGCGCTCGAAACCGTAGGCGTAGACACCGCGGAGGAGCTCGTCCTTGAGCTCCATGTTGTCGAAGTTGTCGATGACGGTCTCCCAGTTGGTCTCGATCTCGCCATCGGCGATCTGGAGGTCGTTGCCAGCGGCCGGGGCGGCGGCGGCGGGAGTCTCCTCGGGCCTGCGAAGGAAGATAAGCGAGGGGGTCAGTACGAGGTGACCAACGCACAGAAGACGGATACGAGCTGTGGCATTGCAGCGGTAGTGCGAATGTGCATCGTCGCATGCAGATCAAGAGGCGTGCACGTGTCGCGGCAGGCTGATAGCCTCTTGGCTAGGGCAACCTGCAGCCTAGCCTGGCCGTCGTCGTTACGCATCCAAAGTGCAGCAGCGAGACGGCGCATGCTATGCTGTCTGCCGAATTGACGCCGCAGCCGCAGCAAGGACGGTCGAAGATAGAGACATACTTAGACATGTTGGGCGACTAGGGGCACGAGATCAAGGAGTCGGACTGGAACAAGTCGACGCCTTGAGGGGTGGGTTGTTTTTGAAAGCGCTGGTAAAGAAGTTGAAAGGAGCTGTGACTGCCTTTCAACCGGTGGTGCTGTGTATATGAACGAAGTTGGGGGTTGCTAAAGTAGCAGGTGATGGCGAAGGGGAAAGGAGGGTGGCAGGCGATGGCGATATCAGCGCGGCTCGACGGCGTAGCACACGTTGAGCGGTGCTCTCCCCCTCTCACTCTCACTCTCACTCTCACTCTCACTCTCACTCTCACTCACACGCAGGCCCACAGCTGGCTCGCCGACTGAGCAGCAGAGCGAGAGGGAGAAAAAAAAACTGACGCACCTCTCCCTCTCTCTTTCTCTGCGCAGAGCCTCAGCGCGGAAGAAAGGGGGCGACAGCCGAGACGGCAAGAAGAAATCGATTTTTCGAACTTCTCTCCTTCACACTCGAGGCGGTCGGTGGCTCTAAATTTGGGCAGCGCAGCGCCGACTGAGCCTTTGCTGTGGCTGATGAAAAAAAAGTTTTCGCGCGAGTCGGTCTTGCCCTGGCTGCTCTCGCCTTCACGTCGCGCCGCCAACGCCCGGCCAAAAACGCTTGCGACGATCGACTGCAGGCAGCCATCCCGCTGCCGTTATCCCCGATCAGGTTTACCGCCAATAGTATCGGGATCTGTCAGATCGAAGGCACGACTTTAGGCTCGGCCTTTCCACGTTCTGCAGCTGGTGCGTAACGCCGCCGCTGCAGCTGCGACTCAGCAAAGTTGCGCTTTCCTGCGCAGCGCAGCTCCTCTTTCGTCATTGGCTTCGCCTCCAGGCACCAGGAGGTGGGTCAGCAGCGGTGTTGCTTCTTCGGCTCGCTCTGCGCACGACACACAGTTTGCCGCTCCACACACATTCTCTCTCTCTTCCAACCGACAATCCTTCTTGCTATCCTTCTACAAACACACTCACACTACAGGAGCAATGAGCACGGCGCAAGAAAGCATACCTTCCACACGGCGTGGTGGAGGAGCGACGTCCACGGGGCGAAGAGGAGGAGGCTCGTCGTCCAACTCGTCAAGAGGCGGTCGTCGCGCCAACTTCGGCGGCTCGCTCACCGCTGCCGATGCGAATGCGGATGCCTCTGCCACCAACGGCAACAGCAACAGCAATCGTTCGCGCCTCAACAACTCCAGGCAACCCCGATCCAAGCCAAACCAAGCAGCGCAAGCCAGCAACAACGCCGCACCTGTGCCGCAACTAGCAAGTGCGAACGCAGACAATACGACCACCACCACCGACGACGACGAGGGCGAGCTGCCTCCGGACGTCGATGTGTGCTTCATCTGCGCCGACCCGGTGAAGCTCACGTCGCTGGCGCCGTGCGACCACCGCACGTGCCACATCTGCGCGCTGCGTCTGCTGGTGCTGTACAAGAAGGACCAGTGCACCTTTTGCAAGGCCAAGATCGACCGTCTCATCTTCACCACCTCGCCCACCAAGAACTTTGCCGACTTTGAGCCTTCGGACATTCCGTATTCGGACCGCAAGCTGCCGATCAGTTTCGAGTCCAAGGAGGCGCTGGAAGAGACGGTGCTGCTGCTGCGCTACAACTGCCCCGACGCGAACTGCGAGGTGGCCTGCACAGGATGGCGCGACTTCAAGGCGCACGTGCGTCGCGAGCACGACCGGCTGGTGTGCCAGCTGTGCATCACCAACAAAAAGATCTTTGCGCACGAACACACGCTGCACACGGCCCAGTCGCTCGCGGCGCACGAAAAGCAGGAACACAAGCTGTGCGAATACGACCGCACGCTCTTTTATGGGGATGACGAGCTGTTTGCGCACATGCGCGACCAGCACGAACAGTGCCACATCTGCAAGGCGAGCGGGACACCAGAGGAACGATGGAAGTACTACCGCGACTACAACATGCTCGAGCGCCATTTTCGCAACGCGCACTGGCTGTGCGAGAATGGCGATTGTCTCGAGAAGAAGTTCATCGTGTTTGAGAGCGAGGTGGACTTCAAGGCGCACCAGGTGCAGGAGCACGGCAACGAGCTGTCGAGCAGAGAGCGCAGGGAGGCGATGCGCATCGAGGCCAACTTTTCGTACGACGACACCAGCAGCGACGCGCGCCAGGGCGGAGCGGGTCGATCGGGCGCCGGGGGCCGTAAGGGGAAAGCACGGGCGGAGGCGACGGATGCAGGTGCATCCGGGTCCGAGAATCGCGATGTGTTGGGGGTGTCGTCGCTCGCCTCGCGTGCGCATGTGCCAGGTGCCGGGCCGGCGAACCACGCATCGCGCCGCGCCATGTTTGGATCGGGCCTCACCACCGCTTCGCCACAAGGTGTTGCTGCGGACCGCGTGCGCACGGTTACCGACGAGCGCAGTATCGAGGAGCGTCACCAGGCGTATATGGACAAGGCGTCGCGGGTGCTCGGGGGATCCGAGGCGCGTATCGCCTCGTTCCGCGCGTGCGTACGTGCGTTCAAGAGCGGCGAATCGTCGGCGCGCGATCTGATCAGCACCCTCCATTCGCTCGTGCAGGAGATGGACGACTGCGCACCCCTCGTCAACGGTCTCGTCGACCTCTTGGATGATAGAGACAAGAGCAAGGCGCTTAGTGATGCGTGGGCGGGATACAGGATCGAACGCACCCAGTTTCCCTCTCTTACGCCTTCGGGTGGAGCGGGTGGAGGGGTGGTGTTGGGGTCCGGGTATGCAGGTGCAGGACGTGCACTGAAGAACATCAAGAAATCCTCGGCTGCAACTTCGGCTGTGTGGGACAACGTCGAGCGAGCCGCTTCTGCGTCGTCGGGTCATGGAGCTGGTCGACCAGTTGCCCTACGTGAGCACTTCCCCAGTCTAGGCAGTGCCGGTGGTTCATCAGGCTCGGTGGGGGTGCCGGGTTCGCTGGCGCATGCGGTGGCGCACAATGCAGCCGCCCGCGCTGCAGCCCCGAGTGCAAAGTGGAGTGCAGCCTCGCCCGTCGTGGTTGTGCCCGCCGCAAAGCCGTATGTGGCACGAGCCCACTCAAGCGGCCCCAGCAGGGCTGTGAATGCATCGGCGTTCCCGAGCCTGCCGACGAATGCGGCGAAAAAGGCGATCAACGAACAGAAAAAGTCGCTCTTCAACAAGTCACCCGCTGCCAGTGCCGGTGCTACGCCTGGTGGATCGGGTTCCAACACGCCTTGGATGCCTCCACCCGGCCGAATCGACGATGCGCAGGGGCTGGGCAATTTGGACGGTCTCAGCGAGGCGTTGGTCGAGAGTCAGGAGGGTGGGAGGAAGAAGAAGGGAAAGGCAAAGGGCGTGCAGTTGGCCGCGTTTGGTGGCGTGCATCGTGGGTGAAGAGTCGGGAATGCTCGAGGGTCAAAGCAGACAATCGTTGGCCCCGGACTCATTTGCTCGCGCGGTGGCGTGTCGAGCATCCGGACTAGGTGCTGCCAAACTGCGATGGAGCCCTCGTCATCACGTGCTGCATTCTGCGCTTTCCGTCGTGCGCAAGGAGAGTTTAGAGCAGCAACAGCAGCAGCGACAGTGCAATGCAACCCAATGCGATGCGGTCGCGGCTGTGGACGACGCTGTGCGATTGTGGTTTGCTCAGCGAGGATCAACACATGCAATGCATCCTTTTCTCTCGCTCAGACCGCCGCAGTGGAGGGACTTGCAAGAGGTGGTGTGCCGTTCGAACGCAGCCAGCAACACTGGGACGCAATGCAATGACACTTGTGCTGGGCGGGTGGTGCGGCGACTGCGAAGCGACCAGGCAATGCATTCGGCTTTCTTCATGGTGTGAAATGGAAAGCTCGCCTCGAGGTACAGTAGAGTACGAGCAACGACAGTGCAATGGCAATGGCAATGCCACTTGTGTGCGGTGTTGCTGTGTGGTGCGCTGAGTGTCAACAGCATGCGTCTTGAGCAGGCTTTCGAAGCGAGATGTGCGGTGCGAGAGCAGCAACAGCAACGATGCAATGCCATGCCACCCGCTGCAAGCTGCTGTCGAAATGGGCGGTGTGGGACGGCGGTGTGAAAGCGCGCGAGACTGGCGGTTGTTGATCGAGACACTCGGCCGCATCATTGAGCAGGCAGCATCGCGCTTCCCTCGCTACTGCCCTCGCTGCTGTGTGTGCTATCGGAATCGCTCTTCTTTTCTGCGAACAGGGGTGTTGGTGGTGCGATGGATCGAAGGCGACAATGGGTTCACGCACCACGCGTGTGGATGCAACAAGTGCGTGGGTTGAGTAGCGATCCAAGCTCGTCCACGCTATGCACATGGCCACTCTAAACACGACTGGGCGAGTGTCGAAGATGGTCGGGTGTGCAATCGGTGCTCAGCATGGACGGTTGAGCGCCAGCATCCAAACGCCACGCGCCATTCTTGAATCGAGTGATGCGGTTGGATTTAGGACGTGCATGGCAGCTTTGGCAGCGGCGTGGACTGTTGTTGAGATGGCGAGCAAACCAAGATCGCAACCTGCCCAAGGCAGAGCGCACCACGAGTGCGTTTGCATCCTCGAGGCTTGGGATTTGACACCTCGACGCGCAAGGATCGACATTGCCCAAGATGGTCGAGGCGAAAGCTGCGTGCAATCTGCATGGATGTTGCAAAGAGCAGGCTGGTCCGGGATGCGTTTGAGGAGTGCGCGTGAGCCGGTGGTGCACGCCAATGTGGCAGCAGCATCCACATCCGCTGCACCCGAGTGCATTCCTACCCCTCCCTCTAGTCATACCAGCAGCGTCAAGCGGCTGCAAACCCAGCGCGACATCGTGCGGTTTCGGTCGGTCGTCTTTCATCCATCGCAACCCCACGCTCTTCGATTCGCATCTCGCAATTCGTCATAGTATCACTGCGGGGTAATATACAGCTTAGTTATAGATCCTTCCGCCACCAGGTGCCACACCGGGGGGCAAATTCGGATCGCTATCCAATCGAATCTCGCCCTGATCCTCCTTGTTGCCCTCGTAGCTCGGGTGCAGATCCGGGATTCCAGAGGCGGCCATGATCCCGGCAAAGCGCGACCACAAGTGCGCGATCGGGTGAAACTCGTCGCCCACCGAAACCGTCTCTTCCAGCTTGCGGTTCACCCCATTCACGTTTCCCAAAACCGTCTCTACGCCCTATAACCCCCCCGCACACCAAAGCCAAATGCGTCAGTAAGAAAAGCGACGAAAACGCGAGCGAGACAGGCGAGAGGGCACGACGTACTTTGGAAATGTCTTGGATGAGTCGATCGCGTTCGCGCTCGAAGAAGCCCGCTTCCACCTCGTCGTGTGCATCCATCGTATCAAACCCCGGTCGCAATACCGCAAGAAGAGGTGTGGGGAAAGAGCGATGTCCACTTCAAAACAACCTAGTTCTAGATCCAACCCGGGTCTCCGGCTCCTAAACTGATAATGCCAAGTCCAGGCGGGTTTTGGAAGGCGTGGTGTGCAACGAAAAGTTGTGCTCGTGGTCAAGCCCCCGTGGGTGTGCACGAATCGAAGATCCCCCCGCAAGTGTGTAGGAAACCGCGTGGTGGTGGTGTTGGTGATGGTAGTGGTCGCGGTGGTGGTGACGGTGATGGCCCCGAAAATGCAGCGGAGAACAACACCTGCATGCACGCGTCCCCACCGCCAGCTCCAAATTCCCCCACGCGGCGCGCGCGTCAAAACCAACACACCCAACCCGCCCATTTTCTCTCCCGTACGAAAAAAAAACCCCCAACACCACCCCAACCACACTCCCTCGCTTTCCTCACACACCTCCCCATCCCCCTCTGGCGAACGCCTTCGAGACCGCAAGCGAGCCGCGTACAGTCTTGCTAGACAAACCAAACAACAATACCACCGTGTCATTCCGTCGGCAAGCCACATAGAAAAGACTACTACGCAAACCGATCGTGGTAGCTGCGCGCACCAGCACCAGCGCCGGCGCCAGGACGGCCCTGACCGTTGGCTGGCGGTCGGCCCGCACCACCGCCGCCGGTACCACGCGGCGGCTGGTACGGCTGCTGCGCGCTGCTCAGCGTGCCTCCACCCGAGCGCTGACGCGCGTGCGTCGCCGGCTGCTGGCCGCCCACCGCCGACGAGTGGCCGTACGGCTGCATGGGCGGGAAGCCAGGCGACGACGGCGACGGCGCGCCGCGCATCAGGCTCGCATACTCGCCCGGGCTCGGCGTACGCTCCATCTCGTAGCTGCCCGGCTGGTAGCCGCCCTTGCTGAACACGCCGCCGCCACTCGCCGGTGCAGGCCCGAAGCGCGACGGGATGTCCGGCACCGCGGGAGCATTGCGGTTCGGCGGGAACATGCCCATCTGCGACAGTCGGTGGCGGTTCACCGCCGAAGGATACTGCGGCTGCGCGCCCGGCTTGCCCACCGTCTTGGCGCGGAAGGCCTTGTCGTCCCAGCCGGTCTCGAGCATCTTTTCCATGTCCTCCGTGTCGATCACCACCTCCTGGTCGCCCACCCACACCGAGTGGCGCACAATCTGCACGGGCGGCGGCAGCGACTCGTCGTACCCGCCAATCTGGTTGCCCCACTTGTCGTCGTCAAAGTCGCTCACCGTCACCGAGTCGCTAAACGAGTCGCTCTCGGGTCGCGACAGCGGCATGCCCGGCTCCTTGCGCTCCATCTCGCCGTCGGAGCCGGCGTCGTTGTGGAAGCCCGCGCCAAACTGGCGCTCGAGATCGCGCCGCTGCTTCTCCTCGCGCTTCTTCTTGCGCAGCCGCGAGCGTTCCCAGTCCTCCCACCTTCGCAGCGGTACCATGTTGCCCGTCGCCTGGCCGCCCTCGTCGCCGTGGCCCTTCTGCTTGCCCTCGCCCTCGACCTTGCGCGTCTCTCCCCACGAAAAGTCGTCAAAGTGCCAGAACGAGTAGACGGGCAGCACAAAGTTCCACACCGGCAGCGCCACCAGGTAGATCAACATCCACAGCACGTACACCACCTTGCGCGTCGCCAGCAGGATCAGCAGCGCCGGCATACCAATCACCGCCACCAGCAGCATCAGCGGGATCGCTTCCGTAAACGAGTGCGGCGGGTTGAGGCAGTACGTCACCACGAGCGTGTACGTCAGCGCAATCGACACCGGCAGCACCGCCGTGCCGAGCAGATCCATAAACACCACAAACTGCATCGAGAAGCAGAACGTGCCACACAGATCGCGCACCAGCACCAGCTCCATGAGGTTGTGGATCGTCGAGTTGATCCAGCGGCGGCGCTGTGAGAGCAGCATGCTGAACGTATGAGGCACCTCGGTCTTGCAGCGCGCCTCGGGGCAAAAGACCATCTTGCGGTTCGGGAAGGTGCGCAGCAGCGTCGTAGTCAGGAATCGATCCTCTCCCAACAGCAACAGATTCTTCTGGTGCAGCGTGGTGACGATGCTCTGGCTGTACTCGCGCGTCACCTCGGGCTTGACAATGATGGGCACCCAGTCGTCGTCGGTGAGCTTGCGCGCCTTGATGCGGTACATGGAGAAGCAGCCTGGCAGACACGTCACACCGCCAAACACCGACTCAAACGCCTTGGCCTGGTGGTGCGAGATAAAGTACTCGTACACCTGGATCATGGTGACCCAGCTCTGCGTCTTGTTGGCGATGCGCGTCTCGCCGCACGCGCCCATGATGAGCGGATCGCTCATCATGCAGTTGGCCAGCGTCTTCATCGCCTTGGGATACACCATGGTGTCGGCGTCGACCATGAGGCACAGCTCGAAAAAGTCGGGCGTGACGCCCATGAGCGTGTGCACCTTGCGGAAGAGGTCGTAGTCGAGCGGCGTCATGCGATCGTTGTACGTGACGCGCTGGAAGAAGTTCATGAGGATCATCTGCGAGTCACGCTTGCCGCGGTTACCGGGCTTGGAGTCGCTCGCCTCTTCGGGTGCACCGCACTTGACGACGACGACCATGGGCGTGCGGTGGCCCTTTGCGCGCGTGTAGTGACCGGCGTAGACCATGGCCATGTTGTGCTCCTTCTTGCCCTGACCGATCGAGATGAAGCTCATGGGCGTTGGCGTGCCAAAGCGCGGGTCTGCCTCGAGGAGCGAGACACAGACGTCTGGAGTGCTCATGGCTTCGCCCGATCCGGTGACCATGCCGTCGGCGACGACAAAGAGGAGCTTGCGCTGGTCCGAATAGTCGGTCTCGGCGAGCGAGGTGAGGGTGGTCGAGATGCCGTCCTCGTTCTCCGAGTAGGCAGTGACGAGACAGACGACATAGGGCTCGCCGCCAATGTGCTGAATCGAGAGGCTGTCGGGGATCGAGGGCGCGGCGGAGGCGTTGGAGCCGCGTCGACGACGCACGGGCTGCGACGGTGGCGGACGCTGCTTGTTGGCCCAGGGCGCTGCTCCGGACGAGTTGACAGAGGTCATGGCGCCGTCGGGAAGGACGTTGGGAGCGATCTTGCGTCTGCGCGACGAACGAGGCGGGGAAGCCATGCGGCCCGCCATGAACCACGAGAACCATACGGCCATGAAGAAGCGAATGAGGACGATGGCCAAGATGACGACGAGCGAGCAGTAGAGGACAAGGTTGGAGATGAAGCAACCCGGCGTGATCTTGTCGATGTTTCCGGCTTCATACTTTTGGACGAGACATTTGATGGCTTTGCGAGCGGTGGGATTGGTGTAGAACATCATGGTAGAGTCGCGGCCGCCCTTGAGGCCCGAGGTGAGCTGCTGACGGATGGCAAGGTCGACGACGTCGCCTTGGATGGGAGCCGGGTTGGCTCGGAGGTAGGGCGTCATGTTGAGTACGCTGCCGTCGAGCACCATAAAGTTGGAGAAGTTGCCGCTTTCGATGTCCTCCCAGCCGTAGCCGATCCTGCGCGACTCGTTGCGCATGCCGTAGGTTGCAAAGGTGGCGTCGGTCATGGGGCCTAGCGGGCAGTTGGGGAGAGCGGTGCCGTTGAGCGCCATGCAGATGGGGTCGGCGGCGTAGGCGGCGGTGGATCCGCGGCAGGCGGGAAAGTTGACGCTCGATGTGCGAGTAAAGAGAGACGAGATGTCGGAGCCGGAGCAGGTGGTAGAAAGAGTGAAGAGCGCGGCGACCTCTGTTCCGGGCAGATGATGCGCCGAGGTGATGTCGATGGCCCAGCCCTGCACGCCGAGGACGGCGCCGCCGGTTCCGATCTTGACGAGCGACTTTGCGGTGTTGCTCGCGGCCTGGGGGCAGAGGGAAGCGTTGAGGCCCATGGTGATGAATCCGATAAAGGCGCCGAGGAGGATGGCGAGGAAGACGAGCGAGACCTTTTCGCGCCACGCCTGCCGGCTCATCTTGTCCCTGAGACCGCAGCAGGTGCTGAGGACGGGGCTGGGCGCCCAAAAGGTGGCGACGAGGGAAAAGGCGGTCCACCATGAGAAGGTGCTCTTTTCCCTTGCGGCCGAGGAGAAGCCTGGCCCGCTGCTGGAGGGGTTGATCAAGGGGACCTGGGGCTGGCTGCGCTCGGGTCGCGTGAGAGTCTTTGCGCGAGCGATGCGGGTAGGCTGTCGAAGCGGAGGCGGCGCCTCGGTATGGAGCGGTATTGACTGGTCATTGCGCTGACCCGGTTTGCGGATAAAGGTCTTTGTGAAGGTGGTGTTGCGCTGAATGGCCGGCATGGTGGCTGAGGCTGTTGAGCGCGAGGCTGATGGTTGGCGTGCACTGCCGTCGCGAGGAGCTGGCGCAAGCGCAGTGGGGGAAGTGAGCCGCGCCTCAAGATGAAGTGAGACGGTGGAGGGGAAAGAGGAGAGTCCGGGGAGCAAAGGAGTGTGGGTGCGCGCGTGTCGTTGTCCGAAGAGACGACGTTGGGCGAAAGACTAAGCGAGCGTAAAGCAAAAGATGAGGGACTGCGGACGATGCAAGCAGAGGAACACGGGGGAACAAGCGGGTTGCGGGTGGTGGAGTCGATCCAGTCGTCCCAGGTATACGAGGTGGGGAAGGGAGCCGTGGGCAAGGATGTAGGGTAAGGTTCAAACGAAGGAAGAAAGGGAGAGGCCCCTGTGCGAGAAGTGCGATCGCCGGCGATGCTGTCGCTGATGTAGGATGGCGGTGGAAGCGACGTTGGTTCGTCCCAGACAACGACGCAGGAGAGGATGAATGATGAGGAAAGGAGAGGGAGAGGGAGGTAGCCAAGGCAAAGACGATGGAGGCGAAGGAAAGCGACGACGAGGAGGAGGACGCCGAGCTTCTCGGTGGTGCCGATGCAGGCAGGCGTGTGCTGGGATTGGTGTGGATAGGAGGGCGTGCCAGTGCGTGACAGCTCAACGCACGGCGAGTCGGATGAGCCGCGAGCTCGGTGACCGAGGCCTGGCGAGCGCAGTCACTCACTCATGCGAGGTCCAGCGCAGACCCAGGCCACGCTCGACCTCAACGCGTGCAGCCAAGCGGGTGATGCGAGAAAAATTGCAGTCGCAGTTCAGCGCAGTTCAGAGAGGGTTGCCAGCGAGTGCAGCCTGCATTCTTGGGAAATCACATCGCCGCCAGGAGGCCAAGCTGTGTGCGTGGGGGAAATCGCCAAATCCGAAGTGCAGCTTCGGTAGCCGAGGCGAGGCGAGAACTGCACGCTGCACTCTCTGCACTCTGCGTAGCAGCTCGGAGCTGAGGATTCTCGGAGGCCTGTTGCGCTGTGCTGCGTCTCGCTGCCTTGCGAGCTGCATCCTTGCGACGCGAAATTCTAAAAATTGCCGTTTGCACAGAGTCCGACGCGAAATCGCTGCTCAACAGGCGTTCCCCGCCCGAGACCAACACGCAGCACCGCCGGCTCATCCCCGTCACTGGCGTCCCTCCTGAAGACTCCAGTGCCGGCCAATTTCAGCGTCACACTCTTCGCAGTGTCTTGGAGTAAGCTCAGAAAGATCAAGCTCAGAAAGATGTGACGTACGTTCAGCTTCCAGCGTTTCCAGCGTAGTCACGAGGGAAACGAGAAGATGCGGGTTTGCTGTGCGTGAAGAAGAGGATGGGGAGGAAGCACGAAGGACGCCAGTGTGCGAGGTTGGGTTGCAAAGCTGCAGGGGCGAAACGTGCTGCGTGCAACTTGCGCTGGCGCACGCTCGCTCTCCCCTCTCTCGCTTAGCAAGACGCCTTGGCTCGTCGATGCAAGATGTGAAAGTGTCAGATTTGCAATTCTGCACAATTTGTCCAGGGGGCAAGACAATCGCCGATGGAGACCCCGATGGGACTAATCGAGTGACCAAAGATGGATGCGACAGTCTCTCGTTCGAGAGAGCGGGCGGCGAATTTGAGATGGAGCGCGGGCATGACGTTGAGCTGATGTCCCCAAAGATCGGGGCCTGCGTACCGCACTCCGAAAATCTGAATCACGCTCTTCGATCGCCACAGCGATGGCAGCGCAGGGCAACCGGGCGGATTTCGTTTCTCCCGTCATTTTTGACAGGCAGGCGCGCGCTTCAGCGCTTGAGTCCGTCTCCGGTGCCTCGCTAACTGTGCGTCGTGTGGAACTGGACCCTGAATTTGGCATTCTCGCCCGATCGCGAAACGCCTCGGTCGTCGCTCTTCGCTTGCCTGGAGCGAGTTCTGCCACTCTGCAACACAGGCAGAGGTGTCTCTCGATCCCGGACGCCCAAACCCAGCTCATTGGTCAAGGCGAAGCGAAGCAGAGGATGACGCTTTCCCCTCGTCGGTGGGTCCGAAGCGTGAGGTCAGCCGCGCGCACCGCACCCACGCCTCGAAGCCACCACCACCAGATCGCCATCAGCTCGCGGTCGCGCACAGTTTGTACCGGCGCAACGCTGCGTGAACCAGTCGCCTTGCTCAGGGTCCGATTGGGCCAGGGTCTTTCCTCTGCGCTTTTGCAGCGCAAGTGCGCGTGAGGCGTGTGCAAGAAAAAATACCGGCTCTCCTCAATTTCCGCAGGTTAGGGTCCTCGCTGCCTTTGGCGCGGCTCGGTGGCTGTCAATGATCCAAGCGAGGCTGCCCCCCCAAATCTCGCGAGCCCACACTTTCCAGTTGCGACGTCTTAGTCGTCGTCGAGCGGGATTCTGCTTGCGTTGTTCGTGAGGGTCAATTCGGAACCTCACCGATCGATCAAGGGCGCAGCGAGCGGAGAAGCCGAGGGAGAGTGATTGCGGTTCGAAGAGTGATGTCGAGCGAGGGAGCAAGTCAACAGCGCCGGTGCTTGACAGCTGGAACGCGTTGCTGCAGTGAGGCAGAGAGAGGGAGAGAGAGAGAAGTGTGACCTGCAGTGTGGCAGGCAGGCAGGCAGGCAGGCGAGGGGCATGTCATGCACAACGCAATCGAGCTTCGGTGCGGCCTGCTGCTGGGCCTGCTGTGTGCCCCCACGCCACCACCACCACCGCTTCACTCGTCCAGTGCCGTCCTGTCGGCTGGCCCGGTCGTGTGCATCCTTCTCATCCTCTGGCCCTGGCCAAGCCATCTGAGCCCCTCTCGCCCTCTCGCCCTCTCGCCCTCCCTCCTCGCCATCACAGCATCACCTTCGCCGACGTCGTCGTTGCTGTCGTCGCCGCTGTTCTGCTGCTAACGACACCTCGCCATCGGCGCAGTCTCGATCACTCACCCACACCAACACTCTGCCAGCGCACATCGCCCTCACTCGGCCCAGCATACATTCCAAGGATCTCACGTTTCTCGTCTCTCCCTCACTTCCTCTCGCTTTGCCTCTGCCTCGTCTCTCACGGACTTATACATCATCGGATCAGCTTGCACGCGCCTCGTTCTGCTCGGATTTCTACATCAGCGGCCAGCTTCATAACTCTGCCCGCCGTCTCAACCTTGTCACTACGTACAACGTCACATCTGCCACCTTGGTCGACGACAGCATCACCATTTCCTCAGCTTTACGCCTTCTGCATCCTTGACAGCACCGAGCATCGAGCATTGAGCATGGCCCTATAGCATTCGTTGGTAACTTTGTTCTACCTGGAACCCCCTTCGCACTTGCTCCCGTGGATCTCGACCTCCTGCACCTAGGAGCCATCTCGGCGCCAAGCCCCGCTCTCTCGGCCACTTTCCCAGGTCAGTCCATCCTCCATACATTATGGCGCAGCCCGTGGTGCAACAGCCCGCCTTGTCGCCGCCGCTCTCGCCATCGGCGCATACCATCCCCTCGGTCGTCCCCTCCCCCGTCACGGAGTTCGGCTCCAAGCCTGTGACCTTCCCGCATCGTCCGCCAGCACCTGCATCATCCTCGTCGTCCCAGACCAGCAACAACAACAACAACTCTCGTCCCAACAAAGAAAATGGCGCAAACAGGTCCCGTCAATCCAGGTCGCGGCCCACCTCCTCCTCCGGGAAAACACAGTCTCAACACGCCGGGGCGACGTCCCAGAACGGCAAAGCCAACGGTGCAGCTGATGCTGTCCATAAAGGCGCCACCAACGGCCACGCCAATGGTCACAGCCACCACACCCATTCCAACGGTGTCGACGCCGCCAACGATCCGTCCATAGCAAACGCACCCGGTGCCGCCTTGTCCATCGCCACCAAGCCGCAAGATCGAGACCCTAGCCTGCTGCGTCAACCACCGCAGTCCAAGGGCTTCGACGGCATCAGCAGCTACCAGCTCGACCACAACGGTCGCATCCCCGCCAGCGAGTACAACTACCTCCAGCGCGACAAGCTCGTCGCCAGCGCGCACAGGTCGGCCATCTCCGCGGGCAACTATCACTGGCTCGCACTCATGGATCTCTCCCACCTCGCCTCCCAGCATCACCTCAGCCCTTACAGCGTCATGAAGTTCGGTCCGCGCGGATCCCCCTTTGCGTACATCCCCATCACTTTGCAGCAGCCCGATGCGGTTCACACCACCATGATGCGCCAGCGCGACGAGGAACGCCAGGCGAAAGCGTGGCTCATCGCAAAGCGTCGCCGCAAAGTCGCGGCCGTGCACAGCGACGACGACGATCTGCCTGTGCTTCGCCTCCCAGCCGACGTCTTCAAGAAGCCGTCCCAGCCCGTACAATCTCGCGACGCCAGCACAGCACCTGCCCAGCTTGGAACCAAGCGCCCCGCATCCTTCACGACACCGCCCGACACGCGTGCAAGGTGTGTATTACGCACCGACGCCGACACAGACGGATCCGAGCTCAAACAGGTCGAGCGCGACCTGGGCGAGGCCATGGCCGAGTCCATTTCCGCAACGGCCGCGCCCGAGCCCGCCTCGTCATCGGAGGAGGACGAGGTGGCGCCAGTATCGCGTTCGGACCAAGTCGACCTCTCGCGCTTCGACCGCTCTACGCGAATGGCCGAGAATGGCTCTGCTGCGCCAGAACGCTCATGCGCCAACGGTGACACTCAGCCCAACGCGCAGCCCAACGCGCAAGGCAACCAAGGTCCGAACAAGGACACATTGGCCGACGAGCTCATGACGTCGTCAGAAGCGGGAAGCAGCGTCGAGGTGGGCGGACCCCTGGACAAGGAGCGCGTCATGGCGCAGGAGATGGAGAACGTCGACACGACCGCCCCCAAGCCGGGCCATGTCGACGAGCGCGCACCCGCCGTGACAGACAACAGCTCGCTTGGCCCGCTCGTGCACACGACAGGCAACGGCTCCGGACCTGCGAGCAGCCTAGCCGAGTCGTCATCGGCCGAGCAGCAGCAGCAGCAGCAACAGCTGCAGAATCAGCTGGCCATGAAGACGTCGGACACGCATCCGATCCACATCAGCCCCATCCTGCCAGACGAGCTGCTGCCCGAAGTCGGACGGCGCATCCGTGCGCTCGCCGAGCCGCAGCTGCGTGCACTGCGCGCCGACAGCGCCGCCGCGGGTACTGCGGCGACGGAGCGCTACTTTGACGACCACGCGCACGAGCAGGTGCACTGCGGCCGTCTGATCCGGCTGCATCACATGCTCGACCTCGCCGCGGTCACCGCCACCGATCCGAGCGCCAACTATCTGTCGCAGTCGCAGCTGGCCGAACAGGCGGCGCGCGAGAACACGCAGGCGCTCAACACGATCCCCGGCGCCAACGACGAGGGCAGCGTGGGCAACCTGCTGCTCTCGTCGTGTCCGGGCAAGAAGGTGCGGCTGTCTGGGCCGGTGCGTGGGCGCGGGGCGATCTGCCGCGACCTCGGGCTGGACCTGGCGCGCATCCACAGCATCGGCGTGCGCGCGGTGGTGTGCTGCCTCAACGACGAGGAGCTCGAGTACCTCGGTGCGCCGTGGGCCGAGTACGAGCGCGAGGCGGACCGGCTCGGGCTCGACGTCTTCCGGCTGCCCATGGCGGAGGGATTCGCGCCCACCAAGGTGGCCGAGATGGACGCCGCCATGACGGCCATTGTGACCGACTGCACGCTGCGCGGCACCAATGTGCTGGTGCACTGCCGTGGCGGCGTGGGCCGCGCCGGCTTGATCGCGTGCGCGTGGCTGTTGAAGATGGGCTTTGTCGCCGACAAGCCGCCGCGCACATCGTCCAAGGACAAGGCGCAGAAGTTCCTGCCTCATGCGCACGAGCTGGACGATAAGCCTCGCAAGCCGCGTGCGTCGGAGGTGGACGATGCCGACGACGACGCGGAGACGATTCTCGAGACGGTGCGCTCGCTCATTGAGACGATCCGCCGACGCCGCAGTCCCAAGGCAATCGAGACGGCCGAGCAGGTGCGCTTCCTGGTCGACTACCTCACCTATCTGCACCGACAGGAACGGCTGCGTGCGCAGGTGGGCCGTTGATGACGCGCTTCCACACGCAATATATGGGGTGCGCACAGCAACGCTCTTTTCATATCATTTTTGGCATTCGGTACGGTGTGTGGGGGGTCTAGGTGATGAACGCGCGCGCACGGGCGATTGACAGAGCCCGGTCGACTGCACGCTGGGTGGGAGCGAGGAGGGCCTCGACCTTGGCGTCGACCTGGTCGTTGATGCCCGTAGTGGAAGTTGCGAGCATGTCATCGATCCTAGCTGCGAACTTTTTGAGGTTGGCGGCCATTTTCACTGCGACTGCGGTGCGCGCTTCTAGTCGTGCCTCTTGATCCGGTTGGGTTGGGTGGGCGGACCAAGCGTCGTTGTCGTCGGGACCGGGAGCGATGGCGTTCCAAAACTGGCGCAGGAATTCGGTCGTCGAGGCCTGGAGGCTTACGAGCGACTTTTGCACGGCCTCGGGGAGGGTTTTGAGGTCCGAGGCTGCTCGGGGGTTGAGAGAGCGCGAACGCAGGTTGGCCACCATGCGCGACATGGCTTTCTCCGTCCCCCCCGCGCTGGTTTTGAACGACCCCAGCCCGATACTGGCCGACTGAACCTCGGCGTTGAACCTCTCCACAAGCCCTACGTACTCGGAGACCGTGTCGGGGACGACTTCGAACGATCCGGTGGTGGATTTGGTGGGAGAGGTCGAGTCGGCGGAATCGCGTGGGTTGCTCAGATAGCCTTCGAGACCGGCCATGTTGAGACGCACAGTGTCGTCGCGGCGCGTTTCGTTGAGTTCGTCAATGACAATCTCCTTGTAGTAGTGATTCTTGATCCAGTCGACCGAATCCCCCGCCTCGTCCTCCTCACCCTCACCCTCCCCTGGGGGTCGATCGGAGTACTCTTCGCCCACGCCACCCACGATGCGTCTGCGCTTGCGCTGTTCCTCCTCCTGATCGCCCAGTGCCGAATCGAGCAGGCTCTGCGAATGGTCGTTGAACCTGCGCATGAGTGGCAGCGTGCGGCGCTCGGCACCGGCGCGCATGGTCCAGTCCTTCTCATTGCCCGTCTCGCCATGGTCCTCCTCGGTCGCCTGCAGATCGAGCAGCCGATCGTGCGGATTGAACATGCGCCGCGGCTCGAGCTGGTTATCCTCCTCGGTCAAGTACGCGTCAAAGATCGCATCGTCCTGCACAATGTGTTCGGAAGCCGCGGATCGTGCACTCGTCCTCAGGCGATGGTACAGCTTGGACTGGAAGTAGCGTGTCCAGAAGGAGCCCTCGTCGAGCTTTGCGGGCACATTCTCGTCGTACGCGCGCGCCACCACGGGGAACTGCTCAAACAAGTCGCGGATGAGTTCGGGCGTGATGCTGAGCTTCATCTCGCCCGCCTCGTTGGGGGTGGGTTTCGGGTCGGCAAGACGGGCGTTGCGCCCGGCGCGTTGTTCGAGCTTGGCGCGCTCGGCGCGGATGAGACGCTGGCGCTGCGGATGCGACCAGAACTCGGCATCGGACATCTGGCCGCTGATGACAATGTCCTTGTGCAGCGCGCGCAGCTGCGGATTCGACTTGATCACGCTGATGCGCAGCTCGATGTCCGTCTTGCGCGGCGGCAGGTCCTTTGGCCGCGGCCGTTTGGAGGGCGCAGGCGACGCGGCGGTCGATGCGGCGGTCGAGGTGGGCCGCGTCTGTGTAGGCGTCGCAGCGCGCGTGTCCGGTGTGGCAGCGCGGGTTGCGCTCGACGGCGATGACGGCGCCGCAGCCGGGCTCGCAGGCGTCGAAGGTGCAGCCGAACCAGCATCTGCACTGGCTCGATTCCGACTCACAGCCGCCGCTAGTTCGGTCTTGAACTTTTCGCGGTCGTCGAGTGCCGTCTGCTGCGCAGCATTGAATACGAGCAGCACCTTGGGTTTGGATGCGACCTGCACGCCGTTGGCGAGCACGAGCATGAGTGCGATCTGTGCCGCACCCTCTTTGGACGTTTGGAGGCCCGCGATGTCGCCAAAGTTGATCGAGAAGGCGCTGACCGACGATGACGAGGAGGAGGGCACCCATCTGACTACTTGGTCCGTCTGCAGCGAGAGCGTGCCGGCCACCTTGCTGAAGGCGACGGCCGCGTGCATGTAGGATGAGGAGGAGGATGAGGACGACATGGTGGAGGTGGATCGCCCTGCCGGCAGCAGCTACGAGAGGGATCAGCCAGCTGGCACCGACGTGGGATGTGCCGATGACGGACCGCTCCTATCGCAAGAGCCGATGCCGATGGCTGCTGACTCTCAAGCTCGGTGGGAAAAGAAAGCGAGTAGGAAGTTCGGATGGACCGAGGGAGGCGTGGGAGCGCGCTTCTTGGGGATGGAGGTGTGATCTCGGGAAAGGCTGAGTGTTCGTGTGGAGGGCGCAGCTGCGCTCGTCAACCTAACATTTTTGCGTTTTTTCGCACCAACACTCCTTGGCTCGTTTGGCAAGTGTTGGTCGTGCACAGACGCTGGGCTTCCCAACACTGACGGCTGAGCCGACGGCCCCACCGGCTCGCTCGCTCATCCATCATATTGCTCATCGTCAGCATCATCGCCGTATCACCGCCGCTGCGGCATTGAGACGTGGCCGCCATGCTTTCGCTTCCAAAGCGGCTCATCTTTGGCAGCCAGTCCAAGATCGACTTTAAGCTCTCGGAGGTCGACGGCATCGCGCGCCTCTATGCCGAACGTCACATCCCCTACCACGATTCCAGGTACTGGTCGCGCTTCCTCCAGCTCGACTCTCCCTCGGACGTCTTCTCGCTCCTCTCGCTCGCAGACCTCCGCCGCGCCCGCAGAGACGCGCCCGAAAACGTCGTCACGCTCGTCCGGGTCCTCGTCGCACACCTCGAGAGCCTCTTGCTCGATCCGCTCTTCGAACCTCCTCCCGCAGACCCGACTCGCTCCACCCAGGACCGCTTTGCAGACAGGCTCGGTGGGCTGGCAGACGTCTCGAAATGGAAGATCCCAGGCGCTTCGCTCGTCGGCTTTGAAAGTGCAAATGCAGCTTCGACGGCCGATCAGAGGGACCGCACAAAGGAGGCGCTCAATGTCGTCCGCGTACTCACGAGGACCCTGCCGGCAGTCATGGAGTCTGACGACCGATCGTTCGAGGACAGTGTGCTCTGGGTACAGGCTCCTGGAGCATATACTGAATCTGCACCGCAACCGACGTCCTCTCAAGACCAAAGCACCGCGACAGCAGAGGAGCACGACAAGCTTGACACTTCGGCGCAGTTCGTGATCGATGACGAGAACCAAGACGAAGATGGAGTGAAGGACCAGGACATCGACCACCCTTTGAATACAACCGACAAGGATGCGAGCGGGGAGAAGCAACAGCAACAAGCAGAGGACGACGAGGTGCCCATCGCCCTGGGCGAGCGGCTGGTCAGGCTCGTTGTCGACCTCCTCTTCTGCTCCGGATTCACGCTGCCATGGACCGAGGACCAGCTAGGAGACGCCGCACAGACAGCACTGCCGAACCGCATCAACTACTCCATCTGGGAGGCCGGTGTGGGCAGCTCCATCGACCTGCCCGGCACCACACGCGCGCACGTCTCGAACCGCGTCGAGGTGCTCCGTCTGCTGCTCGTGCTGCTCTCCAAGAGCATCTACATCCCACCCCACCAACAGTCGACGCTCGTCGATCCGGCGCTCAAATTCGCCGTCCAGGACCTCGACCGCGCCATCATGCTGCCGCTGCTGTGCAGCCTGATCAACACCAGCATCACCAACGCGCGCAACTCCACCTCCGCCTGGCTCGGCCTGCCCAGCGTCGCCACGGGCCTCGTGGGCGGCTCCAACGACGAGGTGCGTTCGAGCCTCGTCACGCTATCGCTGCAGATTCTCGATGTGCTCCTCACCTACGAGCCGCCGCTGCCGGGCGAGGCCGACACGCTGAGCCTCAGCACCGTCGGTCGTCCCCTACCTGGCCCGGGGGGGCGCAACGTGTTCCGGTTCTACCTCAGCAAGCTGCACCGCACGGCCGACTTTGAATTCATCTGGACCGGGCTCGCCAAGAGCTTCAACGAGCACGTCAGCTCCACCATCCAGATCCTTGCCATCCCCATTTCCATCCCCACGGGCGGGCAGGGCAGGAGGGCGGCAGAGACGGCGTGGCAGCTCAGCCAGGTGGCGGAGCGACTCGTGCTGCTGTGGCGCATGCTGGAGCACAACGCCAAGTTTCGGCTGTACATGCTCGACGACGCGCGGCGCGCACCGGAGCTGCTCACCGTCGTGCTGTACTTTGCGCTCACGTACAAGGACAACGTGGCGCTCCAGGGGCTCGTGCGCATGTGTGCGTTTCTGCTCCAGGATGTATCGAGCGAGCGCGCGTTCGGGGCCAACCTCGCCAAACCGGGGAGTGCGGCCAAAGTGAAGCTGCCCAGCCGGCTCGGGTTGGTGGGTGGGCACACGGCGATCGACTATCTCGTGCAGGGGGTCTACTCGCTCATCGCCGCCACCAAGGGTCAGCTGGCATCGCTGTACGCTCCGCTCGTCATCACGCTCAGCAATACCGCGCCCGTGTGGCGCTCGCTGTCCATCACTTCGTCGACGCGCATGATGCATCTGCTGCGCTCGTTTTCGCAGCCGGCATTCCTGCTGTCGGACGAAGGCCATCCGAGGCTGCTGTTCTATGTGCTCGAGGCGATCAATGCGGTGATGACGTTTGGATACAGAGCCAACGTGAACCTCGTCTACTCGCTCGTGCTGGCCAGGCAGCTCGTGGCGGCGCTCGAGGCGTTTGAGCTGCGCAAGGGGGTGGAGGAGGTGTGGAAGAAGCGGCGTGCAGTGGGCACCGATACGAGGGACTGGTTCCAAAACGCGGCGAGGCTTGAAAAGCCGCCTCTGCCGCGCGCCGAGGACTCGGCCACTTCAGCCGAGGGTGGGGATGGAGCGACGGGACCGAGTGCTGCGGAGAAGGGCAAGATGCGACGCATCTCGACGTCGTCACTCGAAGCCGAAACCGCGAGCGCATGGGAGGGCGAGTTGTCCAAGTACCCGCTGTCGGTGGTGGAAGAAGCGGCGGCGCGGTACATTGGCAAGAACGGTTTCAGCCCGACAGCCGCTTGGGTTGAATCGTGGCACGCTGGCTTGCCGCTAAGCACGTTGCGTGTGGTGATTGATCGACTTGTGCCGGACGTGGAGCGGATTGCAGCGGGTGGGGGTGTACGGACGGGCACCGCCGAGATCACGGGTGGCGATGTGGATGCGCGCGTACTGGCATTCCTGCGCGAGCAGGAGATGGCCGAGTACCTTCCGCCTCCCGAGGGAGGTATCCATGCGAGGGGATGGCAGTGGACAGACCATGCCACCGTGTGGCTGCGAAGCTATCTGTGGGGCACCATCTACGTCGCCGCGCTCTTGCCGTTTGGTCTGTGGAGCGATACCGACGTGCGCCTGTTTAGGATCCATGAACGCGATGAATCCAGGCAGCCCCCGCGTGCACAGCCAGCGACACAGCCACAGACTCCCACCACACCATCGGCAGACACCCAATCCACCACACACACCTAGACGATAGACGATACCACGGAAATCTCACGCTGGATGTGAGCAGTTGATGATGCTTGGATGCGAAGAGTTCGAATTGCAAAGGGGTCCTACAACTCGTCATGGACGTATGGCGATTCGAGCATGCCAGCACCACCGAGCTGATGCGCAGACCAGAGCACGGTTGCGCCAAACACAAAGACGAGGATGGCAATGTCGTTGACAAAGGCATTGATGAGCGCAAGGTACTTGCCCACCAGACTGATGGCGAGGTGGAGGTTGGGGATGGGCAGCATGGCGGTGAGCGAAGCGAGCATCGAGGGTGGCGCGGGCGTCTTCCTCGCCAACACCGCGATCCTCACACCTTGCAGCACGATCTCGAGACCCAGGAAGATCCAGAACAGCGGTAGCGACGACAATGGCCCCATGGATAGCGACGACAAGGTCGAAGCAGGATTGAGGCCCCATTCGTAAACCGAGGGCCGTTCGTAGCCCAGCCGCGCCCATCGTTGCAGCACACAGGAGCTAGGTGCGGCATCGCGAGTGAAAATATCGGTGACACTGTCCGGGACGATGCTCGAGTGGTCCGTGTCGAAGAGTGATGTCTTGGCAGCAAGGATGGCGAGCGCCACGATGAGCGTTGCTTGCACCACGCCGAACAGGCGTTCAGTAAGCGACTTGGTCTTGACTGCTGTTGGCATAGCCGCACCAGGAGCACCGCCAAACGGTCCTCCTCCTCCTCCTCCCGCACCAAACTGCTGCATCATGGCTGCAAGTTGCGGTGGCAGACCGGACATGTCAGGCTGCTGACCCGGTGCACCGCCTGGACCGCCTGCGCCAGGAGGTCCACCTTGCATCATGGCCATGAGCGCCTCCATCGGGTTCTGTGCCTCGCCTGCACCTGCGCCGGATGCGCCCATGAGGAAGGGATTGGTAGCATCCTCTCCAAACGGTGCGCCAAACGGCCCGCCTCGGCGCGGAAGTGTGGAGATGTCGACTTCGAGCGGGTCGTCGTCGTCTGCGCGCGCCGCAGATGCAGCCGTTGCAGCCGCAGACGCAGCAGGCGCGTCGTTGGGCTTGGGGGTGGAGGGGAACGAGGGTGTCGTGTCGTTGAGGTAGGCACTGGCACCTTCGCCGCGGCCGGTGTTGGTGATGCGAGCCAGACGATCGCTGCCCTTGCTGAGGATGCGAGCCTTGCGGGCCTCGCGCTTCAGACGTGCGGCCTCGGCTGCATCGACGGCAGCAGAGGCGGTTGCGGTGGGATCCGCAGCAGCTGGAGGTGTGTCGGACATGGTGCCGATGGGCGAGTATGCGAGTGATGGACGAGATGGGATGGAGGCGACGTGGAGGAAGCAGCCTGTTGGCAAACTGGCGTGACAGTCCAAGTGCCCGAAAAACTCATTCCAATTTGTTAGGTTTGAATGGTGAAGGCGCGAAGAATCGGTGTCGCCGAGAAGCGGTGTCGAAAGATCACAGGGCGGAAGGTGAGAGAGAGAAGTGCGGGATGTGCTTGGACCACGCGCAACGGCAGCGCGGACCGCAAGAATTCCAGGCGGCTCGGCGAGCAGCTGCTGCACTGGAGGAAACGCAGTGTTGGTCTTTGGTCGGCTGTGCCGTTGCTTCTTCACCAACATCACCCTTCTCACACTGTCTGGTCACAGTGATCGAGATCGAGATCGATATCGGCTTTCAACCGAGCTGATTCAGAAGGGCATTGAGTACATCGGCTCTTCCACCACCACCATCCCACCGTTCGTTACCAACGGCTGCTCTCCATGCTGCCCGTCTCGCGCAAAGACGCCGAAAAGAGGTCCTCCTACGCTGCCTTCGATCTCGACCGAGAACCCACCTCTGCCACCTCGACCACATACTCCTCTTCCACCACCACTGCCTCCTACGCTGCAGGCTTCTCGTCCCCCTCCACCACTTTTGATTCGACGTACGACGGACCTCCCGCCTACCGCAAGCGCTACGTCGACTCCAACGACGCCCTCCTCCCCACGCACTCTCCACCTACCGCCGGACATCTAGCCAACGACTCGCCACGCAGAATGGCAAGCCCGGCACCCAACAGCCGCCGCTTTGCCGCTGGCTTCGATCCGTATGCCGCCGACGACCAGCGCACCGACGCCGCCTCCGTCTCGGACTCGGCGGCGCTCAAGGCAAAAGAGGCTGGATTCGCGCCGCCATCGCCCGCCCTCAACAACCCGCCGTCGTCGTCGTCCGCAAAGGTGAACAAATACGCCCATCTCATCCCCGTCCACAAGCAGCGCAACCCCAACTTGGACCTCGTCGCCTGGACGCTTCGTCAGGAAGAGGTCATCGGCCTCATCTACACCATCCTCTCGCTCATCACGCGTCTCTGGCAGATCGGTCGCTCCAACGTGGTCGTCTGGGACGAGGCGCACTTTGGCAAGTTCGGCTCGCACTATCTCCAGCAAGAGTTCTACTTTGACGTGCATCCGCCGCTCGGCAAGATGCTCGTCGGCCTCGCCGGCCTCATCAGCGGCTACCGCGGCCAGTTCGAGTTCAAGTCGGGCGAAAAGTACCCCGCCGACGTCAACTACGTCGGCATGCGCGTCATCCTCGCCATGTTCGGCGTCGCCATGGTGCCGCTCGCCTGGTTCACCAGCGCCGGCCTCAACTGGAACTGGCGCGCACGACACCTGCTCACCATCATGGTGCTCCTCGACAATGGCTGGCTCGTCATCTCGCGCTTCATCCTCCTCGACTCCATGCTGCTCTGCTTCACCTTCACCACCGTGCACGGCCTCGTCAAGTTCATGCAGTACAAGTCGGCGCCGTTTTCGAGGTCGTGGTGGTTCTGGCTCGCCTGGACCGGCGCCTCGATCGGCTGCGTCTCGTCCGTCAAGTGGGTCGGCCTCTTTGTCACCGCCCTCGTCGGCGTCTTCACCGTCGAGGACCTGTGGGACAAGTTCGGCGAGCTGCGCATGCCCGTGCGCGCGTACGCACGTCACTGGTGCGCGCGCATCCTCTGCCTCATCTTCCTGCCGCTCACCATCTACATGCTCAGCTTCAAGGCGCACTTTGCCATCCTCAGCCGGTCGGGCCCCGGCGACGCGCAGATGAGCTCGCTCTTCCAGAGCCACCTGCGCGGCAACGACTTTGCGCTCTCCCCGCCCGAGGCCGCCTTTGGCTCCAAGGTCACGCTCAAAAACATGGGCTACGGCGGTGGGCTGCTGCACTCGCACGTCCAGACCTACCCCGTCGGCTCGCAGCAGCAGCAGGTGACGTGCTACCACTACCGCGACAACAACAACGAGTTCATCATCACGCCGCCCTGGAACCAGCCGCAGCTGCCCACCAACTACTCGAGCTCCGAAGAGCCCATCCGCATGGTCAAGAACGGCGACATCATCCGGCTCGTCCACGACCAGACCAAGCGCAACATCCACTCGCACAACTTTGCCGCGCCCGTCACCAAGGAGAATCTCGAGGTGTCGGGCTACGGCGACGAGAAGGTGGGCGACGACAACGACCACTGGGTGGTCGAGGTGGTGGACGACATGGTGCTCGGCAAGGTCAAGCTGGGCGCGCCCGTGCGCTCGCTCACGACGCGCATGCGTCTGCGCCACCACAACCTCAACTGCTATCTGCGTGCCGCGAATGCGGTGTTGCCGCAGTGGGGATGGAAGCAGGTCGAGGTGTCGTGCGACAAGGAGAACAATCCCAAGGACGAGCATACGTGGTGGAACATTGAGAACCACTGGAACGACCGTCTGCCTCCGGGCGACGAGAAGCTGTACCGCTCGCCCTTCCTGCGCGACTTTATCCACCTCAACGTGGCGATGATGACGTCGAACAATGCGCTCATCCCGGACGCGGACAAGGAGGACATTCTGGCGAGCAAGCCGTTCGACTGGCCGTGGCTGTGGAACGGACTGCGCATGAACTCGTGGGACGACTCTTCGATCAAGTATTATCTGATCGGTAATCCTGTTGTGTGGTGGGGGTCTTCGGCGTCGTTGGTGGTGTTTGCGGGGACGTGGTTGTGGTACATGATGCGACGTCAACGACGGATCCACGATCTATCCCCCTCGGACTGGGCGCACTTTCTCTACGTTTCGAAGATCGCGGCGTTTGGGTGGGCGTTGCATTATGTGCCGTTCCTGATCATGGCGCGCGTATGCTATCTGCACCACTACCTGCCGATCTTGTACTTTGCTGTGCTGATGCTCGCGCATTTGCTCGATCACTTTGTATGGCGACCGACCACGGCGGTATACGCGCGGGGAGGACGCAGAGTACCCCTGTCGCACACCGTCAAGAACGCCGTGTTCGTAGGCGCGGTGCTCGCGGTCGCTGGTGCGTTTTGGTGGTTCAGTGGGAACAGTTATGGCTACACCGGCGACATAAAGCGACACAAGGGCTTGAAGTGGCGCAAGAGCTGGAACATTTACTAGATCCGCACTAGCAGCCTTCATTGGGAATCCTTGGAATTCATCACCCTTCTCTTTCCGGACCATGTGTGAAGCCAGGCTGCGTCTACGGTGTGGGTCTGAGAACACACTGTTGGAGGCTGACCGAGCGCCGTGCTGGAAGAATGGAGGTTGTGTCTGGCCGAGGATTCGACGCAACGCTGTGCCACCGACGCACCGATGCAGAGCCTGTCGACTGCCCACTCGAGCACTCGCGTGTCCATTGGCGAGACTCATGCAGGCACGACCCAACGTTCACAGTTGAGCTTGTCGATCGCACCGACTCACAGCGACGACCGAAACCGCCACTGCCCCCTCGAACCGAGCGCGTCACTCACGATCCTCACAGCTGAACCTTTCCTCACTGTCACTCATCGCTCAAGAACTGGCACCAGGCGACGCACTGGCACTGCGCGACGCAAAACTCGCCCGCTCAATCCGCCTTTCAGACCGCACTCGCCTGCTCACGATCAAGTGAGATTTTCGCTTTACGGTACGTCTATTGATCCTCGGTGGTGTCGGAGCGTATGGACAGAGCTTCGTCGCCGTCCCTCTCTGCACTACGTGCCACCAACCTCGCGAGTGCCTCCCTCTTCTCCTCCTTGAAGGTGCGATGGTCGTCCCATCCAATGAAGGCAAAGCTGCTTAGCACAGCGGCCGAGCCGAGCACCGCCACCTTGCCGCCCGTATGGCTGCCCTTGAGCGCATCGATGACCACCGCCAGCGGAATGGTCAGCGACAGTCCGAGCGTGGTGATGAGTGGCGAACTCTTGAGCATGGCCAGCAGATAGATGAAATCGCTGACAAACGTGATGGCCATATTCACCACCACCCCGGCCCAGATGTGCGCCGAAGGCGGAAGCTCAAACTCCTCCACGCCCGAGTAATGCAGCAGCGGCAACACCGGCCACAGTGCTAAAATGTTGATCGCGCCAACAATGCCAAACATGAGCGGCATCGAGATGCGGTCCTCGGAGCCGATGCGCGTCTTGAGAAGCATGACGTAGAGCGAGTAGAGAAACGCCGAGAGCAGAGCGAGCATGTCGCCCATGGGCGCATTGGGCGGCCCACGCTCCACCGCCGAGCGCCTCACCATCCCCATCCCCGTAGCCGTGGCGGTCTCGCGATCAGCAAACGTGACCGCCGCCACGCCAAGCGCGCTGATGCACACAGCTCCGAGCCTCGCGAGTGTGAACCTGTCCACGCCCAGCGCCGCTCCGAGCGCAAGCGTGAAGAAGCCGCTTGCAGACCCGATGGTCGTGCCGCTCGCAACGGACGTCAAACCCAACCCGGCATTGATGGCCCAATTGGCGCCGAACCAGACGAGCGTAAACTGCGAGGCCAGCACCGCCGTCTGGCGCAGCGTGAGTGGCGGTAGCGGCAGCGGTGCGGCCTCGGCCGCGTCTGCCGAGGCGTGAACGATGCTGATGGATGTGCGCGGCCGTCTTCCGTCGATCGACGACGGACGCGGCACCGCAGTGGAGACCAAGAACGGGCGTACGGGCGACGAGGGCCGCGACACTGGCGGCGTCGGCGTGAGTAGCGGCGTCGAAGCGGTAGACGAGTCTTCGGTGGAAAAGGAGCGTGTGAGACGGATGGGCTTCTGTCTGAGTGTAGCGTTGGATGCACGCCCGCGTAGTTGCGGCTCGTTGGCTACCACTGCCAAGGGTTTGACGAGCGCAGGTTCAGTGGGCTCTACGGTAGGCACGTCGAATCCGAGCGTCTTGAGCCACTTTGGCAGCTGCTTGTCGTCCTCAATGGCTGCGACGGGAGCGCCGTTCTCGGCATCATCCTGGTGGAGCTGTGCATAGTGCTGCTCGGCGTTGCTCCATCGCTTGCGCAGCCGGCTGCTGACGAGGTACGGCACGAGATAGAGCGCGAACGACGAGGTATTCGCATACGTCACGAAGAACGGCTTATCGTATCCCCCCGTTGTGAGGAGCGCATTGGTGAGGAAGTTGGAGGCGGTCCAGAGCACCACGACGATGAGCAGCAGCAGCAGGCCCTGAACGTACGACTTGCGTCGACGGTGCGATTGCGTCTCGTCCGGCGAAGCGCGTGCGGTTGGCTCGTCGACGTAGTAGCGGGTGGGAGTGGTGTCGACCATGAGAGCGAAAAGCTGAGCTCGGAGTCGCCGCCCGAGATAAGAAGCGGGGGAGCGAGACGAGAGAGCTCGATGCAGCTCGCGCTCGTTGCGGCCTGGTGCGGCAGTCGGCTGGCTCCCTATGTGGGCCCCGTTGGCAGCGTGTGATGGTGTGAAGAGAGAGGCAGAGGGATGGTGTTGCAAAGGCTCGTCGAGATGCAGCGTTTCGCCCCACGGCTATCAAGTTCGGACCCTCCGAGCAGCGAGTGTGGCTTGCATCAGTCACACCGCAGCTCGACCTTCGCAGACTGAGCCAAAATTCGCCTTTTTTTTTATGGGTGCGGAGAAGGAAAGGCTGCACGGCTGCACGTATCGCGTGCTCGCAGCCGTGGCTGCCGGGCAGCTGTCGTCCGTCGAAAGTCAACTTTGTTATGTCACGAGCCTGCTCACATTTTTCAGAGTACGCTCTTTAGCTCGGCGCTCCCCACTGTCTCTCTGCCGTTCTCAATGCGCATTGCTCTCAGCACCGAGCCCAAGGTACTGCCGGCGAGTCGGTCTTCATCCGACAAAAAGCTCACTGTGCACACCTGGCTGTGGATGGAATCGTGTTGTATTTTTTGGGCAGCCCGAGCGACGGAGGCAGGCGAGCTAAGATGGCTGCAGGCCCCTGTACACGGCTACGCTGCAAGTCGACGATCGCCTAGAACCACATTGCTAAGAGGTGAAGCAAAGATGTGGCGGCGACACGTTTAGCTGGCGTTCATGATGGCGTTGATGAGGTCGCCGTTGGACTCCTTGAGCGCCTTGACCGCCTTCCTGCGCGAGCAGCTCACCTGCTGCATGACGAGGTCGATGTCCTTGGCGTCGACGCCCTCCTCGTCGATGGGCGAGTCGTCGTCCTCCTCCTCCTCTTCAGCCTTGGCCTCGGCAGCGCCACCGGCCTGCGAGGTTTGCAGCGACTCGGCGAGCAGACGCTCCTGCGCCTCGGCCTGAGCCATCTGCTGAGCAGCCTGCGCCTGGGCGAGCTGCGACATGTCCTCGGCCTTGGCCTCGCCGAAGACAATGTACACGTCCGAGTGCGACGACTTGTACACCTCGGGCTGGGCGATCACGTAGAGGTGCTGTCAAGATCAAGTACAGAGGGACACGGTCAGCAACACTAGCAAGATTGGACTGCGCAAGGGCGGGCTACTTACACCACGGGGGCGGCGCATGGTGACACGGGTGATGCCACCGACCTTCTTGAGGCCGATACCCTGGAGAGCCTTGCGCGACTTGCGCTCGGCGCGCGAGGCGACCTTGTCCGAGGCGTGGACGTCAGCGCCCGCATCGTCCGAGTCAAACTCCTGGACGTTGAGCTGTGAAATATCAATAAAGCAAGGAACCGCTGGTCAGTCGTTGCGCTTCCAGCACACCACAGCGGCGTTGGCGGTAAGGAGGTGGCAGCAACTCACGTCCTGAACCGAGTCGGCGATCTCTTCAACGGTAGCAGACATTTTTGGACTGTCAAAAGAAAGAGGATGCGCAATGCGGATGAGAAGTCGTCAGCCGGCGTGTTCCGGAGCTACACCAGCAGCGATGAAGCCGTGTATGCTGGGTTTTCGATGTGGTGAATTGGCTGGCGTTTGGCGATGCGTACTGTTATTCGAAAGGTGTTGTGGGTGGTGGGTGAGGGAAGATGGTGACGAAGCAAGCTTGACGGTGTCGAGCGACGATGGCAGCGCAGCGCAGCGAGCGCCGCGCTGTCTCGGGAGTCGCAGGTCCAATCAAGTCGGTCCTCTCGCTCCAGCCGGGCACTCCAGCTGCGTGCAGCCAGTCGGGCGTGGATGAGGTGTGTCTGTGCTTTCGCCGCTTCCGCCCTCTTCTTTGCACTCCTTCTCGAGCTTCTTCTTCGCGCTTTGCCTTTGCATCCCCAGCCTGGCTTCAGCTTTTGTATTCAGACTGCCCTAATGCCGACTTCAAATTGCTTGTAGTCGCGCAGCCTTCCTCACCGCAGCCACCTCATCCAAATTTCATAATGTTAGGTTCTGTGAGCCTGGATCGGCTGTCATCGGGATACGGCTCGCCCTCCACCTCCGATTGCGCGCGAGGTTGGGGATGGCTCAGCCAAAGCTTGGAAAAGCCGAATGGCGCCGTCCAGATGTGCATATGCCACTCAGCCTTGCCCTGTCACCTTCATCGTCCTCCGCGTCTCTCACACTCGTCATGCGATCAATACTCACAACAAGTGCGGTGCGGTCCGCACTATGTGGCCTGCCGCGGCTGTCTACACCGGCCACACGAGCGCAAGCAAGATGCCTGTCCAGTCTTCGATCCTCGCCATCTCCCCCACTCTTACGCAACGCGCGACTCCGGCAGGCAGCCACCATACCTGCGTCTGCTACTCCGGTACGGGCGATGCAGACCCGATTGGCAACAACATTAGTGCGCAAGCCGGAGCAGCCTGAGGAGCCAGAGGTGTACCGCGATGGCGAACCCAGCATCGTCGCTACCGACCGTGCCATTGCACAGCTCAAGAAGGTCGCCGAGCGCGAGAACAGCTCGTCGCTCGCATTGCGCGTGGCTGTAGAGCCAGGAGGATGCCATGGATACCAGTACAAGATGGAGATCACCGAGGAAGTCGAGGATGACGACTTGTAAGTAGCCCCTCCCATTATCCCAGCTGCCCATCGAAAGAGAAAGCTGACATTGAAACATCGTGGTTCGATTCGCACAGCCAATTCGAGGTGCACCCGGGCGTTTCGATCTTGGTCGACAGCATCAGTCTGGCGCTCGTGAGGGGAAGCACAATTGACTACGTCACCGAACTAATTGGGTCGCAGTTTGCGATCAAGGATAACCCGCAGGCCAAAGGGGCCGGATGTGGGTGTGGCGTCAGTTGGGAACCTGCGCTCTAGCCTCCGAGCATCCATCAGACTTGTCATACTAGCCTACCTACCGCATCACCCTCCGGTACTCCTACTGCTTCGAACATTGCCTGGCTTTAGGTCCGGGAGAGCAACCACACACGACGCTTCGTGGCTTGAGAGAGGATGAGGCAATAGTTTGAATGTGTTAGGTTTTGTTGCCATTCTGGAATCTTCGCGCGCCGCGTTGCGCATGGACCGCTGCGCTGAGTTTTTGAGTCCAACACTTGGCAGTTGGCCGGGGTTGCATGCCCACCACCAACACAGAGAGCCATTACGATGCCGCTCAACTACTCCAAGTGGGACAACCTCGAGCTGTCGGACGACTCGGACATCGAGGTGCACCCCAACATCGACAAGAAGTCGTTCATCCGCTGGAAGCAGCGCGACATCCACGAGAAGCGCGACCAGCGCAAGGCCGACAAGGACGCTCTGCGCGCCGAGATCGACACGAACAACGAGCTGGCACCCCGACTCGATGAGCTCGTCACAAAGACCACCGCAGAAGGCTCGGCCTTCTACTCTCGCGAGGTAGCCAGGCTTTCGGCGGGACGACAGGAGAGAGGCAACAAGGATGGACCGAACGGCCCAACGGCAGACGACATGATCCTCAGCCTGCTGTTGCAGATTCAGCAGCAGGATAATGTTAAGGGCAAGCAGGCAAGCGAGCTCGATGCGGAGCTGGTCAAGGAGCTGCGCGGGCACAAGGAGAAGCTGGCGGCCAGACAGACGCAAATTGGTTTCGAGCTGGAGCAGATGGACAAGGAGGATGCCAAAAAGATCACAAGTGACGGTATCAAGGAGGGATGGAATGCAGGATACGTGGCCAAGGCAGAGCCCGAGCCAACGCCCGCGGCAAAGGGCAAGAAGAAGGAAACTACCATCGAGACTCTCAACAGCCCGTCGGCTGCACAGCCAAGTGCCGCGGCTGAGAGTGACGACGAGGACGACATCCCCGAGGCGGACGATGTGCAGCGTCAATTCGCCGAGCTCCCGTCGTGTGTGCCCTCTTCGATCCCTCTTTTGGCCTCATCGCTTCCGGCCAGCTTTGACGCCGCCAAGTCTCTCAACATCAACGCGTTTGAAACGGCGCTGCAGTTTCTTTCCAAGCACAAGGTGTTGCTTTCGCCCGCCAACAACACCACGGACTCGCTGTTGCTCGAGGCGTTCAATGCGCAGATGGCGTCCAAGTCGGCTCTGGCGCGCCGCTGCGTCGAGAAGGCGCTCATGATCCAGTACTGCAACAAGCTCGGCCCAGACGGCGTCAACCTCTTCTTCCGCCGCATGGTCGGGTCGAAAGACGGCCGTGCCTCGGTGGTGTATCTCAACGACGTGCTTGCGACGTATGCTCGCATTCGCGACAGGTCCACGGCGCTCGCCGAGCAACAGGCAGCAGCAGGAGAGGAGCAGATTCAGCTCGTCGCCGAGGACGAAAATACGATCATCGGGTTCGAAATCCCCGACGGCCCGCCACCGGACGTGATCGAACTCGAGGGAGAGGCCAAGGAGAAACTCGACCCTGCGGACGTCAAGGCGTGGCTCCAGAAGAGGTGGGACATCTTCCAAAGCTTCCCCGAGAACTTCAGGAAGGCGTTGGAGACCAAGGAGCTCACAAAGGTCAACGAGGTGCTCGGCAAGATGAAAGTCGAAGAGGCAGAGGAAATCGTGGGGCAGCTCGACCAGGCGGGCATCCTCAACTTTAGCAGCTCCGAGGTCCGGGACGAGACGGGAAAGTAGCCCCACCAGCATCAGATCACATGATCCGAATCTCAATTCCACACTTCGCACAGCATCACAGTCGGAGGCGTGGGACAATGCACTCTGTCATGTCGGGTGATCCGAGTGAGGAGGTGGACTTCACATCCAGCCGCGCAGCCTGGCGACGGTCCGGAACGCGTCCGAGGCGACAAAGCTGCGTGCGTCGTCGTCGGCGCCTGTGCCTGCGGTGCCGACCACATGCTCGCTCACCAGTCGCCGGCCGTTATCCGTGTCGAGCTCGGCCGCCTTCTTCCAGAAGCGCAGCACGGCGTCGCTCTCGGTATAGATGACCGACGAGATGTTGCCCAGGTAGTCCAGGTCTGCCGCCAACTGCGCGGCTCCGATATCGGTCAGCCGTGGCAGCGACGGCAGCACACCCGAGAGGAAGCGCGTGAGGAAGAGCGTGAGCAGCGAGCGCAGATACTGCGACAAAATGCCCGCGTCGCTTGCATCCTCGTCTGTGTCTAGGGTCGCACGCGCCGCAGGCGCCGCCGTGGTGGAGAAGGCCGCCCGATGCATGCTCGACCGGTCGGCAGCCGGGTCTGTGACGGCAATCGATGCGTGTCGCCCGTGCGAAGCGTTTGCCGCCACTTTGTCCGCGCCCGCTCGGTCTGCGTCATTGTTGAGGCAGAAGAGCAGCGCCTCGTCCGCATACGCCTCGAAGAGACGCGGCAGGTTGAGCATGGCCTCGCCGATGCGCGCCATGGCCTCGGTGGGGCTGAGGCTGAACTTGGGCATGGCGAGGTCGTACTCGTTGACCACGCTCGGGTGCTTGTTCGAGCTCCAGATGCTCAGGCTCGCGTACACCTCGAGCTCGGGCAGGAACTGCGACAGCACAAGCTCGTGCAGGAAGGTCTGCACCGCCCTGGCAATCGCCAGGATGGAAGCGCGCGCGGCGGGAAGCAGCTGCAGCTCGGGCGAGGCAGACGCAGACGCATCCCACGACGACGCCGACAGCATGCGCTTTGACTTGGAGATGAGCTCGTGCAGCGCTGCCGTATTGAGCGAAGATGTAGCCAGCGCCGAGACGGGGCTGGTGAAATCGGGTCCGTCGTCGCCTGGAGGCTTGACAAGCGGTTTGAGCTCCGAGATCTGGTATGCGATCGTCTCTTCCAACGCACGCACAGCGGCGAGCGACTCGCGGCATGTTTTGAGCTTTTCGGTCGTCTTTCGAAACTCGTCCCAGTCGCTCGAGGTGAGTACGTCGCCCCGCTCGTCATAAGTGAGCGACGTCTGGCCTGCACGCTCGGTCATATGGAAGCTGCGGATCCTGGCTTGCACCTCGCGGAGCGCACGCTGCAGATCCGAGTCCAGCTCGAGCTTGGCCCTGCTCATGGCGCCCTCCAGGAGCGCATCCAGGGAAGGAAGCAAGGAAGGCGTAGCAAGCGTCTTTGTGAGTGCAGTAGAGCGTCGAAGCGCGGCTTTTGCCACCTGCAAGGCCTGCGTAGAAGCGGTTGAGATAGTGGTGCTGGTCGAAGGCGATGAGGCCTGCAATGTGTGCAGACGCGACTGCATGGCCTCGGCTTCGAATGTCGAGAGACGTTCCTGATACGGAAGAAAGGACTCGAGCATGAGCCTCAGCCAGGTCTTGTCCGTGTTCGACGAGGAAAGCACACCGCTGTCAATTGGTACAGAGGCAGACTCGGGCTCGTCGTCCGACTTGTGCTGTGTCCGCCGTGATTCTGGCAAAATGGCCTGTACGGCTCGGATGGCCTCTTCGGTAGCCTTGTATGCGTCGGTGAGGGCGGTGAGGAACGACTCGAGATCGGGCGCACGGGTGGCCTGTTGGATGCAGGCGTGAATAGGAGGATCGAGACGGGCCACAATGTCTGCCGTGAGGAGCTGGACGGCTTTGTTGGGATCGGTAAAGAGACGCGACGAAGCGACTCGTTCCTCGCCGAGCAGGGCCAGCAGATCGCCAAAGAGCGAGTTGAGCTGAGCTGGCAGCGACTTGTCGCTCGTCTCCGAAGCGGTCTGCGCCCAGCGGGACAGAAGAGACTCTGAGCGAGCGTTGGTGTAAATCTGAAAGAAGATGGCCACGCCATTGCGGGTGAGTGCGAGCAGGCCGGCTGTGCTGTGGATGGTGTCGGCGTCTCTTGACGCAATGGCTTGGGCAAGCACGGGTGCAAGATGCTCGTGTATCCTCTGCGTGAGCGACTCGAGCAGAGCGCCTCTTTCCTCGTTGGACTTTGCCGATCCGCTGAAGAGACGCAGGGAGTCGGTGGCTTTGACGACGCGATCGACAGCCTCCTGCCATCTTTGCTCGCTCAGCAGCACGGTGACCTGGCTCTCGAGTGTAGACCACGCCTGCGCCTCTCTGAGCACATGCCTTGCATCGATGAGATCGGATTTGGCCTTGGAGAGGGCGGCTATCCTCGCGAGTGCTGCGTCGGTGGTGGGATCCGTGCCGGAAGAGTCTGTCTGCAGTGTGTTGACACGGGATTGCAGGCCAAGTGCAGTGTCTGACATGAGTTTGAGCTCGATTCCGATTCTGGGAATGGTAGAAACGAGCGACGTGATGATCTGATCCGCCTCGGTGCGCGAGGCATCTCGGACGGACGATAGCGCGAGCGAGAGTTGCCGCAAGGCGGACGAGGTGTCGTCGAGCTTGGTGGTGGCAGTGCGAGACGCGTCATCATCCTGATCGGTTGAGGCCGACGTCTCGGAGGGTCCGACGGATGCCTGTTGGATGTGATTGTCCAGCCAGGCAGTCACATTGAGCTTGGCAGACCGGCGCGCCTCTCGAAGTGCTGCAACCGGATCCGAGGTTGGCGGTGCTGTGGTCACGATGGCATCGGATGAGCCGCGCTGGTCAGGTGGTGGTGGTAGTGAAAGCGCCATGACCTCGGAGCGATCGTCACATCAGCGGGTGTGATGCTGTGATGCTGAGTGAGGAGCGTCGGCAAGGTCCGACCGAGTGCTGAGCTGGAATGAGGAGAGAGTTGGTTGCTCTCGTGGTGCGGCGTGCAGGGTCTTGTTGCTCAACTCGGATTTCGGGTCTGTGCTCACTCGCTCCACTTCTTCTCACGCCGTTTCGCGCTCTGCATTTCGAAGGCTCGATTTTTTCGAGACTTTCCGAAAACCCAGTCTGCCGAAAGCATCTTTCTGCTCACCGTCAAGCATCACTCTTACCGTCACATCGATCTCTAGGTCTCGTCTAATCACCAGAGCGGCACTTGAACAGCATGTCTGCTGCCGCACAATCCAGCGCCGCGTCCACCTCTTCGGTCGGCAATGCCGACATCGACTTGGCCGCCACGACCTTCAAGCGCCTCCATCCTGTCGCCTACCTCTCGCGCTTCCTCGATTCGTCGGCGCGCGAAGACGGTCGCCCTCTTGCCGCATTCCGTGATGCTACGATCTCGCTTGGATCCATCTCGACCGCAGATGGCTCCTCCTTCGTCCGCATCGGCAACACCTCTTGCATCGCCGCTGTAAAGGCAGAGATCGCATCACCACAGCTCTCCCGTTCGCGCCAGGGCTACCTCATCCCCAACGTCGAGCTGCCTGCCGTCTGCTCATCCAAGTTCAAAGCAGGTGCTCCCGGCCCCGAAGCCCAGGTCCTGACTAGCAGACTGCTGGCCCTGTTGAACAGCTCCAATGTTCTTGACCGCGACCAGCTGTGCATCCAAGAGGGACAGGCCGTTTGGTGTCTCTACCTCGACATCAGCTTCATCTGCTTTGATGGCAACGCCCTCGATGCCGCAGCGCTAGCCACCGTAGCTGCACTCAGCAACAGTAAGTCCATTCGAGCATCACCTCATTCCCATTTCCAGTCGGTGAACGACGAATGCTGACCCGCCGCTTCTGCCTGCCTCCCTTTCGCAATCCTCGCAGCAACACTGCCAAAAGCGACATACGACCCGGACTCCGAAGTGGTTCGGTGCTCTTCCTCCCCAGCCGACCGCGTCGCTCTGCAGATGGGCAGCATCCCCTTCGCCTCGTCCTTTGCCATCTTCGAGAACAAGCATCTGCTCAGCGACCCCACCGCCTTCGAGGCCGCCCTCGCCTCCTCCCACATCACCATCGCCCTCTCGCTAGACCCGCAGGCCTCCACACAGTCCAACACCGAGCCCATCGTCACCTACATCCACCAATCGGGTCGTCTAGCCACGACCACCTCTGATCCACCCAGCCATGCGACCGATCAGCAGAACCTCCAGACGTGCATCGACCGCGCCCACGCCCGTGCAACCATCCTCGCTGCACTTCTCCGCCAGGCCCCCTCTTCATCCGCATGACCCAACTTCGGTCGATCGAGACGAAAAGATGGTTGAGATTCCTCCTGTTTTTGTATTTGTACACGACATCGTTCCAATCAATCATATTGCCAAACGACGCAGTGCTGGTGCTTCCATCTGTCGCAGGAGATGCGACCGCTGCGCCTGTGAAGATGGCTTGTGGCGGGCCCTTGCAGTCGGTCCTCTTAGTAGCCAGCAAAGGCGCGCGCCCTCTCGCACAGCTGGTGCACCTTCATGCCCGCCTTGCTGCCCTTGAGAAAGACCGAGTTGCGCCTGACAGTCGAGATGATGCGTTCGCGCGTGCGCGGCTCCACCGTCGTCAGCAGCTGCGTCACAATCTGGATCCCGTGCGGCGCCAGGCACACGTCGATCAGCGGCGGACGACGCGGCTGCGAGCTCTGGCACATGACGTCGACATAGTCGTGCAGAAACTCGGCATCGCCCGTCTTGAGGCCGCTCATCACCGCTTTTTGCCCTGTCAGCGTCCACAAACACAAGACAAGACAAGGTCAGAAGGGAATCTCTTGCTTGGCACCCTTGAGTCAAACTTACCGTACTGAGAAAGCGTCAGCTTGGAGGCGGAACGCGAGACACGTTGCAGGGCGGCGTGACGTTCCTCTGGAGAACCGTGCTCGATAATGTGCTGCACGACCCACACGCCCCACTGATTGGTGGCGCATTCTTCTAGCTCGTCCAGCACCTCTTGCATGCACTGCGCCTTCTCGTCAGGCTGAGCGGATTCAAAGATGTTCTGGCAGATGATGCTGCCAGCCTCCTGTCGCGCCGTGCGAGCCCAGTGTCCCTTGAGCTGGCGATTGATCGAGGCGAATATCTCGTCCCTGAAACTCGACCTCTGCCATTCCGACTCGAGGATGCGCTGCCACACATGGATCGAGTGGCGAGAAGTGAGTGTCTGGTCCAGACGAGAACCCAGCAGCTCCTGAGCCACCGCCTCGCGCACCTCTTCCTCGCCCTCGAGCGCCTTCTGCACAACGTGGCAGCCAAATTGCGACATGGTCAGCTCCACAAACGAGCCCTTCAGAGCCAGGGCTACATCGGGGCGTGACTCGATCGCACCCTGGACAAGGAAGTTGCCGTGGCGATCGTGCGAAAGCGCCACCACGTTCGCGCGAATCGCGTCAAGGATCTCGGTCTGTCGCTCAAGGCTGCCGGTCTTTAGCTGCTGCTGGAGCACCATGCTCGCTTCCTGCCCGCGTCGATCCAGGATCATCGCCACGAGACGACCAGCAGGAGCATTCTCCAGCTTGGATGGTGAGCGCGGAGCAGAGCCCGGTGAGCTTGAAGGAGAGCCCTTGGAGAGAGCTTGCGTCCTCGGATGCGCAGGCATTACTGCTGGAGCGTTGTCGTACACACCGGCATCATCTCGCGTCGCAGGTACAGCTGGGCTCGCTCTGGAAAAGGCCCGACCGCGATCAAAGGCGACAGGTCCGGGCTGAGCCGGCTTGGCGCCGGTGCCGGCTCCGGCTCCTTCGAAGGTGGCGCGATCGGGTGCCCACATGGATGCAGCCGTGCCGGATCGCTGCTTCCTATCGGCAAGAATCTCCGGCGTCGTTGGTTCCGCACCACCGCTGTAGACCTGCAGCGGGTCAGCACCTTGCAAGACGCTCTGCAGACGAGGAGCCGAAGTGAGAGGCGGATGCTGGCTGCAGACGGATGTGGTGCGATCCGGATCGGTCTGGCCGTTCAGTGAGCCCGACCCGATGTTGATGCGCACCACCTCGCTCGCCATGCGTCGCAGAGCCATGTTCTCGAGCTTTAGACGTCGAACCTCCTCCACCACATAATCGGGCAGAGCGGTCGGCGATACGTTGGCGCGACCCGGACGGACGGGGCTTTCGTACTGAGGCTCGAACGGAAGAGCATGCGGGACTGCGAAGTTGGGTTGGAAGGTGTCCGAGTAGTCCGAGCTGAAGTCGGATCCAGGGTCCGAGGGAAGCATGAAGCGGTCGTCACCCGAGAGCGCCGAAGATGCCGAAGCCACGCGATGGTGCAAAAGCCTTGCGCTGGGCAAGTTGGCCGGGTATGCGGACATAGCGAAAGGTGGTCCGCCAAGCTGCCCTGCATCGACGACACTCCTGTCGACCCCGCCGCTGAAGTGTCGCATGTGCTCGCTTTCCGGTCGGCGGGCCGAGGCGTGGAAAGCTTCGAGATCTTTCATCTGGGTGAATGCTGCTGCGCCGCGGTTGAAGGAGATATGATCGCTGTAGCTCGGAGGTCGCGATGGCTGCGATTCGGCCTTCCAGGCATCCAGATCAAAGCTCTTGTCGGGCGCAGCATACGGCCACACGGTGGCGGGTCGGTTGCCGAACAGCTCGGAATGCAGTGGCTGTTCGACAGGAGAGAGGCTTTCCGACGCGGTCGAGGACCGGTCCGCTTCTCCTCGGGCCGCCGTAGCGGGTCTGTCGTCAGGACGCGGTTTGAAAGCGAACGGCATTGATGTCGATTCGCAAAGCGGTCGAAATACAAGCGAAGGTTTTGAGAAGCGTGGCACGGAGGTGAGTGGTGGATGTAATCCGAGATGGCGATTCTTGGCGATTCAAACGAGCCGGAGCGTACGCAAAGACGTAGCAGTCCCCGTGTGTGCGATCAGGATCAAGAGTGAAAGCAGAGCGAGCAGCTGAGTGCGTTGGTATGAGCGCAGGATCGAAGCTCCAGCCGAGATCGTCAACAGAGTGCTGGATCAAAAGACGGAGAGCAAGGAGATTGAGGGCAAAGTTTGACGAAGTCGAACAGAGCAGCGCCGAATCCGTTGCGACACGCAGGCGTGTTCTTTTTATGCCTCTGTATGAGCAGCACAGACGCACGCTGTTTGGACAGGCGACGTCGTTCTCGCTCAATTGTCCGCGATGGAAAAAGGCAGCATACATCCAACGCTTCGCTGCATCAGTCGAGATGCTTCGATGGTTGCCATGCACGAACATTCACGCTTTCGCCCGAGCAGGGCATCCCAACGCCACGGTCCGGAGCGGAAGCGTCATTTTCTGCGCATCGAAGCAGCGAGGCAAACGACGCGGCATCTACGCGGCATCTCGATGCTCGCAGTGCTGTCCGTCGTCGAGCTGCAGACCAGGTGACCATCCCGACAATCGGCACAACAATCTATGGGGCTTACTCACTCTGTCGAGCCGATGCGCCGGCAACCGATCTAGCCAGGCAACGCGTGGCGCAAGACAATCATGCGGTCATCAGCGGGCAGTGCTGTGCACAGATCAGTCTGTCTCCGCAATTGCGCTCGTGCTGAGAGAAGCGCTCGCCGGACAGAGGAGGTTCGATCGCTCGGAGTCGGCGAGTTCTGTGAGCGCAACGAGCCGCGCGGCGTCTAGAGCAACTCCAAAACGCCGAAGTGGCGGGAGCGACGTTTCCCGTAGCAACGGCGTTGGCTAGACCGTTGTCTGCCAGAGGGCTTCGGCTCGAGACGCGCGCGCACTACTTGGCATCGAGCGATGATAGCGGCGATAACGGACAGAATCGCCCAGTGGGAGTGTGACTGCATGCACCGCCGCATTTGCTTGGAATTGGTGCTCAGCAGAGCGACGGAGGCGACGCGCCGCTCTACAGTCACAGCCTCAACAGTCATAGATTCGCGTCTTGTGATTTGCGTCGAAGAGCGGGCTCTGTGACTACACAGAGAGCGGAGAGCGGGAGCGGAGCTGAGTCAAGTTCACCTTGCTTCCGCACCTAAGTGCCGAAGCACTTGCGCAAGGACGTGCCATGCGCCAAGCTCCAATCCACTCCACTCGGATCGGGCTGTGGCTTCGCATTGCGCATGTCCTCACTGAATTGCCTTGTCATCTTCGTCTCCATCGACGCAGCACGGTGACCCAAACACACAGGCGACAACTTCTGCTAGAGTGCCAAAGGGCTGCTGGATTGCTGCTGCAGTCACGCTGGAGGCCCGTCACAAGGCGCCACGCCGCGCACTGCTGTCACCGCTGGAACTGCCAAAGATGGCCGGGTCGTCGACGTCGTCTTCGCCGGCGCCGGCATTCGAGCCGTCCTCGTCGTCGTCCATCTGCAGCACAGCATCGGCTTCGCGCAGGATTTGCGAAATGGTGCGTTCGTGTCGCGACGAAGCCACCACCTTGGCGGGACCCGATGCCGAACGCCCACCACTCGCCGAGTCTTTCTCCTTGTCCGCTCTGCCAAGGCTGAAGCCACGCAGACCGGTGCGCTTCTTCTTGGCGTCGGGTGAGGTCGACAGCTCGGAGCTCGACGAGCGCGGAAGCGGTTGCGGCACGTTTGTCGGGACAATCGGCCTCGAGACGTCGAATGCGCGTCGAGATGAAGAGGATGCGCCGATGGACGAGCTCGAGGAGGCCTGGCGCGATCCGTGCTTTGTTGCAGCACTCGAGCGACTGCTGGAAGCGACGTCCGAGATGCTTGCGTGCGTGCCGGCCGATCCGACGCTCTGTGCCAACGACGTGTTGGAGGCCGCGGTGGGCACCTTGACGGCAGCATCCGACGACGAGGTGGTCGTCTCCTGAGATGCCGACACGGCAGCAAGGTTCTCGACGGGCTCTGGCTCAGCATCAGCCGAGGCGGCGACGGGATCGAGAGCCTCGGAGCGGTGCTCTTCGTAGCGCGAAGCGATCATGGCTGCATTTGCCAATTCCACTTGAAGCTCGTCGTCGGCTCCCGTCGGCGCGTCCGTGTCGACCTTTGATGAACCTGGCTGGCTGTCGGCTCGCGTGGGAATCTCTGGCATCTTGACCGGGATTGCCGCTTCAGTGATTACATCAGGGTCCTCGGCCTTGGCGACATCCTCCGATGCTGTGTGCGAATCGTTCGGGATGGATGCCGAACTGGCCGAAGGCTCGAGCCGATCGAGCGAAGCTGCGGCATCTGCAACTTCGTCATGAGGAAGTGCTGGTGCGGCCTTGAATTGCTCCTCAGAAGGCTCTTCCAGGCTTGCACGCGTCTGAGGTGCCTCCGCGGAAGCCTCGGTATCCTGTGATGTTAGAGGAGCGGAATCTTCGTTGACGTCGCCAGTGGCGGCCAATCCGACGTCTTCGCTGCGAGTGAGCTCGATCACGTCGATTGAGCTTTCGGCTGTTGCCGATGCCTCGACTGCTTCTGATGAATGCCTTGCTTCTGCTGCCTCAACCGGGACTACCGCCTCCACGGCTTTGGTCGGCTCAGGCGCCTCTTCTGGCTCCACGGCCTCGACTGGCTCAGCGGGCTCGACTGGCTCGACTGGCTCGACTTGCGCCGCAGTCTCCAGCGCCCCTGCTGCGTCCGTTGGTGCTGTTGGCGCTGCTGTTTGCGCCGCATCGTCCGTCTCGCTTTCGGGAGCCTGCGTGCTCGGTTCTGCTTCATCTACAGACGCGGATGCGGGTGCCTGCTCTTGCTCCTCTGACACGAGGGGCGCTTCAGAGAGCGAAGCTGCCGCTGCCGTCGTCGTCGCTGCTTCGTGCTCAGGCTTCGACGGCGAAGAGCCCTCGACCTCTTCTTTTGGCGCCAAGACCGGTGCTTCCTGTAGTAGGTCGACCTTGGATGCTGCAGCAGCACTCTCGACCTCGTCTTCTGTCGAGGCACGGAGCTTTGAAGATGGTTCTGTGGCCGTGGCGGAAGATGTTGACTCGGTCGCCTTGACGGCCGCTCTGGTCGGAGGAGAAGACTCGATACTGGCCTTGAGCAGGCTGGAGCGAGCCGATCCGTGCCCCTTTTGCTTGGCCTTTTGGGCGAGATCTCTTGCCACCGCCTCGTCTCGAGCCTTGTCGGCTGCCGAGCTGGGCTTGTGCACGCGATCACCACCAAGACGGAGGCCCTGCGGGATGGCGCCCTGATCCAAGAACTGGTCGACCTCGTCATCGCCGATGTCGACATTGCTGAGCCCAAGCGAAGCGAACAAGTCGTCGATATTGTCCTGGCTGACAATGTGTTTCATCCTGCTCTCTTCCATGGCGTCGTCGAGCGTCTTGCCCTGCGAGACGGCGTCGCGCAGCAGCGCACCCGAGGTCTTCCGGTTGGATGTGAGTGCAGCCGCTTCGGCGGCGAGTGCTCTTGTGGATCGCTGGGTGGCCGAGTAGCGCGCCATGGGCGAAGCTCGCGTGCCGTTGCTACTGGCTGGGCTGGGAGAGCCGGATGGCATGCGCTGGTGCGATGTTGTTGGACCCATCTTGGCCAGACGCAATGGCTTGACGGCTGCCTCTTTGGAAGGCTGATACTTTTTCTCTGCGGTCGTGGATGGCTGGAAGGACATCTTGCCGATGTCGGCGAGCATCGCATCGACATCTGCATCGTTGATCTCCTGCTCGTCGATGTTGAGCGAAGAGATAAACTGGTCCGCATCGGGCTCTTTCCAGCGTCCAGCGCCCTCGGCAGCGTGTGGCAAAGTTGGGTATAGGCTGGGATCCTTGGAGCTCACAGCTGACTGGGCCGGGTGGGGCTCGACGGCGGGTGCTGGCTGAGTCGCGGCTACTCCGAGAAAGAGCTCGAGCTCGCCAAACTCGACGGCCTCTTCAAAGTCGTCGTAGGAGCCGACCCACTCGTTGTTCACCAAGATGCCGGGGAGCTGTGGGTCCTTGGCCTTGCGTCGCCATCTGCTCTTGGCATCATCATCGGAGGCGAGATCGTGGTAGACGTAGGCGATCTTCTTGATGGCAAGCACCGAGGTGAAGCGCTCGTGGCGCGTGCGCACCTTGACGTTGGAGAGGATCGAAGTGCTGAAGAGCTCGACGGTGGGTTGCGCCATCTTGGCCGAGTCTGCGGCGGAGGAACAGACGAGCCAGCTCGCCAAATGCACCACGCCAGCGTACGGTCGAGAGTAAGTCAGGTGGACGCCACCGTCCGAGATGAGCCTCGACGTGGAAGAAGGCGAGTTGAGCGCCAGCCGGAGTCAGGGCCGTGCGGCACGCCCCTCATGCATCGAGTGGCCTGGCCGCGCCTGCTTCTTTCTCCACACGCCTGCTTTGCTCTGTTGGACCCTGCTCGACACGTCTCGGACGACAGCGGCTAAACGCGACCATTCGGTTCCGATCCATCGGCTGCTCCTCGGCCTCTCCCCAAGGAAAGATTCGGGACGTCCAACACCTCAAAAGATCTAACGCGTCGAGAAAATCGAAAAATCGCGACTCTGGGCTGGATGACCAATCCCTAGGCCGACCCGCGATGTGACTGTCCGCCCAGCTGATGGCGCGAACTTCTGAATTCAAAAGGAGCTGGCCAGAATTTCGAAACCCTGCGATGGAACGCCCGATTTGAAATCCGACGCTGGCGGCGGCTTCAAATGGCTCGTTTTCAAATCCACGACTGCCACAGCCCAAAGCGAGAGGGAGGGCACGGGCAGCAGCGCACCAGCGCAGCCTGAGATCATCGTCGCCTTCAGCCGTCCGTCCGCGTCGGGACAGAGATGAGAGAGGCAGCCGCACCGCTCTCTCTCTCTCTCTCCCGCAATTGGGAGTTTGGCAGGCCTTTTTCTTCTCAACCGGCTCGCCCTATCGCGGATTTGCAAACATCCCTCCCTCCACGCTACAGCAGCCAGAGCGCATCCGCTGTTTCATCGTCATCATTCTCCTCCTCACCACCACGACATCCACCCTCGCGTCACCACCATCACCTCCTCACTCCCCTCTTCCACCATCATCATGATCGGCCAGAACGTCGCTCGCGCCTCGCGAAGCAGCCTCCGCGCTGCCTCCCTCCTCGGCCGACGAACCATGGTCACGCAGGAGGAGCGATGGACGCTCGAAAACGCCCGCAACGCCGGCTCCTTCATCGAGGGCCCCAACAAGGTCCAGCTCAGCCACGTCGTCCCCAACATCGAGGCATCCTGGAAGTCGCTCTCCAAGGAGGAGCAGTACGGCGTCTTCCGCCAGTTGGAAGAGCTCCAGAGGAAGGACTGGAAGGAGCTCAGCGTCGATGAGAAGAAGGCTGGTAAGTGTCTACTCTCGCCGCTCACGCAGCCTCGCCGCACATTTGCTCGCATCAGCCGCCTGGGCTTACGCTCCAGCCGCGTCAATCGTGCCGCACCAAGGGCGACAAAGCCTGGACATCGGCTTGAACCCAGCAATGCGCACAGCTTGGTCCTCAGCTTCGCCGTCATCCACTCCACCGCTCGCGTCCTGGCTGCGTCATCAATCCAGGCGTGACCCTTGCGACACCTCTCGTACGCCCACACGTCAGAATCCCTATATTTACACATCCTACTTTGCACATCACAGCATACTTTGTCTCGTTCGGCCCCCACGGTCCCCGCAAGCCCATCACCGCCTCCGGCCAGGGCGCAAAGACCTTTGCCGGCGTCGTGGCCGCTCTCGGTGTCACCACCGGTGTCTTCTACCTCATGCGTGCCAACGGTAAGTATGCCCTCGACCCTCAGCAGCCGTGGCAACCGCCCTCAATCCGAACCACACGCTTACGTCCTTGCCCTTGGCGTCACACATCCAACAGGCGGCGCCCCCGTCAAGACCATGACCAAGGAGTGGCAAGAGGCCTCCAACGAGATCGCGCTCGAACAGAAGCAGAACCCCATCACCGGTATCGCCAGCGACAACTACAAGGGCAAGGGTCACGTTCAGTCCGCATAAGCCCGCACTTGCTCTCGTCGCCCGCCAAAATATCACTCTTTCTTCACTCGTCTTTCCGTCGTCGAAAGGGAGGAATCATCAATCTAGATCGATTTGCACAGCATCCTTTGGCCGCACAGCATTCACCCGCCGCCGTCTGATCACGACAACACGCCGCCGAATCCGCCTCGACCTTGGGGCGCTACAGTTTGGAGTTCGCGCTTTCGAGCAGCGGCACTCCGGTCAGCTTGCTCAACTGAGCCAGCGCCGGAGTCGAATCGCTCGAGTCGACGCCTACAACGAGAGCGCGCGCCGCAGCAGTCGCATTCGGAAAGGGGCAAACGCAGGGTTCAGTCAGTGAAGCAGCAGGGCAGCATCTGGAGGGCAGAGCGAGGGACGCTTACGGATTGTGGTGATGCCCAGCTTCTGCGCCGCCTTGAGGTTGGGTCCAATGTCGTCGAGGAACACCACCTCGCTCGGCTTGACCTTGAGCAGGTTGAGTGCGTACTCGTAGAATTCCGGGTCGGGTTTCCTGTCGCCGCACGCGAACGAGCCGGTAACAAGCCGGAAGAGGAGTGTGTCAGTGTCGGTTCTTGGAGCTGTTGAATGAGAGTCCGAACGCACCTCTTACCAACCACGGCGCTCTCAATGTAGAAATCAAACAGCTTGCGCAGCTGGTCCTGCGACGAGCCCAGCCCGAGGTGCTGCAGCTCCTCGTCGAGCGAAGGTGCTTTCCCACCACCTCCTTCCGCTGATGCGGGCACTTGGGTAGGTGGCGCAAAGTTGTTGGTCAGGGCCGCCACCGTGAATCGGCCCGTTTCTACAACAGGAGAAGCGTCGCTTCAGAGTCAGTACTGCTTGTCTCGCCCGCACCTTGGTGTGCGTTCATCCTCACCTTTGAGCCGCATGATGGCAGTACGCATCTTGGGATCCACAGTGGTGGAAGTCCTCATCATCTGCCCGAAAAGCTGTTCAACGGCACCCCAGACCGATGCAAAATGGTCAGTTGAGCCGCTGCGTCGAGGATGGCCAGGAAGCTTTGCGCAGGCGTACGTACTTCTCGTCCGTCCACCTTGAGCTTAGTCGGAAGCTTTGGCACTTCTGTAACCGTTCGCCACGAAGCTCCAGCCGCGTCAGTACTGCCACGATACTGAATTGCGAGTGCCGACTTACCTTGTCCTCGGCTTTGGCAGAACTTGGTGAAGGCGGCATTGTTCTTCTCGACGTCGCTCAGCTCTTGGCCGAATCGACGGTAGAAGGTGTACAGGTCGAGCTCGCTACGTTCGAATTGCTGCAGATCCGCAAGTGCAGTCGAAGGTCAGAACCTCGTTTGCATGACCCAAAGCGCTTTGCCAGAATTCGTCGACTCACCTGAAATGCACCGCCTCGGCCTTGAGCGGTGATGGCTACATTGAGATACTGAAATGGCAGTCCATGCTCCTTCTCGTACCTGCATTGCAGCTCGGATCGTCAGCACATGTGATCGACGGTACATCGGGGCATGAACTCACCTATTGATAGCAAACAGCGGGCTTCCAACCACCACGCCGCCGATGTCAAAGATGACCGCTTTGAATGGCATCACGTCTACGTCGTCGGAGCAGAACAGCGCGAGTGGAAAGAAAGATGGCCGTTCGTGGCTAACGGCAGATCCTGCTGTGGTGGCTCCGTAAACGTCGGCTCGTGCAAAGTCGTGGATCCGGATGACGGTCGGGCAGGAAGCATGCAAGCATCCAGCAGAGGGTCCGGGGCGGGGAGCGTGGATGAATGCAGCTTCGACGTAGCCGGGAGTCGGGTAAATCAAGACGCCGAATTCTGACTTGAGCTCGTCGCCACTCCACTCCACACCGCTTGATGCTCCCTTGCCGGGACAACACGGCCGTGCTCAAAGCACCTCCTTCACCATCCACCATGGGCGATTGCACCGATATCCAGCTTCTCGCTCGAGAGAGCCGTGCTGGCAAGCTTAACCGAACCATTCTTCACCTCCGCTTTGTCAGAACCACGGAGACAATCGAGATGGCTTGATGGATAAGCCGAAAACAAAACAAGCCGTTATATTGCCTGACGAATCTTGGCCTCGAAATTCTGAATCCCCTGTCTCACTACAATTGTCTTGCGCTTCACGGACACATTTTGGCATTGCCGCATCTTGATAATCATAATTTCTCGCTTGTCGGAAATTAGCTTCTCGTCGTGCGAGTCCAAAAAAAGTCTGGCCTTCGCGACCGGCATTTAGGCACCTTCTCATGCCGAAGTCGAAATTGCAATCGTACCCGCCTTCCCATCTGCGCAGACGCAGACATTAATGAATCATGACATTCGTGGTTCACGACATGAGCAAGAAGTGGCTCCTGTAAGCTCGCAACCAGACTTGTACGTTAAAACCCAATTATACCTTTTTCACCGCTACGGGCTTGCCACCATGCGGCATGCCTGCACTTGTTGGCAATGACGAAGACCTCCAGTTCTTCAGCAACAACAACGCCTTTGATGCAGTGGCTCAATACGCCCTAGTGGATCAAAGTCAGGAGTCCTGGGAGCTCTTTGGACAGTCCAATCATGACTACTTCCTTGGCGTCTTCAGGCCCCTGCATGATAGTCATATCCTAACAAGTGGGGTGGGTGGCGACGAGCAGCCACCCATCAGCCACCCGGGGGGGATGGCGAAAATCAGCCACCCAGCAGCCACCCTGCTCCTCGCCAGCTACCGTTTTGTTAGGATATGAGTGCACTGTCCATGACCTACGATACAGTGCAGTTCATGGTCAATCTTACAGGGGCGGCCTTGTTGCTCTGCCAGCTCCCAGAGAAAAAGAAAGGCCGGAAAGAAAGGGGTTGGTGCAAAACCTGCAGCTGGAGACGTGAGCCTCAGGATGGCTCCTGTGATGTGACTACACGCTTCCTCATCAATCGGGGAACACATTGGTACACGTCCAAGATTTATCGATCTTGGACTCCCAAGTTCCTGCCAGTCAGCGCCGTGAGTCAAGAGCGATTTATGAATTTTGCTGTCATAGTTCGGTAGAAAGGCGGGACGGGGTAGCTGGGAGTGCCCTGGCCCCATGCATGATGTCGAATTTTGTCAACCAAAAACATAGTGTCCATATTTTGTGACAACGCCCTCTTTTAGTGACCACGGAGTCATATTCGATAAAATGCAAATTCATGATTGGCCAATCCAGCCGGCAACAGCCAGTCAATCGCTCGTGACCGGCTCAGGGCTAGATAACGGATCAGCAAAGCAAGCATGATGAGGCTGCGTTTCTTCAGCATAGAAGGTGGTCCGTCTTTGTGCTTCAATAGTTGCACAGGCAATGAGGGTGCGACTTTAGGCCGGTTGCTTCAAAATCATGATTGTGGTTTCGTCATTGAAGGTTGACAAATTTGAAGCGTGAACGCAATCATCCTGCCTGACCACAGAATTGGGCGATTTTCCGAGATCGAGCCCATGGGTCAAAATTGATACCACCTTTTTCTGATCCACTCGAATCTGCTTAAGTGTCCGACCTCAAAACTTAGATGCCGAAATATTGTTTCCGAGACAGCTTGAAAGTATGTGCCGGGGCTGAAAATCTGCATCGTTGAACTTGCATTATTAAATCGGTAAAAGTGGCGAGCCGCTGTGCCGAAACTAGACTGGGAAGTTACGCATGACTTTCTTGATTCAGATCCTTGATAAATTACGGAGAAGCTTTACAGGGCCTAGGGAGAATCATAATTACTCTGACGACGTTCTATTTTGGAGCTCAAATGGGCACATGAGCGTCACAGATGGCATCCGGGTGATCATATTACTTTCGTGATTTTTGTTTCATTGATGGGCCTGTTTCGATAATGGACCACTCACGTTGTGGCTGCGGTCTTAACTTCGAAAAGTGCATAAACACCGGTCGCGAAGGTGAACTGACTCTATGATTCGGCATGCGGGCCCGTGACCAGGAGACGCCCGTCGCCTTTCATGTAATGTTTTGTTTTTCCAACTTCGGCAGGAATGAGACGCTAGATGCGATGCCTGAACTCCTTGGGACTGACGCTCATGAACCCTTCGATTGATTTACGCAACAGCTTTCGCTACACTGACACTGGCATCTATTTTCACACAAAAGATATGCGCCTCGGACGATTTTTATTCTGTAGGTTTGCTTGACTACGCATCATGAGTCATAAGTAAGCGGCTGAGCGTGCTAACATGGAGAAGAAGGGCGGAGCATATGTTGGAGCACGATCTCAGCTGCGCAACTCATGTCTCAGGCCCCTTTGCAGAAATTCATATCCTAACAAATGGGGTGGGTGGCGACGAGCAGCCACCCATCAGCCACCCCACAGCCACCCACACCCACACACACATGGGTGGCTGCTGGGTGGCTGATCCCAAGAAGCCACCCCGGGTGGCTGATGGGTGGCTGCTGGGTGGCTGCTCCTCGCCAGCTCGCGTTTTTTTAGGATATGATTACGATTGTGACATCCGCATCATTCTCAAGACTGAAAAGGTCGTAAAGTACTCACTTGAAACAGCTCGGATGCCTGATTCTAAAGCGATTCATGATTCATGATTCAAGTTGCACCACATAACTTACGATCGTTTGTGCATTGGTATAACCATTCATTCGACGCGCATGGGACGGAGAAAAAAGTCATGAGACACAAACGCAAGTCAGTCGAGGCTTCCCGCACAGCTCTCATACCGCCAACTCTGCGGCCCCCTGCAGCTCCTTTTCCCCTTGTGTTGAACTTTCTCCAATCAGTGTCCAATGCCTCCACACGTGCCAGGTTCGACAGCGTTCAAGTGAGGCCTGAAACACTACCCTCGTCCTAAGAGCCAAGCTGCCTTCATCTCCACCATCCATCTGCAACCTTGAGCCTGTTGCCGGCGCTGTGGCTGGTGCAACTGCGTCAGAGTTGGTTCCTCCCTGTGCTACCACGCCCGTGTACCAGCGGGATGTGCAGCACCTGAGTTTCTTCCCGTTGGTGGCAGGAAGCACATTCTTCATAGCCGCCACCGCCTGACCGCCACGTGCCCTCCCATGCCAAGAGCCTCAGCTGGACGGAGCAGCACAAGGTTGCTGACCTGCTGCGCATGAGTTCAAGGGCCAATATCCTTGGGACTGGAACGTCCAGAAGGGCTTAAAGGCCGAGCAGCGCACGACTTGGTCAGCAAAAAGAGGCCATTTGCAGTTGGCATCCACGCTCCAAGTCGTATGCATGCAGCTAGAACTAGCCACTTTTGCGACGCCAGATGGCACCTCTGTCGCATCGCCATCTCGAACCAGCACCCGCAAATGCATTCACGACACACTACTTCCACGTTTGGGATCAAAAGAAAAGAAATGTCCATTTACAATCAATACTCTATGTGTATACTAGATCCAGCCGTCTCTGGAGTCGGTGTGGTGCTGATGGCTGCTTCCTGAGTCGATGCGTTTCATGACTTCGCCCCAGGCTGTGGCTTCGAACGACTCGATGGCGGGCGAGGCTCTGCGCACCACCTCTTCCCTCGACACGCCGCTGCGCAATCCACCCTCTTCCTCCCGCTCGGTGGGGATTTGGAGTGCGAGTGCTGGGCGGGAGGAGCTGGGGTGGTCGTCGTTGAGCGTGATGGTGGGAACGCCGTCGGTGTGCATTTGGGCGCGGAGGGCGAGGAACCTGCGGCGGAGGTATCCTACTTTGAGCAGGCCGCGGACCCGGTCGAGGCGAAGTTGGTGGTCGATTCGTTCGGACATCGCCGTGCGTTCGACGAGCTCGTCGATGCTGAGCGCCTCGTGGGCGTCGATGAGCTTCGCGCGCGCCAGCACGAGCATCATGTCGGTAAAGCTCACGCCCTTGCGGGGATGCGCCACCAGCACCGCTTCGTGGTATACGCGGTTGAACCGCTCGCGTCGCATGCGTAGCTCGCCCGCATCGACGCTCGCCAGTGCGCGCGCCAGACGTTCTGCATCCGTCTGCCCCGCATCCTCCTGAGGTGTGAGCGAGGTGGGCGAGGCAGGCCAGTTAAAGAAGGCATCCTGGGCCTTGCCGTCGCGCAGGGGCGATCGCAACGGCGACGCACTCTTCAAAAAGTCGAGCGCGCCCCTCCCCTTCCCTCCCGCCACCGAGGGACTCGCCGGCACCTCTTGGCTTAGCGCCGCCCTGAGCACGCGCAAGCTACACTCTGGCGGATAGAGCGCCACCTCGAGTCCTCCCTTTACCGAGGCGAGGAACGGCACAATCTGTTCTTTCTGGATGTACCCCTTCCTGCCGCGATCAAACCTTGCCCAGCTGCTCTTGAAGTGCCGAATGTCGCTCGAGGAGAGCACCGCCTTGCTGCCGAGGTCAAAGATGTACGAAAAGTTCTCCACCACAGTACCTGTGAACATGTTGAGGAAGATGTACATCGAGATGACGTTCCAGCCGATGAAGAGCACGTAAGCCCATGCCTCGCTGCCGCAGTCGCTCGTGAGGTAGTTGGCCGACGGCGTGCACTGCGGCGGCGACACGGTGTAGTCGTGCATGAAGCTGTTCCATCCCTCGCCGGTGGAGATCATGCTGAGGAAGACGAGCGAGCCGATCATGGTGGAAAAGTTCTTGGCGTACGTCTCGTTGGCGCCCCACTTTGTCAGTCCAAACACCTCGACCAGCATAATCGCCCAAACCAGGAACATGGTCAGCCACAGCAGGAAGAGCGACAGGATGGCAGGCAGCGATGCGAATGCCGTCTTGAACAGCTGGTTGAGCGAGCGGTTCTTCTGCACCAGCTTGAGCGCCACGCACACCAAGAACAGCTTCTGCAGCTGCACGATCGCCTGCGACTCGTTGGCGCCCGTCAGCAGCGGTAATGTGGTAGCCAGCGTGCCCGACACGACAAAGAGGTCGTACAAGTTCCAAGGGTTTTCGCGGAAGCTGCGCCATCCGAGGCCTAGTAGCCTCGCAGCAATGTCGAGCGCATACACGGCCGTAAAGCCGAGGTAGAGGGCGTCGCGCAGCCGATTGGCCCAGTCGGGATCGGCGTACTGCTGCGTCATGAGCGTCACGATCGTGGCGACGTACATGAGCGTCATGCCTCTACTCCACCAACCGTTCTTGTTGAGCGTGCGGTCGTAGCACCACGCGCGCAGGCTCTGGCCGGGCCTACGCTTCGGCCGCTTCGACGGACGCTGTCGAACGATCAACCGGCGCAGATCGATCCACTGTCTCTGAGCCGCCGTCTGGTATGCTGCACCGGAAAAGGTCTGGAAGTTTTCGATGATCACCGACACGAAGAGCGTGAGCACCGTGGTGCTGCCGACGAGGTTGTAGATCAAAAAGAACAACGCGTTGACTTGGCGGTTGTCGTTCTGCAGCTGCCGATCCTTGCCCGCCACACTCATGGCGGCGGTCATGACGTCGATCCAACCCTCGAGCGAGATGATCTCGAACAAGATCAGCAGTGCGCCCTTGAAGTCGTCAAACGAGTAGACACTTCCTTCCGTCGGATTGCCCCACACGCGCGGGGCGAGGAAGTTAAAGTCGCCGGGCGAGTTTATGAACTCGCCCGCACACTCGAACTTTCCCCTGACCGCATCTGAGCCGTCGTTGCACGAGTAGAGCAGACCGGCAAACAGGTTCTGTCCCCACACGGCGTAGGGGATGATGTAGAGGATCGACAGGATGGACGCATCGAGGATCCTGCCCGCACCTGCAATCATGACCGCATGGAAGGTATCTCGCATGAGCGACGAGAGATTGATGAGCCTGAGCGCACGGAAGGCCTTGAGCGCACGCGTGAAGCGCGACACACCGCCGATCACCGCCAACTCGGTGGCGACGTTGACAAGGAGCGTGACGAGCACAAACAGATCCAGCGCGTTCCACACGCTCAACACGTACGCATTCGGCGTAAACGCCAGCCCGTCCGCCACGGTCTTGACCGCAAACTCGGCCAGAAACAGCGACGACAGGCTGAGCTCGAGGATCGAGAACCACGATGCACGGATCAAGCCGTACTTGTCGTAGTAGTCGCGTCGATACACTGGCGTCGCGATCGCCGCCGACACCACCGATCCGACAATGGCGAGGAAGACGGCGATCTGGAACAGCTTGTGCCTGAACGGCGACACGGGTCTTCCAAACAGCCTTTCGCCATGCGACGAGGGCACAAGGCTCTGACAGAAGCGACGGAAGCGGTTGTGGTTGGAGAAGAGAAAGTACGACTTGTCGTACGACGGATGGCTTGCGATGAACTTGGCCTGCTGGATGCGCGCGTCGCTAGGCGAGCGCTGCAGGAACGCTGCTGCATCGTTGCTCGCGGTGGCGAGCCCCAGATCGGAGCGCATGCGCGCCAGTCGTCGGTTGCTGGCAAATTCGTGCGCGGCCTTGTCTGCTGGGTCTGCATCGTACGTCGCAGCGTATGCATGGGCGTCCGGGTGGAGCATGTCGTCGGCATGGATGCTGCTGCGCAGCCTGCGCGCATTGAGGTTGTCGAGCGGCACGACCTCTTCGGGCTTGTCGAGGCGGAGCATCTTGCGCACCGTATTGACCGTGCGCTGTGCCGTCGCGGTCGAAGTGTCCACGACGTGATGCATGGAGAGCGGGCGCGCCTTCTTCTCGTCGGTGCGCGCATCGATCTTGGAGCCGCCGACGATCTTGTTGGTGCGCGAACCCGATCCAGCGCCTTGATCGCTCCTCGCCGGATCCGATGCCGCAGAGCCCGTATGCGCGGCATTGCGCCTCTTCAGGTATCGGTACGGACTGAGCTTGTCGAGGATGCGCTGGGTGAGCGTGGTGGGTCTTGGCTCGTTTCGGCGAAGGTACTGCTCCAGCTGCTGCTGGCGCTTCTCGCTCTCTGCCACGCTGAAGTTCTCGTTGATGACGGCGATGAACATCTGGAGCACGATAAAGTTGGCAAAGAGGAACCAGCCGGACAAGAAGATGGCGGCGATGACCGCCTGCTTGGACTCGACGCCCGTCGAGGTGGCGCTGAAGAGCACGTCGGTCCAGTTTTCCGAGGTGAAGATCTGGTACATGGCGAGGAAGGAGTTGAACGAGTGTTTGAACGTCATCTCTGTCCATTCGCCGTCGTCGTCCTGGGGTATATCTCCACGGAAGAGCTGGGTTGCGATGAGCGAGGCGAGCCCCACCATGAGCAGCAGGAAGAGCACCATGTTGAGCATCTTGTTGAGCGAGCCGAACGCGCGCACGAGCAGCACGCGCATGCGCGGGATCGCCGCGATCACGCGGTAGAACCTCGCAAGCTGGAAGAACGTCAGCCACGCATATACGTCCGAGTCCTTGATCACGGGGATCTGGATGATGCTGGTGATGAACGCCAGCGCCAAGTCGGCACGGTTCTGCTTGGAGGCGAGGAATCCGCGCCAGTCTCCGTCCAGCACAAACGCCAAGAAGCGCATGGCGATCTCGAGGTCGAAGGCGAGCGTAAAGTAGAGCTCGATGCGCGATCGTTTCTGCAGCTCGCTTGGAGGCAGGTAGGTGGCGCGCGAGGCCTGGATCGCCACGTCAAAGATGATGGCGAGGATCCAGAGATACTTTGTATACCCCCACACGCGCTTGAAGCCAAGCGCAAGACTCTTGAGCCTTCCCCTTGAGCTCGGCTGCTTCTCGGGATCGGCAGCTGGGTCTGGGAGCTTCTGATCGGCAAAGGCGCTGCGCTGGGTGCGCGCGGTGAGCGTGGCGAAGCTGTTTGTGATGACGGCGACGAACAAGTTGGCGAGCCAAAAGTTGAGCACGATGATGCCTACGATAAAGTAGATGCAGGAGGCGTAGTAGTCTGCGTCGATCATGTCGTACATGGTCTGCGACCAGTTGTTGGACGAGATGACGATGACCACCTCGAGGAGCGAGGTCACAATGTTGTCGAACGACTGCGTGTTGCTCTGCGGATTCGACTGCTGCTCGAGGCAGATCTGACCGCGCGGACAGATGAATCCCTTGGGGGACGAGCCGGACGGGCTGCCGTTGGCGAGAAGGTGGCCTAGCTTGTCGCCGGCCTGGGTCCAGTAGCCTCCGCAGAGCTGGGCGAGAGTGTTGTTCTGACCGGGCTGGCCGTTGAGGTCGCCGAGCCAGACGCAGTTTCTGCGGTAGGAGCCCTGAAAGCTCTGGATGCCGATGATGCCAAAGAGGAGCATGGCGAATGCGGTGAAGGAGGTGACGCTGAGCAGGATGAAGGCCGAGGTCTTGAGCGAGTGGAGGATGGTGGTGGTGCCGCTGGTGGCGGTGAGGAGGCGCGCGCATCGGAGCACGCTGAGCGCGCGAAAGATGTAGATGTGGTGGTGCGGGGTGGATTCCTGGTGGGTGAGTGCGAGGGCCAAGGCGATCCAAAAGGCGAGGATGGCGACAAAGTCGACGCGATTCCACGAGTGGCGGAGGAAGGCGTAGTGTACGGATTTGACGCGCTGCTTCTCGACGGCCTCGGCAAAGGGGGTGTTGGCGTTGTGCCAGAAGGAGGGAGCGGTGGATTCGGAGAGGAACATGCTTGTTTCGCTCTGGTTGAGGCGACGGCCTGGGTGGCGTGTGGATGGTGCGGCGCTGGCTTCTCGGTGGTGGTGGTGGTCGGTGAAGCCCATGTCTCCGGCGAGGACGCGCTGAGCGCGATGCTTAAAGTTGCCGCCCAGGGTGCCGAGGGTGTCGAGCGTGTTGGACCTGCTCATTTGGCGTCTGTGTTCGGAGTGCTGGGTTGGTGCTGTGGGCTTGACGGCACTGTCGACGTCGTCGAGGGGCGCTGCGTAGAGCGGGGGCGGGTTGATGACGAGGCCCGAGACGATGATGCGAGCGAGGATCTCGAGGGTATATACGGCGAATATGGCGAGCAGAATGATGTTGGAGGTGTCGCTGAAGAAGCGTTGCGGGCGAGGATGGTGATAGACGCTCTGAGCGGACTGTACGACGAGGGTGACGGTGTTGGCGAGGATGAGGAGGAGCACGACGGGTTCGATCCACCACTGTGCGAGGAGGGATGCGAGGGCTGTGCGGATCTTGTTTTCGGGAGCAAAGATGCCGAGACTCTTGCCGCGGAGCAGCTGGATGTGGTGTGTGGTTGGGCTGATGTGCGAATGTTGTTGTGGTGAAGGATGGACGGTGCGTGCCGAGTCGTCGCTGTCGTCTTGGTCTGCATCGTGGTCGTTGAGCGGGAGGTGAGTGGGTTGGTTGTGATGTACGACGCGTCTGGAGAGACGACGAATGGACTTGGAGAGGCGGTCGAGGTTGGACCTGGCCTTTGCAAAGTTGCCCGGGTTGTGGCCTGCGGTGGCGTATACGTCTGCGCTTGATTTGAGGTGTGGGGGTGGATCTTCTAGTGCGCCTGGTGAAGCTGTGCGATGGTGATGGGTGAGGATGGCTCTGTCGTGGTCGTGATCCTGGTCAGTGTAGGTTGCGTCGGATTCGCGACTGTAGCCGTAGTGCATAGCCGACGACGCTGGATGCAAGTTGGCGAGCGGTAACGAGGAGCGGCGTGGTGGGGGGAAAGAATCGTCGAGTGGCTGCGGAGATAGCGGCAGAGGAGCGTCCAAGATGCCAGCATCTATCGACGACTCTCGGCGGTGGTGCGACGATGCGCGATAAGGCGGTTGGGTAGTGGACTGCTCGTTGAGGTCCCAGCTGAGCCTGCGGATGAGGCGTTCGTCGTTGGACGAGTGCACGGGTGAGGCGATTGCGCCAAAGTCGTGCATGTGCTCGTTGCCGTAGTAGTAGCTGTTGATGTAGATGTCCGAGTGGTGCGAGGGGATGCTGCTTGCGCTGACCGAGTCTCTGTATTGCGGAGATGCGGGCGATCGCAGCGGGTCGTGTGTGGGTGGAACGAGGCTGGTTGAAGCGGAAGGAGTCTGCTCGTCGTGTGACGAGGGTGTTTGTGCGCTCATGGTTGGGTATCCCTCGCCATCGTGCTGGTGATGGTGGTGGTGGTGGTGGGACAGCAAGTGAAACACTGGACAGCACCGCCTCCGAATTCGCGCTTCTCCACCTCTGCACTCACAATTTAACGCTCAAATTCGCCGAAGTGGAAACGTGCAGCTGTCAGCGATTTTGCTTCTGAGTGTCAGATTGCTATATCTCACAATTTGCTCTGCTGCTTACATAACATTGACTAAGACGCGATCAGGGTTACGCGTTCTCCACCTCTCCTTCGGCGCAGCTGCCAAAGCAACGGTCAGACCAACACGCCCGCCCTCACCACCCTTCGCTCCACCAACGGTAACCTCCATATTGGCATCATGTCTTACGATCGAGGTGAGCTCCTACTCCCATTCTTGCCCAACGACGCTGTTTACTGACCCCTCTTGATTCCGGCAGCGCTCACCGTTTTCTCGCCCGACGGACATCTGTAAGCCTTGCTCACACACATTCGGCTCTCCTCGCTCGCTTGAATACTGACTCGTGGTGGTTCTTGCGCAGATTCCAAGTGGAGTACGCACTGGAAGCGGTTCGCAAGGGAACTTGTGCCGTCGGTGTGCGCGGCAAGGATGTAGTCGTGCTCGGTGTCGAGAAAAAGTCGGTTCTGCAGCTGCAGGATGCACGTACGATTCGCAAGACGGCCATGCTGGATGACCACGTCTGCCTCGCCTTTGCGGGTCTCACTGCCGACGCACGAATCCTCATCGACAAGGCACGCATCGAGTGTCAATCGCACCGTCTTACCGTCGAAGACCCCGTGACGGTCGACTACATTACACGACACATTGCCGGCATACAACAGCGCTACACGCAATCCGGCGGTGTTCGTCCATTCGGCATCTCGACGCTCATCATTGGATTTGACGCCAACGAGTCCAAGCCTCGACTGTACCAGACCGAGCCGTCGGGCATGTACTCGGCATGGAAGGCGTGTGCGATCGGTCGAAGCGCCAAGACCGTGCGCGAGTTCCTCGAAAAGAACCACACCGACGATCTGGACAGGGACGCCACCATCAAACTCGCCATCAAGAGCCTGCTCGAGGTCGTCCAGACCGGTGCCAAGAACATCGAGATTGCCGTCATGGACGCACACGCCCAGGTGCGCAACCTCGAGCTCGGCGAGATCGAAAAGTTTGTCGACCAGATCAATGCCGAAAAGGACGCCGAGGCCGAGCGCAGGAGGACGCGCATCGCTGCCACCGCCGGCGCCCAGGCGTCGATGGCCTGAGCCTCGACCAAAGCACCTCAATTTCATACAGCCGTCTCCCATGGATTGCTTCTGTGCTGTCATTGCGCGGGCGAGTTTAGAGTTTGAGCCCGGATGCACTCATCCACTTCTTGAGCTTGGAGGCTGGCTGCTGCTGATGCGGTGCGGGGTGTGCACCTCGATCTTGGAATCCGGATCGGCCAATCACGTCGGCATCCACATCGTCGTCATCTAGCATGGCGGCATCTCTCCATGCCTCGTCCTCTTGGATTCCGCCCGTGTCGAGCGTACGTCTTGGCAGCTCGTCGTCGCTGTCGCTTGCCCCTACCAAGTTGCGCCTGAAACTGTCGGGCAATCTCGCTTCTTGGTCGTCGTCTCCTCCGAGGTAAACCTGTCCTCGCGATGGTTCGCCCTCGAGCGGTTGCTGTGTCTTTTTGATCAGCACGGGGAGGAGAACTGCAGCGGCGACACCTACGAGGAGTAGCATGTTGCGCCAGGAGAAGAGGTGGAAGTCGTCGGGCGACGTCATCTGGTCCAACTTTTCGCCGATGGTAGTGTGGATCACCGAGACGGCAAAGATGCCTCCGCAGGTTGAGAGCCAGAAGGTGCCCACTCCAATACCGAGGTGGGGAGCCATGATGTTGACGATGTTATGCGGCGGTAGGGGCATCATCCTAACCACGATCAGATACGACACCATCCCATCCGAATGTTCCGCCAGCTTTTCCTTCCATTCATCCACCCTTTTCTTCCAGCTCGGCAGTGCCACCAGCACCACGCCCAGAGTTTTGGAGATGTAGTAGCAGATCGTTGCACCCGTTGCCACACTAACACAGACCAACGGCAGTGCGAGTGGAACTCCAAAGAGTGCACCGGCAAGGATGGACATATACATGCTTCCTGGAATGCTGAATGCCTGGAGGAACATGTACACCACCACCCAGCACAGCAACACCCTTGCAAAGTGGTCGGTCTTGTAGTGCTGCAGTACCGCATTGAGCGCCTTGAGATCGTCGAACGAACGGGGGATCTTGAAACTCGCCTTGTCCTCTGGTGCAATCACGGGCAACGCCAACCACAACGTACCCCCCAACCCAACCAAGCATACCACAAACAGCACCACCAGCTGAACCAGTGCCCGACCAAGCAACCTCCGTCGCTGTAGGCGCGTTAGGTCTGAAACCGAAGAGGTGGACGAGGAGGGCGGGATGGCAGACCACGGATCGTCCGCGTCCGAGTCGTCGCCGAACGCGCGAAGCGTGTGGCGAGAACGCACCGAGATCGTGTCCGAATCGCGTGTGAATGCCGACACTGCCTCGTGTGGCGCAGATGTGTCGAGTAGCCGACTCATGACGGCGACGGTGATGGTGATGGTGGTGGTTGTGGTGGTGGTGGTGGTGGTGGTGGTGGTGGTGGTGGTCCAATGCACACTCGACGCTTTGAGGCAAATGCGCCGCCGATTTCCCCTGAATTTGTGCCGATGCCGCCGCCTTGCGTTTGCCGAGACCGCGCGTGTGGCTGTCCAACTGCCACCGCCGCCGCATCGACCACTGCAACAACTCCACCTCCTCTCTGAAAGACGTCGCCCCCTCCTCCCAACTTGGCACTCGCACCCGCACCCGCACCCTTGAGCTCAAGCCAGCACCAGCATCTTCTTCACGTCTTCCATACGCACTCGCTTTGGCAGCCAAATCATATCTACATTTTTGGGGTCGGCGTCAATTCTGGCGAGCGAAAAGCATGCTTCAACGACGCGCACCGGGCGGGCGGTAGACGCTCTTCTTGACCTCGGTGAAGCCGTCGTTGTCCGTGGCAGCGGCAGGCGCAGCGGCACCAGCACCACCAGCGGCGTTCTTGGCCGCCTCGCGCTCGCGCCACGTGGGTCCAGCACCACCAGCTCCACGCAGCATTCCGGGGCGGTAGGCGTTGCTAGCAGCGGGGGCCGGAGCAGCAGCGGCCGGGGCAGCAGCAGGAGCAGCAGGAGCAGCAGGAGCAGCAGGAGCAGCAGGAGCAGCATCACCGCCAGCTGCCTTCCTCGCCGCCTCACGCTCGCGCCATCCGCCGCCAGCACCTGCGCGTGCAGCGCCAAAGATCGACGGACGCTGCGACTCGGCGGCAGCACCAGGAGCCGCCGCGGCCGAAACAGCAGGCGAGCCAGCACGGCGCCAACCACCCTCGGCAGCCGGCGACTCCTGACGAGCCACACCACCTGCAGCACCAGCAGCAGGCGCAGCGACAGCGCCACCCGTGATGCGTGCGCGGCGGTTCGCCTCGGCCTCCTCCTCGCGCTGGCGCTGCCTGTCCGCCGTCGCCTGCAGCTTGGCCATGCGCTCCTCGATCTCGGCGCGCTTCTTGGCCTCGAGCTCGCTGCGCTCGGCCTCTTCGGCGCGGCGCTTCTCGGCCAGACGCTCCTCCTCCTCGGCACGCGCACGCGACTCTTCCTCCTCCTGCGCACGGCGGCGCTCGGCCTCCTCGGCCTCCTGGCGCTCGCGGCGCCTCTCCTCGCGCACCTGCTGGCGGCGCTTCTCCTTCTCCACCTCGATCTGCTCGGCGGCGTTGCGTCGGCGCTCCTCGAACTCGCCGCGACGCTTCTCCTCGATGATGGAGCGCAGCTGCTGGTAGTCGGGCAAGATGCGCGTGAGCCTCTTCTTGACCTCGAGGTCGGCGGCGTGCTTCTCCTTGCTCGTCTGCAGCAGCGTGATGCGCGCCGCCTTGTGGTACTTGAGATCCTCCTCCTTCTGGCGCGCATAGTCGGCCTCGAGCAGCGGAGCCTCTTCGCGGCGGTACGCACGCTCCAGGTGGTCCATCTTGCGGTGGATGAGGCGCAGACGCTCGGCGAGCTCCTTCTTCTCCTTTTCGATCTGCTCCACCTGCATCTGCACCAGCTTGTTGGTGTCCATGTTGGCGAGCTCCTCCTCGCTCAGCTTGAGGCCGCCGCGCTCCTGCAGCGACTTGGCCATCTTCTTGGCCTCCTCGATGCGCACCGCCTCGAGCTCCTTGTTGATGCGCTCCTGCTCGCGCTTCTTGGCCTCGTCGGCGATGCGCTTCTGCTCGGCCTCGGCGGCGGCGCGCGCACGCTCGGCGCGGGCGGCCGACTCCTCGCGCTCCTTGCGCGTGGCCATCTCCTCGAGCAGCTCCTTGCGGCGTGCGAGGATGGCCTTGCGTGCGATGGCCGCCTTGTGCTCGTCGTCGGCGGCGGCGACGGCGCGTGCAAACACGTCGCGCTTGGCGGCCTGGGCGTTGGCGAGCACGCTGGGGTCGATGGTGTTGAGCGTGGTGTCGAGGCAGGTGGCGAGGCGGCTGAGCTGGGTGCGCACGAGCTCCGAGGGCGTGGCCTGGAGGCGCACGTTGTCCGCCTCGGACGTGGTGGAGGCCGAGGGGTGGGCGTCGGTGGCAAAGACGTCGTCCTGGAAGGTGATGGCCTGGGCGACGTGGTCGATGCGGATGTTGAGGTGGCCCTTTTTGCACGCGTTGAGGCAGAACTTTTCGATCTCGGCGGCCGAGTACGAGTGGGGCGCCTTGAAGGCCGAGACGAGCTGCATGACCTTGTCGAGCTTGACGGCGTCGTAGACCTGGCTGAGCTGCTGGAAGAGGCGGGTGAGGACGACCGAGTGGAGCGGCTTGACGTACTTGGCCATCTCCGAGTCCTGGCTGATCTGGGCCAGGATGGGTTCGATCTTGGCGCAGATGGAGAGCGGGTGGAACTCGACCTCGAGGATGTTGTAGAGCTCGCGCAGCTCGGGGCGGGCCTTGTTGAGGATGTCGCGGTTGAGCGCCTCCTTGAGCAGGCCGGCGCGGGTGGGGGTGCGGGAGAGGCCGAGGAGCGAGGTGAGGCGACCGGTGCGGGTGCGTCCCTCGTGATCGCCCTGGAGGAAGTCGGACTTGGTCTTGTTGAGGTTGCCGGTGCCCGGGGCGTTGGACGAGATGACGGGGACGGCGAGGGCGGAGATGAGGACGTAGGAGGCCATGCGGGTGTGCTCCTGGTCCGACTTGGCGATGGAGCGGGCGAGGGCGTAGAAGCGGTTCCAGGCGGCGGCGTGGAAGAGGTGGTTGTCCGAGACCATAAAGATGCGTGCGAGCTTCTCGTAGTAGTTGGCCATCATGGCGGGGCGGGGCGCTTTCTTGGCCATGGTGAGGAGGTTGTGGATGTCCTCGATGGAGCGGAAGGCCTCCTGCCAGAGCTCGAGTTCGACGGCGGCGTTGAGTTGGGCGAAGCGAGTGTCGAGGTGGCGCTGGAGGGTGTCCTGGTCGGTGAGGTTGATGGCGTGGGCGTGGTGGGAGTAGCGAGCGACGTTTTGGAGGTGCTGACGCAGCACCTCGCAGAGGCGGCGGAACTCGGTCTTGCGCTCGTACTGGAGGCAGAACTTGAGCGCCTGGTTTGCGATCTGCTGGTAGGGGATCTCGAGGCGGGCGTTGTTGCGGAGGATGTCGAGGGCGGTGCGGTAGGCCTCCCAGAGGAACTTGAGCCAAGGGGTGACGAGGACGCGGTCGGTGCGGTCCTTGTTCTGGTCTGCGCTGACGGAGCCGAGGAGCATGGACTCGGGGGTCTCGGACTCCTCGAGGTCGTCGACGTCGATCTTCTCGCCGCCGACGGCGGCATCGGCCTTGGACTGTGCCTCGACCACCTTGGCGTCGGCGAGCTTGATGAAGTGCTTGATGACGAGTTCGATGGACTGGGCGTTTGTGTTTTGCGAGACGTTCTTGTACTGCATGAGGCCCTCCTTGGCCATGCGACCCTTCTTGAGGTCGACGCAGAGGTCGACGAAGCGGATCATGATGGGCTCGAGCGAGGCGAGCGGGGTCTGCTTGAAGCGGCGCGAGGTGAAGATCTCGTTGAGGGCGGCCAAGGCGGCCTGGTGCTGGCCGACATTGATGAGCTCCTCGGAGCGCTTGAGCACGGTCTCTGGCTTTGCAAAGGGGGGCATGTTGGGCGATCTGGCGAAGAGGTGGGAGAGGGAGGTATGCCGTCTGCTGGGGATTTTTACGCCCTGGAGTTCGCTAGCCGGTTTCTTTTAGGGGAAAGAAACTACGAACACTAGGAAGCCGGTGGGGCGAGACAAGGGGGAAAACTTGGGTCCGAAGTGGGGTGGGTTCGAACTGTGAATTCCTCCTATGTGGGAAGCAAGCAGAGAAGGCGGGAAGAGAGAAAAACAGTGATGGTGGTAGCAGAAGGCGGCGATGGTGAGGAACCGCGCTTTGCTGGTCTCTGCTGGCGAAAGCGTCGCTGAACTGCGCTTTTCTTCCTTGCTTCTGCTCTCTTGGGCAGTGGGTCAGTGTCAGTTGTCGATTGAGCCTGGCTGGCCTTTCGCGCGTTTTCTTCTTGTCGGCTCGTCCGACGCGCTCGCAGGCAGGCGAAAAGCGAAGAGCGTTTTGAATTTTTCTTCTCTGCCTTTCGGCCGCACTACAACAAAACGAGCTTTGGCGCTTTGAAATTGGAGCCCTTCACAGCATCACTTTCGCACGCCCATCCTCTCTTGAAAGTCACACTTCTTGTCGGCACCATGCGATTGCGATCTGGATGAGTGAGCAACATCGGAATGGCCCGAACTGCAGCCAGAATGGAGCTGAGCATCACGCCAATCACGCCAATCACACCGAGACAAGGCGAGAGAGGGAGGGAGCAGCACAAAGGGGCGGCGACGCTTCCGCAGTCCTTTTTCAGTCCTTGGCGCTTTGCTTTCAGCCGTGCGGATCTTCGTGTCGACTCGTCCGCGGTCTGGCTCAGTCATCCTGACTCAGCAGGGCCATTTGCTCCACTCTTGCAAAGCATCGGCAACGCTCCGATTCGGCTTGCGCTGCTGCTCCTTGGCCATCATCACCGCCAAAACGCGCCCCCATCATCCGCAAAGCGCCCAAACGCGATGCCCGCCAGTGCGAGTGCCGTCGCAGGTCCGTCGCGACCATCCGCCTCGGCCTCGGCTTCGGTGCCGCTCACCAAAAACGCCAGGCGACGTCTCAAGAAGAAGCAGCAAAAGGAGGAACCATCGCAACCGCAACGGCAGCGCTCTCCGGACGTCGACAACACCATCACCAACGGCTCATCGCTCATCGACGACGCCTCGGAACTGCGCATCGATGCCGACTCGGAAGCCTACCGCGCCTTTTCCAATGTGCTGGCTCGCTACCAGCCCACCGCGCTTGCCGATGCAGCCCAACCGTCCAAAGGCGAGATCCTCTACTCGGACGACGACGTATCCTCTGCGCACGATTCCGACGACGACGACCCCTCCACCCCCGCAGTCCTCTCAAAACGCAAGCACAAGAAGCTGCAGCGTCTGAGCGTAGCCGAGCTCAAGCAGCTAGTTCGTCGGCCCGAGGTGGTCGAATGGACCGACGTCACCTCCTCCGACCCTCGTCTGCTGGTCCATCTCAAATGCGTGCGCAACTCGGTGCCCATCCCACCGCACTGGGCAACCAAGCGCGACTACCTCCAAAACAAGCGCGGCATCGAGAAACCCGCCTACCGCCTACCCACCTACATCGCCGACACGGGCATCGCCACCATGAAGGACGCGCTCAAGGAAAAGGAGGCCGAGCAGTCGCTCAAGCAAAAGACGCGCGAACGCATGCAGCCCAAGATGGGCAAGCTCGACATCGACTACAATCGCCTCTACGACGCCTTTTTCAAGTTCCAGCACAAACCCTCCCTCACCCCTTACGGCGACACCTACTACGAGGGCAAAGAGTACGAGACCAAGTACAAGGACAAACGTCCCGGTCAGCTGAGCGCCGAACTCGTCGAGGCACTCAGCATTCCGCCGCTGGCACCACCGCCGTGGTTGATCGCCATGCAGAGGTTCGGTCCGCCACCGAGCTACACGCATCTGCAGATCCCCGGCTTGAATGCGCCGCTACCCGAAGGTGCGCAGTGGGGCTTTCATCCAGGTGGATGGGGTAGACCGCCCGTCGACGAGTACGGCAATCCGCTCTACGCCAACGTGCTCGCCACCCAAGACGCCGTCGATGCCGACCTGGTCGATGTTGTAGAGAAAGAACACTGGGGCCAGCTCGAACCGGAAGAATCCGACCCGGAGCAAGAAGCCGACGACGACGACGAGCCCGAGCCAGAAGAGCAGGAGGAAGAAGCCGAGCCCGAGGATATGTCCGGTGTTGAATCGGTTGCTACTGGAGCGGGAGTTGAGACACCATCGTTTTTGGAGCTGCGCAAAGACTCGCGGCTGGACACTACGCCCGCACCCGCACGCTCACTCTACACTGTGCTACCGGAGCGGGCGGCATCTTCATCCGGCCAGCTTTTGGGTTCGGAGCGCGTGTACGACATTCCTTCGCATGCGCCAGTATTGGGCGAGGAGAGGGGGAGGAAACGTGCTGCTGATGCGGTGGATGTGGCTGTCAACCCGGACGACCTCGATGGGCTGGACAAGGCGAGTTTGGAACAGCGCTACGAGCAGCGCAATCGCGAACGTGCCGATGCCAGGTACGATACAGAGGGTGTCGCGCAGATGAGAGAGGAGATGCAGCGAGAGCGCCAACACGAGCAGAGACGCAAAGCAAGTCGCAAAGCGTAAGATTGCCAATCTCATCCTTGGAACAACGACCGCAAGTTCAGAGTGGATCGTGTAGCGAGTGTGCAGCTTGAGTTGGGGGGTTGGTCCGCAATCGCACCTGTACGCGATGAGCGTCAGAGCCGGCGTTGCGCAGTGTCAAGTCCGATGCCTCGCCTTTGCTGGGCAAACCGTGGTGGCGAGCGTAGTCGGGAGGCATACAGCGATATTGACTGGCGCACAGGAGTGGTACGAATGGCGTCGGGTGGGATGGTCTTTGGATCTGGGCGTCCGGCGGCGAACCGGCGTGCACTCGCCTGGAGAGCTGGGTTCGAGTTCGGAGGGCGATGCAACTAGTCATGGTGGTCACGACAAGCTGCAGCATTCGGCAGGCCTCGTCGACACTCGGGAGTTATCGGGCGACCAGCGCACCACGACAGCAACTACGCACGACGGCGCGGCTGGCAACCATCTCTCCGATGCCCCCTCCTCCGCTATGGATGCCCACGAGCACAGCACCTAACCCCTCCGCTTATTGAGACACTTGGACTCAGCTTCACGCTCGCACGCACTCAAGTTTCCCCCTCCCTCTCGCGCTCCTCCGTGGCTTCCTCCCCACGCCCTCGGTCGCCGCAATGCGGTCTCAACCATGCCCAAAACACCGAGCATCTGCTTGCTTGCCTCACCATCTTTAAGAGGCACATGCCATGCGTCGACCCCGTCACTTTGAAACCCGTGTGAATCGGTGTCGTCCGCCTTGGCCTCTGCCTCCATGTCGTTGTCCTATCTGACAGCGATGCTGCCATCGGCGCACCCGCAATGCACGCCGTTGTTGGGCGCCATGTCACTCGAAGCGCATTGTGCGACGTCATTGGGGACGGTGTGGTTGCTGCCGAGTGTTCCGCCCGAGTTTGACCATGCGCCGCTCGATGCGATGGTCAAGTCGAGCTGAGACCTGATGGCCCTCGAACATGGGGTCATTGTGCGGCCACAAGGGCAAATCATACGGTTGCATGGCTCGACGAGCTCGTCATCACAAGCATCGGTGTCGAGGAGTACAGCCTGACACTGGCTAGTACGGCTGGAGGCGGCTTTCTCGCCATCATGACCAGCATCGTGATCAGCAACGTCGCTCGCAGCGCTCAAGAGCTGCCAAGCCAAGCGTGGGCGGACTGCGGCGAAAGCGCTTGATGAGCGAGGAATGTAGCTGGGACGCCTGCGTCCGAGATTGATGAATGAGGTCCAGCACTGTTCCGACGCTTGGCGACAATATGGAATTGACCACCATGCCGCGCTTGAGCGGTTCATCAACCGTCTTGTACACGAGCGAGCTCTTGGGCGGCACCGCTTGCGAGTGTCGCTCAAAATCTCAAACGCTGTCGTCGAGTGATCGAGGCTGTGCTACGGGCGAGCGGACACTCCAGGGCGAGGCCAGCGCCGAGGTGTCGTTAAGCCGAGTCGCCGTGAGAGGCGGCCAAGCAGGGCGCGGGCCCATCAACAGTCGTCGTCGAGCTGCGTTGTCGTCGAGCTGCGTCGTCGTCCGCCACCACTGCCCCCATGTCTGCCGCCCTTGCTGCCTCGCTCCGCCCGCCTGTTCGCCTGCCCGCCTGTCCGTCTCCTTGCCCTGTCTCCCGACTGGACGTAGCTCACGTCACGAGCCAAGTTCAGCGCGGCAGGTCGCGCCGAGATGCCATCCATGGGCGATACTCCTGCACTGCCAAGCACGACTTGAGGCCGCTTTTGGGCGCAGCGCCAACGCCCGAGCTACGCACAGCAATGCGCAGATCCCATAGCAAGCCGTCACGCTTGTCGACGCAAGTACACGATTCCAACCTCTCAAACCACTCCGATGGAATTCGGCACAACGGTCATAGAGAACAAGTCCTAGTTACACGCACGCCGAGCTCAGACATTCACTCTCCTCCAAGCCAGATCAAAGCCCGGTCTGCGCACGCAGTTCGTACAGCCATATCGGCACATTCAACGCAAGCCACGCCAAAGCCTGTACAAAGCTCCGCTCTGCCAAGTGCACAAGCCCGCGCCCTCACACTTGGTGTACATTTGAAACCGGCGATTGCATGCACGACACTACACCTCGTCCACCTTGGACCGGTGCAGCGCAAAGGCAGGTGTGATCCACGCGCCGCACGCACACTGCATGCCTGCCCAGTCCCAGCTGCCGAGCTTGGCGGCGCACTTGGGCGCGGGGCACGTAAGCCGACCCGTGACCGCACCGTCGCTGAGGTAGCTCATCCACGCCATTGGCTCCACAAAGTACGCCGAGCACGTGGGGGATTTCAGCATGGCATCCATGCTCCCAGTCGCTGGAGCGGCTGCGCGTGGAGGGTGGCCCGGTTGTGTACCGACGCGCGCACCACCGCGAAGTGCAGCCAGGTGTGGCGGGAGTTGCGACGCAAGACTCGCGGCCGACTTGATGGCCGGTCGGCCAACAAGTGCGGCTGGATTCGAAGCCGCTGCGACTGGTGCGGGTTGCGAAACAGGTGTGCTGCGAGTCGCACCTGCAGCCTCTTGAGGTGACGATTCTTCTGGCTTGGACTCGGATTCCTCCTGCGTGGACTCCTCCTCTGTAGTACTCGCGACGTTCTGCGCCTGGAAGCCGACGTCGCGACGACGATGGTCAAACGCCAATTGGCCCTTGCCCGGCTCGTGGATCACCACATGGTCGAGCGCCGCCAGCTCGCGTCTGCAAGCGCGGCACCTCAGCTTGGGCCCTGCAAATGTCGGCTTGGCGAGTGCACCGCGGTTGTTGACGCCTTCGTGGCCGCGGATCTGCGCCACACCTCCAGGCAGTCGGCCGGACGAGTTGGCGGTCACCTTGACCTCGTCGCTCTGCTGCACGAGCGTGGTGGGTGCGCCCGTGCCCGCTGCGCTCGATTGGCTGCCGCCGCTCGCCTCCATGGCCGCTACGCGCTTTTCGAGCTGCGTGACCGAACCGCTAATGCGTGCGGCGTCGTCGTTGATCGAACTAAGCAGCGAGATGCGTGTGCCCGCACCGCCTGCGCCCGAGTTGGAAGATGCCGAGGAGCACACCGACGCCGAGCGAGAGCGTGGTCTGCGTGGCTGGTCCGTATCGTGGCTGCTGCCGAGTGCCGCCGTAGTGTTGTTGGTGGTGGTAGCGCACGAAGAAACATTTTTGGCATTTGGCGCCAAATTTGCGCCGCCTCCACCCTCGTTCAAAGTGGGCCGTGTGGAGGCCGAGTTGCGGCGCGAAATGCCGCTGTGCGACTCACCCTCGGAGGATACACTGTTGGACATGGTGATGGCGGTGAAGCCCTTGATGCCACTCGCAGCACTGAGCGCCGGGCTCGGGTACGGACTCGGATAGTAGCTGAGCAGCATGTCGTCCATCGAGTCGCCGTTGAGAATGTCGGTCTTGCTCATGAGGAAGCGGCGCACCGCCTGGAACTTCATATCCACCTCGAACCCCACCTGCTCGTACAGCTCGAGCTGCGCCATGAAGCCCGTGTTGGGCTCAGCATCCGGTCGCCGCGCACGCACCATGGCCACCGCCGTGGCGGCACTGATCTGTCGCGTGTGCATCAGGTACGCCGCCACGATGGCGACGCTGCGTGAACAGCCCGCCTGGCAGTGCACCAGCATCGTCCCGGCTCCGGTCGTCTGCCAGCTACCCCACCGACCTCCACGCTTCTGCCGACCCTGCACGAGCAGCTGCACCGAAGCTTCGAGATCGTCTTCGCCCTCGTCCTGTCGTGGCCCCGTCTCTGTTGCTCCCGGCGCAGCGCCCGTTTCCGTCTGGCCCTGGTCGTCATCGGGCACCCACTCCTCCTCGAGCTGCGCGGCGATGAACTCGTTGCAGCTCGCAAAGTGCACGAGGATGGGCGCCTTTTCGTCGTCGTCGATGCGCACGTGCCGCATCTCGGCGCGTGTGATCGTGCGTCCATCGTCGAGCTTAGGCGGTGTCGCAAGCCGCTGCTTCATGCATGTGATGATGTGCGTCACCCCGGCGCGCGACAGATAGTCGGCATCCATGGCCGCGCGCACGCCTCCCACCCATAAGCCCGGAAGTACCTCGTCCATGCTTGCTTAGCCTCTTGCTCCCCCGACCCCGCTGACGGTGTGGCCGATAGGTTGTGGCGCTGGCGATGCTGTTCGGTGCTGCCGAGTCGTATTCAGGGCATGGAGAAGGTTGTCGAAGTGGCTGTAGAGCGGCGAGCAGAAGTAGTCAAGCGGTCGATGATGGCGAGAAGTTGCTGGTAACTTTCTCACAAGCCAAACCAAAATGCGGAGGTGGAGATCCACACTCAGCTGCGGGATTGCCGGTTTCAGTTCAAAATCGCTTTATTCGCCAGGCACGAGCCACTTCCACCTCGGTACTTCCTCAACTCCGCAACGCCGAACGCAACAGGCTAAAGGCACCTTGGCGTGGCTGCGTGTGCTGGGACATGCGCATTCATGCTATGAGCAGCCAGGTGTCCGGTACATGGAGCGAGAACGCAGTCTTTCACCATAGTGGAAGATTAGAAAAGGCGCAGGCGTCGTGAGCAGTGCCAGTCCTGCGAGCATCGTGTACAGGTAGCAGACGCCGCCGAGCTTCTCGTGCATCTGGTGCGTAGCGAGCGGGATCCTGCTCGCTCAAGGTATTACGATGTGGTCAGCGGTCTCAACATGAGTGAGAAAGTGATGGCAAGATGCTGAACTCACGTTGCGCCAGACACGGACCTGCCGATGACCGTGGCAGCGATCTGCAGCAGTGGTGGGCAAAGATGCGGTCAGCAAAGATCACAAGGTTGCGTTGAGAGATAAGCATGTGCTAGACGTACGGCAGACGACGAGTAAAGCCGGTAGCAGTCTCCCAAGTATCCGACCCATCCTTGAAAGACGAGCGTCATCGCTGCGCCGATCGGCAATCCGGCGAGCATGGTGATCGTGTATGGAATGCTCGTCCTGCCCAGCCAGCCCGCCCATCTGAGGCAAAGTCGCGCCACGATGCGGTATGTCAGCATAGCACTTGCGGACAATCGACGGGAGCGGTAGCGGGAGCTCACAGAAGGCCAGCTGCAACTAGCGGACTGACGAGGAAGGTCGAGAGCAGCCTCGCTTCGGGCGCATGCGAGCGGGCGGAACGGAATCGCTGCAGATAGAAACGGTCGCAGAAGGGCATCACAAGGGCAGCCAGCACTCCGCCAAGGGCAAGAGGTAGGAAAGTGAAACCCGCTGGTTCCGTCGTGGGTATCAAGTTAGCCACTCTAACTACAAGATTGACCGAAAGAGCTTGCTCACTGTGTACAGCGTCCAGTCCATAAATTCCGGGAGGGCCAAAGATCAAGGGCCAGCTGGCGAAGAAGATGTACCTGGTGTCGATCGTTGTGCAGAAGGTGAGGACCTCGAAACCCTCAGCCAAAGAACGGAGGTCAAGCTGCGACTCACATCAATGCAAAAAAGAAGGAGAGATAGAAGGTGGCGCACATGATGATGGGCTCGCGAAGCATCATGTTGATCTGATACGCAAGGAAGTGGTTCCTGTCAGCTGCTGCCGTGAAGAGCCATCAATAAAGCGGCAATCCGGACGAGATGCTCACCGGCCTTCCAAGAACGACAATGCAAAAGGAGAGGACCTTGCGCATGAATGAGCGGTTGGCTTTCTCGCTCGATTGAGCGTTCCCTCTGTTCATGATGACCGGCAAGTAGGTCTCTGGCAGGCACAGCAGCGCGACTTCAAGCACGAGGCCGAGGGCGCCGAACAGCCAAAAGACAAACGGCCACGGCAGCCTCGAGGTGACGGCCGCACCGAACAAAGGCCCGACACTGGGACCGAGGAGCGGTGCGAGTGAAGCGATGATCATGGGATTGCTGCGGTCCTTGGGAGCAAAGAGGTCGGTGACGACTGCGGCGGCGTTGGAGAATGCCGACGATGCAAAGGTTCCAGCGAGCAGACGGCAGACGAAGAGGACGGCCTTGTTGGGAGCCAAAGCGCATCCGATGTTGATGAGGGCGTAGAGCATCATGGAAGCGAGATTGATCACACGACGGCCATAGACTTCCGAGAGCGGCGCCCAGACGATGGGGCCCGCTACACATCCGCCGACGAAGGAGGTCGAGACCAGAACGAATTCCTCATCGGTCAGAGCAAAGTGACGTACGATGTGTTCGCCTGCACCGTTAGGAGCTGTCGAGGCAAACGATCCGTTGAACATCGTGAGACCAACGAGGAGGGTGTAGAGCCACTTTCGACACGGGGACCAGGTGGTGGGGTCACTGTCCGAGGGAGGCCGGCGCGGGATCGCCTCGTCGATCGTGATCCGGCTCGTGTCTGACGAGCACTGGGCTGGAGAGAGTGGTTCCAGCATGGTTCATGGAGCTCAGAGAAGACGGGAGAGTCTACATCATGGAAAGCGGCTCAGTCTATATATACGTGGCCCCAACGGCGCCCATCGATGCGACCCAACCGCGCACGGGCTGAGCTTTTGGGCAGTCGGGCAGCGTTGGAACGCTCCATTGGGACGAGACAAGCGCTGTCGGAGCAGCCGACGTGGCAAGAGCAGCGATGCAGTGATGATGAGAGGGAGGAAAAAGCGTGCTACGCCCATCGCCTTTGCAAAGTACCCACGCCAAGATGTGATGTGCGGGAGAGCAACGTCGGATGGTCCGCACCCAACCTCGAGCTTCCGAGGCGCATGCGCAGTTGGATAGCCTCGAGGAGGGCCCGAAATTCCAAAATTTGTTAGGTTCGAGTTTTGTTATTGCTTCAACTCGAAAAAATTGGGGTTCCGGGGCGCGCCGTTTTGACGAGTTGAATCGATCACGAACTGCTCGAAGTGCGGAAGTGGCTGGATGTGGCTGGGATGCAATTTCTCTAGTGCGAGAAGAAGCTCGGGTGCGGAAGCGCGACGAGGGGCAAAGGCGGGAGAGCACTGACATCTCCATCGTCGCTCTCACCATCACCTCCTGATCCCCATCTCGACGCTCGCATATTCATTCATCATGGCATTCTTCGGCTTCCGCGCTTACCCTACGCCCATCCTGAAGCCCATGTGGCCGTTCTTCATCGCCGCCGGTGTGGTCTTCTACGGCGTCAACAAGCTGCAGGACATGGCGGTCTCCACCGAGGAGGCATCCAAGGACCCTCGCAACCCGTATGGCAAGTAACATTGCATCTCACAAGCTTTGTAGTGAAGGAGGCTGAGCTGACCTCGTTGCTGGGATTGCGTTGCGAAACAACAGGCCAGAAGGTGCTTAAGGCGGCTCACCACTAATTGCAAAACCGACAGCAACAACACACGGCTTTGACCGCTGGCTTACCCAGTGCATCCTCTTGCATCGCTGACCATCCGACAAGCAGGCCACAACTCGATACACCGCAGTATTTCCAGCACATCTCGCCCAGCCCCTCGTTGCGCAATGCACACCTAGATTCCGACCGATATCCGATTTGCGATGCGTGTGCGTTCGATTCGCCCAACCAGCGGTGGTTTCCTGTTTGACGATCTGCACATTCACACTCGCTAGCATGCGAACTAGCGACGATCCCTTGATTCGGACAGATGCCGAGAATCATGACTCAGTTGGATACGCACAGCATACGCCACGATCCACAACCGACACTCGACGGCATCTTTCTGCATGGGCTCAGACTGGCCGAGTGAGACGGCGACGTTCCGACATCTTCACCTGCTGATATGAGCATGTCAGCTGCGAAGACAGTCGTTGCTCTGCTATCGGCAAGTGCATGTCACTGCGATCTTTGTTCAAGTGGCTGGGTCGAATGAGTGCAGATGACGGCAGAGGGCCGACAACCACCGACGAATGCAGGCACCATGCGTCTGCCCGATGGAACGCCAGTCCGAACGAGGAGATGCGATGAGTCTCGATTTTTTGAAAAAACCATGTCAGACCGATACTGACGTACAATTCAGAGAATTCAAAATTCAGTCGCGCGGGATGTCTCATCAGCGACGACCGGCTGGACCGGCCTGCAAGCAGCGGTTCCCCACGCCTCTCGACAGGGGAGCAGCGCGTTTTCACGCCTTGGCACTCGCATTCCGCCATTCCAAAGCTGGCCTGCGCTGCCCGGATGCCCTTATCCGGGCACAAATGCAGTCGACTCCTCCCTCCCCGCACCTTGTCACATTTGACACGCGCGACTGCGGGGGACATCCGATGATTGAGGTTGTGATTGTGACGGTGGCACCCCCCTGCCCTGCCTGCTGCCCTGCCTGCTTTCCGCCGTTGGATGCCTTCGGATGAGCCGGCCTAGCAGGGCAGCAGCAGCAGCAGCAGCAGCAGCAGCAGCAGCGGCTCCGCTGTCAACTCAGGCCAGGAATATGCAAGCCAAGGGAGGCGCCGCGCGCAGAAACAGGTGGGATTCGAGTGCTCCTCCGGCAATTCTGCTGGGGCCTCCGCTTATTCGGAGCAGCCGATCTTCCCGGTCCAGCTGAGCCGCCGCGCTCGAAAAAGCGCTCAGCTAGCTTGGCCAAAGCGCTGCTCTCCCCTCGTCTGCTTATACCGGCACCCTCCTCCTCCTCCTCGCCGTCTCTTTCCCTGCTCCACCATCTCCCTTCCCTTTCTCTCCGCCTAACCGCAGCCTCGGAAGCACACTCCCCCCTCTCTCTCCCTCTCTACACCTCTGCCGCCTCGCCCACAATGACCACCGACCTGCCCCCCGAGGTCCACTTCCCCCTGGACAAGCAGATGCTCCCCGTCCCCGGCTCAAAGCAGCCCGGATTCTCGTCCATCTACAAGAGCGCCGCTCTCGCAGAATACTCCACCAACTGCACCGTCTACGAAACCCTGCTGCGTGCAAAGGACGAAAACCTCAAGTCCGACGTCGCCGGTTGGAGACCCTGGAACCCCGTCACCAAGGACTTTGAAAAGCACTTCGAGTGGTACACCCACGAGGAGGTCGAGGAGGAGCGCACCGCCATCGGCTCCGGCATCGGCGCCCTCGCTCGCCAGGGCCGTCTCGGTGACGGCGTCGGCCAGACCGAATTCACCGTCGGCATCTGGACGCTCAACAGGCCCGAATTCATGATCATCGACTACTCCAACATCGCCTACTCGCGCAGGACCGTCAGCCTCTACGAGACCTACGACGCCGCTTCCGCCCAGTACATCATCGATCATGCAGAGACGCGCATCCTCTTCACCACCCCCAACCACGTCGGCGTCGTCCTCGCCGCAGCACAGGCCGGCAAGCTGCCCCTGCTCAAGGCCATCGTCATCCTCGACTCCTTCCGCCCCTCCAAGCAGGCCGTCAAGGCCGCCGTCCTCGACCCGCAACGCGACACCCTCGCAAAGGAGTGGGCAAAGACCTGCGGCATCGAAATCTTCAACTGGTTCGAGATCCTCGACCTCGGTCGAAACAACATCGCCGCCCACATCCCGCCCAACGTCGACTCCATCCACTCCTTCTGCTACACCTCGGGCACCACCGGCAACCCCAAGGCCGCCATCATCACCGCAGGCATGGGCGGCTACGTCTCCACCGCCATGGCCTTCCACAAGCGCGGCGCCTACACCCTCATCTCCTACCTCCCCACCGCACACATCTACGCGCGTCTCTGCGAGATCGTCGCCGTCCGCACCGGAGGCAGCATCGGCTACTTCTGCGGCGACACCACCCGCCTCCTCGAGGACATGGCCATCCTCAAGCCACAGATGTTCCCCTCGGTGCCCCGCGTGCTCAACCGCATCGCCGCACTCGTCCAGGCACAGGCCGCCGCTCCGGGCCTCAAGGGCGCGCTCCTCCGCAAGGCGCTCGCCGCCAAGATCGCAAACCACGACCGCGACGGCACCCTCACACATGCCCTCTACGACCGCCTCATCTTCAGCAAGGTCCAGGCGCTGCTCGGCGGTCGCGTCGAGTACATCGTCTCGGGGTCCGCCCCCATTCGCGGCGATGTGCTCAAGCTGCTTCGCGTCGTGCTGGCGTGCGACGTGCGCGAGGGTTACGGCCAGACCGAAAACTACGGCTTCTGCACCATCATGTCGCCCAACGACATCTCGCTCGGCTCGGTGGGTGCCATCTACCCCGGCATGCAACTCAAGCTGCGCGACGTTCCGGACATGGGCTACACCTCGGACGACAAGCCCTTCCCGCGCGGCGAGCTGCTCTGCAAGTCGCAGTGCACCTTCCCCGGATACTACAAGGACGAGGCCAAGACCAAGGAGACGCTCACCGACGACGGCTTCCTCCGCACCGGCGACATTGCGGCCATCGACCAGTTTGGCCGCGTGCGCATCGTCGACCGCGTCAAGTCGCTGCTCAAGCTCTCCCAGGGCGAGTACGTGGCCATCGACAACCTCAGCGAGTTCTATGGCCAGAACCCGCTGGCGGCGCAGCTCGTCGTGCATGGCGACAGCTTCAGGGACTACCTCATCGGAATCTCGGTGCCTGAGCCCACGACGTTTGCACCCATGGTGAGCAAGCTGCTTGGGCGCCAAATCGCAGCCGAGAACATCGCGGCGCTCGAGGAGGCCTGCAAAGACGAGCGCGTGGTGAACGCCTACCTCGATGCCTACACCAAGATCGCGCGCCAGAACAACCTCAAGGGCTACGAATACATCAAGGGCCTCCACCTCCGCATGGAGCCCTTCTCGGTGGAGAATGGCCTGCTGACGCCCACCTTCAAGGTGAAGCGCCACGAGGCGGTCAAGCACTTCAAGGACCAGATCGAGGCCGTCTACGCAAAGGGCCCCATCAACGTCTCGTCCGGCAGGGCCAAGCTGTGAACAGCGTTCGATATTAGATTTGGATCGTCTATTGCTTTCTCTTTTGGAAGTTTTGTTTTTGATACTTGGCTGATGCTTGGGCGTGTGTGCATAGTCAAAAGTCGAAGAGGGATGCGCCGATGAGGGGTGGTTTGGGACGGGCAAGCGGACGTGGGTGAAGCTGTGTTCTCGATTTCTCTAACCCTTGTGAGTGTGACGAGCGTCAGCGTCATGGTTTACTTGTCTACCGAGGACAAGAAGAAGAAGGGGACAAACGCATACAGCAGAGCCGGGGCGATGGTGGTGGTGCGCGCATTCGATCGTGAGGCAGGGGTTGACGGCATGCGGAACGGCAAAGAAGACATTGAGCGTTGATGAGAAAGTCGAAGTTCGCCAGAGGAACGGAGGCGGACGTCGTCGCGGTTGACTTGAAGACTAGGGCGAGGGCGGAGTGCATGAATGGCGAGCGTAGCCGGGCGGATTTGGGCTGGCGAGCGAGTCGAGACCGCGCTGCAAGTCCAGTCAAACAGGCGCAGGAGCAATCTCTTGGAGCGGCGAGCGCCGCATCGACCCCATCCAGAGCTGTGCACCGCCCGCTCCCGGATAGCTGGCCAAGTGCATCGGCGGGCGTGAACAGAAATCGACCTCGGTGACTTGAATGCAAATGGTATATCGATCGGCTCGATCGTGACGTAGAGCTGCTGGATGTTCTCCAGCGCCCTGCCCTCGAAATGGGCTTGGAAGAGGTTGGTCGTCGCCTGGAGCGGGCGGCCGTGCTTGTTGCCGTCGTCTAGGCGAGGTGCAGCGCCAAAGAGCGTCAGCGCCTCAGTGCCGCCTCGACCGGCGGGCATGATTGCTACAAGAGAGTTGAGCTGAAGGAATGCGGCCGATCCTTGAGGAGGACCCGTTCGCCCGAGAGGCGGGGGGCGCCGGTCGTTTTGAAGGCCAAGGCGAGGCCAAAATGGCGTGCGCATCCACTTCGCTGGGCGACGCCTCCAGGGCGGGGATGATGGGGGTACCCGACGCAGGTACCGAGCCGGGCGAGTCGGAAAACCCACCCACAGCGTCGACGGTCGAGCTTTCGCATGATGGTCTCGAGCTGCAGCGAGCTCCAAGGAGGCAGTACAAAAGTTGGCGCTGCGAATCGCACCATGCTCGGCATTCCGTCTCGTCGTCGCTGATCGCGCCGGCCAAGCTTACGATTGTACGTGTCGACAAGTGTCAGACCGATGAGGTTGATCCGGTACATGCAGGCCCCTGGCCACACCTCGTCGCCGCAACATGCACATGCCCATCTGTGCGCTCGGATCTCCGCATCGGCCTTGACAGACATTATCTCGGCGCCGATGCCAGTCATCGAGCAAGCTCGCACGTCTTTATCCCACCCTGGTGCCCGCGCACACGTTACCCAATGATCAATCAAACCCACTTCGTCTTCCAAGACTTAACGCTTCATACCACCCCCCCCAAAGTTGCAATTCCTCATCATCCATCCAAAAGCGCACAGAGAAGATCATCGTGGCCCGTCAGCCAAGTCGCCAAACCAATTATCTTGAATATCTTACTTGAAAGAGGATCTTGCCCGCGTGCCTCACACTCGATCCATTCCGCAAACCACGACAACGCCCATTCATCACCGACCACATCCTCACAGCTCGACCACAATGCGCAGCCCAATCACACGCACAGCCCGAGCAAAGTCTGAGGTGGATGGCGCACCGTCATGCCCAATCGTCCATTTGCCTACGCAACACCGCGTGTACGCTCAGTACCACGTGCCGCATGTGCATTCACACACTGCTGCTGCTGCTGCGACACCAAGAGCAAAATCTGGGAAGGTCGGCATCGTCCAATTGCGCCCCAAGCCACCGCCTTTGCGGATGGTCGACCTCAGTGCCGCGCCGCAGGCTGGGCGTGGGCGCCTGCCAACTGCTCTTGCGCGTTGGCATGTGCTTGTGCATGCGCATACTGCGGCTGCTGCGCATACGCGTTGCCCTGCGCCGGCGCATACTTGGCCCGCGCAGCGTAGCCCGGGTGCGTGGCGTGGTAGGCATAGTCTGCGTGCGCGTACGCCTGCTGCTGCGGGTGTTGCTGCGGGTGTTGCTGCTGCTGCTGCTGGGGCGGGTACGACCGATACTGTTGGTACTGCTGCGCCTGAGCTTGGCTTTGCCCGTGATACGCCGGATGCGTCTGTGCGGGTGCCGCATGGTGGTACGGCGGCCTGTAATCTGGGAATGCATGCGCGGGTCCATTGGCCGATGCCGCGTCGCTACTCGCCACGTGCTGCGGCTGGTGAGCCAGCGGCCGGGCATACGTCGGCAGCGGCGGTGGGCGGTCCTCGTATCCCTGCGGTGGTGCGGCTAGATGTCCATACTGCGATGCACCCGGAGGCGCCAGCGGCCTGGCTTGCTGTTGCTGCGGCATGCCTGCCGCGCCGTTCTGCGGATGCGCGTAAGGATACTGCGCGTGCTGCTCATCCTGGCGATGGCGCGGTGGCGCTGCATGCTGCTGCTGCGCTGCATACTGCTGTTGCCCGCTATACGCATGCTCGTTGGCAGCACGCTGGTGCAGGTGGCTTGGCGACGCCGACACGCTCGACCGCGAGTACCTCGTCGCCTCGGCGTCGTACTCCGCTGATGGATACCCGTAGGCCGCTCCCGGCACGTACTGATGTGCGTGACTGGCGTGCGGCGGCCCACCGCCGTACATGCCCGGGTAGTGCTGGACGTGTTGCATCGGCCCCGAAGACGGATGCGATTGCTGCTCGTGGTACGCACCCGGATAATAAGGTCCAGCAGCCTGGGGCGCATACGTCGCGCGCGGATCGCGCGGATCGCGCTGGTGAGTGGGCGGTGCAGGCAGCTGAGGAGCGTGGCTTGACCATGCTGTGCCCGGCACTGGCGGCTGAGGCGCCTGCAGAACTGCGGGCGCCGATTCGTCGGCTGCTGCCTGCGTCGCCTGCGCCTTCTTCTTGGCCGGCTGTCGCTTGCGCTTTGGCTTGGCCGCAGGCCCGGATTCGGCCTCGGGAGCCAAGGACGCCGCGGACTCTGCGGGCTGCTGCGGCTCCACGCCCTCGGCAGAGCTTGCGGCCTTCTGCGCCTTTGTGTTCCGCGCTCTCTTGACAGGTTGCGCCTTGGGCGCCGCATCGGAAGACACTGCAACGCTCGCCTCGACGGCGTCCTCGCTACCGGCTCTGGCATTGGCAACCGCTTTTGCCGTCGCTTTCCTCCTGCGCTTTGCTGAAGGCGTCGCATCGCCATCCTGAGCCGCTGCGCCGACGCCCTGGCTGACCGCGTCGGGAGTCGGCTCAGGCTCGGGCTCGGTCTTGACCGCGCTGGGTTCGGACGATTCCAGGATGATCTGCTGAAACTTGACTCTGCTGGGGCGGCCTTCGTCTTCGATGACGATCTCGTCGTCGTCCTCGCACACCTCGACCATGAGCGCCTGGAACATGCCTCCGGACGTCTTGATCTTGACCATGCTGGGCACGGGGAGCGAGTGGATGCGCTCGCGCAGCTCGTCGGCCTTGCGCGCCTCCTCTGCCTCTCGGAAGAGCGGGTTGTGCGTGCGGCAGAGCACCACGAGGCGTTCCGAGTCGTCCGCTGTACCCTGTGCTTGCTGCGCTTGCGGCTTGGCAGACACCTTCTTGCCCTCGAGGCGGTCTGCCGTGTCTGTAGGGCAGAGATCGACGAACCAGCCGTGATCCTCGACTAAAGCGCAGCTGACGTGAGCTGCGCGCGGGCACTTGCCGCGCGTGCACTGGATCTTGGGGTAGAGCTTCTGTAGGTTGGGGTTGGGGCAGATCTGGCACTTGAGCGAAAATCGCGCCTTGTCGATGCCATCGATGCCGCAGACCACGTCGGCTTTGGCGTGCTTGCCGACCCAGGTTTCGGGGATGAAGCTGGCGCATAAGCGATGCGCATGGCGTGCAGCCATCGCTTTGAGTTTGGCGTTGGTGGAATCGATGTGGGCGGGTGTGGGGACGAGGTCGTTGGACACGTTGGCTGGACAAAAGACGCAGGGACTTGTGTGTGCGGTCTTGGGGTCGATGTAGAAGTCGTCGCCGCCTTGGAAGAGGGCAGGGACTGCAGGGCCGGCGGCAGCGGCAGCGGCGTCGTCTGCCTCCTTTTTGAGTTTCCTGCGCTCCTTTGCCTTTTCGTTTTTGAGGCGGCGCTTCTCGAGCTCCTCGTCCTCGATGGCGCGCACCGAGTCTTCCTTTGCACGCCTGAGTTCGCGCTTGCGCTCGAGCTCCTCCATCTCCTTGCTTTCCTCGAGCATGGCGTCTACGTCGATGCGGACGCTGTTCTGGGACTGGTCGCAGTGGCAGTAGTTTGCCTTGCGGCCAATGTCGAGCCAGGAGTCGAGCGCAAAGTTGACGCTCTCTGCGCAGTTGTAGCCGAGGTTGAAGCCGGAGTGGTAGCCGTAGGGATAGGTGATGACAAACTCGCCGGCGTTGTGTACGAGCTTGAGCGGGCGGATGCCGTGGGAGGCGAGGAAGGAGGGCGAGGCGAGGTAGGACTTGTGGCGCATAAAGTGGGGGCATCGTCGCGAGTCGGAGGGGAAGGCGCCGGCCATGGCGGACTCGAAGCGCTGACGGTCCGCCTGTCTAATGGCGTACCACTGCTTGGGCGCGCCAAAGTGAATGTAGTTGATCGAGTAGAGGTCCATATCTTCGACGTGCCAGGCAAAGGTGGCGCGCCACATGCCCCAGTAGAGGTAAGGGGTGTTGACGCCGGGCAGCTTGCGCTTGAGACGCAGACGGGTGAGGATGTTGTCGAGCTTGCCGACGTTCCAGTGCTGTGTGTTGTCGTCGAAGAGCGTTCCCCTGAGGTCCGCGCCGTACATGGGCGGTTTGCCAAAGTTGAGGCTCCTCCAGTACTCGCTCTCGATCTCTCGACATACTTCGGGAGTCCAGTCGGATGGCGAGGGGAGGGTGGGTGCCGATGTCTTTTCAGCTTCCTCGACGGGCTGTGATGGGGGAGAGGAAGCGGCGTTGAGTGTGGCGAGCTGGTCGGAGGAGAGCGCCTCTTTGAGCCAGCAGTTCTTGTAGTCGAATGCGCGCCATTCTTGTGGCGTGACGGCGTCTGCTTCCCAGTTCTTCTTTGGCTTTACGGGGGAAGCGTCTCTGGAGGTGGAGGGTGTGTTTGCGGCGGATTGGTTTGCGGCTGATGCATTGTGTGCGGTGCGGAGCGAGCGTCGTTCTGGGGAGCTGGGTGCCGAGGTTGGCTCTTGGGATTGGATTGGGTCTTGGGTGTCTGGCCGCTTTCGCTTTGGTGGGTTGGATCTGGGCTCTGCTGGTGTGGTTGGGGCGGGGCGCGCCTTGCCGCTGCGGGTGCGTACGCCGTCCTCGTCGAGGATGGCTGCGGGAGCCGAGTCCTTTGCGCCGATGGATTTGGGGCCCCATCCGCCGTTGGAGACGCCTTCGACTTCGACCTTCCACTTCATGCGATCCATCTCGGGACCCTTTTGACCGTCTTGGATGCAGGATTCGGCCCACTGTTTTGCGTTCCAGATCTTTGTGGTGCGGGTGATGTTGGTCTGACGCCAGACGCCCGAGCCTGCCGGGGTGAAGTGCTGAGAGATGGCGTTGCGGATGCGGACCTTGGAGATGTCTGCGGGATCGCTGTCTGCGGTGGCGGTGGCGGTTGAGGGTGGACGCAGGTCTGGAAGTGCGTCGCGCCACTCCTTGGGCGGGACGACCTTGACGATGCCGGATTGCATGCCCCAGCTGTCGATGGCCTGGCAGAAGGCGTAAAAGTCCTGAAACTGCTGCATTGTGGGTTCGAATACGGGGATGCCGTCGTGAGACGAGGATGCGGAGGCGTCGGTGGGGTAAAAGTAGGCGGGTTGGATGTCGGCCAAGGGGTGCTTGTCATCGTGGGATGGCGGTGGCGGTGTTGCTGGCCGAGGATCCGTGTTGGCAGGCGTGGATGCGCGCTTTATGGGTGCGGCGTGGGCATGGTCCGAGGCGGCTGCCGAAGTGGCCGGCGTGGATTGCCTGCTGGAGCCATTGGGAGCGAGTATCGGCGAGTGAGCATCGGACGGCGAGGATGCAGAGGCTGACGGCGCTGACGGCGCTGTAGTATTAGTGGTTGTGGTGTCGATATCCGTTGGCAGTGGTTGCGTGGACGATGCAGGCGTGGTCGAGATGGTGGCCGTGGCCGGCTCGACCACCGACATGTTTAGAGAGGGCCCAGCGAGGGAGCGATGAAGAGGCGGTTGCTAGACGAGAGCGGCGGATGTAGTTGACGCTGCGTGATTCGACAGGATGCCAGCAGCCGAGCAACGAGCGAGAGAGGGTAATGAGAGAGAGAGAGGGCGAGAGAGATGATGGAGCAGAACGACGACGGGTCGACCGACGACGAACAGCGCATTGGCTTTGGCATTGCCTTCGGCCAGACTCCGACGCTGACTTTTTTGAGTGGGGATGCATGCGCGCGCTTTCTCGGCTCTGGTGCCCTGTGAACCAGGAAAAGGCGAGAAAAAGTCTGAGCCCGAAAAGCAAAAAAAGAAGCGCGGGAAAACGGGGCTGAAAATGTTCCTACAAAGTCAATCGTCACAGCCTTGGCATGCGGAAGTGTCGGTGAGATGACTGTACAGCATCGGAACAGGGCCGGATTTGGAACATCCACGCACATCCTCACTCGCTGGTGCCGAAAGAGAGGATGAAGTGTGACGAAGAAAGGAGCGGGCGAAGGGGGAGCGAAGCTAAAAAAGATTTCCGCATCACTGAGCCAAGAGAGAGCGGACAAGGCGAGCGGGCTGCGCATAAACCCTGCGTGCGCATGCGCAGATTCATCCGCTCGGCAGTTCCGCTCGGCAGTGCGCCACAGCGACGCGCGCGGGATCGCGAGACGGGGTCCACCACACACACCGAAAGCCAATTCCAGCCAAAGAGTCGGGCGAGCTGGCAACCGACGAAATACTCTCGGCCGAAAGAACGCGGATGTGGGGTGGAGGAGCTGGAGGGTGTGGGCTGTGCGTGTGACGAGAGAGCGGGTGTTGTTCTCGCATTGCGGTGATTCCGACGTCCAAGACCATCGTCCCCACGCCTCCTTTCCGCCATCGCTCGCGTGCTGACTCGGCCTGGCGGCACTTGCGATCGATCGAAACGATGGACGATCTGCTCGATCTGACGTGGCAGCCGTCGAGTGGTTCCAACAGCTCGACTCAGCCATCCCAACCTGCCAAACCAGCATATAAACCACCCAACTACCACACGCCCCCACTCTCCTCCAGCCCGGCTCCTGCTTCCTCCAAGAGCACCACCGCTGCAACCACTGCGGCTTCAGCTACAGCCAACACCGACGCCTTTTCGTCGCTCTTCGCCTCCTCCTCCTCCTCCTCCTCCTCGTCCACCAAGCAGGAGGCCAATCTCAGCCTCGCCCAGCGTCAGCAACTCGCGCAGCAACAGGCTCGCAACAAGGCGGACGACGAAAAGCGCAGGAACGATGCACTCTGGTCCGGTATCAACTCGTCCACCTGGACCCAGCCCGTCGCCACCTCTCGTCCGTCCAGCGCGGCAAACGCTGCCAAAGCTCCAACTGCCAAGCCCACCACGCAGCCATCGGATCCATGGGACTTTGACTCCTTCACCGCTCCCTCCTCCAAGCCGTCAGTGCCCGCACTAACCACTACACAGCCAACGCCCACCAAATCGCACTCGACCGCTCCCGCAAACAACGACCCATTCGACTTTGATGGCTTCGAATCCTCCCTCCCAGCCCAGACCGCGGCGCACATCGACCAGTCCGACGACATCCTCGGCGCACTCGCCATGCCCGTATCCGAACTCAAGCCCTCCAGGCCACACGATCCTCGCGTCGCGGCGCTCTCCTCGTCTGCCTCGGCATCGTCGTCGGCAGACAGCTCGAGGGTCCCCTCACCAGCCAGCGGTCGTCGTCCCACCCCCACCTCCACCGCCCGCTCGCGCTCGCGCTCGCCTCCGCCCCACGTCATCGGCCAGATCGTCGAAATGGGCTTCTCGCCTCAGCAGGCACGCCAGGCGCTCGCACGCACCCAAACCGGCCTCGACGTCCAGGCGGCGCTCGAGCTTCTTGTCGGCGCCGACAACAACGACCAAGACGAACAGCTGGCTCGCCAGCTCCAGGCTCGCGAGCGCACCTCGTTCCGCGACTCGGACGACGACGAACCCCGCGCCCCCTCCCCACGTCGGCGTCCGCCACCGCAGTCGGGCACCCAGCGCGACACTGACGAGGCGACGCCAGACTGGCAGCACCAGGCCGACCAGCTGTACGCGCAGGCATCCGAGATCGGCTCGTCCGTTCTTACCAAGGCCTCCGCCTTCTGGTCGTCTGCCAAGGCACAGGCGCAAAAGGCGCTCGAGGAACATAATCGCGCCGGAGCCGAGCGCAGCACTACGCCGTCCGACGCCGGCAGCGAGCGTCATCGTGCGCGCAGGTGGGGCAACCCCACCGCCACAGCGCCAAGAAACAAGGAGTGGGAGGGGAAGCCAAAGTGGATGGTCGAGGCCGAACTCGCACAGTCCAACGACACGGCTCCCACCGCCAGCTCCGACGAGCCGGCACAGCTGGGCGGGGGATTCAAGGACTCGGACAACGAGGACGAGGCCGCTCCTGCCCCGCCTACTCAACAGCCCCGGCAAGGCAAGGCGCGTCAGGCGGCTGCACCCCCGACCGCCGGCGTGGCTGCGGCTGCGGCGGCCATGTCGTCGGCTGCCAGTGCCCTCTTTGGCGCCCGACGCGACGAGGCTGCCTCCATCTCGCGGCAGCACAGTCCGGCGGGCGCATCGCCGCCGCTCCCCACGCGGCCTGCTGCGGCACCCAAGGCGGCGTATGCGTCTCCCAACCGTCGCGGGCCCATGCGCAGTTCCGCTGCATCGCCTGCGCCCCCGCCCGCGCTCAAGCGCCGTGCGATTCCGCGCGAGGCGTCGCACACCATCTCGTCGGCCGCGCGCAACAAGGACGAGGGCAACGACCACTTCCGGCGCGGCGCCTACGCCGATGCCGAAGCGAGCTATACGCGCGGCATTGCTGCGCTCGAATCCGATTCGGCCGACTCGGTTCGGCTGGTGCCGTTGCTGAGCAATCGAGCGAATGTTCGGTTGAAGAACGGCGATACGGCGGGGACGATTCGCGACTGCGACCAGCTGGTGCGCATTGTGCTTGCGCCGTTCGGCGGGGGCGAGCGCGATGCGAATGGGAGGGTGGCCGTGTATCGACCGAGCCAGGAGGCGGATCTGCCGGCAGAGTTGGGCGAGGTCAAGCTGCGCGAGACGTTTGGCAAGGCGCTGGTCAGGCGCGCGCAGGCGCTCGAGGCGAGCGAACGCTGGAAACTCGCCGGTGCCGATTGGGCGGTGCTGCTCGAGTACGAACAGCTCGAGGGCTCGGGCGTGCGCACTGCCACGTCGAACATCAAATTCGCTCGACAGGGCATTCAGCGCTGCTCGCAGATGCTCAACCCCACTCCTGCCGTTGCTGCGTCCCAACCCAAACCCAAACCCAGACCTGCTGCTCCCCGACGTCCCCCCACTTGCTCGAACGGGGAGGCGAGTGCGGCCTTCGCGCAGCAGCAGCAGAAAGCGGCGGTGGAAGAGACGGAAAAGTTTGCGCTCAAGGATGCGGTGGATGCCAAGATCGACGCGTGGAAGCGCGGCAAGGAGACGAATCTGCGCGCGCTGCTCTCGTCGCTCGACACGATCGTGTGGCCAGAGCTGGGGTGGAAACCGATTGCGCTCCATCAGGTGCTCGACGCCGCAGGGCTCAAGAAGAACTACACGCGCGCCATCGCCCGTCTCCACCCGGACAAGATCAAGGCCGACGCGGCCACCGAGCACAAGATGATTGCGGCGGCTGCGTTCCATGCGCTCAACGAGGCGTGGAATGCCGCCCAAGCCTAGACGCACCGCACAGCAACGAGACTGCAAAGAGGGAGCATTTACAATGTGATTGAAGCGTGGTGCAAAGTGAAGAAGATCGGGGTGATGAAGACAATGTGGAAAGCGGGATGGGGAGAGGCGGTTTTGGCTGAGGGTTATTGGGGGCGACACTACCTCCTTGCTGCTGGCTGTTGTTGAGCGGCCTGTGGCTGTTGTTGAGGCTGAGCCTGGTTGTTCTGCACACTCAGCACGGAGCTGGCGTACCTCGCTACGAGATCCGTCACGGTGAGGTAGACCTTCCTCACGCCAGGCGGACAGCTTTGATGCTGCGTATATCCATCGAGTACGGCACCTACGTGTTGGAATGCAGCTCTGGTGAAGCTGCTCATGTAGAAGCGGAGTCGGAGGAAGTGGGCATAGAAGAGCGGAGCCATGAGCGAGTTCCTCCACAGCAGTGCACCAAACAGCACACGCGCAAAGATGGCCACCTCTGCATACGCCACAAAGCGCATGGCCGGATCGTAATTCGCCTTGACCCAACCTTGAACCATCTTGGCCACCTTGGACTGTTGTCCCTGCTGTCCTTGCGCCGTACCTTGTGCTGGAGGTGGAGATGGAAATACCGCGGGCAAAACCGTCGTCCTTACGAACGTGAGCACGTGGAAGAGGGAGAACGTGACAAAGGGGAGGATAGTAATAAAGATGGGTTTGGACATGAACCAGTATACCGCCAGAAAGAGGTACTGGACATTTTCATCCATGAGCGCACGCTGAATGTACGGCTTGTTGAGCTGCGGTACTCCAAACGACTTGTACACCACCACGCAGTACGACAGGATGGCTCCAAGGTACGTTGCGGTGTACCAGCGTGAAAGACCGCCCGATTTGGTCGCAAACATCACCGTACCCGCCAGGTAGCGAAGCCCCGCAAAGAAGCACAGGAAGTGTCCCGCCGCCCAAATCAGGTGCGGCGTAGATGCCGATGGTCGTGGCTGCCATAAACACAATCGTAAGCATCAATAGATACAACAGCAAACAGCGGTTGTGCGGGCGAACTTACCATGATGGGTAAAGACGGATGTGTGTCGGTGCAAGGGTCGATGGAGATGGAGGCGCAAGAGATAGCGGCACCCTCCACCTTGGAATGCGGACGAAGCTCCAAAGCGCGCATCAGCCACGTCCCAAGCGGCCGAGGACGTAGACGTGGCTTTCCGGCCGGCTTTTTGGCGTTGGCTTTGCAAATCGGAATCGGCATCGATATTCGCAATCTTGCCCGATGACTGGCTTGACTCGAATTTGCGGGGCGAGATGGGAAAGCGCAGTTTCATGCGGGACTATGCGGGCCGCTCTCTCCCAGGGTCGATGGCTGCACGCGTCATGCAGGGCTCTCTGCTTAGCCATCTCTCTCGCTTCTGACTCGACCACCATATCCGCTTTCGACCGTCACCGCGCTTTGGTTTTGGACACAGCCATGATCGACAGGATACCTCGCTGAACGATATCACGATGAACGACGAACACGCAGCCGCCTCTTGGCCGCATCTCTCCACCTCGGCCTCTACGACGGCGTCGAACACGGCGCCACCCACGCCTCCGTCGCATCGCGCACTTGCGACAGCAAAGGACGAGTTCGATGAAGAAAGCGGACTGCCTGCGCTGCATCTGCTCAATATGGCGTGCGACGATGCAGTGTCGGATGGGAGCGACGAGGCGGACGGATTCTTTGCGCTCGATATGGGCGTGAGCATCGACCAGCAACTCCAGACCTCGGACGGCTTTGAGGCTCCGACATCTACCTATGCGCATCCTGCACTCCGTCGTGCATCCGAATGCACCTACTCGTCGTCTCCACTCCAGAACGTCGGACTGGACCCGGTGATTGCGTGTCGCTCGCGCACATCGCCTACGCAGGCTGATGCAGCCGCAGTAGCCGAAACCGCTTCGCCGGCGAGCTTTGGACCCATCGCACCCGAGGTGGATGCAAAGGGCAATCTCGAGTACAAGCTCAAGATCCTTCCGCCGAGCCGCGAACGATTCGACAGGCTGGTGACGCAGCTCAAGTGGCGGCTGCTCGAGGGTGGAGGCGTGGCGGTGTACGAGATCGGCGTGCTCGACGACGGCACGCTCATCGGGCTCGATCCCGACTCGATGAAGGACTCGCTCAAGCTGCTTGCCCTCATGGCGGGCGAGGTGGGCGCCGAGTGCAGTGTGCACCGCGTGCTGGCGCTCGAGCGTATTGCGGCTGCATCCGAACTGAGCCTTCGGGCACTGGCGCCGGAAGAGGCAGTCGAGTGTCTGCAGCCGTACATTGCATCGGCGGCGGAGCTGCAACCAGAGATCCGCGAGCAGATTTTGCAGCAAGCAAAGGCAGGAATGTACAGATTCGACATGGCCGAACAGCAGCACATCCCCACCGCGCTGCATCAGTCGCCGTCGTCCAAGATGGTTCCTCGCTCCAGCAGCAGCAACAAGCGCACGCTGGACGTCGACGCTTCGGCCGTGGTGTATCTGCCGTCGAAGGAGGAGAAGCGTCTCATGCGGGCCGAGGCACAGGCGGAGACGCAAGAGCGCAGCATGAACAAGATGACACGCGTCGCCGACTCGGTGCAGCCCAAGACGGCACGCGCGAGGGCACGAACGCAGAGGCACACAGTGTCGGGCTACGAGAGCGTCCTCGCCTCAGCCGGCGTGCTGTCCGAGCGTGCTGCGCGCAAGCTGTACGGCAGTCCGCAAGAGCGAGAGCACCACCAACACGCGGCCAGACTCATCGTCGAAGCAGTGGTGCGTGCTGCGATCTAATCCAGGCCCAGAATTGAATCGCCAATTGTGTTCCATCCCTGCATCTCATTGCATCCTCTTTTGTTTCTGGGCTCGAGTCTGTCGGGCAAGTGTTGGTTCGGGACGGCGAATCGAGGCGTGGGGAACGAGCCAATTAGACGATCAAGGGTGCAGGTGCCGGTGCAGGTGCAGATGCACGGTTTGGCCGCATGAGGAAAGAGGCCGACCCAAGGCCACGGGACCGCTCCGATGGCGACAAAAGCATGCGCTTCACACGGCCAAGATCTAGCCACCTTTTTTTTATCCGCAGCAGCTGAGCCAAAAGAGGCGAGCGGATATTATTATATACAGTTTGTGACGAGAGAGAGACAAGGTTGCAACTCCACTGCCGTTGATGCACGCGCCATGCAGGCACAGCGCACGCTCCCTCATGCACGTCGGACTTTCCGTCTGGCAAGCACACGCCACGGGAAGCGCGTGCGTGACTGATCGGAATTGACAGAAGCGTGACAGCTCGCTTGGGCCCAGCTCAGCACAGCACAGCTGAGCGAGTCCCGTTCCAGCACGCCGGTATCGGGTCCCGCCTTGCAAGTCGCAACCTGTCCAGAAACGCACAGTGCGTCCCGCGGGTGCAGCTTCCACCGTCCACTCTCCAGCGCCGATGTGATTATCCGCAGTCAGCTCAGCGGGTCACCCGACGCACACAGTCATCCAAGTCTCCCACGCCGCCACACTCGGCACTCCCCGTTCAATCACACATGGGAACAGCCCATCGAATCGTCGGAGGCGCCGAGGAGGTGTTGCGCGCGCTCTCAGCCATGGAGAATGTCTATATAACAACGGACCCACACGCAGCTGAAGAAGCGAGAAGGACCCCCCGTCAACTCACCTCTCTATACCCCCCTCTCTATCCCCACCTGGACAACGGAATCATCATCCTCCTTCTACCCCTTTCGACCTCATGAACGTCTTGGGTCTAGGACGAAACACTCTGCAAAAGCTCAGCCGATCCACGTCCGGTGCCAGCATGTCCAACCTCGCCGAATCCGACGTCGACGTCGACGCTCCCCTCAAGCCCCACTTTGGCCGCACCGAGAGCCACCTCACCGCGCTCACCGAGTCGAGCGACACCGCCATGATGCACCTCGACGACACGCCCCTCACCACCCCCTCGGTCACCGACCACCAGCCCAGCTTCCTCACCATGCACCAGCCCTCCATCGACATCCGCAGAAGCCTCGTCGTCCTCATCGACGACCTCAACGATCAGGACTTTGTCGATTGCGACCTCGAGTGCTTCCTCGAATCGCTCGCACACGAGCGTCTCCTCCACATGCCCCGCAAGAACTCGGCCTGGGACAAGGTGCTCCGTCAGGCAGAGGAGATCGGCGCACAGCTCAACCACTTCTCCCACCTCGCCGCAGACGAACACTCGCTCAAGACCAGCCTCGTCGCCATCCGACTCCACCTCGAAGTCGGTCATCACCAGGCTCACGCCCTCCGTCCGCTCTTTGAGCTGCTCTCCCACATTGCGCACCTCCTCATCCGCTCGCTCCACACCAGCACCCCTTACCAGGCCCACTCGCAGCCCGTGCGCTCGCTCCTCCACTCGCTCTTCTCCCGATACATGTCGCTCAGCGCACACCTCGCACGCCACGTTCGCTCGCGCATGAACCGTCTCAGCCCCACCAGCTCCGAGTCGATCGACATTGGTGCCCACTTTGCCGACGCCATCGACGCCATCGACATCGACCGCATCAAGCTCGATCGCCTCGTCTGGAGGCTCGCCCTCGTCCAGCACGCCGTCCACCCGGCCGTATCGACGCTCGACATCCTCAACCACCTCGAGGGCAAGTCCGCCCCCAGCCTCAAGTCGCGCCTCTTTGCCAGCCTCAAGCGCCAGGCCACCGTCGAACCCGAAACGTGCGAGTGGTTCCAGACCCCGCTCCTCGGCTTCCTCCGCGGCCGCGACGACATCCTCCAGATCACCGGCAAGCCGGGCACAGGAAAGTCATCGCTCGCCGTGTGGACCCAGGAGCGTCTGCGTCGCACGCTCGGTCGCAAGTCCTACGACGTCCTCCTCGTCGACCAGCACGACTCGCACTCGCTCCTCGACCTCGCAAAATCGCTCCTCGCACAGATCTGGCACCACAACATCGGCGACGTAGAGCTCCACTCGGACCTCGCAGACGTCATCGCTCACGACTACGAGGAGGAACCGCTCGCTCAGGCGCTGTGGGACGTCCTCGCCAACACGCTCGCCCGCATCGCGTACGACAACGACATGCTCCTCCTCGTCGACGGTCTCAGCACCCGCCACGACAAGGCGTTCCAGCAGCTGCGCCAGTGCGTACAGCGCAGCCCTCGCGCCCGCATGGTCACCTTTGGCGGTGCTTACGCCGACGACTTGCCCGACTACAAGATCACGCGCGACGTCAACGCCAAAGACCTCGCCGTCTACCTGCGCAACGGCCTTTCCAGGCAGGGCGTCCCGCACGACGAGACGCTGATCGAGTCGCTGCTCGAACGCGCCTGCGGCTCGTTCCTCTGGGCCTACCTCTACCTCGAGCTCCTGCGTCTGCATCCCGAACAGGACAGCGACTGCACGCTCGATGTCCACAAGCTTCTGCATGAGCATGCCAAGCACCTCGGCGAGGCGGGCGAGCGTCTGGTCCAGTTGATGCTCATCGCCAGGCGGCCGCTCTGCTGGACCGAGCTCGGGGCGCTCATGCGTCCCGACATGCTCGAGGCAGCGCGAGCCTCGCCGCACGCCTCCATCTTCTTCCAAGACATCAGCGGCCACCTCCACTTCCGCCACGCCACCATCCGCAGCTTTGCACGCGAACATCTGCTCAACGACGAGCAGATGGTGCACAGGCGCATGCTGCGCAAGCTCCTCGTCTCGGTCGCCGCCGAATTCACCGACGTCGCCCTGCCGCGCCTCGAGCTGCTCAGTGGTAAAGAGCTCGACGCCGCCCTCCACGCGGGCAGCGCCGTCGAGTACACCGTCCTCTTCTGGCACCACCACTTTGAGCGCTCCGGCCTCGAGGCGAAGGAGCTCGCCGACTGGTTCCCGCGCTCCACCCAGTTTGCGCTCCTCGAGTGGTCCTACTGGAACCACCACCGTCACGTTGCCCACCACAAGCTCGGCCTCGAGGTGCGCAAGGCGTGCTTCGGCAAGGACCACCTCTCGGTCATGCAGATGTACCTCGCCCTCGCATGCATCCATCGCGGCCACCACCAGCTCTCGGAGGCGGCCGAGTACTTCTTCTACGCCTGCAAGCTCGGCCAAGAGGGCAAGTGCATCGACCGCTTCTCGCTCGTCGTCACCATGTGCGCCTCGCTCTTCCTCACCTGCACCGAGACGCTCGTGTTTGTCGAGAGGACCGAGCTGTGCACCATGCGCGAACACATGATCCGCTTCACCATCGAGATCTGCCGCCGCCAGCACGGCGAGCACAGCGAACAGGTCATCCACTGGTACCAGGTGCTCATCCAGCTCCTCGTCGGCATCAAGGATCACGCCGCCGTCATCATCGTCTACCGCGAGCTCTACCACATTTTCTTGCATCTCCACGGCCCGCGCCACGAGCGCACCAAGCACATCTGCAACGAGATGGCCGGCCTCGAGATCGTCGTGCACGGCGAAGATACCGAGCTCATCAACACCTACGTCACCTCGATCCTCGAGACCGTCGACGACGAGGAGGACGAGCACGAGCACGATGCGCGCATCCTGGTGCTGCTGCGACTCGCACGCGGCTACGCCAAATACCACCAACACTGGCACCACGCTTGCCGTCTCTACCTCACCATCTGGCGTCGACTCGGCGAGATCTGCCGCCGCCAGTGGTCGCTCGACATGGTGCTGCTCAAGATCGACGTCTGCATCGAATACGCCAAGCTGCTCCACGCCCACGGTAACGTCACCGAGGCGCACGACATCCTCGTCGTGCTCTGGGCCGAGTTCCACCACCACGAGTGCAAGGAGTACGACATCGTCATCCGGCTCAAGCAGCTCGGCCTGGTGCTGCGCAGCTTTGGCCTCCTCTCGGTGTGCTACGAGATCTTTGTCAAGCTCTTTGGCTGGTTCAAGGGCTGCGGCCGCCCCTATGACGACGAGGCGCACGAGGTCACCGTCATCGTCACCGAGGTGACCGAGGAGATCGAGGAGGTCACGCGCAAGACCAAGACCACCACCAAGATCACCGTCACCGAGACCGTGACGCGCGAGGTGTTTGAGACGCACTACGAGCGCTGCATCCGCATCAAGAAGGGCGACAAGCACCTGTACAAGGCGTGCCTGCTGCTCATCAACCAGCTCATTGCCTGCAGCAAGTACGAGGAGGTCGAGATCGTCATCACCCGCACCATCGAGCTCGCATGGTCCGCCTTCCTCGACGTCAGCGTCGACATTTCGATCCCCGGCGAGCACGTGCTCGAGATCCTGCTGCTCGTCGGCCAGCTCGCCCACTGCCACCGCAAGAGGGGCCACTACGACGTCGCCGAGCGCTTCTACCTGCGCATCTGGTGGGCCTGCCGACACAGCTTTGCCATCGACCACGAGCACGTCATCCACGCCTTCTGGGCGCTCATCGGCTTTTACGAGGACCACTACCGCTACGACAAGGTCATTGAGCTGTACGTCGAGGTGCTCGAGCTCTACCGCGCGCATTGCGGCGCTCACCACACGCTCACCATCCAGCTCATGTACAAGCTCGGCAGGCTGTGCAAGAGGATGGGCAGCCACAACTACATCCAGTACTTTATCGACATCTACACGGTGCTCGAGGCACACCACGGCCACTGCCACCCGGATGCGTGGGAGGCGGCGTGGGAGATCTGCGAGTGGCGCTTCGACCACTGCCATTGGGGCTCGCTCATCGAGATTTGTGGTACGCTGTGGCAGGTCTTTGTGCACGGAGGCCACGACCACGGCCACCACCACCACGACTTTTTCACCGCCGACATCATCATGGTGCTGTACGAGCGCTACGTCAAGGGACTCGAGGTGCACGTCGGCTTCCACTTTGAGGAGCACTACAAGCTCACCATCGAGCTGCGCGACGTGATCAAGGTGCGCTTCGGCGTCGACCACACGCTGCTCATCCGGGCGCTCATTGCTCTCGCCAAGATCTGCGAGTACAGCGAGGAGCACCACCACGAGGCGGTCACGCTGTACGAAGAGGTGATCACGCGCACGCGCACCGTCACGGTCGAGACCATCACCGAGGAAGAGGTGACGGTGGTCAAGAAGCGCCTCACCAAGGTGTACGTCACCATCATCGAGAAGGGCGGCCACCACCACCACCCCGAGCTGGGCGAGAATGCGCTGCGCATCTGCATGGAGATGTACCTCCAGCTCAAGGCCGAGCTGGGCTGCTGGCATGAGCTGACGCTGTTTGCGCTCGAAAAGGTGCTCATCATCCACTTTGCGCTCGGCGGAGAGCACCACCACGCGCAGATCCTGGTGCTGCTCCAGGCGACAGTCCTGGAAGTGCTCGGCAGCTGCCACGAGTCGGTGGTGCTGCACCGCGTTGCCATCCACATCTCCAAGATGCTCATCCGCTTCAAGGTGGCGGCGTGGGCGATCTCGCTGCTGTGCAAGCTGCAGCACCTCATTGTGCTGCCGGACATGCCGTGCGAGCACGACCACGACGTCGAGTGGACGCACGCGCACGGCACGGAAAAGATGTCGCTCGTGTTTATCGTCGCGTGCCTGCACAACCTGGGTCATTACGAGGAGCGCTCCTTCTCCGAGGTGATGGCGGCGGTGCTGCTCGAGATGCAGCTCTACCGACAGTACAGCTACGAAAGCCGCCGCGAGGTGGTCGAGATGGTGGTGCTCCTGCAGGCTACTGCGCGTCTGCACTGCTTCTGGCACGCTGTCGGCCGTACCGCCCTCTGCCGCTCGATCCTCGAGCAGGTCCTGGTGCACTTCCGCGCTTCGGAGCTCGGCGACTGCCTGGCCAACGAAGTGTCGGACGAGGTGGTCATCGTGCTGCTCGAGTCGGTACTTTCGCACACCGACGGCGAAAAGCAGGTCAAGGACGTCGCGCACCTCTTCTGCCATGCCGTCAACCACCGCGTCAGCCAGCTGCTCGAGGCGGGCGACTTTTCGACGGCGCACGAGCTCGCCAAGTGCGGCCTCAAGCTCGCACGTCACCACCGCTTCTACCACAAGCACGTGGCGCTGGGCTACAAGCTCGCCGAGTACATGGCTGGCATCGATGTTCCCGCAAGCACGAGCAAGAAGATCAGCAGGGCGATGCGCCAGACGTCGCGCGCCATCACGGACGAGGTGCTGTGTGCGCTGCGCGAGGCCAAGATCGAGCTCGTGTCGCTGCGCTTCGACGACGTGCGCGGCCTGGTGCGTCTTCTGGGCGCCCAGTCGAACTACAGCGAGCTCGAGGCGGTGCTCGAGCAGCTGTGGCGGTCGAGGGAGGTGCAGCGGAGCTGGGAGCCGGCGACGGTGGTGTCGATCGGGCACGCGCTCGTGCATGCGCACGTGGCTGCTGGCCATCTGGACGCGGCTATGTCGCTGTGCGACACGCTGTGCTACAACCTGCGCCACTCGGGCGACGGGCTGGACGACGAGGCGGTCGAGGCGAGCCAGCTGCTAGCACAGCTCTACACGCACGCTGGCCGCCACGACCGCGCCATGGGCGTGTACGAGGAGGTGCTGCGCGAGGTCGACGAGGACGGCACCTCGGAGCTGTTTGAGCGCTGGGCGGGCAAGCAGCTCCAGATGCTGCGCTTTGCGTATGCGCGCAACGGCGGCTTTGCCAACAGCAGCTCGACGTATCGCGACCTGTTTGCCTCGCTCGCCACGCGCGGGCTCGACTGCCACCACGAGGCGTGGGAGCTCAACGCGGGCGACGAGCACGCACAGCCGCACACGGGCGGCTACATTGCGCCCGACAACTGGTTCCTCCTCTCCACCACCGCCGTCGCACAGCCGGGACACGCTGATGCGCACGGACACATGCACGAGCACAAGCAGAAGCGCAGCATGCGCCGCGGCCGCGACTCGCTCACCGACATTGTGCTGCGCCGTTCGCGCGGCTGCCGCGTGTCTGCCGCCGACAAGATGCACGGCGCACGAGCGTCGCTGCCTGCACAGGCTGCCTAATGGCGCCACCACATTTTCTTTTCCAGACCAGATCGAGTCGACTTTTTGTTTCCTAGACCGGTGAAATGTACATATGTTCGAGAACGTTGATCGAGTGACACTAGACTGTTTGGATAGCTGCAACATTACAAAGGCCGATATGCGCGAGTTTCAATGTCGTTCTCCGGCCTGGACCGGTGCAATCGGATGCACATCTTATCGGACGCCTTATTCTATCCGACTCGAGATGGCAATGCACGCGCACGGCTTTTGCTACCGACATGTGCGTCTGCGTTGCGACGAAGGCTGGTGGCGCAGGTCGGGTCAATATCACGGAGTGCTGTGGTCTATGGCGTCTTTCGCGACCGAATGGGGAAGCTTGTCAAAAAAATCCACGGTGATCCCCGAAGCTGGGGGGGATGGAGATGTGCGCCGTCCTATCTCGTATTGTGGCGTTGATCAAACCAACATCGGATGCGACTCGATCTGGTCTGAAGAAAGGGCCAAACGATGTAGATTATCACGGCTGTATAATTGACCAAGATTGGTACAGGACGGGAAGGACAGTATGAACGAGTGTGCGTGCAGAGAGTCGGATGCAACGGCAGAGCGAGTGCGCGCGCGGCTTTGCTCGAGCCCATTGTCTTTGTGCAACGGTTCAAAGAGCGTGGGTCGATTTAGTTGACATTGTCGTGGGTACGGGATTGGTGGTGGCGACGACGCAAACCGAGCGACTGTTTGATCTCCTGTTGGATGCTTCCACCCTGTGCATCAGCATGGTCCATCTGTCCTCCTGCCACAGTAACCGAGTTTCCACTACCGCTAACAACCGGTGCATTGGCTTGGCATTCGAGCCCTTCGCCAGCGTCTGCGTCTGCATGTGCATTCTCCTCGGCATGGGAGAGAAGACGCTTCATGAATCCGGGTTCGAAACCCTGCAACGGCCTTACCAGCGTATCGATGGCTTTGGCAAACATCTCGACCGGATCCACACCTCCTTCACTCGAAACCAGTCGTTTTTCGGGCGGGAACTTGAATCCCACACCTGCACTTGCACGACCAGGATGAGTTTCCAAGTGCAAGGCGTTTTTGACGCTTTGAGCCATCTCTACCGCTTCGCCAAGTAGTGGCTCGCGCTTGGATAGGCCAAAGAACTTTTCGACCTGCTCGAGCGCTTGATCCACTTTGCCACCGCTGGCATCTGCTTGGGCCGACTGCGTTCCACCCGTAGTGATGGAATTGCCAGAGCCGCTTACGACGGGAGTGTTGGTTTGAAACGTGTGTGTGGTCCCACCGTGTGCATCGGCTGATGCGGCTTGGTGACCCGACTCGAACATCAGACGCTTGGAAAGATCGTTCGAGATGGGAGAAGAGCTGGCGGCGCAGGCCAGGGAAAGAGCGACGAGCATCGAAAGCTTCATCTTTGTCAAGGGGAGAGAGAGTGAGGAGAGATGGATGATGGAGCCAAAGACGTCGACAAGGTGGATGGGTTTATATCCGCTTCCAGCCCGGTGAGGTGCACGACGTTGCGACTGCTACACTGCACTTCGCAGGGTAACTGCGCACTGCACTTGAAGGGATGACCGTGCTGCGCAGGGGGAGGTATTGCCAAACACTGCTGGTCTTGGCGCAGCGATGAAGGCGAGCGATCCGACCACTTGATCCTAGCAATCGCCCTCTAAACGCTTCAAACGAGATCTGGAATCGCTTCATACGGTGCGACCATGATCTTGATGCGCGGGCATGAACCATCACCATCACCGCCTCCTTTTGGGCGGATGTGGGATGCGCATTGATCTCAAGGCTACTAGTCGCGAGCGACGATCAGCGTGGTCCTGCTCATTTCTCAAGGCCCAGAATCAGTTCACACATGGCCAACCACCAACCAAAACGTCGAGCCCGTGTGTTGGAGCAGCGATGGTACTCGCGCCGATACTGGATGGGCAACGATGTGCGACGGTCAGCTCGCCAATGCTCATTCCCGAAAGTTCGACCGACGGTCGAAGGAATGCATCCAATTCATCACAACGTTAGGGGCATCGTCGTGCTCGGCTCGTTTCTCGGCGAGCCGCGCACGATCGGGATCAAGTCGCGCACATCTAGCATGTGCGCACCGTGCGACCCAGCTCATCTTGTAAATTTGGGCTGTTGAGCTCGATTCAAGTGGCGATGGCAACGATCAGCGATGCACGATGAAGCCGCTGCGCACGGAACACTCTACTTGATTGATGTCCAATTGAGCGTGCACGGTGACCTCCATCTCGACTGCACGAGATTGACCCTCGATCGCGACGAACAAGAATGGGTCCCAGCACGTTATGACGTCCTCACAGCGATCCGAGCTGCATGAAGACGCCGACGACTTGATCTGCTCAACACCAAACCATACCACCGCTCCTACTTTGACCACCACCATGAATTTCGTCTCTGCCTTGGTCTTTCTGCTTCTGGCTGGGCTGGGGGAGTCGGTCGTGGTGCCACGACAGTGGAATGTGCCATTGGTGGTGATGGGCAACTACCAGTCCGGTAGCAACCTCCAAGCCGGCACGAACAACGTACAGACCATCGTAAACTCGGTCAACGTGCATGGCAACACCAACGCTGTCAGTTCCAACTCGGTCGGCACCACCGCAGCTACCAGCATCAACCAGTCCACCACTCAAGACGATGGTGAGGATGATGGGTTGCAGGCGGCAGTGGATGCGACGATTCGACACCTCCAAACCGCACTTGCACGCTCAAAGTCCCGACATCACATCCACGCTCATCGACAATGATTGTTCCATTCCAAGCTTCACAAGCCCAGCACTTTGGTTCTGTACATGTATGCCGCGAGTGCGATCAGGCTAGCCACGCCCATACATGCGCCGGTAAAGACGATGAGTGCGTTGAACCCATTGATCCCATACTCGCCCGCACGCGGGTGCTTCGTAACCACACCGGGTCTGTACAGAGCCGATCCGACCAGCGGACCGGTAACAGCCGCTACGCCACGCATGAACATCCAGGTCAAGAACTGCAGCGCATTGTCCGACCGCGTCACCGCTGCCAGATCCCTCGCAATGGGCGTTAGGAAACATCCAAATCCCCCACCCTATGCCATCAATACGTCAGCTTGAATACCCTCGCAGCGTCAAAGGGGAAGCATGGAACTTACTGCAGCTCCAAACACAATGGCGAACACGAGCAAAATCGGAAGGGTCGCTGCAAAGCCCAGCAGAAGTAAGGCGGCGAGGGCACACAGGCCCGATGAAACCGCCATGCCGAGCGTGAACGAGAGCTTGTCAATCGACGGTCCCGTGATGGTGTAGCCGATGATGGCCGATGCGTTGAATGCGGCCAGGATGCCTGTGGAGACGGTCGAGCTGAACCCGAGCGCCGTGGCGTACGTCGCAATGTACAGCGATACAATGTACCATCCAAACGCCTGCAATGCCACCACTCCCAACTATCCAACAACCCAAAAACCATCAGTCTTGTGTTGCTCTCTCTTTGCGGGCGAGTGGCACTTACGTAGATGAGCGACAGTGGGTGGATGAGCCACGACAGGTCGCCAGGAAGCAAAGCCCTTGCCAGCTCGAGCTTTGTGATTGGAAGCACATCGGGTGTTTCGAGTGGCAGTCTGGGTCTGACGAACCATAGCGCCGTGCCCGCGAGTACGAGCTGGGCGAGCGCCCACACCCTCATGGTCCAGGCAAACCCGACCGAGGTGAGGAGCGCATTGAGGATGAGCGGAAACACGACGCCGCCGAATCCAGACCCCATGAAGATGACGCCCGTAGCGAGGCCGCGTCTGGTATCGAACCACTGGCCGAGGTACAGCACGACGGGGAGCAGCAGCACGCCGCTCGTAACCCCGAACAGCACGCCCTGGAACACGATGAGCATCGCCACCGATCTCGCGAATGATGCAACCAGAATGCACGCCGAGCTGAGCACCACGCTGACGAGCACCAGTCTGCGGCGAAGGTGCGGAAAGGTAGTTACGAAGCCGCGCAGGATGAGCGGGATAAAGTGCTGACATCCGATGACCAGCGTGCCTACCGCCGAGATGCCGGTCACGCTCGTCCCGTACAAGGGCGAGTCCGGATTGTGCTCGTGGTAGTCTTGAAAGCTGCCGTACGAATATGCTACGCCCCACACCATGGACCAGATGACGAATCCACACGCCAAGAAGCGCCACGCCGCCGCACCTTGGTCGACAGCCGCAAGCTCGACTGGCTTGGCCTGGGATGGTGGGTAGGTCGCGAGAACAGGCGGAGAGGGAGGCCGCGAGTTTTCGGTATCGCTGGTAGCCTTGCTTTCGTCAAAGTGGTGCTTGTTCTGCTCCTCCTCCTCATCGATGGGTTGGGTATAGTCTTGCTGGGAAAGACTGCCGAGGCGCGTACGGAAGAGATGCGCTTCCGAGTCGTCCGTGTACGAGGCTCGCGATGGCCGCCGCTGAACCGTCGTCGTAGCCAGGCCGGTTTCGGCGGCCGTCGTCCTGCCGGCGGTCGTTGCTGTTCCAGTCGACATGGTGCACAGTCCGAACGAGTGGTGGCGCGAATCATGGCTATCGGCCCCGGTTGAAGTTTTGTGTGACTCAAACCGTTGTGCAGGGTCCGTTCGGCGAATGGCACGGCGAAAAGAAAGGAGCTTTGAAAAAGTTCCTATCCTTTGAGCCGAGTCCGGCGGTGAATTCGCCGAAGTCGCAACTTTTCCGAGAACGTGGCAGTCTTGTCCCCGCATACAATGGCCGCTCGGAGTCCTGTCGGATATGCTCTGTCGAAGAGTGGGCCGACATCGGGCGGTGCGAGCATGGATCGAGACGATCCGAACCGAATTGGTGGGGAACCGAAGGTCGGCGGCAAAAGTGCGGAGATGAGGTTTCGTAGCGGCAGCCAAATTTGTCCGCCGGGTCAAATTGCTACCCCACACGGCAGCGGAACAACTTCGATCCACGACTCGCATCTGGCATCGAGCTCACCTCGCCAGCTCCATCCGTGCGATCGACTATAAACACCGCCATTCCAAGATGTCGTTCGTCCGGTCTCTTCGAGCAGTACCTCTGAGAGCCCCACGAGCATTATCGCCCTTGCAGCTATCTCGAAGCATGACTACGTACCAGCACACCATCCTGCACCGCACGCATCCTTGGGTAGCGCAGCTGGTGACCGAGCTGCACGCGCAGTCGGAGCAGCAAGATGCGCAGGGCACGGGCATCTCTTCGCTCAATTCGCAAGACGTGCAGAAACGCGACTTTAGCCGCTTCAGCCACAAGATGATTGCGCTCGAGCAGGACAAGGCGGAGCTGATCTATGCGGTGCTGCGCAACAAGAAGGCGACGCGCATCTTTGAGGCTGGCACCTCGTACGGCGTGTCGACGATCTATCTGATGATCGCCTCGCAAGCCGCAGCTGCCGCCGCTTCGTCCGACAAAGCTATGGTGTGGGGCACCGAGAAGGAGGATCACAAGGCGGATGCTGCGGTGGCCAATATCGCTACGGCGCTAAAGCTGCCCAAGGGCACGAGCGATATCCCCGGCTTCACAATGTTGCGAGGCGACATCCTCGAACAGACTCGAAAGGCCAACATCGGGAAAAACAGCCTAGACGCTGTGCTGTTTGACATCTGGGCCGAATGTAAGTAGCACGCTCCCGACCCGAGTGCCGGTATAGATCGGCTGACACTTTTTGTTGTGGACAGTGGCGCTGCCGACGTTCAAGCTGCTCGAACCTTCGCTCCAGGCGGACGCGGTGCTTTTTATCGACAACTGGCTCACCGGCGTCGAGATCGGCACGTATACGGCTTTCAAAGAGTACCTCGAGGCGCAAGGCTGGTACGTGGCTGCGATGCCCTTCAAGAATGGCCTCGGTATGGCCACTCGGGTGTAGCTTTTCGGCGGAGAGAGGGTCTGTGCTGGATGAAATTTGGACCCTGCGCATTTTAGCCGCGTGAAATCCGGCTTGGCCCGTCGGTAGCTGAGAGTGTGGACCGGCCGAGGTGGGGGCCGAGAGCCGAGAAGGCATGCTGAGCCATGTTGCCGTCGAGCCACCATGGTCGCCATCCTCTTCATTGGGTCGCTATCTCATCTCTGACTCTGACTGGAGGAAATGTCGAGCCAAGCGTCCAAGCAAGATGTTGCGCCCGGCTCTGCGGCCTGGCAAGAGCTGCACACCACGCTGCACTCCGTCGGCGACTCGATCCGAAGAGAGGTCGTGGGCGAATCGTACGTCGAGCGCAGCCTCTCGAACGCCAACGACTTTACGATGCCCATGCAGAAGCTGGCGACCGAGTATGCGTGGGGAGGTATCTGGTCTCGTCCGGGGCTGGCGCGTCGCGACCGCAGCATCCTCAACATTGGCATGCTTGCGGCGCTGGGCAAGTCGACCGAGCTGGCTACGCACGTGCGCGGTGCGCTCAACAATGGCGTGACCGAGACCGAGGTGCAAGAGTGCCTGCTGCAGGTGGCGACGTACGTGGGCATGCCCGCCGGCATGGAGGCCTTTCGTGCTGCCGACAAGGCGGTGCAGGAGTGGAAGGCGGCGCAAAACACTGCTTCGGCGTCGACGAGCAAGACCAGCTAGATCAGTCCATATCCGCGACTTGACTCGGGCTCAATCTCGACGCTCTGCTCTCTGCGCCTGTTGCTACTTATATCTGCGTGAGATGCGGCGAGAGAGGGAGAGGGGGATCGAAGCTGAGTTCCTGATTGCACTCGGTGATGGCTGCGGAAGTGCGATGCGGATGAGCCGATCGCGCAGCTTCGATTTGTAAATCGGGCGGGATGACGCGCCGACTTCGATCTTCCCATCCAGTGGGCCAAGTCACCTGCGGCTGTTCCGATGCAGTTGCTGCCAATCCTCTATGCTGCAAGGCGGGATCCCATGACAGTTTGGCCCATGATCTGCTTGCGCCGCTCACTCAGCATCGAGCGGCCTCATTCCGAAGCGTGGGAAGCATGGACGGAGACGCTCCGAGCTTGTCTCAAGTGAGACTTCGCTCGGGCATGAATCTACAGCTCTGCTCTCATGGCAGCAGTCGGGTTTCAGTTCATTCTGCGAATTCCATCCCTGAGCCGCCTCGCTTGCAAAGCATTGAAGCGTCGAGAGTCGCGTCGCGCTCCTCCAACAAAGGGACCCCGCCAAGCCTTTTTCGCGCAGCTGTCACACTCGGAGGCTGTCACACTCGAGGCTGTCACACTCGGAGCTGGGCCTCTTTGCCGAGCCGAGTGCTCTCGCTGGCCGCTGCGCTCATCCGACAGCAGGAGCACTGTAGCCACATCGGACGCCTTCCGAGTTCTGCCAGCAAGTCTGCCCGGCGTCGCTTCAGTTCAGTCACACTTGACACTGGGAACGGCAATCACATCGCGGCGCTCACTCAGCGCTCACTCGTGCCTGACCCTTGAGCTGTATGCTTCAGCGCACTCTGGCCGGCCTTGCCGAATGCGCCTGTCATGACGAGACGAGACGAGACTGCGACGATTGAATGACCTCTCCATCCGCTCGATATAGCGACCACTCCCTTCCTCCCTTCCTCACCACCATCCGCTCCGCCGCCGCCGCCTCCTCCTCCTCCCCCCCTACATATCCATCCTCCCCATCCGACTTCGTTTCACTACCGGGCTGGCCCCGCTTGTTCGCTCTCTGCATACACATTCCCACTCGCACTCGGCATTCGATACCCCTATTCGCTCAACTTGAACCATGTCTCTGCGCAACTTCTCCGTCATCCGCCTCGTTGCGCTGGTCGCAATCGTATCGCATCTACTCATCACCCTCGTGGACGCCCACGGCTACGTAACCGCGCCCGCCTCGCGCGCTTACTTTTGCAAGACCGGACAGGCCAAAGACTGCGGCGAGATCCAGTACGAGCCCCAGTCCGTCGAGGCTCCAAAGGGCCTCCCCTTCGCCCGCAGCGGCGGTGCCAATCTCTGCTCAGCCGGTCTGAGCCAGTTTGCCCAACTCGATCGCCAGGGTGCCAAGGTCTGGCCCACCACAAAGGCCGCCGACGTCCACTCTTTTTCATGGACTTTCACCGCACAGCACGCCACCACCAACTTTCGCTACTTTATCACGCGCCCGGACTGGGACGCTTCCTCCACCAGGGGTCTGACCGCCAACGACCTCGAGTCCGACCCGTTCCTCACCGTCGCCATGAACGGCAAGGCTCCCCCCGCCACCATGAAGCACGACCTCTCCAAAAGCATGCCCACACGCACCGGCCATCACATTGTGTACGCCGTATGGACCGTCGACAACACCGCCAACGCATTCTACCAGTGCATCGACCTCGACTTTGGCGGGTCCAACTCCAACTCCAACTTTCCCGACGTCGCCTCTCCCTCGACTACCAAGCCCGCCGCCGCTGCCGCAGCCTCTTCTTCTTCTGCTAGCTCTTCTTCCACGAGCAGCGCATCCGACTCCAACTCGGCGGCAACCAACTCCAACTCCACCGCGGCTGCATCCAGCGCATCCACTCCCAAGCCTGCCTCGGCCTCCAACACGGACCACCGCAGCCACGCGGCCAAGTCCAAGTCGTGCCGCCTCAAGAAACGCCGCCAACCCAACTCGTCCGCGCTCGCTGCACGCGCCGACTTGCGTCGCCCGCCGATGCGCATGCTCAAAAAGCGATCCTCCTGATCCCATTCCCCCCCCTCTACACACGCGCAGCAGGTCCTGTGCTTTTCTCCTCGATTCTGGCGCGCCCGGCTGGTTTTTCGCGGCGCTCGCAATCACAGAACATCAAACCTTTGGCTTTTCCTCTCATGTCACATTGGCTGCTACTGGCACGCACGCGGGTCTTGCATTGAGAGTGTGTGGGATTGGCGAACTAGACGCGCCTTGGTGCTGTGTTGGCTTGTGCGTTGGGCTGGTGGGGGAGGCTGTTGAAGTTGCGCTTGTGTTTGCGTGCTGCTTCGCGGTGGCGCTTCTTGACCGCGGGGGTGAGTTGCTGTTTGTATCTCGACCAATCCTCCTCCTTTTGCTGTTCGGTCCTTGGTCTCATCCATCGCGATACGGCTGCTTGGGCATGGCTACCGTTCCAAGCTGCCTCTGCTGGACCGGGGAAAAAGGGTGCAAGTCGCTTGGGTTCTTCTGGCTGCACCACATCGGATGTGGGGTAGCGAGATTGGATCGGCGCAAAGGTTGATGGAGCCGTGTCGTCGGTGGGATCGTCTTCGAGTTCCAGGTCGAGACCTAGTGAATCGAGGAGTGAAAATCCCGCGCCCGAGTCGTTGATATCCAGACCGAGACTAAACCCAGCCGAGGCGGTAGGTTCTTGTGGACGGAACATCTCTTTGAGCGTCGACATGGAGACTTTGGATCCGATATCCTCTCCCGTAGCAGTGGCTGTAACCCCGCCCACGGAGTGCACCTCGGCGACTGGTGTTGATTCGACGCTTGCGCCGGGCACAAGTGATGCAGGATCAAACCGCGCAATGGGCACATAACTTCCACCGCCAGCTTGCGTCGATCCAGCCGGTGTGGCTAGAGAACGAAGGAAGGCAGCACGTCGAGACTTGCCCTCCATCGCTGCAGGAACTGCTTCTTCAACAACAGCATCTTGCATCGCAACATCCTCCACTTGCGCCTCGGCAGCCTCTGGCAACTCGACTTCCAACGCAGCGTCCGAGCTCGAGCTCGAGTCACTGCTCGGTGTTGCTTCGACATCCTCCGCTTCCGATGACGATTCTGTGCTCGAAGCATCCGAGCTGGATTCGCTCGATTCCGACTCCAGTTCGACTTGCTCCTCTTGCGCAGCGACCACAGCGGGGGCGACTTCGTCGTCGGAAGCGCCAAACATCTCGCCCAGCAGCGCAAGCGTCTTTTGTCGCTCCTCGACCGCATCTGCCATCCTTGCTGCAGGAGCGGCGGCGGCGATCTCGTCGTAGCCGTCGGAAAAGTTGGCCGCGTCTTCCTCCTCCGGATCCAGGCCTGGCACAAACGTCCCCTTTGTCTTGTGCGTCGGTTTCGAAATCGGCGCGGGCACTGGTGGCGTCGAAACTGGCGCTGCGGGCGTCAATGTCGACACTACGCGCGGCTGCACCTTGGCTCGCTTGGCAGGCACGGATGGCAGATCCGAGAACAGATCGTTCATACCCGCTGCGCTCGACGCCAGCCCACTGAAGAGGTCGTCGATGTCCGCCGTGTCCACCTCCTCGGCCACAGCAGCATTCTCGACGGCACGTGCTGGCACCGCCGGCTTGGCAGGAGTGAGCGTCGAGGCGAAACCGGCAAACAGATCGTCGTCCGCATCGTCGGCAAAACGGTCAAAGTCGAGCTGGTCCACCACATCCCCCTCGTTATCAGCGTGTGCAGCTGCGACGACACGAACAGGCAGCTTGGTGAACTCCTCGTGCAGCACCACGCCGTCTTTCGCCACGTACTGCCAGCGCACGAGACGATGCGATGCATTCGCTGCCTCGTCGTCGTCGATCTCTTCGCACTGCCATTCGCCCGATCCGAGCGAGGCCACATCGAAATCCGCCTCGGCCGCGCCCGTTTCGGCTGCAAGCGACTCGAGCAGCGGGCCGGAGAGGTGGATGGCGCCGTAGCGCGTAGGATCGATGGTGATGCGATGCGCCCGAGTGGGTGGACGTGGATTGACGCGCGTGCCTCGACTCGATTCGGGCTGGGCGTCCTCTTCCTGTGCGTTGGCGTTGGCGTGTGCGAGAGTGGATGCTCGCGAGGGACGCGGGAGCGGATGGGCAGGACGCATACGCAATGGACGCACAAGATGTCCTGCAGGCGTACGCTTCCATCCCCACACCGACCCACTCTCCACGGCCGCCTCGTCCACCGGCTCCATCCTGGCACTCTCGAATCCCATGCCTGGCGGCAATCGCCTTGGCTTTTTGGCGGTGCGTTGCTCATCCTCGAGCCTTTGCTTTTCGTTTTCCTGCTGGATGCATTGCTGGTAGTCCGGCTTGGCCTCGCCGATGCGCAGCGTAGCGCCTTTCCACACCGAGCCCGAGAGCAGATTCATGCATCGCTGAATATGCTGTTGCGGTGCGCGCAGGGTGAGGTAGGCGTACGGACGGAACTGGCCGAGGGCGTCGCGCTTGCCGAGCCCGTCGAGCGCAAGCACGTCGCCAAACGTGGAGAAGCGTCGCACTAGCTCCTCTTTCGAGAACGACTCTGTGAGCCCCGAGACGAGGAGTCTTTTCTGCGCGACATCTTTTTCTTGGTGTGGATGATCTTCTTCTTGGCTTGGGCCTGCAGAAACGGAAGAGAAACATAAATAGCGGGTAAGTACGTGCATGCTGGAGCGACACAACGGAGTGTGTGAGAGGGAGAGACTCGCATTGGCCTTAGCTTTGTTGACGCGGCGGGAGGAAGGTGGAAGAGCCTCTACACTGGATTGTGCATTGGTAGACGCACCATTAGCTTTGGGGATCCTGGTCGCCGGCGCCTTCTCGGTGGCTTTGGCAAACGCCTCTTGCTCCGGATCGAACGACTCTACGACGACATGCGTGTGGTGCTGGTCCGAATCGTACTCCTCCTCCTGGATCTGCGGCACGGCATCCGCTTCGTCGAGCTGCTCGTCGTCGGATGCGTCGTCGGCGTCGAGATCGGATTCGCCCTCGGCTTCGAGGCCGTACGCCTTGCGTGCCTCGCGCACATTCTCGGCAGCCTTCTCCTTGCGCGCCTGTCGAAGCTCCTTGCGTGCCACCAGCTGCTCTTCCTTGGCCTTTTTGGCGAGATACTCACGACCCGCCTGCTTGCGCTCCTGCTTTCGTTTGCGGAAGCCCGTCAGATACTCGGCCCTTGCCTTTTCGTCGAACGTCAGCTCGGGGCCCTTGCCCTTGCCCTTTCCGCGTCCCTTTTGCGACATGATTGTGGACTGTGATGGCGAGGGTGATGGTGGGGTGAAGCGAAGGTAAGAAAGAGCCTTTGTGCGAGCCGCCATTCTTTCCGCTCGGCTGCTTCGAGGAAATTTTCTCTTTGCGCCCTCAATTCGCGCTCGGCCGCACTTCCGACATCCGACAATATTGATTTTACGATGCTACGATGTCAGATCGGCAGTTCGCGCGGATGTCAAAATTCGCCGACCCTCAACGCCGCTTTCTTGCTTCGCTCCCTCTGATGGTGGTTGTCGAGCTGCAATCCATCATGCCCCGAGCTGAGGGAGAGATCGCACATCGACTCGAGCAGGCGCCATAAGCTGGTAGTCTAGCTCGCGAACCATAGCGGACGGATCTCATTTCCGCGCGCCGAAAGATCACAACGCTACCATCTACTGTAAAAGCAAGCTAGTAAGGCAAGCGGCGCTCACCACGGGATCTGGACGAATGAACCGTCCGTGGAGAATGGCGCATGGTTGCCGATCAGCTGGCCCGTAGGACCATCGTCTGGCAGCGTGGCGAGGTGCACGTACACCGCCGCACCCTCCTCCAACGACCTCAGCCCCGTAAAGTTGTTGAACGGTGTCTTGACATGCCCCGGCGAAGCGGCATTCACCTTGAGATTCGCACCGATATGCTGCGGCAGATTCTTGGCCTGCATGAGCGTGACCATATTCAGCGCTGCTTTGGACGCATTGTACACCATCGCACCTGTCCTTTCCGCTTCCAGACCGCTTCCAAAGGCCGGTGAGCCTCGTGCCGACGAAACGTTGACGATCCTTGCACGGTCGGATTTGGAAAGCAGCGGTAGCAGCGCATTGGTCACTGCGACCGGTGCAGCAACGTTGGTGGTGAACACATCGACCATGTCGGCCGAAGTGGTCAGTTCGGTTTGAAGGAACAGGACGTTGGATCCCTTGCCACCGCGGCCGGGCGGAGCCCCTACACCGGCATTGTTGATCAGCACATCCAACGCGCCACCGAGCAGCGGGCCGGACGGATCCAACAGTTGCAAAACCGCCAAATCAATCGAGCTTTGATCATCGACGTCGAGAACGAGACCGTGCACCCTGGCGTCAAAAGAGGACGAAGCAAGCTCCTCTTTGAGCTTCGAAACCGCTTCGTGCACAGCTTGGGCGCGCCGGCCGCTGAGGATCACATTGAAGTCGTGCTGCTGAATCAGTAGACGAGCAGCCGTGAAGCCGATGGGTCGAGCATCGAAGCTGCCCGTGATGAGCGCAGTGCGCACGCTCGTTGGAGTTGCACTAGTGGCAGACGTCATCACCAAGAGGCGCCGCGCTGTCGATGCAACGACAAGACGATGCATGAGCGAGGCCAGTTGCCGCCTATGTTCGCGCCGAACGACACCTGCGACGCCCCCCCCCCCCCCCCCCCCCCCCCCCCCCCCCCCCCCCCCCCCCCCCCCCCCCC